TCCGTTTGTTTTTATCATATAATTTGAATATTTAAAATAAAACATCAACCAAACGCTTTTTTAACACGTTTTTCTTAACTCAGCTTCGCGTTTATTTGTTTGTTTGTGGGTTTGTTGTTAAAATTGACAACGAAAATTAGCCCACTTCTGATTGCTCTAGACATCTGAAATTTGGCATGCAGGCTATTTTCGCCTAACAATTTCAGAAAAAAAAAAACGTGGGTCAGGCAGATGGGTCGGGAAATTTGATGGTGAACGTACCCACGTTTTTTGTCATCAAATGTATGAACAAAATCTACGAGCAGTCATTGGTAGATCCCCTAGGGTCGGAAGAAAAATTTATTTTCTACTTTTTAGTCCACAAGAAAAACGTGTTTTTTTTTAAAGTTTTTTTTTAAGTATTTTATTTCTCATTGATACGTACATTCAGCGCTGCATGTAAATCTAGTTGTTCATCTAGCCAACCGTGAATAAGCTCCAATGCCGAGTTAAAATATCTAAAACAAATTTTACTTTTTTTAAATATTCGTTCTTTAGACTGGTCAACAGAAAAAATAAATAAATGCGCAATGGAAAAGTGCGCAACCAAAACTCTGCACACATAAAAATAGCGCAGTGGATAATTTACAAATCGCAATTTTAAGGTACTAGTAGAGAATAACAACAAATAAAGCTTACATTCTGATATAAAAAAAAAATTCCCACGAATAAAAGGACCAAATGAAAGTGAATTAATATAGAATTTAAAGAGATTGTGTTTGGGTATTTTTTCCGTTTGCGCGATCAGTTTTCGTTTGCATACTTTTCCTTTGCGCATTTTTCTGTGAGCTCTTTAGGCGATAAACTACAAATACTCTACATTTAAATAAATAAATCAATTAATATATACATAAAAATATATACAATATATATATAATATATGTATCTGTAAATGTATATATTTGTATGTGTGTATATATATACACAATATATATATATATATATATATATATATATATATATATATATATATATATATATATATATATATATATATATATATATATATATATATATATATATATATATATATATATATACATATATATATGGTGCGCGGACCTTTGACCACAGGTGCTTTGACCATATGGGGTTTGACCATAGGTGGTTTGACCACAGTGGGGCTTTGACACAACAGGGCTTTGACCACAGAGGGGGCCCATCTGTCCATGGTCAAAGCCCATCTGTGGTCAAAACCCCGCTGTGGTCAAACCCCCTATGGTCAAAGCTCCGCTGTGGTAAAACCCCCTATGGTCACCCCCTATGGTCAAAGCACCTGTGGTCAAACACCTATATATATATATAGAGAGAGAGAGAGAGAGAGAGAGAGAAAGAGAGAGAGAGAGAGGGAGGGAGGGAGGGAGGGAGAGACAGAGAGAGAGAGGGGAGAGAGAGAGGAGAGAGAGAGCGAAAGAAAGAGAGAGAGAGAGAGAGAGAAAGAAAGAGAAAGAGAGAGATTTCATAATTTTTAGTTGTATTTGAGTTCACAAACCCCTCCTCTGTATTTTTCCACCTGTTCGTCTGAAATATGATCCCGACAACTGCTACCATGATTCCCAGCACTGTGTACCACGTGGCTTTCACAACTTTGTTAACCATGACTGAAGATGTACAACAAAGTGTTGATCAGTTCATGAGATCATCTATATATATATAATTCTCTTCTTGGAGACGTTAGAAAACAAGCTGTAAGCGCGCTCCCTACCACCCCCCACCCCTACATGGTCTGTTGAGCTGTGGTTAACGCTAAATGTTTACAGTCGTAGAGCCGGGTTTAGTGACGGCTATTAGGGGCAGATAATTTAGTTTGATACGATTTTAAACTTAGAGGAGGTAACTAAGAGGAGGCTGCTTTCACGGGGGGGGGGGGGGTGTAGGGTAGGAGTTGGGGGAAAGGAGGGTGGGGGTAGTATCGTCCTTAACGACCTACTGATAGTGTTGTAAAGCAAATATTTTCAGTTGCAGCATTGGTAGTGTCGAATTCACAAATTATGAATTACTGAACAGTAGAAAATAAAACAACTAAATAGCGGCGTACGATATGCCGCGGGTCGGCTCGTTATTTATATTCTTGTAATGACATATTTTACTACATTTTACATGGCCGTAAACTAGGCCAAATGCAAGATGTACGAAACCAAAACGAGGCTTGGACGAAGTTTTTGCAGGTCATGTATTAGTTGTAGTTCCCTTTCTGAATACGACGGTGCATGGAAATTGTGAAATAGATTAGATTTTATCTGTATCTGTGACCATATGAAGGGATATTGTGGTCAGCACTATGCCGAAGCCGTCTTTTCTTGCCCTAACATGAGCTAGGTACCTATTAGAGCTGGGTGTGTTCAGCACTATGCTCAAGCTGTCATTTCCTTCCATAATAAGAGTTAGGTATCCATCAAAGCTGGGTGAACTCAGGGACGTTGTGCGGACTTGAACCCAGATTCAAACTCGAGACTTTCAGGTTAGCAGTCTAGCACTCTACCGCTAGGCCACACCGTCCCTTGACAGTTATTATCTCGGCGTTTAATGTGATGTTTATATCTACCATTCGTTACCACATTGTTAGTTACAGTAGAGTCACGTGGTCAGGCTTGCCACTCCCACAGTGTTTCTTTCAGACATCTCTATTGAGCCCCCCCCCCCCCCCCCCCTCTACCTACCACGAATAAAAATGAAATTTTAATTGAAAATATATACTTTTAACCCCCATCCCCTGGAAAATCTAGTCAGCCTGCCCCCCCCCCCCTAAAATTTTCAAGTGCCCCAACCCCCCACCGGAGAAAAAAGTCTGAAAGAAACACTGAGAGAGAGAGCGAGTAGTAGGAAACCCTTGTGTTAGAGAGTGGAGGGGGAGGGGGGGAGTAAAAAGCTGTGTATCTAACAACATAAAAATTAACTAAATTTCGTTTTGGTATCACCCTGTAGGGTGGTGTTAACCGGCACGGTCTACTTTCCTTGCCCCTACCCTTTTCCCCAGCCGTCATTACGACGATACCGTTTAGATGTCAGCCATAAGATTTAGTCGGAGCTAAATCTGAATTAGCGTTAAAATTATCTTTGTATTTAGATAGCGATAGTAGATTCTAGCTCTAGTAGGTCTAAACACTAGGTTCACTAACCAATAGAATCCAAATCTAGATCTAGACCGCCTAAATACATTTCAAATAAAGTCAAATTGATCAACTATCTCCCATACTTACTCAGCAATTTACTTTGAGCGGCCCATAAGTCTATAGCAAACAACAAAGCACCGCCATAATCTTTGACATAATAGGATTCATACTGATTTCAAACTCCAACTAAAAGTTCTTTCTCTTTCCAATGGATGTGTGCCTATTCCTTTTGTCAAATACGGCTTGGTGATAATTTTAAAGGTGCTAAATGGTACCGATTTGTTGTGGCGTGCAAAATGTGTCTGTATAATATACAGAGGTAAGGATCTGTATTACAAAGATTGTGTACTACTGTTGGTAGAGCAATTAACACATGTGGTATCGTTTTTCAATGGAAGTTAAAGGGTTATATTCTGTTATTTAATAAGCTTATTGGGTAGATCTGTGACCTTAAGTAGAGTGTGGGCTTATCAGAGTTTCTTCCAGGCATCTCTTCCCCCCCCCCCCCCCGAAAAAATTCTACCGCCCCCCCCCCCCCCGAACGAAATGAAATTTATATAGAAAATATATACTTTTAACAGTGTCCGCCCCCCCCCCCCGCCACCCCCCCCCCCCCCACGAAGAAAGTCTACCGCCCTCCCTCCCCCCCACCCCCGAAAATTTCAAGTGCCCCCCCCCCCCCGGAGAAAAAAGTCTGGAAGAAACACTGGGGCTTATGTGGTATAGTGGGGCTTTTTATGTGGCAACGTGGAGATGTAGGGTAGAGTGTGGGGCTTCTGTGTTAGAGTGGGGCTTCTGTGGTAGAGTGGGGCTTTTTATGTGGCAACGTGGAGATGTAGGGTAGAGTGTGGGGCTTCTGTGTTAGAGTGGGGCTTCTGTGGTAGAGTGGGGGCTTTGTGGTAGAAATCAAGTATCAACCTGTAAAAGGGAAACCACTGTACTTAAAGGAAGACGGGGAAAATATTAACTAGAGACAAAGATACGGCAAACATATGGCTCGAAGTATAGGACATAGCCGCCAATCTTTTTTGTTTGGTCTTAATTTCTTTATGAATTGGAAATAGAGAAATAATACAAAATTACGTCATCGAAAATTGCGCGCTTTTTTTCCTCTGTGAAAACCCCACATTTCTCCATTTTAAGTGGATTTCAATTACCAGATGGTATTGGTATGTTATTTACTTTTTGCGATCTAACTATTTGTAGTAAAGTATGAAGCAAAATGTTTTATCACCGCTTTAGTCATTCTTACTAGATTCTACACTTCATAGTTTAACATTTACGTCTTAGCTAAAAAAAAATGTAAAAGTGTTATTTAGTCTATAAGATCTAGATCTATAGATCTTTAATGAATGCTAGACGCCTAAAATATGGAATCTTGATCTAGATCTATAAGTAGCTAGATAGATTAATGCTAAAAAAATCTAGATCTAGATCTAGAATATCTTCTCAATACTTTGGTCATCCATACTTCTGTTTTAAATTTTAAGAATTACATCTTCGATAACATCAAAATTGTTATTTAGTCTTGAACGATGTATCACATATTTAGCTAGAATAATGACGGAATTGAGTGTTTTCACATTACTTTAATCATTTATCTAGAAAAGATCTTATACTTTTATCTTGGGGGGGGGGGGGGGGGGGTTCGTAGGCTTAAGTATGACGCAAATTCCGGGGAGTGGGTCTGGTTGTCTTTTGTTGTTTTTTTTTTTTTTTGACGATGTGCGACGGTGGGGGGTAGGGGAATAAAAAACGTCAAAAGAATCGTGACATCATGTATGAATGACCCCTATCCCTTGTGGTTAAACAAAATCACAACGTTTTCGTTTAATCCAATCCAACACAGAAGACGATGAAAGGTCTACTATTGTGAAGGAGCGCCACGCCAACATGAGATAATGGCGAGGACAGAATTTGTTCTTTCTCTTGTGTTCGTCATACGCTCCATTGCAGGTTGGTACTTCATATTTACTTGACTTTTGAAGAGTATATATATATATATATATATATATATGTATATATATATATATATATATATATATATATATATATATATATATATATATATATATATATATATATGAGAAAAATGTACAGACAGTGGTTGCATTAAATTCCTGCAACTACCTTACTGCAGGTGAAACATGCATTTCAAATTGTGAGGGGAAGGCGGAGGGCAATTACGTTTTATGCGGTCCTAAATGCAAGGCCGGTAATTTCATGACTTGTACTGGGGAAAAGGGAATTGAAATGTGAGTACACAATCCAAGTCAGACACACTAGGGAATTGAAATGTGAGTACTCAATCCAAGTCAGATACACAAGCGAATGGTGGGTAAGTCTAAGTCAGATACACAAGAGAATTGTGGGTACAAAATCCAAGTCATACACACAAGGGAATTGTGGGTACACAAAAGGAATTGAAATGTGGGTACACAAAGGGAATTGAAATGTGGGTACACAAAGGGAATTGAAATGTGAGTACACAAAGGGAATTGAAATGTGGGTACACAAAGGGAATTGAAATGTGGGTACACAAAGGGAATTGAAATGTGGGTACACAAAAGGAATTGAAATGTGGGTACACAAAGGGAATTGAAATGTGGATACACAAAGGGAATTGAAATGTGGGTACACAAAAGGAATTGAAATGCGGGTACACAAAGGGAATTGAAATGTGGATACACAAAGGGAATTGAAATGTGGGTACACAAAGGGAATTGAAATGTGGGTACACAAAGGGAATTGAAATGTGGGTACACAAAGAGAATAGAAATGTGAGTACACACAGCAACTGCTATAAACTGGACTGCAAACGTTGTTGTTGCAAGAAAAACTGAGCCTAGCTATCACGATGGCGAAAAACTGTATATCGTCTTTTAAAAGCTATTTCATAACAAATGTTACGTCTTGTTTTATCTGCAGCATCTTTTTTTTTGTTAGGGGGGTGTGGGGGGGGGGGGGGTGAGAAATTTGTCTTAGAAATGCGTGTGCCCTGCTTTTTTTTTTTTTTAAACCGAAATCCAATACTTATAACCAAAAAGTAACACTAAATCAAATTGTCATCAAAGCCCGAATTGACCTTATAAAAAATTGTAGGTGTATTTTTTTTCCGTTATACTTCCTAATATAGGGAATAAAAAAGTAAGTATTGTTGTCGTGCGATGCGAGATTTTAACAAATCTGACATTTTTACCTTCCTGATGAGGAAAATTTCAGTTTCTCAATCTTGTCTGTGTGTGAGTATGTGTGTATGTATGTATGTGTGTATTTCAACACAATAATTTGTACACCGTTTTCTCTCAAGTGGTCGAAATTCTTTAAATTTTTCCGATAACCGGAAATATTGCTTTATTTTCGTAAAAATCCTATAACTTTAGTACAGATAAAGTCCGGTAAATTAACTAGGTTATTTAATGAATAGATCCTATTGTTAGAAGTCTTCAAACAGGGTGTTAGTGATACAAAAGTAAACACGTTTCCGCATAGGCCGTGTGCTATGGGTGAGTACATCCAAGATAACAGCACCAAGTACCTCGCTAGGCTCATCTTCGACCCGTCCATGGGGGCATGCATGTACAGCAACAAAATCTGCAGCACCCCGGAATTTAAAGTCAGTAAGTTGGTGTTTTTTGTTATTATGGTGGCGGCGTGGCCTAGCGGTAGAGAGCTTGATTGCTAACCCGAACATCTGAGTTCACGCAGGGTAGCTATCTCACGTTAGGGAAACAAAGGCGGCTTTGCATAGTGCTGACCACATTATCCTTCTGTATGCTGAGGTCAATGAATCAGATGAATTCTACTTCATCTGCACCATATGTCACAATCCATGGAGTAAGTGAAGTAGAGTTCGCCTGTTTCTTAACCACGTCAAGTGATAGTGTGGTCAGCCCTAGGTCAAAAGCCGTCTTTGCTTTCCCTGAGTCAGGTACCCATCAGAGCTGAGTGGACTCAGGGACGTCCTACAGACACGAAGCAAAGATCCGAACTCGAAACTCTCGGAGCAGTCAAGCGCTCTACCACTCATCCACACCGTCAACTCACATAGCTTAGCGGATAGCTGATTATATATATATATATATATATAAATATATATATATATATATATATATATATATATATAATGCTATGTAGAGGTACGGGGAAAGTACTTGAATACTTTTAGTCACAGTAGAATGTAATGTACTTGTATTCGTATTTTAATTAAATTATCCCCACTCAGCATCTTGTCTGACCTACGGATGTTCCTACCGTATGGATGGAGAATACCCTCTGTGTGGCAGGCAATGTTTTGAGGGGTACTACGCTGAGTGCCACAATGGAGTGATGTCAAAGAAGTGAGTCCTCTAGCTTGAAGCCATAGAAGTAAGTCTCTAGCTTGAAGCTTTAGAAGTGAGTCTCTAGTTTGAAGCCATAGAAGTAAGTCTCTAGCTTGAAGCCATAGAAGTAAGTCTCTAGCTTGAAGCCATAGAAGTAAGTCTCTAACTTAAAACCATTGAAATAATACTCTAGCTTGAAGCCATAGAAGTGAGTCTCTAGTTTAAAGCTATAGAAGTGAGTTTCTAGCTTGAAGTAATATAAGTAATTCCAAAGCTTGAAGCTATAGAAGTAAGTCTCTAGCTTGAAGCCATAGAAGTAAGTCTCTAGCTTGAAGCCATAGAAGTAAGTCTCTAGCTTGAAGCCATAGAAGTGAGTTCCTAGTTTGAAGCTATAGAAGTGAGTTTCTAGCTTGAAGCAATATAAGTAATTCCAAAGCTTGAAGCCATAGAAGTAAGTCTGTAGCTTGAAGCCATAGAAGTCTCTAGCTTGAAGCCATAGAAGTAAGTCTCTAGCTTGAAGCCATAGAAGTAAGTCTCTAGCTTGAAGCCATAGAAGTAAGTCTCTAGCTTGAAGCCATAGAAGTGAGTCTCTAGCTTGAAGCCATAGAAGCTAGTCTCTAGCCTGAAACCATAGAAGTAAGTCTCTAGCTTGAAGCCATAGAAGTAAGTCTCTAGCTTGAAGCCATAGAAGTAAGTCTCTAGCTTGAAGCCATAGAAGTAAGTCTCTAGCTTGAAGCCATAGAAGTAAGTCACTAGTTTTAAGCCATAGAATTAAGTCTCTAGCTTGAAGCCATAGAAGTAAGTCTCTAGCTTGAAGCCATAGAAGTAAGTCTCTAGCTTGAAGCCATAGAAGTAAGTCTCTAGCTTGAAAACCATAGGAGTGAGTCTCTAGCTTGAAGCCATAGAAGTAAGTCTCTAGCTTGAAGCCATAGAAGTCTCTAGCTTGAAGCTCAGCGCCACGTAAAGGCGCGATGCTTTCAACAGTTCTTTGTCCCTAGTTGATTGCGTATAAGTTATAGCACCATCCCCTAGTACCAACCTTTAGTACCATCATCTATTGCGATCACATAGTACCATCTTCTGCTACCATCCCCTAGTACCATTCCGTAGTACAATACCATCTTGTACCATCACCTAGTACCATCACCTAGTACCATGCTCTTGTAACATCTCCAAGTACCATCACCTAGTACCATCCTTATTATTATCTCCTACCATCCTCATCTAGTACCATCACTAGTATCATTCCGTAGTACAATACCCATGTAACATCATTGGGAAGTCTTCCATCTTGTACCATCACCTAGTACCATCGCCAAGGAACCTTCACCTAGTACCAGAGGCGTAGCGAGGGGGGGGGGGCGGGTGCGGACCGCACCGGGTGACACAATTTAGGGGGGTGACACCAAGGCAAAAAATAGTAAAAATATATAGAGAAAAATTTGATGGGGGGGGGGGGTGCAAATCGAAAATTGAAAGTTTGTCCCTGGGAAGAGTCGCTACGCCACTGAGGGGGTAACACCATTAAGTGCCGCACCGGGTGACACCCGACCTCGCTACGCCACTGCCTAGTACCATCAACTAGTACCACCCCTATAACCATCCCATAGTACTATTCCCTTGTACCATCACCTAGTACCATCACCTAGTACCAACACATAGTACCAACACCAATCAATTCGTTGCTTTCCTAATAGATCATTCTTTCTTGAATCCAAAGACTCCAACTCTTCTCCAAGCTTAGCCCTAACCCTAACCCTAGCCCCTACACATTCATTAAACTGACCTCTTAAAAACCCAATCATTTCGTTGAATTCCGTAACAGATCATGCTCTCCTGAAACCGATGACGCAAATTCTTCCGCATTAGTTTTCCAACCCTCCACGAAAAAGTGCGAGATGTCGACCGACGTTTGTAAAAAGGACATGGAGATTATAAAAGAGAAGCTGAAAGATAAACGCAAGTATATTTACTATACATCAGAGGCGTAGCTAGGGGAGGGGCGCCACAATGGGTAGGACCAGCATGAATAACTAAAGCCTGTATATAAATGGAAAGGGGGGGGGGGCGAAAAATTGACAGTTCGCCCCGGACGCCGGAATGTGTCGCTACGCCTCTGCTGTACATGTAGGAATGGGTGGGGTGTGGGCTGGATATAGGTAAAGCAGAGTGGTGAGAGTCCACACATCTTTTCTTAAAACGCCTTTCTAGGAGAAACATTATATACAAAACACCCGCGGGATAACTAGTCTTGGAAGTACGTCCAGGGTTGTTATTCCATAGGTGATAGGTTTAGATCAGGGGTCTCCAAACTTTTCAGCCCGAGGGCCACATTAACTATTAAATTTCAGTTCGGGGGCCAGTTTCTTCCAGGCATGTCGTGACTTTCTGAGCAAGTTGCTCAGCCAATTTAAACAAACGTTTTTTTTCCGTGGAGAAAATGATCTCCGCGGGCCTCAAATAATAATGAAATTTTATATTTAAAAAATGAGAGCAATATTATGTTACTGGATATCCCTAATATCACGAAAACAAAATCAACAAGACCACTATTTAGAAAATGAGGGGACGGCGTGGTCGCGGGGTAGAGCGCTTGACTACTAATCTGAAGGGCTCGAGATCCAATCTCGGTCAGGATTCGTGATGGTTGCACGTCCCTGAGTTCACCCAGCTCTGATGGGTACCTGATAGGTACACGCCTCAGGTTGTAGAAAGTAAATTTAACTAGGCATAATGCTAAACACACTATTCGTCTTGGGCGTAGCGAGGGGGGGGGGGGCGGGGGGGGGGGGGCGGACCGCACCGGTTGACACCATTTAGGAGGGTGACACCAAGGCAAAAAATAGCAAAATATATACAGAAAAATGATAATTCCACTTAATTAAGTGATTAATTCGACTGTTAAATAGTCTTTTAAGAGCAAATTTGACAAATCCCGACAAGGGTGGAGGGGTGGGGGTGCAACAAATCGAAAGTTTGAGGGGGGGTACAAATCGAAAATTGAAAGTTTGTCCCCGGGAAGGGTCGCTACGCCTCTGGGGGGGGGGGACACCATTAAGTGCCGCACCGGGTTACACCCGACCTGGCTACGCCACTGCTATTCCTTCATATGCCGAGGTCAAGAAACTTCATCTGACCTATGGGTCGTTAAGTCTAAAAGAGAAATGACTTTGTTGTAATTGTTGTAATATTGTTGTATTGTTTTTTTAAATTGTTGTAATATTGTTTTAAGCGCTGGAGTGTGTCGAGAGTAGCTGTACGGGAAAGCCGGAAGGGAACTACAAGTTCTGCAACAAGGATTTGTGCCTGGATGGTCACTTTGGATCCTGCGTTGATGGGATTCTGTATGAGATGTAAGGCTGTATGTTGCCGTATATGTGGCATGTGTATGCTGCCATGTATGTGTCAGCTGTATGCTGCCGTGTATGTGTAGGGTGTGTGTTGCCGTGTATGTGTAGGGTGTATGTTGCCGTGTATGTGTCAGCTGTATGTTGCCGTGTATGTGGCATGTGTATGTAGCCGTATATGTGGCATGTGTATGCTGCCATGTATGTGTCAGCTGTATGCTGCCGTGTATGTGTAGGCTGTGTGTTGCCGTGTATGTGTAGGCTGTGTGCTGCCGTGTATATGTCAGGTGTATGTTGCCGTGTATGTGTCGGGTGTATGCTGCCGTGTATGTGGCATGTGTATGTAGCCGTGTATGTGGCATGTGTATGTAGCCGTGTATGTGTATGGTGTATGTAGCCGTGTATGTGTAGGGTGTATGTTGCCGTGTATGTGTAGGCTGTGTGCTGCCGTGTATGTGTAGGCTGTATGTTGCCGTGTATGTGTAGGCTTTGTGTTGCCGCGTATATGTAGGCTGTGTGCTGCCGTGTATGTGTAGGCTGTGTGCTGCCGTGTATGTGTAGGCTGTGTGTTGCCGTGTATGTGTAGGCTGTGTGTTGCCGTGTATGTGTAGGCTGTGTGTTGCCGTGTATGTGTAGGCTGTGTGCTGCCGTGTATGTGTAGGCTGTGTGTTGCCGTGTATGTGTAGGCTGTGTGCTGCCGTGTATGTGTAGGCTGTGTGTTGCCGTGTATGTGTAGGCTGTGTGTTGCCGTGTATGTGTAGGCTGTGTGTTGCCGTGTATGTATCGGGTGTATGCTGCCGTGTATGTGTCGGGTGTATGCTGCCGTGTATGTGTCGGGTGTATGTTGCCGTGTATGTGTAGGGTGTATGTTGCCGTGTATGTATCGGGTGTATGTTGCCGTGTATGTGTAGGGTGTATGTTGCCGTGTATGTATCGGGTGTATGCTGCCGTGTATATGTCAGGTGTATGTTGCCGTGTATGTGTAGGGTGTATGTTGCCGTGTATGTGTAGGGTGTATGTTGCCGTGTATGTGTCGGGTGTATGTTGCCGTGTATGTGTCGGGTGTATGTTGCCGTGTATGTGTAGGGTGTATGTTGCCGTGTATGTGTAGGGTGTATGTTGCCGTGTATGTGTAGGGTGTATGTTGCCGTGTATGTGTCAGGTGTATGTTGCCGTGTATGTGTAGGCTGTATGTTGCCGTGTATGTGTCGGGTGTATGTTGCCGTGTATGTGTCAGCAATATGCTGTCGTGTAAGTGTAAGGTGTATGCTAAGTGTCTGTGTCAGCTTATTTTTCCGTGTATATGTCAGGTGTATGCTGCCGTGTATGCGTCTACTGCGAGGCTGAATACTGTATATGTAAACCGTGGCTATATATAGAGAGGCACATAGCTATGGATATGTATGTATATATATGTATATATATGTGTGTGTATATATATATATATATATATATATATATATATATATATATATATATATATATATATATATATATATATATACATATATATATATATATATATATATATATATATTCCTCTTCTCTTAATGGCTAGTGATTGTGCACTTGGATGGGATGTTGACAAGGAGGGGAGCAGATCAACTATGCGGCTGATTTATAACCCAGCAACTGATTCTTGTGAGTACTCACCGGAGGTGTGTGAGCCTACCCACACAGCGGTGAAAATTGGTACGTTTTTTTTTCTAGACCACCCCATAACCAGGGCTGACCCCCACCCCTAGACCACCCCATATCCAGGGCTGACCCCCACCCCCTGGACCTCCCCTACCCAGGGCTGACCCCCACCCCTGGACCTCCCCCTACCCAAGACTGACCCCCCACCCCTGGACCACCCCATACTCAAGGCCGATCTCCACCCCTAAATTAAAGGATGCTTTAATCACTAGGAATTTCTAATACATTACATCGTAACATGTCAATTATTTTATTTAAAGAAAATGGAGTCGCTAGCTTTGGGTAATCAATCTAAAAACGGATAGTTTTGATTTTAATGTTTTATAGAGGTAGAGGTTTTTCGAGACTCCGGTTTAGCAACCATGAGCTTCTACCGACTCGACCACCCCGACCCGCCTTAAGAAAGAAGAAGAACAAATTATCTATGACTGACGGAGGCGATATATTTACTGTCAGTGGCGTAGCGAGGTCGGGTGTCACCCGGTGCGGCACGTAATGGTGTCACCTCCTAGAGGCGTAGCGAGCCTTGTCGGGGCAAATTTTCGATTTGCATCCCCCCTCAAACTTTCGATTTGCAGCCCCCCCCCCCCTCAAATTTGTCTCTATATATTTTGCTATTTTTTGCCTTGGTGTCACCCCCCAAAATGGTGTCACCCGGTGCGATCCGCACCCCCCGCCCTCCCCCCCCCTCGCTACGCCTCTGTTTACTGTTTATTTTTCAGGATGTGTTCAGAACTGCGTTGGTTGGCCTGATGGCGACTATGAGCTGTGTGGCGAGCAATGCAATGGGTTCTACGCCTCCTGCTCTAATCAAAACATGCATCCAATGTAGGTTTACAATTAATTAGTGGACGTTTACAGCTATGCCTCCTGCTCTAATCAAAACATGCATCCAATGTAGGTTTACAATTAATGAGTGGACGTTTACAGCTATGCCTCCTGCTCTAATCAAAACATGCATCCAATGTAGGTTTACAATTAATTAGTGGACGTTTACAGCTATGCCTCCTGCTCTAATCAAAACATGCATCCAATGTAGGTTTACAGTTAATGAGTGGACGTTTACAGCTATGCCTCCTGCTCTAATCAAAACATGCATCCAATGTAGGTTTACAATTAATGAGTGGACGTTTACAGCTATGCCTCCTGCTCTAATCAAAACATGCATCCAATGTAGGTTTACAGTTAATGAGTGGACGTTTACAGCTATGCCTCCTGCTCTAATCAAAACATGCATCCAATGTAGGTTTACAATTAACTAGGCATGCTGCCCAGCTTCGCTTAGGCTTTCGAAAACATTGAGAATTTGAATGCTTAATTAATTCGCCCATATAAGGCGCCGGTCAGTCGAGGTCAGTTTTGACCCCCTCATCGTAGACTTTTCGGCCAACCGGCCCCCGTGTTCTGTCGCCACAAGGCAAGATCCTGCCAAATTTGAAGCGCCTGCGGCGCCGGGAAGTGCCCTATCGGGCACCCGACAACTCAGCTTTATAGATCATCTAGATCTAGATCTAGAATCTCTAGATCTATATGATCTAGAATCTCTAGATCTAGATGATATAGAATATCTAGATCTAGATCAATATCTAGATCTAGAATCTCTAGATCTAGATATTGATCTAGATCTAGAACATCTAGATCTAGATCAATATCTAGATCTAGAATCTCTAGATCTAGAATACAAATAGATAAAATAATGTTTTTAAGCTTAGGCCGAGAAAATCGTATTGTATACATTTCATAGCGTACATAGCTCTAAATCATATTTGAATGAAATAGTTCATCTATCTATATACTACTAAAAGTCAACTTTGTTTACATGTTTGAATATTTATTTGTTTGCCTGATCGAAAATTGTGATATGTTCGACTCTATCTGGAAAGCTGTAAAATGGTATGCAGGTAGAGAATAATTTTTTAATGCAGACAGACTGTTGATCACAAATTTATTTAAAGACGTTAATTAATTTATTGATTTATTCCTACGCAGAATAACCCATTTTTTTTTAAAATGTTAAAACCTTGACTAAACTTTGTGGGAATAGTGACGTCACAGGTTTTTGTTTACTCTTTAGTACAATAAAATGGCGGCGTCTATTGAAGAAAATTGTGTTCCCATTCAAAAGTTTAACGCGTTCTAAATCTAATTTTCTGTCGGTCATAACTTTAACAATACGTCCGTTTGCTGTATTTATTACGTTCCAACACTTATATCAATTTTCAACTGTCTTTTTCATTTAGTTTTACGATAAATTTCTCTAGATCTAAAGATCAGCTATCGAAGGAAATTTATGAATCTAGCCTAGATCTAGATCTAGCCTAGATGTAGGTCACTAGATTCAATGTAAATTCTACATCTAGAATCTATTTCAGGCCTTAATTATTTTATATAAATCTTTGTTTGGCTTATTTAAGATAAAATTTAATTTGAAAGTTAGTACTACTAGACTTATTTTTAGATCTAGATCTAGAATCTATACGCGTAAATCAAGTTGCATAAGGAGACACATAGTATAGTATAAAAATTCACTTGTGACGTCACGAGTAAATAGCTAAAATGGTAGCGTAGTCAGCTCTCATGCAGGAGGCACGGGTTCTAGACCAATATGTCAATGAAATTTTTTTTTTCAATTTTTTTTTTTAGATGTGAATGATAACGTTGCCTATCTGAACTTGGCAAGATACAGGGCAGGTGAAGTAGAGTTCATCTGTTTCTTTGTCCTAAGCATATGAAAGGATAGTGTGGTCAGATACATGCTCGGCTGGAATTGTTTTTTAAACGATAAAAACATGTTGTCTGAGACTTGGCAGGACACTGGGCAGGTGAAGTAGAGTTGAGTAGGTCACCTGTGACGTCAGTTTATGAAGGGATAGTCCGAAATCGGTGTTTTCGGTGTTTTTAAAAGATAAAAAACATATATTTGAATGTGGGGTCTGTTTTTTGTGACGATAAGTGACACTGCAGTAGCGTACCGAGGAGGGGGGGGGACGGTAGGGGAGGGGAGGCGGGGGGTGGGGAGGGGAGGCGGGGGGTGGGGAGGGGAGGCGGGGGGGGGGAAGGGGGAGGTGGAGGGGGGAAGGGGGGAAGGGGGGGGGGGACATATGTTGGGGCGCCAAAATGGTTTGGAAAAATAAATTGATAGGTTGAGGGGGGTTCAAATCGAAAGTTTGAGTGGGGGGGGGTGCACATCAAAAGTTTGAGGGGGGGGGGGGGTTCAAATCGAAAACTTTGTCCCCGGGCGCCGGGAAGGATCGCTATGCCTCTGAGTGACAGACGTGATGTTTTTTGATGGATGACCCCCGAAACCCACAGTTATCCAACGGATGACGGGTATTCTAGTATACTACTAAAACTCAACTTTGTTTACATGTTTGAATATTTATTTGTTTGCCTGATCGAAAATTGTGATATGTTCGACTCTATCTGGAAAGCTGTAAAATAGTATGCAGGTAGAGAATAATTTTTTAATGCAGACAGACTGTTGATCACAAATTTATTTAAAGACGTTAATTAATTAATTGATTTATTCATACGCTGAGGAACCCATTTTTTTAAAAAAGATTTGAAAAGCCACTAGACTCGACGGAAACAGTGACGTCACATGATGTGTTTATTTTTTTACATCGATAATGGCGGCCTATCGAAGAAGATTGTGTTCCCATTCCAATGTTTAACGCGTTCTAAAGCTAATTTTCTGTCGGCTTTAACTTTAACAATACGTCCGTTTGCTGTATTTATTACGTTCCAACACTTATATCAATTTTAAACTGTCTTTTTCATTTAGTTTTACGATAAATTTCTCTAGATCTACAATCTGTCCAAGAAAGTTATTTATTTATTTATAGATTTAGATCTAGAAAATCTAGGTCAAATCAAATATTTATTGATAATAAATACAATCCAAAAAAAAAAGAGACTTAAGCAAACCAGTCGTAGATCTAGAATATAGATAATTCTATCTAGATTTAGATAATAATGAGTTTCTATATACTAAACTATTTTAGACCTTTATTATTTTATATAAATCTTTTTTTGTATAGCTATGAAATATGCTAATTAGGAAATGCTGGATGCGGGGCCTATTTCCATAACTTAAGATTCATACGCGGCTTCTATACCGCTAAGTGTGCAAAATTATAGACGTAAACTCTAGATATAGCTCAGTCGTAGATCTAAAATATAGATAATTTTCTATCTAGATTTAGATAATAATGATTTTCTATATACTAAACTATTTTAGACCTTTATTATTTTATATAAATCTTTGTTTGGAATATGGTAATTTTGAAATGCTCGCTCCGGGCCTATAAGCGTAGCTAATGATTAGATCTAGATTCTAGGTCTAGCAAGAAAAACTAAACATAAGAAGACTTAAGCAAAAGAGTCGTAGAATCTAGACTAGATCTAGATAATTCTATCTAGATCTTGATAATTTCAGACCTTCTTTATTTTATATAAATCTTTGTTTGGCTAATTTAAGATAAAATTTAATTTGAAAGTTACTACCACTAGAGTTAGATGTAGATCTATGCGCGTAAGGAGACTCAAAGTATAGTATAAAACTTCACTTGTAATGTCACGAGTAAATAGCTAACTTGGTAGTGAGGTCGGCTCTCATGTGGGTGGCACAGGTTCTAGACCAATTCATCAATGATTTTTTTTCTTCAATTTTTTTTTTTAGATGTGAATAATAAAGTTGCCTATCTGAACTTGGCAGGATACAGGGCTGGTGAAGTAGAGTTTGTCTGTTTCTTTGTCCTAAGCATATGAAAGGATAGTGTGGTCAGAGACATGCTCGGCTGGAATCGTTTTTTAAACGATAAAAACATGTTGTCTGAGACTTGGCGGGACACTGGGCAGGTGAAGTAGAGTTGCGTAGGTCACCTATGAAGTCAGTATATGAAGGGATAGTCCGAAATCGGTGTTTTCGGTGTTTTTAAAAGATAAAATTTTAATAAAAAACAAATTTTTGACATATGTTGGGGCGCCAAAATGGTTTGGAAAAATAAATTGAAAGGTTGAGGGGGGGTTCAAATCGAAAGTTTGAGTGGGGGGGGGGGGTGCACATCAAAAGTTTGAGGGGGGGGGTTGAAAATTGAAATCTTGGGAGGGGGGGGTTAAAATCGAAAAGTTTGTCCCCGGGCGCCAGGAAGGGTCGCTATGCCTCTGAGTGACAGACGTGATGTTTTTTGATGGATGACCCCCGAAACCCACAGTTATCCAACGGATGACGGGTATTCTAGTTTCTTTTAATTCTAAACTCGGAAGATGACGTCATCAGTTTCGTGCTCTTTTTTTAGTGTAAACAATAAGCGACGTCATTGTTAAATGCTTTCTTGTCCCAAGTTTAAACACTTTTCCGGTTGCATAAATAATACTGTTTCTCTACATTCGAATACGCCTTTATTTTTTATTTTTCTTCTTTAAATAAAATTGTGGTTATACATTTAAAACAGCTAACATATTATTGTCAACAAAAGTCCGTATAAAGGTATCCATATATCGCTGCCGATTCTGACGTGATGTCCGGCAAAAATATTTTGCGGACAGAGAGAGAGAGAGAAGAGCGCACATGGCCTTTTATATATTAGGATAAGTGGACGTTTACAGCTATGCCTCCTGCTCTAATCAAAACATGCATCCAATGTAGGTTTACAATTAATTAGTGGACGTTTACAGCCTCTCTACCTCCCTCCCCTACATGCACATAGTAGCGTCACATGACTTGTTAATGAGGGGGGGCGGTCCTCACTGGCAAACAACACTTAGGGGGATGGGGTGACACCAAGCAGAAAAATCGCAATATTTACAAACAAAACTACGACTTTTCCAATAACAAAAGAGAAAGAAATTAAGATGTGAGCACTGACACCAAACCGAAAATGCGAAATTGTTAAAGCTGGTGGATGGGGTGGGGGAGTTGTTATCCCAGGACACACTTTTTTACATTGAGGAATCTCAAAGCTTTCATATAGGTTGCAGTATCTAAATTTATTTTATTGTTATATTTGACTGTGAGTTTTGAGAAGAGATTCCTGCCTCCTGTTACTTGAGCATGTAGAGCATTATATGGTGTACAAACTGCCCCTTCCCAACCTAAAACTACAAGTAGAGATTGTAATTAGAGGAGATCTCACAAGCTTTGAATATTATAATATTATTATTCCTCTAGATTTTTTTTTCCACGTTTATATATGTAGTTTGGTTTACCTACATTTTGTGGGACGGCGTGGTTAAATGGTAGAGCGTTTGGCTGCAAGCCCGAAGGTATCGAGTTCGGATCTTGGTTCGGACTTGTGATTGTAAGACATCCCTGAGTCCATCCAGCATTAATGGGTACATGATTTACGTTGGGGTAAAGTCAATGCGACTTGGGCATAGTGCTGACCATACCATTCCTTTTCATGCAGTGTTTCTTCCAGACTTTTTTTCGCCAGGGGGGTGGCGGGGCACTTGAAATTTTCGGGGGCGGGGGTAGACTCCCCCCCCCCCCCCGAAGAGATGCCTGGAAGAAACTCTGTTTTCATGCCGAGGTCAAGAAACATATTATGATCTCATTACTCATCTGCCCAATAGATTGCTAGGTCTAAGGAGGATCCTTACTTATCATAACATCCCCATTCTCCATACTTAAAATGAAATGAATGTCGTTCGTGCAGATGAGGCAGATGAAGTAGAGTTAATCTGTTTCAAAAACCTCGGCATATGAAGCGATAGTGTGGTCAGCACTATGCTCCGCCGCTTTCGATTTCCCTAACGTGGGTTAGATACTCATCACACCTATGTGGACATCTATGTGGACATTCTACTGACTTGAACCCGGATTTCGAACTCGAAATTTTCGGGTTAGCAGCCTAGCTTTTTACCGCTAGGCCACACCGTCCCATAAACAACTCCCTACGATAAAATGTACCGTATTCATAACACCGCCTCTCTTCAAACCACGCCCAACCACATGACAACAACCAATCACCTAATGACATTTCTCTTAGGGCGTGCCCAGAAGGATACGTGGAGCTTGAGAACGGTGAGACTAACCTGACTAGGTTGAACTTCAACAAGCTGACCAAAACTTGTGAAGATATTAAAGTCGAATGTCATGGTGATTCGTACAATACTCTTTGGTCGACAAATGCTGGTATGTGCTCAAGATTTGTACGTACACGTACACGTACACGTACACGTACACGTACACGTACACGTACACGTACACGTACACGTACACGTACACGTACACGTACACGTACACGTACACGTACACGTACACGTACACGCACACGTACATGTACACGCACACGTACACGCACACGCACACGCACACGTACACGTACACGTACACGTACACGTTAACGTACACACGTACACATACACGTACACGCACACATACACGAACACGAACACATACACGCACACGAACACGAACACGTACACTAGTTCCTAGCTAGCCTTCTGAGTGCTCAGCAAATTACATAGTAAAAAAACACATTGTAAATTTATGTCGCGCAGTAATTCGCTTAACACTAATAGTAATATGTCATTGAAACGTCAAGTGTGGGTTTTCAACTTGTATCAAAACTTCTTGCTGATGGGTAACTGATTAGAATTCTCATGGTTAAATTAAGAACGAAAATATCTGCTTCGTTGGCATTGTTTATGGTTTTTTGTTTGTTTTTTTACGTATAAATACAAAATAATCTTCGTCCTTAAGATATGATTAAGACAATGTTACTGTAATTTCGAAAATTATTTGATAAACGTAACATACTAAATACATTTTAAACAACAAGTCATTATTATTTATTTTTTATGGGACGGCGTGGTTTATTGCTAGCAGTGGCGTAGCGAGGTCGGGTGTCACCCGGTGCGGCACTTAATGGTGTCACCCCCCCCCCCCCCAGAGGCTTAGCGACTTTTCCGTGGACAAACTTTCAAATTTTTTATTTGCACCCCACCCCCGCAAACTTCCGATTTGCATCCCTCCTCAAACTTTCGATTTGCACCCCCCCCCCTCAAGTTTTTCTCTATATATTTTGCTATTTTTTGCCTTGGTGTCACCCCCTTAAATGGTGTCACTCGGTGCGGTCCGCACCCCCCCCCTCTCTACGCCTCTGATTGCTAGAACCCGAATGTCTTGAGTTCGAATCCAGGAACAAGTCCGTAGAACGTCCCCTGATTCCACCCAGCTCCGATGGGTACCTGACTCACGTTAGGGAGAGTAAAGTATAGTGCTGACCGTACAGTCCCTTCATGCCCGCAGGTCACCAAAAATTCACTTGCCCGACAGATTCGAGAGGAAAACTTTGCCATCTTCAACTTTTCCCATTCGTGCCCAAAACCACATAGGGCAGATATAGGAGTTCATCTGTTTCAAAGATCTCGTTACGCAAGGGGACAATATGGTCAGCACTATGCTTCCCCCAAAGACAGTCAAGTATCTATCAGAGCCAGTGCCGGCGCCAGGTTATTTAGCGCCCTAGGCAAAACTTATTAAAAGCCCCCCCCCCGCAATTTTTTTTCGTGCCCCCGTATTATCAGAGGCGTAGCGACCCTTCCCGGCACCTGGGACAAACTTTCTTCTTCTTCTTCTTCGTTCTTAATTTTTGAATATGGTGGAGGATTCAGACAACAAGGCCAACTTCGTGGACAAACCGGACTGTGGTTTCCAGTTTGTCAGGTGTCCCATATAATTTTTCCCTGAGTGGGGTGGGCTGGGGCCAGTGTCTGACTCTTGCCTGGCTATACCCCCTCAAGCTTTCAATTTGTTTATCCAACCCATTTTGGCGCACCCCCCCCCCCTACGGACAGCGCTCTAGGCTACCGCCTAGCTCGCCTTATAGGTAGCGCCGGCCCTGATCAGAGCTGAATTGACCCACGGACGTTCTACGGATTCGTCCTGAATCCCAACTCGTAAGCTCTACCTTTAGCGTAGCGAGGGGGGGGGGCATATGTCCCCGGGCGCCGACCTTAGGGGGCGCCAAAATGGGTTGGAAAAATAAATTGAAAGGTCGAGGGGGTGCAAATCGAAAGTTTGAGGGGGGTGCAAATCGAAATCTTGAGGGGGGGGGGTGCAAATCGAAAGTTTGAGTGGGGGTGCAAATCAAAATCTTGAAGGGGGTTGTGCAAATCGAAAGTTTGAGGGGGGTGCAAATCGAAATCTTGAAGGGGGTTGTGCAAATCGAAAGTTTGAGGGGGGTGCAAATCGAAATCTTGAAGGGGGTGGTGCAAATCGAAAGTTTGAGGGGGGGTGCAAATCGAAATCTTGAAGGGGGTGGTGCAAATCGAAAGTTTGAGGGGGGGTGCAAATCGAAATCTTGAAGGGGGTGGTGCAAATCGAAAGTTTGAGGAGGGGGGGATGCAAATCGAAATCTTGAGGGGGGGGGGGGGGTGCAAATCGAAAGTTTGAGGGGGGGTGCAAATCAAAATCTTGAGGGGGGGTGCAAATCGAAAAGTTTGTCCCCGGGCGCCGGGAAGGGTCGCTACGCCGTCATTTGAAAAAATACCTACGTATAATTATAAACACTTTTACCTTTGTCTTATTTCAGGAAACAGACTAAGTCCGCCTTGGATCCTTGTTCGCTTGCTGATAAAAACAGCAACAGCGCTCCTCTACTTCTTTGCTTTATAAAAATGTACCTGGTTCAAATCGAAGTCTGACATCCCATGTGGAGATGAGAATCTGATTGTTTTTAATGTTGAAAAATGATATGAAATGCTTACACTGTTTTTGTTCAGTGGTGTTTTTTTTTTTTTTACTTTTGCTAAATGCGAGGATCAGAGACATGTTGTTTGCGTATATTGTAGTTACCTACTAAAGATCCTTAAGTATATATAAGGCACATGTTTGCCATTAAATAAAGTAATCTTTAAAGCCATCCAACTGGCCTTTTAAAAATGATAGATAGTGTCTAAGGCTGTTGCTTTAGAGTAAAAAAAAATTCTCTAATTTAATTTGTTATATGATAATTTAAACCAGGAATACATGTATCAAAAGTCCATTTGCTTATATTATGAATATACCTCCTAAGCGTACATTCATATATACTACCTCAATTCGAATTTACATTTTGTAATTCGTCATCATTAAGTTTTTTTTTTCAAACCTTATGGCTAATTAATGCCTCGTGTAAATGAATAAAATATTTTGAACTTTAAACTTGTAATATTAAACAATGAGTTTATTTAAGTTTGTTGTTGTTGTTTTTTAAATGTCAAAGTACGACCTATACTCTACAGTAGCCTCGTATACAACATCATTGTTGTTTAGAGATTAAAAATTGATTTTTTTAATACCTCAGGGATATTGTAGTTTGAATGTTGTTGTGTTTTTTTAAATCTTCCCCTCCACTTTGAGAGCTCAGAAAAGTTGTAGTTGGTGGCCCATACTCCAGCAGAACAGAGAACTCTGGAGAGCTGTAGTTGGTGGCCCATACTCCAGCAGGACAGAGAACTGGAGAGCTGTAGTTGGTGGCCCATACTCCAGCAGGACAGATGTTACGTTCTGGGTTCATTTCAAATCAATAACAACGCTTCGTGTTTAACTTCACTACTTTTATTCGTCTCAATGCATTCAAGCGTACCAGAACAGCCCTCGTCCTAACCGCTACTAACCCGCTGACTGCCCCCCACAATCGTTCACTCCCCCTTTTATACCCGCATTCGACCTTGGGATTACAAGACATAAACACACAAGGGTAACTACACAGTAAGGTGAACTCCACTCACACAGGCACTCTCCCCTAGTTCTAGACTATTCTAACCTATTCTAAACTAACCTACAACTGGCCCGTAACACTACCCCCCACCTAAGTATTTGTAGTAATAACTACAAATACTGACTAACAAATCCTAGCTAAATAAAAAACACAAAGCCTTTCATACACATACACTAGTAGACAAGTTAAAAATATACATTCCGAAGAAAGTATATGACAGATTGTATATACAATGAAATACATAATGACAACATACAGAACTGCTACAATTTCGAGCTAGCACAAATCATCCGTGTAACTAACAAACAAAGAAAAAAAAATCATACACACCCAGTTGCATTGTACCGAATCTAAGAACTTTCCCGACCAAAATTTTTTTGAGTCTACCCTGTGCGCTCTCTGGCTGCACTGGTTTATGACTCCTACCCATATCTCAACCATTCTACATCACACAAAAAATTTGAGTCAACCTGCGCTCTATGGCTACACTGGTTTACGACTCCTACCCATATCTCAACCATTCTACATCACAAAAACAATTTGAGTCAACCTGCGCTCTATGGCTACACTGGTTTACGACTCCTACTCATATCTCAAACATTCTACATCACAAAAATTTGAGTCTACCCTGTGCGCTCTATGGCTACACTGGTTTACGACTCCTACTCATATCTCAAACATTCTACATCACAAAAATTTGAGTCTACCCTGTGCGCTCTATGGCTACACTGGTTTACGACTCCTACCCATATCTCAACCATTCTACATCACAAAAACAATTTGAGTCAACCTGCGCTCTATGGCTACACTGGTTTACGACTCCTACTCATATCTCAAACATTCTACATCACAAAAATTTGAGTCTACCCTGTGCGCTCTATGGCTACACTGGTTTACGACTCCTACTCATATCTCAAACATTCTACATCACAAAAATTTGAGTCTACCCTGTGCGCTCTATGGCTACACTGGTTTACGACTCCTACTCATATCTCAACCATTCTACATCACAAAACTTTGCAACTCACAGTCGATGTTGTTACATACTCTGTCAAACAGCTATAGCGTCGGGCTAACGGCATTCCCACAGCATCCATCAAACGTCAGGACAGCATCCAACAAACGTCAGGACAGCAACCGGCAAACGTCAGGACAGCAACCGGCAAACGTCAGGACAGCAACCGGCAAACGTCAGGACAGCAACCGGCAAACGTCAGGACAGCAACCGGCAAACGTCAGGACAGCAACCGGCAAACATCAGGACAGCAACCGGCAAACATCAGGACAGCAACCGGCAAACATCAGGACAGCAACCGGCAAACATCAGGACAGCAACCGGCAAACATCAGGACAGCAACCGGCAAGCATCAGGACAGCAACCGGCAAGCATCAGGACAGCAACCGGCAAGCATCAGGACAGCAACCGGCAAGCATCAGGACAGCAACCGGCAAGCATCAGGACAGCAACCGGCAAGCATCAGGACAGCAACCGGCAAACGTCAGGACAGCAACCGGCAAACATCAGGACAGCAACCGGCAAACATCAGGACAGCAACCGGCAAACATCAGGACAGCAACCGTCAAACATCAGGACAGCAACCGGCAAACATCAGGACAGCAACCGGCAAACATCAGGACAGCAACCGGCAAACATCAGGACAGCAACCTGCAAACATCAGGACAGCATCAGGCAAACGACAGGACAGCATCAGGCAAACGACAGGACAGCATCAGGCAAACATCAGGACAGCATCAGGCAAACGACAGGACAGCATCAAGTTTATGCTTCTACTTGATTTATACTGGCCACCAGTTGTTTCGTTCTGGGTTCATTTCAAATCAATAACAACGCTTCGTGTTTAACTTCACTACTTTTATTCGTCTCAATGCATTCAAGCGTACCAGAACAGCCCTCGTCCTAACCGCTACTAACCCGCTGACTGCCCCCCACAATCGTTCACTCCCCCTTTTATACCCGCATTCGACCTTGGGATTACAAGACATAAACACACAAGTGTAACTACACAGTAAGGTGAACTCCACTCACACAGGCACTCTCCCCTAGTTCTAGACTATTCTAACCTATTCTAAACTAACCTACAACTGGCCCGTAACAACAGAGAACTGGAGAGCTGTAGTTGGTGGCCCATACTCCAGCAGGACAGAGAACTCAGGAGAGCTGTAGTTGGTGGCCCATACTCCAGCAGGACAGAGAACTCAGGAGAGCTGTAGTTGGTGGCCCATACTCCAGCAGGACAGAGAACTCTGGAGAGCTGTAGTTGGTGGCCCATACTCCAGCAGGACAGAGAACTCTGGAGAGCTGTAGTTGGTGGCCCATACTCCAGTAGGACAGAGAACTCTGGAGAGCTGTAGTTGGTGGCCCATACTCCAGCAGGACAGAGAACTGGAGAGCTGTAGTTGGTGGCCCATACTCCAGCAGGACAGAGAACTCTGGAGAGCTGTAGTTGGTGGCCCATACTCCAGCAGGACAGAGAACTCTGGAGAGCTGTAGTTGGTGGCCCATACTCCAGCAGGACAGAGAACTCTTGAGAGCTGTAGTTGGTGGCCAATACTCCAGCAGGACAGAGAACTGGAGAGCTGTAGTTGGTGGCCCATACTCCAGCAGGACAGAGAACTGGAGAGCTGTAGTTGGTGGCCCATACTCCAGCAGGACAGAGAACTGGAGAGCTGTAGTTGGTGGCCCATACTCCAGCAGGACAGAGAACTGGAGAGCTGTAGTTGGTGGCCCATACTCCAGCAGGACAGAGAACTGGAGAGCTGTAGTTGGTGGCCCATACTCCAGCAGGACAGACAACTGGAGAGCTGTAGTTGGTGGCCCATACTCCAGCAGGACAGAGAACTAGAAAGCTGTAGTAGGTGGCCCATACTACAGCAGGACAGAGGACTCTGGAGAGCTGTAGTTGGTGGCCCATACTCCAGCAGGACAGAGAACTCTGGAGAGCTGTAGTTGGTGGCCCATACCCCAGCAGAACAGAGAACTCTGGAGAGCTGTAGTTGGTGGCCCATACTCCAGCAGGACAGAGAACTCTGGAGAGCTGTAGTAGGTGGCCCATACTCCAGCAGGACAGAGAACTCTGGAGAGCTGTAGTAGGTGGCCCATACTCCAGCAGGACAGAGAACTCTGGAGAGCTGTAGTTGGTGGCCCATACTCCAGAAGGACAGAGAACTCTGGAGAGCTGTAGTTGGTGGCCCATACTCCAGCAGGACAGATAACTTTATAGAGCTGTAGTTGGTGGCCCATACTCCAGTAGGACAGAGAACTCTGGAGAGCTGTAGTTGGTGGCCCATACCCCAGCAGGACAGAGAACTCTGGAGAGCTGTAGTTGGTGGCCCATACTCCAGCAGGACAGAGAACTCTGGAGAGCTGTAGTTGGTGGCCCATACCCCAGCAGAACAGAGAACTCTGGAGAGCTGTAGTTGGTGGCCCATACTCCAGCAGGACAGAGAACTCTGGAGAGCTGTAGTAAGTGGCCCATACTCCAGCAGGACAGAGAACTCTGGAGAGCTGTAGTTGGTGGCCCATACTCCAGTAGGACAGAGAACTCTGGAGAGCCGTAGTTGGTGGCCCATACTCCAGCAGGACAGATAACTTTATAGAGCTGTAGTTGGTGGCCCATACTCCAGTAGGACAGAGAACTCTGGAGAGCTGTAGTTGGTGGCCCATACCCCAGCAGGACAGAGAACTCTGGAGAGCTGTAGTTGTTGGCCCATACTCCAGCAGGACAGAGAACTCTAGAGAGCTGTAGTTGGGGGCCCATACTCCAGCAGGACAGAGAACTAGAAAGCTGTAGTTGGTGGCCCATACTCCAGCAGGACAGAGAACTCTGGAGAGCTGTAGTTGGCGGCCCATACTCCAGCAGGACAGAGAACTGGAGAGCTGTAGTTGGTGGCCCATACTCCAGCAGGACAGAGATCTCTGGAGAGCTGTAGTTGGTGGCCCATACTCCAGCAGGACAGAGATCTCTGGAGAGCTGTAGTTGGCGGCCCATACTCCAGCAGGACAGAGATCTCTGGAGAGCTGTAGTTGGTGGCCCATACTCCAGCAGGACAGAGAACTCTGGAGAGCTGTAGTTGGTGGCCCATACTCTAGCAGGACAGAGAACTCTGGAGAGCTGTAGTTGGTGGCCCATACTCCAGCAGGACAGAGAACTCTGGAGAGCTGTAGTTGGGGGCCCATACTCCAGCAGGACACAGATAATTTAAATACAAATAATTCAGAGTTTATAGAAACAATTGTTGCTTTATGTTACTCCCAAAAGTTGTTTCTGCTAAAATAATGATGAACTATTTCGTTTGTATAAAAATGGATGCTTCGCATTTTGTAAAAAAAAATGTATGTGAGTTGCAATATGTTATAGAGAAGCGGTGGCTTACTTTGGCTTTCTTTTGCTTAATTAAATAAGGAGAGTTGCCCAATAAACAGTACGATGGTCAAGTGTATCTGCCGCCATTATCTGGTCAGGGGCTTTAAAGTAACACGTCAACGGCAATATACTATATATGATAGTAGTACAATAATTATATTTTAAGATAAAACAAAACTGTTGAAAGCTAAATCAAAATTAAAATAAAACAGTTTTTTTTAAACTTTGAAACTTCTTAATTAAAATTTATTTATTTTTTGCATTGTCGACGTAGAATTGTACTATTTCCCAAATGTTGTTTAAGCTTTGTCATCATTGTCATTATCTATCTCCAAGAAACCGTATCCGTCGTCCTCATCGGTAGGAACCAAATTGTCTTTATCCTCTATACATTTTAAGTAACTGTGCATGTGTTGAACTACGCTCCACCAACCAAACGCATCCCCAACCGTGCCGATACACTTAGCAGCGGTGTTGGCCGATTTTTTGGCGTGTGTCAACACACTGCGCCATAAATCCTCCCTCGACCTCTCGACTACCGGGCTCTCTTCATCATATGTGTCCTCCCACCCATACAAGGGAGGGGTCGCCACTATCCACTCATCCTGCGAGAGACTCATCTCATCCAGTCGATTGCATGAGCAGTCGATCTCTCGCTCGCTGTTTTCTTCCGGTATCGCTCTATCCCGCGAGAGACGAGATCTCAACTTATTGAAGTTTGTTTTGAATAAAATATTAGGATTACTACTTGCAACAGCTTGCTCTGACGCTTCAGCGTACGTCGTTTCTTGAAATTTTAATATCCCGCGTTGTTGGATGGATTCGGAGGAGTCGGTGTCGCTCAACTCCTTACTGCTTAGAACCGAGTCTTTGAGGGATTTCATTTGACTGAACTGGAATTTATTAGGGCTTGTTTTTATAACTGGCATGTGGGAGCCTTCTGCGGAAGTTGTCTCGTTAAATTTGACTGTCCCTTGTGTTTTAACCGACCCGGATAACGAGTCTTGATCGCTATCGCTTAGTTCTTTGCTAATCAAGGTCACGTTTTTCAGAGAGTTTAGTTCGTGGAAGCCTGGTTTATATGACATGGAAGGTGCAGATGATTCTAAAGGAGATGCTCCGTTGAAATCCAATCTCTCGTTTGTTTTATCCGAATCGGACAACGAACTAAGATCGCTGTCGCTTGCATCTTTGCTGATTAAGGTCAAGTCTTTCAAAGTATCAATACGCACCGATTCTTCTTCTTCCTCGGGAATATTACTTACATGTCTTGATAGAAATCTGCGTGTATCTGTTTCAAACTTTTCAATTTCACTCACGTCTATATACAAATCATTGGCGGTTAAGAACGGGTGTTTGGTCTCTGTTGTACCTTTTAGCCAGTCTGTATACGAAGCAGAAAGGCAGCAGGCGCGTAAGGGTTTAATGTACTTGTCGAAAAATTCAATGTCTTCCGGTTTGAGCATAACGCGAACTCTGGACGCGAATTTTTTGGGTCTGTTTTCCTGTTCGGTTAATCCCCAGCTTGATGTCATGGCGTCGGTGATGGATTCTTGAGACTTGGGCGCGTTGACTGGGTGGATGAAAATCTCGTCGAAACTCGTCGACACCGAAGTCTCTGCTAGGGGAGGCTGGGCGCAAAGTTGTTTGACGTAATCCGAAGACACGCGAAAGCTTTGCGTGTCCTGCTTAACGCTGTCGGTACGATCTTCTGCGAGGAAGGTTCGTTCCTGTTTAACGCTGTCGGTGCGTTCTTCTGGGATGAGGGTTCGGGACATTGACAGGACACTCCCGTCTGAATCCTGGAGGCTGGGGTCGGAGTTTTCCGCCTGGACGGTGAAATCTTGAGAACCCTCGGGCGTAGCGTCTTCCTGTGATGAACTGGGGGAGGGGCTGATACGCGGTGGTGAGTCGTTAACTAGAGCAAGACAATCAGTCGACTTTTGGGGCGAACTCTTAGACTCTTTTAAAAATGCATTGAACTCTGATGATTGTTTTTTAGACTCCGTAATAGATTCTTTGAGTTCTAGGGGTGGTTTTTTAGACTTTGTAATGGATCCTTTGAGCTCTAGGGGTGGTTTCTTAGATTCCGTAATGGATTCTTTAAGCTCTAGGTGTGGTTTCTTAGACTCCGTAATGGATTCTTTAAGCTCTAGGTGTGGTTTCTTAGACTCCGTAATGGATTCTTTAAGCTCTAGGTGTGGTTTCTTAGACCTAGTAATGGGTTCCTTGAGCTCTAGGGGTGGTTTCTTAAACTCAAGTGATTTCTCGGGCTCCGAGGGTGATGACACCTCCCCCTCCTCCAAGACGGGAGACAAACACGAGGTAGTATATGTCTTGCGGCTGTTACACGCGTCCACCAGCTTAGTGGAGCGATCCACTTCCGGCCCAAGGCTAGTGGATTGACCACTGTCGTCTGAATCACTGTGAAGAACGGTGTACGAGTACTGGATCCTTAATTTTTCTTTAGTCGACGCTTTCTTTAACGCCATCGATTTGTGCCTCATCAATCGGCCGCGCTCGGGGGATACTTTTTTCTCACTCCCTGAGAAATGCGTCTTCCGTTTGTTATTGTTTGAACCAGCGCTGAACTTTCTGCTCTCCTGCGAGTGAAAAGCCGCCCTTGTATGTACTTCGAGGTTCACCAAACGCGTGTAGGGTACCGCTGAATGCTCCGTGCCACTCATTTTTGGTTTGGAACTTTAACTTCAAATAAGAACTTGTTTTTTAAATTTGTCTTTTAGAAGATACCTGTTTCAAAGCAGATTTTCTGCTTTTATTGATTACATACAAAATTAGTATGTATGTATTAAAAAATATACGCCTAATGCTTCGACTCTATGCTTGTATTTTAACTTACTGTATATCTTTTCATACAGATTAGGATATAATATTAATTTTTGGGGTGTTTGTTGCAAACGAAAAACCCCTGAAACTCCTTTTGCAGCTGAGTCTTCAGACAGCTAGCGAAGATGATGGCCACATACCACAAGCAGGCGAAGAATATGATGTATCCCAGAATTTCCGTAAACGATAAACCCGCGGTGACTCTCCGAACAAAGCAAGGTCGCTCTACCGCAGCTGGTGGAAGATTCACAGCGCTACTGAACGCATCCGGTCCTATCCCGTCGTCTCCGTCGTTCAAGTTCGGACTGGACCTCAATTTTTGGCTTGAGCTGGAGTTCAATTTTTGGCTCGACTTTGTGACCGATTTCTGGCTCGCTTTCAGATTAAGTTGCGTGTTTGATTTTTCATTCACGGCGTCGTGGTAGCTCACGCTTCTTTCTTGACGGGGACGAGGGCGCTCTTCTTTCGCGCCAGTGTAGGCGCTCTCTCTTGGCTTATTGTACCCTGTCGAGCTAGCGGCCGGTGTTCGGGGTCTGCCGTAGAGGCTCTCAGCGTAATCCTTCAGTGAAGGTTTCTCACCCAAGATGCCTTCTTCGTCTGGCTGCTTCGGGGGCTGTTTCGGACTCATTTCTTGTTAAGCGTCCTGAAATAACATTCATACAGCTGTTACGTGGTTTTAAAAAAAAAAAATGTATACTAGTCACACCCTCCGCACCATCCTATGTGCCTGGAGTACAAAAATTTTATTTTGGTTAAAGTAAACAAAATATTTTCTTTGCGACATCGACCGGTGTTTCTTTTGTGCTCTTTCATGGTTTAGCAATAGTGTTAGCTTTGTATTGTTCTTAAAGAATCAGCTGTAGGACTGTAGGGATCGGCGTAGTCGGGTCGGTAAAGCTCATGGTTGCTTTTAAAGCCGAAAAGTCCCGAGTTCGAACCCCCGGTAGCTGGGGACTGTAAAGCTACACAATCTTTGAAAATTTGCTCCCGAGGGGGGCACCAAATTGAAAGTTTGTCCCCTGGCGCCGGGAAGGGTCGCTACGCCTCTGGCATAACCATAGACTTCCGAAAATAGGTGTTAGATTGTTATTGGTATTGTTATCTCTAAGCAGTGGCGTCGGGTGTCACCCGGTGCGGCACTCAATGGTGTCACCCCCCCCCCCAGAGGCGCAGCGACAAATTTTCGATTTGCACCACCCCCCCCCTCCCTCAAAAGTTTTCTCTATTTATTTTGCTATTTTTTGCCTTGGTGTCACCCCCCTAAATGGTGTCACCCGGTGCGGTCCGCACCCCCCGCCCCCCCCCCTCGCTAGGTCTCTGTCTCTAAGTTTAGTTTTAGGGTTAGAAATTAGGGTAAGGGCTTAGCCTTTAGGTTAGGGATAGGGTTAACATGGACATTAGTAAGTCTTATGTGTATTGAGTTACCGACCAGTAACACGTCACCAGAGGCGTAGCGACCCTTCCCGGCGCCCGGGGACATACTTTCAATTTGGCGCCCCCCTCGGGAGCAAATTTTCGATTTGCACCCCCCCCCCCTCGAACTTTTCATTTCCACCCCCCCCCCCCCTTCAAACTTTCGTTTTGCACCCCCTCCCCCTCGAACTTTTCATTTCCACCCCCCCCCCCCTCAAACTTTCGATTTGCACCCCCCCCTCGAACTTTTCATTTCCACCCCCCCCCCCTCAAACTTTCGATTTGCACCCCCCCCCCCCTTCGAACTTTTCATTTGCACCCCCCCCCCCCTCAAACTTTCGATTTCACCCCCCCCCCTCGAACTTTTCATTTACACCCCCCCCTCAAACTTTCAATTTGGCGCCCCCCTAAGGTCGGCGCCCGGGCACATATGTCCCCCCCCCCCCGCCCCCCCCCCCCCCTCGCTACGCCTCTGCACGTCACTTTTTAAAAGAAGATTCTATTATTGTGCCATTATCGGACACTGGTACAGCTCATAGATCAGCGGTTCTTAACCTTTGTGGGGGTACTGAATCCCACCAGTTTCGCCGAACCCTTCTCAACGTGGGCACTGACGAAATCCGATCGCGAATAATGAATCGGATGTGTATCATGGCCCAGTGGCGTCGCTAGGTCGGGTGTTACCCGGCGTGGCACCATCATGGTTTCCGCACCCCCCGCCTCGCGACGACTCTGTCTCCGCCGAACACGGGCCTTAGACTGACTCACTGAACCCCAGGCAGTGTTTCTTCCAGACTTTTTTCTCCGGGGGGGGGGGGGGGCTGACTAAAATTTCCGAGGGGGGGGGGGGTTGACTAAAATTTCCGGGGGGGGCTGACTAAAATTTCCGGGGGGCGGACTAAAATTTCCGGGGGGGGGGCGGACACTGTTGAAGGTATATATTAAAATTTCCGGGGGGGGGGCTGACTAAAATTTCCGGGGGGCGGACTAAAATTTCCGGGGGGGGGGGCGGACACTGTTGAAGGTATATATTTAATTATTTTCTATATAAATTCCATTTCGTTTCGGGAGCGGTAGACTTTCTGCGATGGAACCCGGGTTAAGAACTGCTGACAAAGATCTAGATCTAGATCTTCCCCTTAACATCTGACAAACCTCTGAGACTATAAGAGTCATTTTGTTTTTGTTTTTCTTCCTCAACGACAAGCAAACATTGCGGGCAGGCAACTTGATGACTTGTAATGACAATGACGACAAAGGACGGTGCCGCATCTCACGCAGTCACAGAACGTGTCCAGAGCTGGCATGCTGGTAGTTAGGAGCAAGAACCCCCAAAAATGGATTCGTCCATTCTATAGCGCGATGCTCATGTGTCTTTTAACTGGGAGCGGCAGGGGTGGGGAGCTTGACAACCCGCCATGTTTTTTTTTTGTTTAGGTTTTTATGTGTTGTAAAAAATTAGGATTTGTGTTTTAAAAATGTGCGTCAATAGATCAATGTATTAACAAATCAAAAGATGTGCTTAGTATATTGATGATACTGAAATGACGTCATTGCTTATGTTATTCCCGAACTCTTTTTCTAATGGTTGGAACTTGGGCTAAGAAAAACTAATCTATTACAAAGGGTTATGGTTACGTTAGGAACAGTGTTTTTTTTTTTAATTTCAGGATTTCAGGCGTCTCTCCGCCCCCCCCCCCTCCCCACACACACACCGGATGTGAACTAATATAAAAAGTGCATACATTTCAAATTTCACACTGTCCGTTCATCCCTTTCAGCAGAGTTTCTTCCAGGCATCTCTGGAGCCCCCCCCCCCCCCCCCGAAGCGATACCCGGAAAAACACTGATTGGGCAGTTGATGTAGATTCTATTTATTACTTAGAGCTTACGTGGTTAGAATATCTTGTTTACTTCCGGCTACACATCAAGCTACCATTCAATACAAGAGGCTATACAACAATTAATACAACAGGCTACCCATTGACACGAGGCTACCCATCAAAACACCAGGCTACCCATTGACACGAGGCTACCCATCAACACATGAGGCTACCCATCAACACACTAGGCTACCCATCAACACACGAGGCTACCCATCAACACGAGGCTACCCATCAACACACCAGGCTACCCATCAACACACCAGGCTACCCATCAACACGAGGCTACCCATCAACACGAGGCTACCCATTGACACGAAGCTACCCATCAAAACACCAGGCTACCCATCAACACGAGGCTACCCATCAACACACCAGGCTACCCATCAGCACGAGGCTACCCATCAACACGAGGCTACCCATCAACACACCAGGCTACCCATCAGCACGAGGCTACCCATCAACACGAGGCTACCCATTGACACGAAGCTACCCATCAAAACACCAGGCTACCCATCAACACCAGGCTACCCATCAACATACGAAGCTACCTATCAACCCCCGAAAATTTCAAGTGCCCCCCCCCCCCCCCAACCCCCAGGGAAAAAAGCCTGGAAGAAACACTGTGCCTAATCAACAACCGAGTTTGTGCTTATAAAGCAATAGAACATTTCCACACACTCTACTCCATTAGAGAAAGTAAAGGTGGCTGGGCATAGTGCTGACCACATTATCCTTTAATACGTCGAAGTCATGAATTATATGAACTCTACTTCATCAGCCCAATGGATCGCTAGTACTAAAGAGGAATCTTTACTCTCTCCATATAGACACGATGTGGTTGTATAGAAAGTCTCAAGTCTTCAACCAAGGTTTGGTCTCTGGGACGTCCTGAAACCACCCAGCTGTGATGGTTAGTTCTACCTGACTCACGTTAGAGAAGGTAAAGGCGGCTAGGCATAGTGCTGCAGAGGCCATAGAAGCAGGTAATTCAGTAGCGTAGCCAGGATCGTCTCATTGGGGGGGGGGGGGGGTTCAAATTTTTTACCCGGGGACAAACTTTCGATTTGCACCCCACCCCCCTCAAACTTTCGATTTACACCCCCTCATACTTTATATATATACCGAGGGGTCTATGGGGGGGGGTATGACCCCCCCTAACCCCCCCCCCCCCCCGCCTACGCCACTGGGTGAACTCAACTTTACATGCCCCATGGACCTCTCCACCTCCCCCCCCCCCACCCTCAAATTCACAAGAACAACTTAGTCATCATCATTATCATTCCTGTGGACCCCCCCCCCCTTGTGGAGCATAGAAACGCAACCCCACCTCTCCATCGAACTCGGTTCAGGGCGGTTTTTCCAAGTTGGATCCATGACATTCCAGCTTCTTCTGCTTCTCCTACATTTGACCTTTCAACACAACTTAGTACCATATATAATATGTGCTTTAAACTATAGGAATCCTATCATTTCACATACAAATCATTTCTTCTATCTGTAATCAGAAACCTTGCAAGGCATTATTAATATTCCAAACTCATTTTACACAAAGGATGTGCAAGACAATAGTGTCAGCATCCAAACTATTAATACTATAACAGCAGGAATGATGGAAAAAAAAGAATTTTAAAAACTCAACAGCAGTTTTAAATAAAACCACATTACAGTATTAAAAAAAACTATATACAACTGCAGCGCCATCTGGGTAAGTCTTTTAATAAATTGACAAGCTCTCATAATAATTAAAAATAAACATTTTATATCTTGGAACATCAAGTGTATTGGGTTACATTTTAAAAAGGAAAAAAGTTAACATAAGAAATTATAATCAATACTATAATTATATAATTTGATGGAAGCACTGTATAAAATAAAGGTGTAAGTGTGAGCAAACATAATGCTGTCACTGTTTTTGAACAAATAAACTTTCTGAAAGACAGATTATATTACAAATGCGCTACAAATTAAAAATAAATACTTTCTCCATGCAAATCTTAGTAAAAATACAACATGTGTAATTAGTATGTAATTAGTATTGTAATAATTTATAACCAGAGAAATGGCTAGATATAATTTAAGATAATAATTAAAATTTAAACCATGACTTTAATAGCGAAAAGATGTAAATAACATATTTTAAAAAAAGAAATAATAATTTCCATTTATTATTTAGAAACGGAAGGAAGGATAAAACAATATGTGCACTAAAGTACATTTTTAAAACTTGAAATATAAGTTGAGTAAACTATAAGTTTTAATACTAAAATTCCTTTGTAAATTCAAAATATTTACACATAATACTAAGTATAACTTAAATTTGAATTATGGTTATAGAGAGTCAATAAGGTTAAATTATTTCAAACAGCTTTCAAAGGTTTCAGCATAGCTAGTCACAAAGAAAGATTTTATCCAATTTAATTTTAGATGTATAGTGGGCTTAATTAAACTAGAAATATAATACAATTTAAGAGATGTAAAATAAAACAATTACAATAACATTTGTAAATGTAATTTTTATAACATTCTGATTTAGACAGAATTGCTTACTTTTATCAATTATTCAATTATTGCCATATTCAGTATATAAATATTATATTTAACCACATAGCATTTGGAATGTTTGAACAATTTCATTACAAATTATTATTACTATCTTAATTATCAATGCAAGTCATTATTCAGTTACCATAATTAATTAACTATTATGGATAATCACTTATTATAATAAATTAAGAGTATAATTAATCACCTATTATAATTAATTACCTAATTTAATAAATTTTAGATTTTTATTCAATCACATAGTAGTATTTATCAACTATTTTAGTTTATCATTTATTATGATTAATGACCTACTATAATAAATCACCAGTTACGATTAATCAACCATTATCTTTAACCACCTGATCGGAACTCAGCAGTGAGTTCCATATTTTTTAACTACCCTTAAGCTTAGGATAGAGCGGAGACATGCAGAGGTCCACAAAACAAGTGGGCAGGGTCCACAGGGGTCTCAGAACAAAGTTCCCATTAAACCCAACCACGTAGCGTGTCTTTGGGAAGCGTGCAGAAACTGCGTGGATATATGTGTCGACTACTTCATCGAGGTTTCGTCCTACAATGGTGTAGCTGAATAGACTCACCATATCAATCACTGTCAAATAAAATTAATTTTTTTTTGTCTACATTATGATACAAGAAGAAAAATAAAAAAATTATTTGAAAATATTATTTTTTAAAAATTAGGCTACCTTATTATGCATTAGGAGGCAATAGAAATCTTACATAATAATTAGCTATGGTAGTGTGTAACTTATGAAGGGGCACAGCCAAAGAAATACCAAACACAGAACTGATCAAGAAGAGTGACAGGGGAATAAGTAAAACAAATAATTACATGTTTTTTTAGATTTCAACATTTCAGTTTTTTTAATACCAGTCATCAAAGAGGCTTTGATGACAGTCTTTTTATAAATAAAAAAAAATTTCTACATTAATCTTTACTAAAGCAAAAAGGTTGAAACTTACACTTTTTCTTGTATGTTTCACCATACAGATTCTTCATTTCTGGGTCAAGGCTATTAAAAACTTTATCAGCACTTCCACTGTGAAGATCAGGATCTGGTTAAGATAGAGCTTACAAGTTAAGGACTTGAGCTTTTGAATTGTAGAGAAAATGATAGCTAACTGTTAAATCTAAAGCTTAAGTGGATTTACCTTTAGGACTGGAGCTTGTGATTTGTAGAGGGAATGATAGCTAACTCTTAAATCTAGAGCTTAAGTGAATTTTCCCTTTCACAGGAAATGAGGATGGATATATATTAAACCACATTTATCTGTAATATAGTCCTGTATACCACCCCCTCCCTATCTGTACAACATGAGACCTCATCAATTTCATTTACCTGTAATGTTGGTTTTTTATACCCCAACCCTATTTGTGTTACCTGAGATCTCATCAATTTCATTTACCTGTAATGTTGGTTTTTTATACCCCAACCCTATTTGTGGTACCTGAGTTCTCATCAATTTCATTTACCTGTAATGTTGGTTTTTTATACCCCCCTAATTATACAACACGGAATCTTATAAATTTCATTTACCTGTAATGTTGGTTTTTTATACCCCAACCCTATTTGTGGTACCTGAGATCTCATCTATTTCATTTACCTGTAATGTTGGTTTTTATACCCCCCCAACCCTATTTGTGGTACCTGAGATCTCATCTATTTCATTTACCTGTAATGTTGGTTTTTATACCCCCCCAACCCTATTTGTGGTACCTGAGATCACATCAATTTCATTTACCTGTAATGTTGGTCTTGTACCCCCCTGGCTCTATGGTGTGCACACTGACCCCCCAGTGCTCAGCCTCCCTGCGCAGCATGTCCGTGTAGGCCTCCACACAGAACTTGGACACAGAGTACGGAGCAGGTAGCAGGGCTGCGCGGCCCACCGTGCTGGACATGTTGACAACACGACCTCGACATTTTCTCACGAGGGGCAGGAAGGCGTTAGTCACAGACACCATACCTAGCAGGTTCACATTTAGAGTAGCCTGCGATGGAATAAATGTTAGTCAGACCTGCGCCACTAGGGGGGGGGGGGGGGCAGGAAGGTGTTGGTCACAGATACCATACCTAGCAGGTTCACATTTAGAGTAGCCTGCGATGGAATAAATGTTAGTCAGACCTGCGCCACTAGGGGGGGGGGGGGGGGGCAGGAAGGTGTTGGTAACAGATACCATACCTAGCAGTTTCACATTTAGCGTAGCCTGCGATGGAATAAATGTTAGTCAGACCTGCGCCACTAGGGGGGAGGGGGGGCAGGAAGGTGTTGGTCACAGATACCATACCTAGCAGGTTCACATTTAGAGTAGCCTGCGATGGAATAAATGTTAGTCAGACCTGCGCCACTAGGGGGGAGGGGGGGCAGGAAGGTGTTGGTCACAGATACCATACCTAGCAGGTTCACATTTAGAGTAGCCTGCGATGGAATAAATGTTAGTCAGACCTGCGCCACTAGGGGGGAGGGGGGGCAGGAAGGTGTTGGTCACAGATACCATACCTAGCAGGTTCACATTTAGAGTAGCCTGCGATGGAATAAATGTTAGTCAGACCTGCGCCACTGGGGGGAGGGGGGGTAGGAAGGTGTTGGTCACAGACACCATGCCTAGCAGGTTCACATTTAGAGTAGCCTGCGATGGAATAAATGTTAGTCAGAACTAGCCACTGAGAGATAAGCAAGAAAAATACATCCCTGATACACCCCACTAGCATTCTAATAAGTAGCAGTACTTCTTAATTACTTCTTATGGGATGGAGTGGCCTGGCGGTAGAGAGCTGGACTGCTAACCCATAAGTCTTGAATTCAAATCCGGGTTCAAGGCAGTAGACCGTCTCTGAGCCCACCCAACTCTGATGGGTACCTAACTCACGTTAAGGAAAGTAAAGGCGGCTGGGCATAGTGTTGACCACACTATCCCTTCATATGCTGATGTCACAGAAACAAGTGAACCCTACTTCACTTGCCCCGTAGACCATCAGGTTTGAAAGGGAAACTTTTTTAAACGTCTTAAGTTGTAAAGCATATCTAGTTAAAGTTACCTCATAGTCAGATTTCTTCAGCCACTCACAGGGGCCAAATGCGCCAACAACTCCTGCATTGTTAATCAGAGCCCACAGCCCTGTACGTGTATAGAGGTATGGTAAGTTTAGTATTCACTACACACATGACGGAAAAAGTAACATCATTTTTATTAAAATATTACAGATGATAAAAACAGGTAAATATCACTGTTAAAATAGTCAGTACAACAGTACCGGGTTTTTTTTGTTATAATTAGTTTTTATTTTATTTATTTTGTTTCCCTGATACTTGAATAATGAAAATTGATAACTATTTAATAATTAAAAAAAAAAATCTCCGTGCAGGCCCTATAAATTTTAAATCAGTTACTTTTGTCATATAAAAATAAACAAATTAAAGTAAAAAATTTAATAGATGTTACATTATTAACTTGTATGTGCTATTGTAGAAGAAACAAAAAAGTAAAAAAAAATTTGTAGAAATATGTATGTTATTAAAACAATTAAATCAATTACCACTCCTTTGTGTTTTTCTGTTCTTTTTTTTTTAAGCAATCAGCATTTCTGGAATGGCTTCCAGGCTAAAGGTGTTTGAGCTAAGGTGGAAATCAAGCAAGCTATTACAGCAAAGTGGCCAACAGACTCATTAAACATTAAATTCTAACCTTTTTCTCCCCCAAGATGTTTTTTCACAAGTGTTAACCCATCTCTGATTGTGTCCTCATCCGCAACGTTCATCTGGAACGCCACCAGGTTTTTTGAGCACGTTTCTGTCAGCTCTTGAACTTTCTCCTGGGTCAAGCAAGTGGCAAACACGTGGAACCCTAACTTATCCAACTTGATGGCAGTACGGTATCCAAAACCTAAGTGGTAAAGTAGAGTAGTTGATAGAATATTTTCCTTACTCAGGTGGAAGGGGGGAGAGGGCAATGGGGAGGGGATGTAGGATACACTTGGAACTTGTCTAAAGGATGGGCTGCAAGTCAGTGGGGTGGGAGTGGAGGGGGGCAATACCTTCTAGAAACACTGGTAGAACCATGTCTCAACGATGGTTAACAATCAAAGCAAGTGATTAAATACATTACACAGCTGATAAGTAACAGTTAGTTTAAAAAAGGTAAATATCTTAGTGTAAAAAGATTTTTTTAGGCCTAACCAAAATAAAATAAAAAAGATCACCTAAGAAAGCCGAGTTTGAAAATAAAACTAAACTAACAAGTTAAGTGTTTCAATCCAATATATATATATATATATATATATATATATATATATATATATATATATATATATATATATATATATATATATATATATATATATATATATATATATATATACTGAAGTCACATGAACAGGTGAACTGTTCTTTATTTGCCGTGGTGAATAACATTCCCATCTGTTAACTAAGAACATGTTCCTGTTTTATTTAAAATATAAATTTAAATTACTGCTAAGCTAACCTACCTGTATCACATCCAGTAATTAGTACGTAAAGATCCCCAAAATCCTCCTTTATTTTAAAAGATCTGTAAATTCTGTTAACAATAAACAACAAGAGTGCTAGTCCTATGATGCAGACAGCTGTCACTGATTGCAAACATTGTAGAGGAAGCATCCAGCTGGAAGAGATCTGGGGGATCATCTTGGGTGATCTAAGAAAACAAAAAAAGTTTTTTTATTTTAATTTCAAAAAGTGTGAGGCTAATAGAACAGCCAAACTTACATTTCCATACTTCTATCAGAATTGATAAATTAATAGCAATACCTCAACCTCATTCAAAACTTATTATTGAAAGATGGACTGCTTTTGCTGTGCAAATAAACGGGTATCACTAATCCATAAGTAATGAAGATTAAAGTGATTTTTAACAATGTTTCTTGTTCATGTTAACTAAAAGATTTTGATAGATAATTGGACAGCTTTTAATTATAATCAGCTGTTGTATAAAATTAGCCCAGCTGTACATTTTGAAATATTATTCGGCCAATGTCAAAGCAGGCCTTTAGTAAAGCTTACAGCTGGAAAGTGGGTGCAGTTACTTTACTGGATCTAAATAGTTTTTAAAAATCAGGATGTCTAATTTCAGCAGCTATCTTAATACTAACAGTAATCTAAGCTTGATATGACTCCTAACCCTGAAAGAAATACAGTATAGGCACACAAAAAAAGGATTTAATATTATATGCCCTCCAAAACAAATTTTTAAAAGATCAAATTGCTTTGATACTGACTGATACATTGGAAATGAAGTTGCATAATAATAATAATTCACTTAAGCCTGTGCTTTACTATCTGATGTGTGTGAAGAATTATTTTCTTGAACTTCTCAACTATTGAATATTTAATGTAGTTACCCTTTGTTTACTTTACTAACTTACCCATTATTTAAAAAAAGTGTTTCGTTTTTTTTTTATATTTATATTCCTGTTGCGAGGTTTTTTTCTTTTATGACATGTTATCAGTTTGCCAAAGAAAAGTCATAGTTTTCTTATGATACTGAAATCTTCACTAATCACATATGTCCGTATCTAGTTATAACCCATTTTGCTGAACAATACAATAACAATATTTATGTTATTATATAATAAGATTAATGTTTAATAGGAAGCCTTTGGATACCAAAGAGTTGGTATTTGGCTTTTAAAGACAAAATGACATCAAATTAATATGTGGTAATTTTAAAAGTTACACAATGTTAAAAGTTTAATTTTTAATTAATCATTTGGTTACAAAAATGTTATCAGTTTTGAAATCCTTTTCAGAGATATAAGCATAACTGCTTGTAACTCAAGTGTAGGTATAGAGTTTGGTATAGATCTTTCTTGGTCTAATGTCTATATTGACTCAGATTATTTATAGATCTATTGGTACTGGATTGAAAAAAAAGGTTTTGTAAATTTCCCAAGTATTGCTTATCATATATTAAAATCAAATACACAAATAATGTACAAAAGCAATCCAAAAATGACACCAAAACATTTTATAGTCTCATTTCTTTTAATAACAGTGGTAAAAAAATGTTTACCATACTCTGAAGAACATTCTAACTGTATAGTATCATTAACTATATTTCACATTTGATTTGTATTTAACTATTAAACAATCAACAGTAGAAAATAAAAGAAATTAATACAATATAAAAATTCAACTAGCAGCATGCAAGCTACTGCAGTCAGTCAAAATGGACAAATAAAACAGATTTGTAATTTACAGTAGACCATATGTACTTACCAGAGTCTATACCAGCAGATTTGTTGTAATTTGTCTTTATACCATGGTTATTTATGTCTCTATCAAAGTAAAAACTAAGTAAGTAAATGTAAAGCTTCCTTTTCAACCTGATGGGGCAAGTGAAGTAGAGTTCACCTGTTTCTGTGACCTCAGCGTATGAAAGGATAGTGTGTGTGGTCAGCACTATGCCCAGTTGCCTTTATTTTCTGTTATGTGAGTCATATACTCATCGAAGCTCAGTGGACTCAGGGATGATCTACGGACTTGAACCCAGATTTTAGACTTTCAGGTTAGCAGTTTATGCTCTACCATTTCATCACACAGTCCCATAGCGGGTCAAAGTCCTTTCTATGTTAATTTACATTTTCCTTTAACAAGTTGATTGAGAATCATAGTTTATTTCTTTTTTTTTATGTAAGGAATGCAAGTTGTTTACCTGCTGGTATATAGTGAAAGATAGTGGTAAGTTATCAAGAGGGCAAAGTTAATAGAGTTGTTAAAGTGTATTGTCAGGTTACCATTGAAAATTATGAGGCTAATTCAAATCCAAAAAAACATAGCTACCTGGTACTCTAAACTGAAGTTATGGTTATAGTGGTGTCTTTAATAAAAAATACTTTTTTACAAACCGGGTAAAATTAATACTTCACACTCATAATTATTATCAGCAATACAATTTTGAGTTAATAACTCAAATGTGTATTAACATCTGATAATAACCTAAACAAATACAATGCATTGTTCTGTAGATAATTTTGAGCTAAACAAGCATCACAAGATATTCTGAATAAAAGGCATTGGACCCTTGCAATAGCATAGAAGCGCCACAAGATAGGGCAGGAAGTGTGGTCTGCACCTGGTGATGCACCGTGGAAAGGATAACACCAAATTAACAAAATGTTAACATTTTACCATCAAAATCATGAATATCCAGTTAAAATAAAGTGTGACTTGCAGCTATGTTAATACTAACAGTAATCTAAGCCAGATATTAATCCTAACTCTGAAAGAAATACGGTATAGGCGAAAAAAGGATTTAATATTATATGACCAATCATTTTACCATCAAAATCATGTTTATCCAGTTAAAATAAAGTGTGACTTGCAGCTATCTTAACACTAACAGTAATCTAAGCCTGATATTAACCCTAACTCTGAAAGAAATACAGCATAGGTGAAAAAAGGATTTAATATTATATGACCAATCATTTTACCATCAAAATCATGTTTATCAAGTTATAATAAAATAAAATAGCTTGGGAAATACATGACACCAAACCTAAAATATTGGTAGTGGAGGATGAAACCTTCACTTAGCACACCGGTTGTCCCCCAACTTTGTGACACAACTACAATAAAATGCACCATCTATCTTCCACCCCTACCCCTATCCCCCCCCCTCCCCATTGTATTAGGTGATTATTGAAACTGGACTCCTCAAAGTCAAAGAAAAAAAGTTATGGCAAATGCATAAAAACTGACAAGATCCATGGTTAACTTAGGGAAATGTAAAGAAAGTTGCCAGAGATTGGTAAAAGTGGAAACAGCCTCCTGTAGAAGCCCCATGAGTCTTGGAGACTGAAGGTAAAATATGATGACTGATTGAAACCGAAAGCAGGATTCATATAAATTTACATTTCTCCAAAAGTCATTCAAATTAACAAGTGACACTTCCTTGATGGTACGATATGTTGTTATGATTTAGGAAACCAGCATTCTGAGAAAATATCAACCTTTTAAAAAATTCAATATTACACAAATCACACTCAAACCAACTAGAATACACATTTAATTGCAGATATAAATGTATTGATTAAATTTGTTGAGCAAGGTCTTCAAATAGTTTTATAAATTCATCAATCAAGGACCAGGTTTGCTCTCATAAAATGTTTCTACACTTGTATAGTTCGTTTTTTCAACTCTCCCTGTCTACGTTTTCTGGCGTGTGTATTTTTATGCTTTGTCAGCTGTTCACTGCTATAAAAAAACTTATCACATTCATCACATTCTTGGGGCTCCGAGAGGGTTACCTCATGTGAATACTTATGTCTAGACAACTGACTCTTGTTTATGAACTTCTCATCACACATATCACATTCGTGAGGTAGTTCCCCTGAGTGAATCTTCTTATGTAGTTCTAAATTACCATAGAGAAAAAACTGTTTCAAACAAATATCACACTGGTATGGTTTGTTACCAGAATGGTACCGTTTATGTATCAACAACTGTCTCGAGTGAAAAAACTTACGGGGGCATATGTCACAAGTGTATGGTTTCAGTGCAGAGTGATTTTTTTTATGCTGCAGTAGGTGCTGGCTGTAGACAAACTTTCTATGACAGACATCACATTCATGCTGCTTGTCCCCTGTGTGGATTAGCTTGTGCTTTTCTAAAAAACCCTTGCCTGCAAATTTTTTGTGGCACACGTCACATTCATACGGTTTTTCTTTCAAGTGTTTTTTATTGTGATGATACAGGTGTTGCCTGAGGGCGAACCTTCTGTGACACACACCACATTCGTGTGGCTTTTGTTCTGAGAGTGCCTCATCCAGCTTTTCTCCAGTATGAGTTTTTATATGCCTGGCTAAATTAATAACAAAAGCAAATTTTTTACGACACACTTCACACTCAAAAGGCTTTTCTCCGGAGTAGATTTTATGCATTAGTAAATACTTGGTATTAAAAAACTTTTTGTGACATACTTCACATTCATGTGGTCTAATGACTACATGAGTTAGACAATGGTTATACCACTGTTGTCTTTGAGTAAACTTTTTACGACACACACGACACTCATGGGATTTTTCTGCTGAATTAATTATATCAGGTCTTTCTCTCGAATGAGTTTTCTTGTGTCTCTCTAGATTTATAACAAAAGCAAAACTTTTATGACACATCCCACATGTATGTGGCCTCTCTCCCGAATGAATTTTATGCATAGATAAATCCTTCCTCTTAAAAAACTTTTTGTGGCACCCTTCACACTCAAATGGTTTATCAACTATGTGGAGTTTTCTATGCTGAAGCAGGAGTCGCCTATAAATAAACTTTCTGTGACACACCCCACACTCGTGTGGTTTTTCTCCAGAGTGAATTTTATGCATGGATAAATCTTTCCTACTCACAAACTTTTTATGGCACACATCACACTGGAATATGTTTTCTGATTCATTTTTTTCATTCTGTTGCTTATAGGGAGGTGGTTCTTTCTCAGAATTATCTATTTCTTTTGTATTTTTTCTGGCTGAATTCAAAGAATAGTCTATTTTTTGTGCATTTTTGCTGTCTGAATCCACAAAATTAACTATTTGAGGTGTACATTTGATGCCTGAGTTCAGGGAGTTATCTATTTCAGGTGTATTTTTGCTGCATGAATTTAAAGAATTATCTACTTCAATAGTACTTTTGCTGGCTGTATCCAAAGAATTACTTATTTCTTGTGAATTTTTGCTGACTGAATCCAAAGAATTATCTATTTCATTTGTATTTTTGCTGGCTGAATCCAAAGAATTATCTATTTCATTTGTATTTTTGCTGGCTGAATCCAAAGAATTATCTATTTCATTTGTATTTTTGCTGGCTGAATCCAAAGAATTATCTATTTCTAGTGAAGTTTTGCTGGCTGAATCCAAAGAATGATCTATTCCTTGTGTATTTTTGCTAGCTATGTCATCATTTGTAGATGATTCTAGCATCCTCAGGATATTAGCATAATCTGTTTTTGTATGGGCAGTTAAGGCCTCAGATGTAAGGTTCTCAGATGATTTATCTTCAACCACTATTTCAAAGTTCACTTCTTTCATTCTGTACAGCTTTAATTTGCCTCAAGTATAACTGAGGATAAAAACATAAGTGAAAAAACTTAGTAAACCCAATAGATAAATGTGTGTTAATGGAAGTAAAATATCAAATTGAGTAAATAGTTATATATTTACATTTTTGAACTATAAAATAATTTTGAGTTAGTGCTTTAATTTTCAAGCCTGAACTAAGTTCTGGGATTTCAAATTTTAAAAAAGCAAAAAAATATTTTTTAGCTACTTTGCAAACAACAATATTTTTTAGGCAGACTGTTTCAAAAGAGAAAAAGAAGTTACAATAATGCAGAGATTTTTAATTGTATCAAAGTTTTATGAAAATGCTGTAATGGTTAGGGTCGTAATAAACTAAGAGGAGGAAAACCAGCAAAAGGTAACTTTGATATGGCAACTATAAAATTTTAATATTTAAGGAATTAGCACCAATTAGGAGAGACAAATTGTTTGCAATAAATATAACTGAGAAAAGGTTTGTTAAATTAGGATAAAATAGGTATTATTATTTATGGAATGACAACTTTGTAATTTGGACTGAAATTTTAAGTTTTAATTTTGGTTTATTCTGTCAAGAATATCAAAAAAGCATTCTTTTTTTTTTTAAATTACAATGTACTGTATATGCAATAATTTCAGTATTCTTTAAATCAGCATTAAACAGTACCAATTTTTAAATTTATATTTCTCAAGTGTTTTTGTTTCAGAAAAAAGAAATAAAACATTGAATTGTTTCCTCTTTTTTGAAAACATTACATGTCTTATTTACCTTTATTTGGATGCAAAGTGCATAGCATCTTTCTGCAAGCCCAAACACAGCTAATTGTGCAATTGGCAGCACCGACAAACCCTACAGCACCAATTCGGCGATAGAACAACTGGTCTACAACCAACTCTGCAAATTGTCAGCATGGTGATACAATGAATACTGAAGTATTCTGGAGTTATTAGCTTAATGCTGCGGCATAAAGTGGTTTATCAATATGCATGGCTGTATACCTATGCCTACCAGATTATAAAAAAATGAGCCGACCCGCTGCGTATCATACGCCGCTATTTAGTTGTTGTTTTTTCTACTTTTCAGTAATTCATAATTTGTGAATTCGACAGTACCAACGCTGCCACTGAAAATATATATTTAAAACACTATAAGTAGCTCGTTAAGGACGATAACCCCCCCCTCCTTCCACCCCTCCCCCCTACGTTTTAAATCGTTTCAAACTAAATTATCTGCCCCTAATAGCCGTCACTAAACCCAGCTCCATGAATGTAAACATTTAGCGTGAACCACAGCTCAGCAGACCATGTAGGGGTGGGGTGGTATGGAGCGCGCTTACAGCTTGTTTTCTAGCGTCTCCCAGAAGAGAATTATATATATAGATATCCCTAAGTCCTCATGAATAGGTAAAAAATAATTATTTCAGTTCTCCCCTTACATATTTTTATCTAAAACAAAGGCAATATATTCCAAATTTAAATAACAAAATGTTGCTATTTTCCCCCTAAGAAGTAATAATAGATCCAGAAACAATCATAGTGATCTGTATTTCCACCTTTGCATAAAAAACAACTAAAGAAATTGAAGAAAATGTCTATATTCACAAGAAAAGTGTATTGGGTCACCAAGTTGATTATTGCAGTGTTGATTGTCACATAACAGATATAAATCTATAGTACAGTAACAAACATAACTGAACAAACAACAGAAGTTCCACTATAAAGGAGTAGACAAAACCATTTGTATGGCTGACTTGAATATGGGCCCTAAAATAAAGCAGTTGAAATTTCTTTCCCTTGCTAGATGTGCTAAAGGTAGACTAGATCAACTTTCTTTCTATTGTGTGAGACAACGAAGCCGCTCAATTTCGCCTTTGATCATCACCATAAGCCATAATATAGATCTATTTATATTCTGACTTCTGTACTCTGGTTAGTAGTGTTATGTGTTACAAAACTGTAAGGTGTAGGCCTCTATTAATATAATAATAATAGTAGGCTTTTTGATTCGTCAAGTCTCGTTCTCGCGGTTTCGTGGCTACCGTGTTTTGGGCGGACATATAAAATATCGAATCATTTCTTTCTCATGAAGTACACAATAGTTAAAAATAAGGATTATATTGTAATCGGAAACATTTGTACTCAAAACTGCCCATGTATTTACGGGGCGAATAATTAACATTTTAATAATGGCAGCTTGACCTAATTTCGTTCTTTGTCTTTAACAAGGCCGTCGAGAGAAAGTCACGCTTATTTAGCGTGTGTTTCAAGTTGAATAAACTAAAGCAGGAGCGTATTTCCCTAACTTTATTATTATTTTCCCTTTTTATAATATCTTCACTATCAAATAAAAATAGAATTGTGTAATAATTTTATTATCCATACAGTACATTTTTAAGTAATAAATGACCATACTAAAAACCTCTCAAGACGCCATTTTATAATAATCTAATTACCGATTCCGGAAGAGGTGAAGGGGTGGGGTTGGCATTGACGGACTGTTAGAGTGAAAAACACTTAACTTGAATGAAAAAACTTTATTCGCGCTTACAATTTGAAATAAAGTTTTGATAACTTAGCCATTAAGAGACAGATATGTTTTATTTACTTATTTAAAAACTGGATTGTTAAGATATCGACAGTTTTTTTTTTATGGTGTGTGACTGAGTGTGTCCTTGACCTTCAAGTGCTGTTCTAGTTAGGAATGCAGATGCCTTAGTTAGATGCCAAGAACCCATAATAGTCATCATAATTTTTAGTTAGTTTATTAAATACCACTTCAAACAGTTCTTATATTATTATTATTTGAGTAATTCATACCTTAATTAATAATTTGCTAATTGTTTCTGACAAAATATGATCATGGCACGGGCCGTCTTCTGGAAGGGGGTGGGGCGGGTGGGGGCTTAAAAAATGTCACATAGTACGTTATTTTGTTATTCTTTTGGGAAATTGTGTTTTTTGTCGTGGGGTGGGACTTTGTGAAATTTTTGGTGGTGGTTTTGTGACATTATTAGTGGTTGGTGAGTGTAATTATGATGTCTTTTATAGATAATATTCAGTATTATTAAATTTTGTCAATCCTTTTTTCTCACAAAATGTTAATTATGTCCTATTCTATATTACATTGATTCTGAACATCATAGTCAGAATTTGTCAATACACCACTGACATGTTACATTGTCATAAGAAATTTGTCTGGCTAAAACCATCAGGAGTTTAAAAAATATTAATTGAGATGTATGTTTGGTATTGCAATACAATAAAATTCAATACATCGCACTGATTCTGAACACTGAAGTCAATCTAAAGTTAATATTTGTACACTGTTAAAAAAACACAAAACTGGTGGGTCATGTATATTTTTTTATTTTCAATTTTTCAACTTCAATGACAGGTACATTATTTACAATTTTATTGTCTTGTATGTGTAAATATGTACATATAAATAACATTGGATTTTTAAAGAATTTACTTGTTACTTGTTGCCTGTGTTGTGTTGTATGTATCTTTTTCAAATTTATTGACAAGTACATTAATTACAATTTATTGTCTTGTTTGTGTAAATATGTACATACATATTACATAGGCTTATTTGATGATTGTAAAACTAGTTTGTTATTATGCCTGTATGTATTGTGTTGTGTAACTCCGACATAGCCTGGTCCCAAATCAAGGATGAAAAAAGAGAAGGGGACAGTCACAATTGCTTAAATCTAATCTGATATAGTATGTCTTATCTTTAGGCAGACTGTTCTGTACCTAAAAAATATGTAGTCAATTTAGTGTGCTTTAGAACATAGCTTCATTTAAGATTTTTAGTTTCTATAGAAAGGAAACACCCATTAAATGTCCCACATAATTTCATAAAATAGATCCTACTTTAGATCTTCAAATACTGACTCTTATTGTAAACTGCCTAAATAATAAGTGTGCAGAGTCTAAGTAATTAAAATAATAAATATGGATGATTTTAAAATTGGAACTATAAGACCAATTTTTTGTGTTACCAATATCTGCCAACCTTATTCATTAATATTTTTTTTAAAGTTATTAATCAATCTTGGTTACTTTTAGCTATCTAAATTCATTTCTAAGCTATTTTAATATGCTTCTGTTAAGTTTCATTGAAAAATGTTAAAAAATAATCCAGATATCCACTCATGAAATCAGGTCACAGGTCTAGGAGTTTTTTCTTCAATAGCTATGCCACACGGACCCATGACTTTGGAATTTTTTTTCAGTCATAATGACTTTGCACAGAAAGTTTATATATGCTAAATTGACTTAGTTTACCATTGTCCTAGCTATTACTGATACTTTTAAAAAAAAAAAAATTTAATTTTTCATCAAACTGCCTAATATGTCTATTATTAGTCTATTAACTATTAGTAGGGTTGTCGGTATCGGCCGAGATCGCGGTAAAAACATGACCCGAAATCGCCCATTACTTTCTGATACCGGGCGCACGAGATTTGGTTTTGCATACTAATAAGTTTTTAATTTATGGTAATTAATTAAGTTTAAAAGGTCATTTCCTAATGTTAAATGAAAAGTAGAATGGTTTTCCCATTGTTTTGATGGCTTAGCGATCTGATTGCACGCTGTCTCTGCCTTGGTCTTCCCCCTGTATGAAGGCTAGTTTCAAATACGCTGGAATCACGATTTTTTAAAAGGTTATTCTAGATGAGTGAAGATTACTGAGCAGACATATCTTATATATGTGGAAATGATATTTGTTTTTGGATATTTTGACTCTGACATTAGATATACTCGTTTAGAGGTGGCCACTGTATGTAGGTCGCGTTGCCACCATTGTTATATTTTTTCATCCCGATCTTCCGGCTTTTAAGTTTGATCAACTAACAACAGCATTCTTATGAAATGTGCAAACAAATCTCCTAATTTTTTATTTCAAAACATATTTACATACCCATCTTTAATTTTTTCAGCTCTAGTTCTAGTTTTGCAGAATGTTTTTCCTAAAATCCAATTTTGTCAGACTAGACTGACAAGAGTCAGACCTAGATCTAGGTTACCTGTCTGTTGCTATACACTAGCATTGTGCTAATTGTAATTTTAAGTATTCAAGTTCTACTTACCCTTAGATATAGTTATATGCTGAAAATCAGAATCCATACACAATTCACACATAAAAACATTGATCTGATAACTTCATTTAAATTATTACAAAATGACTTATATGGGCTCTACTTCACCTGCCCAATATAACATGGCAGTTATATACACATTACAGTGTTCAAGTCATTTAGATTTCTGACTATGTAGTTCTTTCATTCACTGTATTTATATAAAATATTGCTTTAGAAACATTTTCATATTTGCGCAGCAGTTTTATAACAAAATGGCTTAAAGATGGACTCTACTTCACCTGCCCAAAATAATGAGGCAATTATAATATTATATGCACATAACAGTGTTCAAGTCATTTACTTTAGATTTCTGACTATGTAGTTCTTTCATTAACTGTATTTAAAACATTGCTTTAGAAACATTTTCATATTTGCGCAGCACAGTTTTTTGGGGTTATGGGAGGAAGCCAACACAAAAATATAAGTTCTGTATTATTTTTATTCATTTCAACAGCATTTACAAGTTCTATATATCATTCTAGCTAAACTCTGCAAATATGAACAAAATACAACTGCAATTAAAATAACTATGCTCAATTTATTCAGGTATACCATGACTTGTCACAATTGGCCAATGCAAAAGTAAGGGGATTCCACCCCTCACAAAAAAAAAACTATTTGAGCTAGACAAAAAATCTTTTTTGTTTTGTTTTCATTTTGTTGAGCTCTACAAGAATATGTAATTTTTATTTTTATATGATGATTAGTGCTTTTTTACCAAAATCCCTACTATTAGGCTAGTAACTGTATTAGGCCTATTCATATTGGGAGGTTTTAAGTAGATCTACATCTAGAATCTAAATTCTAGATGATCTAGATCTAGAGAATCTAGACTCTAGATCTAAGTGTCGTAGGTGAGTTTACTACTGACTCAGTAGTACTGAGTACTGAGTTAAGTTACCGTTTTAAATGTCATTTTTTATTTAATTTACCTTTAAATTTAGATCTAGATCTAGAGATCTAGCTAGATCTCTAGATCTTAAATCAGTATCCCACGTTTGCTAAGGACGACTCAGGCAAATCTAAATCTAATCATCTAGATCTATCTATCGTCATGTTTTGTGCGGTTTTTAATAAAAATAGAGATCTACATTTACTCATTTCATTTAGTATTTCGATGAAGGCGTCGATAACGATAACGAAGGTTTAAGGGCATTTTTTGGCAAGAGTAGTGTACCTTAGATATGTTAAATATTTCGTTTTTCTTTTAAATTATTAAATTAATTATCACGTGGGAGCAGAGTTTCTTCCAGGCATCTCTTCGGGGGGGGGCAAAGCCCCCCCGAAAATTTTTTACCGCCCCCCGAACGAAATGAAATTTATATCATTTATATAGAAAATATATACTTTTAACAGTGTCCGCCCCCCCGAAGAAAGTTTACCGCCCCCCCCCCGAAGATTTCAAGTGCCCCCCCGGAGAAAAACGTCTGGAAGAAACACTGGTGGGAGAATATAAAGCTGACCATAAACACAAAGATGTTGGTGTATGGCCTAACTAATATAGTCTATATCTAGAGATCTAGTGTATGAGTAAAGAGCGCCCTGCAAATTTTAGAGGGGAGAAACGTTTTAATGATCAGTTGTAATACCATATTGTAATGAGGTAGGCCTACATCAATAGCCAGACGGGGTGTAATTTAACGATGTAATGACAGCACATAGATCTAGAAAACTTAGGTAAAATTATATTTTTTACACTCAAGTGAATTACTTGGAACGACCCCCGGCAGATGATGCTCGTTAGCTTATGAAACTGACAGCAATAGACACTTGATTATTGTAGTAATCTGTAGTAAACAGTATTGCCATTCGTGCTCATGAGAAAACAATCTCATTTTCGTTGGAACAAGGGGTCATCCATAAATGACGTCACGCTTTTTTGGACGATTTTTACCTCCCCCCCCCCCTCCCCTCCGTCACACTTCGTCACAAAAAGCCAGACCCCCCCCCCCTAAAATGACGTCACACCTCAACCTACAACCCCCCTCAAAATTGCAGTTGAATTTTTTTAAAACATTGATATTTTTCCAAAATCTTGTCTAAACTATTACAATTTATTAAAACAGTTATCTAAAACGCGAAATAACGTCTAAAATTCGTTTTCTAACATTGCTTTTTTATAATGCAAAAATGTGACGTCGCAACATCTGACCCCCCCCCCCCCCTCCCCCTCGTCACACATTGTCACAAAATTACGGACCCCCCTCCCCCCTACGAGTGTGACGTCATTTATGGATGACCCCCAAGACAAAATTCAGAGAGTAAACTCCAAAATCAAACAAATGTTGATTTGCAGATTTTTTTCTTGAGTGGACAAAGCTATGGAATCGAATCCAAAAAGAAAAGCTGGCTGAAGTCAGAGTAAACGCATAAATTATTGAAATGTACGCATTAATACTTAATTGTGAAGGAGGAAATCCGCTTCAATTTTGCAATTAGGGGTCATTCATAAATGACGTCGAGTTCACTTGTTTCTGAAACAAGTGAACTCTACTTCACTTACCCCATAGACCGTCAGGTTTGAAAGGGAAACTTTTACATAAATGACGTCAAACTTTTTTTGGACGATTTTTACCTCCCCCCTCCCCTCAGTCACATATCGTCAAAAAAAGCCAGAGCCCTCCCTAAAATGACGTCACACCTCAGCCTACAGACCCCTCCCCCTTCAAAATTGCAGTTGAACTTTTCTTAAAACATCGTTTTTTTTTTCCAAAATCTTGTCTGGTAAATTTTACTAAGCAAACAATGTTTTGTCGCGCTTTTTGACGATTCACACATCGTCACAAAAAATGACAGCACAGATTAACCTACATTCAATTCCTTCCTAATTGCAGGTTTTTAAAAATCGATTTGCTTCTAAAATAATAAATATTGACTGTGTTCGGTCAACATGGAGTATATTAATCAACTTCAATTACAATTTACATAAACAGTTTTCTAAAACGCATAAATAATAACGTCTATACAATTCAGTTTTTAATATTATATTAATTTTAATGCAAAAAATATGACGTCACACTATCTGAACCACCCTCTCAACACATATCGTCACATGTGGTTGTGGTTGGGTTTGTTGTTAGGTTTTATTTTTCGTTTGTATTTGTAATTGTGTTAGCGTTATGTTTGCGTTTTGTTGTTTTGGTTGGTTGTGGTTTGGGTGGGCAATGCCGGGTTTATGATGAATACTAAACACACAGGTAATGGTCTTTAACAGAAAGGTTTTTCACAGAAGCCAGGACAGGGCCTGGCCGGCTAGTATATTATAATAATTTAATGCTTGGTCATGATTGCTGTAAACTGATCAATGCTGATTTTTTTAGCTGTTACTTTAGTTTCAATTGTTAAGTTTTTCAATGTTGGCTACGCAGAGGCGTAGCGACCCTTCCCGGCGCCCGGGGACAAACTTTTCGATTTGCACCCCCCCCCCAAAAGATTTCGTTTTGCACCCCCCCCCCCCCTCAAACTTTCGATTTGCGACCCCCCTCCAGATTTCGATTTGCACCCCCCCCCCCTCAAACTTTCGATTTGCACCCCCTCAACCTTTCAATGTATTTTTCCAACCCATTTTGGCGCCCCCTAAGGTCGACGCCCGGGTACATATGCCCCCCCCCCCCCCCTCGCTACGCTACTGAGGCTACGTGTTAGGTAATTATAAGCCTGTCATAAGATTTTTTTTAAATGTAGTCAGGCATTTTATGTTTTCAATAATGAAAGCAGTATGGTTAGATCACTCAGTATGCTTATACACATTTACACGGATTAGTAAATTTAACGGTAAGCCTATTAAAGTTACTCGCTTGAAATTGAAATAAGAAATGTGCAGTAGTAATGAAGCTCAGTTGCTCCCGATACTATCCAATCACATGGCGATACGATACAATCCAGGTCATTATGGATATGGATATTAATAGTATCGATTTCATAACCATAAATTGTCTTCCGATCAAATATTTACAAGATTCTTTTTATTAAACTTATAACGCACAAATTTACACGTCAGTAAACACGTTTTAAATAATTGTCTAAACCTGAGTAATGCAACGCTATTTAAAGAAAAATGCTAGTGCTAGTCCCCGTTTGTCATTTTCATACGCCGTATGCTGACCTAATTTGTGACGTCACCGTGCTTTTCCCTCCAGACGCCATATTGATTCAATGTCGAAACTTACGGCTTTTCCACAAGCAGTTTCTAAAACGTGTTGTAATTTAATACATTGACAACATTTTATTGCTGTGTATGACATTTTCCAATTGACAATTAATCATTGTAAGTAGTAATCGGAATTAAACAGTATCGCCATTTAGCGTTTTCATGAGCAATCAGGGTATCGATCAGTCTCATTTTCGTTTGGACAAGGCAAGATGATCAAATTTGGATTCGATACGCTTGCTTATTCGGTGTACTTTACTGTACAGTGTTTTTACTTTACTCAATAACTAACTTAAAATATGGTAGATCTACATGGATTTAAAGTTCTGGAATCATATAGATCTAATTTAGATCTAGAATCTAGTAGCTGGACATAATTAGTACAAAAATGGATGTGACGCAGGGCTTAATCGTAAAACTTGTGAAATGCAAGTCCATTGAGCGCGCAATCGCACCCATAGCTTCACAAGTAAGAACACACATTTTATAACACTATTCACTAATAGAAATCTACCACTTTTTTTTTTAAACGCCGCTTTCTTTTGTAGTGCGACATTATTAATCATTACTCGTATTACTTTTTTACAATTTAAAAAAAAATTAATTCACGTTTTAGTTGGTTACTTTGTTTCACCTTTTTATTTTAGTTGAGTGCCGGCCATTTTATTCGACTTCGGTCTGATTACTTTTAATTTTCGGGATGGTTACAATTCCAGACACATTATGACAAATATGATTACTGGAGCTGATTACTCATTTCTCGATCACTTCTTTGCGATTACTTACTGTAGTATCTGAGTATTCTGAATATTGAATATAGATCAAAATCTATTGTATTTATAATTTTGTATAGATCTAGTAGAGATAATCTAGATTAGAATCTAGCCTAAAATGCTATTTTATAATTTGAAAGTTAGGCTACTTATAAAAAAATGATTGCTTCACTTAACATTACAGTTAGGCCTACATTTTCATTTATTTTAGACCACATTCATACACACATCTGGAGTGGAATCTACAGCCAATACCACTATTACCACATTCCCATTCCTAAAAAATAAATGTTAATTTTTCATAGGGCCTAGAATAACTAATAGTCTAATACTAATAGGTCTTCATCTAGATTTCTAGTGGTAATAGATTTGGGATCTAGATTACATTTCTAGACTAGTTGGGTTAATCAATATAAAAGTTAAAAGAGAAGCCATAAAAAAACTTATAGTATAGATAGGCCTATCTAGTTACTAGATCTATCAACTGCAACTGTCATCAATAGTTCACATTCTAAAAATCAAATAACTTACTTGACATGAGATGTTAGACCTATCTATAATCTTACTAATAACTATCATATAGTGTCACTACTCTACACTAGTCTACAGTATTCTAGATTCTAAACTCAGGATAGGCCTAAACCCGAATTAAATGAATAATTTTTAAAAACATTACATTAATAGCCTACTACTTATGTACTATCTTACAGTTACTCTACATAGAAGTTGTAAAAAATTGTTTTTGAAGATATTTTTTGGCCTATTCAACTAGATCTAACTAGTCTGCAGTTACTGGATTATGGATATAAGCCTGTCTTTTACTTTTTATGTAGCCAATAGTTGTTTTTTTTTTTACTATTTAGTAAGGCTCAAGCCCACTCATAAAATATTCTGTCAGTGTTTATCAAGATGTAGGACTACATTTGTTATTAGTTAGATACATCAACTAACTAGAAAATGTTGAGAAAGAACAAAGAGACATGATTATGATCTACCAGACTTGTAAATCAAGTAAATGTTTCTGTAGCTTATGCCTAATAATATCAGGATTTGCTGTGTAAGAGAATTTACAGGCTAAGCCTTTGGTCTAGTAGCAGTCTAGCTAAAGTGAATTGATGATCTAACGATTAGGCCTGAATTGATATTTAAAAATCATATTGTTCTGTGATTGCTAATCAAGCAATATTTAGGCCTAATCAATAATTTTAAGTTGGTCTGCTTTAAGTTGAAAAACGGGTATTTACCTAAAATTTAACTAGGGAGACTGACTAATCTAAAGCCTGAATTCCAAAAGCCCTTATTGCTCATGACAACACCAATGATACTGTGGCTTAATAAAAAGATTCCGATTGCTTTTTACATACAATTAAATTTTTTCTATCCAGTGTTTTTATTGATTTTTAGAACCATGACAATTTAAATACAAGTTATTTGATACTCACAAACTCTTCATGAACGACTACAGTACCTCTGTTTTGCATTTCACGCAAATTGAATCTGATAAAAACAGCAAGCCAATTGGGATTTTTCCTCAAGTAGAGGAAGTCAGGTTAAAGAGGACTAGAAGTGCCACAAAGCAAGCCATCATGATGACCGATGGTGTCTCCCCACCTATGCCAAAGTCGAATAAAGGACCCAAGCGTCCTCGTAGTGTTGTATGGTATTACTTTGATAAGATTATGAATGAACCCCAGCGGGCTAGATGTAAAATTTGTGGTGCTACATGCCACCATGCAAACAACACCTCAAATCTTTTCAAACATCTACGCGTCAAACACCCTTCAACCTATAAAGAAGCAGAAAGTCAGAGGGAAGCTGAAATGGAGTTGTACCTAGAGTTAAAAGCAAAATCTGGTAAGCCGGTTATTCGCCCAGGGATGAGAGGGCGACGACCAAAATCACTGGGTGTTCTAACAAACCCCATAGTGAAGGCTGAAGATAGTATGCTATTAAACAACACCACTGGCTCAACCCTAGGAGTTCGGAAATCTTACGGAGCAGAGAAGGTCAAACAAAATATGACCAGAGCGTTATTGAAAATGATTACTGTGGATTTACACTCTCCAAATATTGTCAACGGCAAAGGTTTTCGAGACTTTGTTCGTTCCCTAGACTCAAGGTACGAACTTCCTAGTAAAAAAAGTATTGCAAAATCTTTACTGCCTGAGCTTGCCGAAGAAACAAAGCATAAAATCAAATTAGATGTTGTTATCGCTTCCTACTTTGCTTTGACTGTTGAAACATGGACATATCGTAACACGCAATGCTTCATGACACTATCTGCACATTTTATCAAAGATTCATGGGAGATGGCCAGCATAGTATTGGAGACATTTGACTGCACTGAAGACAAAACAGGTAAGCTTTCTTCTTCAGTTTCCAAAAAAAGATTCTATAAAACAAGAAATATATGTCAGTGTGCTAATGATCAAGAATGTAAACATCTTCATGATGTATTTTCTTAAGTCTAATTAAAATTTCCGAAATTTGTTGAAAATGTATTAATTAACTCTGTTTCTTATTATCTTTGAATACATCTCTAAAATATCTATTTGATTATGAAACATGCTACAAAATAATTTTTAAAAAAAAACTGATTTAGATCTATACTAATGATGTTATTTTTTTCTTTTACAACTTCCAGAAACCAATGTGGCAACCAGTTTTAAGAGGATCACAGATGAGTGGGGTGTTACAGACAGAGTCATAGCACTGGTCGCTGATAACTCTGAAGATGTTATCCACAGTGCTAGCTTAGTCAACGGGTGGGAAGAACTAATCTGCTTTGGTCACACAATGAACATGGTGATAGCGAATGCTCTGACCTCTGTTGCTGAGCTGGTTAGAATACAGAAGAAGACCAATGACGCTGTGGCTTATTTTGAAAAGAGTACCAAAGCTGCAGATACACTAGCTGCAGTACAGCAGCAACACAATTTACCTGTTCACAAGCTGAAACAAGAGAACCTTCGCTATTGGACATCCACCTTTGCCATGTTTGAAAGGATGGTAGAACAATACGAGGCAGTGAACACTGTTTTATGCTTTCTTGGCAAAGACCACATGTGCTTGTGTGATGACGAGGTGGAGCTAATTCGAAGCGTTGTGGAAGTCCTTAAACCTTTTGAGGCAGCCACTAAAGAACTCTGTACTGAACAGTACACGTACATGTCCAAAGTCATCCCCATAGCCACACTTCTCCAGCAAGTTACGTCTGCGGGTATTGCCACCTTACCGGGCCCCCAGTCAGCATTAAAAAATGCCCTCATCACCCAAATGCAGCAGCATTTTGTCAATGTTGAAAACAATTATAAACTAGCTGTCTCCACACTGCTTGATCCTCGCTTTAAGCGCCACGCTTTCACAGACGCTGCTGCTTTAGAGCTTTCACATCAGCGCTTGCTGGGGGAACTTGCTACTGTTGTTCAAAACTCTGACACACCTTCCATGGCTAATGACTCACAGTTTGGTAATGATACTTCAGGTTCTTCGTTTTGGAACATGTTTGATCGTAAAGTTTCAGAGGCTGGGGCAATGAAAACATCGGCATCTGAGGCCGACAATGAAACACGTCGTTACTTCAAGGAAGCCAACATCCCTAGAAATGCAAATCCGTTGACCTGGTGGAAGTTGAATGAAGTTCAGTTCCCACATCTTAAAGTTTTAGCTCAGAAATATTTATGCATACCTGCCACTTCTACAGCGTCTAGCCGCTTGTTTACCAAAGAGGGAGATGTGACTGCTTGTAAACGGGAACAAATAAAGCCAGCTAATATTCACACAATGTTGTTCCTCAACAAAAACCTGGCGTAGTTTATACCTGTAATATATATTAAAAGTTCTTAAGTTACTGTTGTTAGGACAAATTCAGCATTTATTAATTTACGACAGTTAATTATTAATAAGTGTGACTTTAAAAATAGAGGCTGATACTTTATGGAACAGAAAATATAATTGTTTGAGCTTGATAATTATCCTGTGCTATATATACCATCTACACATTGTTAATTAAGGTCACAAGCCAGTTGTAGCTGTTTGAATGGATATGAACAGGGTTGGTGATTAATGAAGACTTTCATAGGAAAATGTATCTCAAATTATTTTTGTTGTGATTTTAAATATGAAAGACTGACAATTATATCAAATATATTAAAGTTTAAATTACTATGTATATAATTTTGACATATTTTTTTGTAACTAAGATTATTGTTGTTTTATCCGTATATTTTTCTAGAATCCGCAGTATCAATCATTCACATTTACCCATGGGATTCAATGATACATTTTCCATAGCATCTTCCAAGTCAGTTAAAAATCTATATTTTGGCATCTTGCTTTCAAAATAGATAAATTATCGCTTACAAGTTCATGAGTTATTTTTAAAAAAGCATTTACTTTTGGAATCATGAAAACTAATTGAATAAATTAATTTGTATAGAATCAAACCAATATAATTGTGGGAATTTTGTTGATTTCAACATATCACTGAGATTGTCAACATATTTTCATACTTTTTAACAACTAAAACACAACTATAATTTTTATTACTCAATATCTGATCTAATAATGAAATTTATTACTTCGAGATCTTTTCTGTTTTGTATGTAAATTAAAACAACCGATGCTTTGTTACTGTTTGTTTTTATCCAGAAAATCAACCCATGTACTGTTGTGATCCAGTATTATGATTTGTAAGATTATTTTTAACTAGTTTGAATATTAAATGTGGATTTTCAACTTTATCATGTGAAAATGTATTGTCTATTTTGGGATAAATAGGATGGTGTTTATGATGTGAAAATGTGTATATACATGCAAGAGTTTTTTTTTTTAAATGTTTTTTTGCTTTTTTAAAAACTTTTTTAAAGCATTCTCAATTACTCTTTGTTGTTAAATCAAAGATTGCATGATTTCTTTCCAAAGTATGATGATGTAGAGAAAATGTAATGAACTTAATGGAAGCAGTAATCTAAGCTTTATCATTAAGTAAAACTAATTAGCTTTGCTGCACCATAATTATCTTAACTAAATTCTCCATTTAAACAGCTTCAGGACTAAGGAAAGTAAAGTATGCAATTGTTGGCCAGATATTTTTTCATTTATTTCTCTTTTAACTAAGATATATGCAAAATGTACAATCAATAATTATGGTTTTTTTTTAAGTATGAAAATTACATTTTGAAAAGTTATTTTTTGTTTCAGTTCTTCAGTTTACCAAAATGCAAATAATGTGTGTTCTCACAAGCTAGAATGTGTTTTCATATGCAATCTTATCTTCTATGAAAATCTTTGTGCATTGTTGTATGAGAATCTGGAAAGCATAGGCCTTATATATTATACATAATGAAAATATCAGGTACCATACACAGCATTATGTGTGTTATTGCAAATGAAAGTTCTATTTTATTCTAACTTGTCTGGTTATATTGACGTAGAGTAAAATTTAATTTTAAAATGACACTGTTTATTTTGTTACGCCCAAATCAATCTTTTTTGTAAGTTCTGGTTTCTTTAGAAAAATCTAAATCCTTAAGTTTTTCGTTCTTTTTAGATGGGTGGATGAAAGTCAATTTTTTGTTGTCTCTAGTATTGATAACCCTAAAACAGGTCCATGACCAAGCAGAAAACAATCACCTCGATAGGTCAATGCACTGCCCTCCCCACTTTCTGAGAAGAACTAAATTATATTATACGAGCCGGCCCGCGGCATAACATACGCCGCTATTTAGTTGTTGTTTTTTTTCTACTTTTCAATAATTCATAATTTGTGAATTTGACAGTACCAACGCTGACACTGAAAATATTTCTTTAAAACACTATAAGTAACTCGTTAAGGACCATAACCCCCCTTCCTTCCCCCCCCCCCCCTCCCGCTACGTTTAAAATCGTTTTAAACTAAATTATCTTCCCCTAACAGTCGTCACATAACCCAGCTCTGCTTGTAAACATTTAGAGTGAACACAGCTCACTAAGACAATGTAGGGGTGGGGAGGTAGGGAGCGCGTTTACAGCTTGTTTTCTAGCGTCTCCCAGAAGAGAATTATATATAGAGATCAATAGTGTGTTTTTGAACACTTTTAAGTTGTGCATGTGATGTAAAATCGTGACATATCGGAGTAAGAAAATTTAGTTTTGAAAGTGTGAAATTAGTTTTAGAATTGTGTAAGGTATATCAGTGGTTCCCAACTTGTGGAGGTGGTACAAGCCTTCATATTTACACACCAAATCATTATTGATATATATTGCTCCAAAGTATAAGTACCAACTTCAGTTATGTTTTTGATGTTTGAACTAAAATAAACATATGGAGAACAGCTTTATCATGATAGTACCTTATACAGTTACACCTTTGAATATTATTTTCATTTGAATCCCTCTTCATCATTTTCTTCTAATATTATGTGAATAAGCAGTGTAACTTATAGTTATATTTTTTTAGATAGCCTATAGCACACAATTTTAATCCTTTACTTTTAAATGAAAATTCTAAAAAATTAGATTACCTAGTCATACTTGTTTATAGGGAAATATATTGTTAAATAATATAACTGCGAGTATAAATTTAATCAAGAGTTTTAATTTTCACAAACACTAGAAAGATCCAACTAAATTTTCAGACTAAAAGTGTAAAATGAAGTTTATAAAGTTAGCAATAAATGTGATGATTTGTGTACATTCTCTATTTGGCACAATAGTTTTCTTAACAAACCTTTAAGATATTTTTATTTAATTTTCTTCAGTGTTTAAAAGAAACCACTATTTAGCCTGTATGTTTGATTTATGAATATATGGTTTTAAACAAAACTAACAATTTTCAGTTACAGGCTAAAACAGTGACAGCGTTAGTTTTTTATTTGTTAGTGGTTTGAATTTTCTTTCAACTTAAGAGCTATACTAATTCTTTATATTTCTGCCACATCGCAAACCATAAAAGATGTATTAGAAAATTGTATTGCTATGTGACAAAGCAATATGTATTTAAAAAAAAACAAAAAACTATACAATTGATATAGGAATAGGCACAATTCCAATTATCTGAACTGATAAAACTAAATGCATGTTAAATGTATGGTTATACTTATAGGAGAAAAGTTAGGAACCACTGAAAGTGACTGATGCTTTGTTATAACAACAGTTGTATATCATTCTGAATGGAAGAAGTTGTTTTGTTAGCATATTTTTGTCATGTTACGCTTACAGAAACTTACCAACAGTTTGAGTTGTATTTCATTCTGTATGAAGGTAATTGTTTTGTTAGCATATTTTTTTCATGTTACAATTTAAGAACTTGTGAAGTGTGATGAATCAAGTTTTACTGACTGCTTTCTGCGTGTTGATTGTGTAGGATTAATTCATGTTTGGATTCATGTTGATCTTAAACTACCACATTTTAACAAATCTCATGAGGATTATTAAACTACAATGATATAATGACTCAGATTTTTTTTTCTCTCTGTTTTTCATCACTGTTTTATGAGTGTGTTGTAGTTGACATGTCACCAAGCTTTTGTGCCTAATGAAGGTCAAAACACTGGTACGCCTAAACATCAAGAAATATTGCAGTAAATCACAGTAACTGATGTTGTTAACTTAAGTCATATGATGTAACACTGATACAGGCTAGGAATCTCTGCTGGTTTATAAGATAGTAACTTAAGACAACAATTTACTAAGGGTTGGTCTTGTCATTACCTATCTTTGGCTGCTGACCCACCCCCCCCCCCCCCCCCCCCCCCCCCCACCTTTTTGTTTTCAGAATTATTGGTGCACGTTCAGCTCTAATAACATATTTATAGAGTTAAGTCCTGGCTAGACCAGTTATTAAAACCCCACAGGTACTAATTTTTAATTGATAAACCTGTTCAGCAGATCAACAGTACTAAAAGATTTCAATATTTTCTTTTAAATCCAAAGACAAGTTACAAGAATCTACTTTGACTTAATCTATTGCCAAAGTCCAAATAGCTATACTATACTGTTTAGCAGCAGAGGCATAGCCCAGGGCCCTGATACTAGGGGGAAGGAGCATCAAATGGGATAGAAGAAAAAAAGATGATTCTGGGTAGCATTACTAATACACAGTCTAAGTTAAGAAAATGAACTGCTACTTGGTCAAATATTAATAAACGTATTAAACTATTTCCTACATCAATTTTTACAATAAAAGCTGTTTAGTGACGGCTATAGTACGCCTTGACGCAGCAATAATTTACTGTGTATATATCTTGTGTAATTGAATAACGGCAAGTGCCTTAGATTTAGAGTAAAGACAGGTTTTGATTAGAGTGTTCAAGCAAACGGAAAAAAGTGTCCATGCTTCACTATGTCTTCAGCTTTCTCCACTTTTGGGTAATGGTGGTCTGTTTAAACAACTTGAGGATGTACTCTGTTGCTATCTATGGTTATTTAATGCAGAATATGGTCAAGCAGTGATAGATTCTTTGACAAAACTAGGAAGACACAAGCTGTGTATTAATGTAGTGTATACCAGAATGTTACAAATCTATTTTTAAAAGATCTATTTTGAAAATATCACCTTTCTCAATATGTTATTTTGCATGTTAATTCAATTTTTTTTTTCTCTCCTTGAAAATTTGATATATTTTTGTGGAAGAGAGATATAAGTCCTGTAAATCTCCCCCCAAGTCATTTAACCCCTATCAATATACCCTGCAATGATAATTAAAATGTTATTTTGCACATTTGTTATTTGCACAATTTTTTTTCTCTTTAAAATTTTATATTTGGTGGAAGAGAGTTATAAGGACACAATCCTTCTGTCATTTAACCCCTATCAATATAGTCTCTAATGATAATTACCCACTCCCACGTGTCATAATGGCAAATGACTTGAATAATATTATTTGAACATGATACGTAACTTCAAGTCTTTGCTTAAGTGCTTGCATTATAATAAATTACTTATCCTCATTCTATGCAACAAGAACAATGTTTCTCAAAATATATTAGTAATACACAGTTTTGAAAGTATATTACTTTACAATATATGTATATATATATATATATATATATATATATATATATATATATATATATATATATATATATATATATATCTTTATTGCTTTGTGGCTATTGGGGAGCAAAGGGCTGTAGCCACACCTCTCCACCGAACTTGGTTTTGAGCAGCTCTCTTTATTAGCACCCTTATAATCCTGGCAGCTCTTGCCTATTCTAAAACTGTTCTTCTCCAGGCTTTCCTTGACCGGCCTACTTTCCTCTTCCCCTTGGGATTCCTCACAATATTATCATCTTCCCCTCTCAAGGTATTACCAATCCATCACCATTTGCAGGCTCTAATATATACAACCCTATTATTAAATCCTCTAACCCTTTTCTATTTGTGACTAATTCTGCTTTATTCAACAAACTTCTTATCTTTTAAATATCATGTCTGCCTTTTTCACTAACTTTTTCTGGACTTCCGACCCTTTTAACTAAATTGGCCTTCTGCAGATTCTAGTCACATGATCCCCTCACTCTAATTGGTATAGGTTGGTTGCAGTTCCGTTTGTCTCTTTCAGATTTGACCAATGGTTTGCCATTCTTCTGACGTAATTTATTATCTGTATGCTTGCATCATCACACTGTAAAGTGAAGTACTATTACTAATATATACTTTCCAACATATTTCAGGTGTCGTTACTAGTCATATTGGCAGAGGAAAAAGAAGAAAAGCAAGCTATACGTAGCGATCATGGCACAACTGATTCAAACCTCAGTCTTATTCATTGCGCTTCCAGAATTATGGCTGAAGCTGTTAAAAAGTTCATTAATGAAGGGGAGAAACTCTGCCAGAAATCACAAAATCAGGTTCGAAGTTGACTCAAATTTTCTTTATAGGATAGTGGCAATATTTTAATTAAAAAAAAAAACTATATGAAAAGCATCTTTTTTTTTTAAATTATAAAATTTCAATATACTATTCAACAAAAGTAATAATGTAATTAATAAAAACTTTGGCAATGCCATTTTTGGCCTTTTTTATATTATCTCTTTCTGTGTTATTGAAAATAAATTGACCAAAAAAAGTGTTAATAAACTTAAGACATTTTTTTTTTGCTTCATGGAGTTTTTACAAAGCTTCCTTCTTTTGAGTGTATTTTGCTAAGTCTAAGCCCCACAACTGTGATCTTATATCTATATAAATATATTTTTGTTTTGTTTAGGATTTTATCCATAAAGTGAAATCCGCCAATGAAAATTTGACAGTGACAACAGACCAGCTGCTCATCGTCGTGCACAGATTAGAATCAGGGACAGCACCAGATAATATCATCCAGATACTTTGTCAAACTGCTAAAGATGTGCTGCAAGGGGTCTTAAGGGTAGAGAGCTGTTTTTTAAACTTATGTACTGAAGAGGTCTTAACTACAGTACATCTTCTATTTATTATATAATAGACTTAAATTCTTGTTTAGTAAGGGTAACCACCAAAGATGTACTCAAATCAGTTTGTTGCTTGTTATAATATATTCCTGTTAAAATCCAACAAAACAAACGTACACTATAGTTTTGTAATTGTTTAGTTAGGTACTAAATATATGTAAATATAGTCTCATTTCAATGAATATTTTAATGTGATGATTAATGTATAATACAAATATTTAAACACATTGTATTGCAGGTACTACTAGTTATTGATGATTTTCATGTTCAGGAGCTTATTCAGAAAGTGGATCTAGTTATCTCCCATCTACAGGGAGTTAACCTAGTCGAGGACTATGCTATGATTAAAAAAAGATTGGCTGTAAGTGATTTATTAAACATTTGCCATTCTTTTTGCTGTTTGTGTTCATGATGTTTGAAAAATTAAAGTTTTTTAGTTTGCTGTCAAGTTTCTTAAAATATTTCTTATCCATTTTAGTTTTACCATACTAGATCTATATACTTTCTTAGCATTTTTACATTTTATGACATTTCTTGGTTAAAAAAAATGTTTAAAAGTTTACCATAAATGTTATGCAATTTTAGCAGATTTAGTAAACTGCATTAAAAATTATGTTCCTTTAAATAATTACAAACTACAACTGTATTGGTTATATTGTGTAAGGGAAGTAATTAAAATGAACACTACAACCATCCCCAGCAACTTGCTGTAACTGTAATGACCTTGAGAGGCATGCTGTGTAGCCGGTGCAGGAACCTGTGTAGTAAACTGTGCAGTGACCAGCTGACCGTGTGGGGCAACGTCCTGCAGAGCAGCCTACCAGTTTTACACAAAGTCACCAAAACCTGTTGTCAGTACCCAGGGAATGTTTCTGCTAAGGTAATTGCTATCAGGCTCTCTTGAGATATGGGTTCTAACATTCGTTTGGCTATTGTAGATTGTAGGGACATACTGTATCCTGGGAATGTTTCTGCTAAGGTAATTGCTATAAGGCTGTCTTGAGAAATGGGTCCTAACATATATTAGTATGGTAGTCATTTTAATATTGTAGATTGTAGGGACATAATGCCATACACAGGGAATGTTTCTGCTAAGGTAATTACTATAAGGCTGTCTTGAGATATATGTCCCAACATATATTAGTAGGGTAGTCATTTGCCTGTTTTAGATTGTAGGGACATACTATATCCTGGGAATGTTTCTGCTAAGGTAATTGCTATAAGGCTCTCTTAAGAAATGGGTCCTAAGATTTGTTTGCCTGTTGTAGATTGTAGGGGCATACTGCATCCTGGGAATGTTTCTGCTAAGGCTGTCTTGAGATATGGGTCCTAACATATATTAGTAGGGTAGTCATTTGTCTGTTGTAGATTGTAGGAACATACTGTAACCAGGGAATGTTTCTGCTAAGGTAATTGCTATAAGTCTCTCTTGAGAAATGGGTCCTAACAGTCGTTTGGCTGTTGTAGATTGTAGGAACATACAAAGGCTATGGAAGCTAATCCAAAAAGAAAAGCAGGCTGAAATCAGAGTCAATGGCCTCAATGGGACATAACCAGTTGACACACATACTTAATTGTATTGGAGGGGATTCCTTCCAGCACTAAAATTAAGAACGACGAAGAAGAAGAAAAGATTAGTCTTTTGTAGATTCTAGGGACATACTGAGATATGGGTCCTAACATGTTTTAGTAGGAAAATATTAATTGCCACTTGATGTAGCTTGAAAGGGGCATACTGTTGTCATTATCCTGGAAATATTTCTGCTAAAGCAATTGTTATATGTGGGACGGCTTGGCCTAGTGGTAGAGTGCTAGACTGCTAATCTGAAAATCTCGAGTTTAAATCTGTGTTCAAGTCAGTAGTGTGTCTCTGAGTTCACCCAGCTCTGATGGTACCTAAATCCTGTTAGGGAAAGTAAATCCAACCTAATGTTGACAGCACTGTTCCTTCTTATGCTGAGGTCACAGAAACAGGTGAACTCTACTCCACTTGCCCCCATCGACTTTCCTGTTCAAAAAGGGAACTTTACTTAATTGTTATGGTTGGCTGAGAAATGTTAATAGATCCTAAAATGTTGTAATAGGACAATCAGTTGGCTCTTGTTGTAGCTTGTATGGGCATACTGTTGTCAGTACCCAGGTAATATTTACGTGATTGTGATTGTAATGGGACAGTGTGGTCTAGCGGTAGAGAGCTGGACTGCTAACCCGTAAGTCTCGAGTTTGAATCCGGGTTCAAGTCAGCAGACCGTTCCTGAGTCCACCCAGCTCTGATGGGTACCTAACTCACGTTAGAGAAAGTAAAGGCTGCTGGGCATAGTGCTGACCACACTATCTCTTCATATGCCGAGGTCACAGAAACAAGTGAACTCTACTTCACTTGCCCCATAAACCGTCAGGTTTGAAAGAGAAACTTTACTTTACTTTAATGGATATATGACTTTTGACATCATCATCTTTTCCTTTTTGTGCCCAAAGCTCCCTCCACTTTTGTCAGTAATTTTCCTGGCTGTCCCGCATGACAGTCCTGCCTCAGCCAGCTTCTTCCCTACCATATGAAACATAATCATATAAATTCAAATGTTTTAAACATACCTAAATCTTTAACCTAAAAACATTGAATAAATTACAGTTTAAAATTTTCCTGGTCATTGGCTTTTTTTGCCTATAAACATTCAACAAAGTGCACTGGTCAGTGCTCATCCTCTATACCTACAAATGACCATGAAAAATGACTCCATTTACAGGCCAGCTTTGATTCAGTCCAGCAGGAAATCAAGCAAGCTTGCCAGAAAATTAAACAGCTGCTTTGTTTTGGGCCACAAGATACTGTGGATGATATGATCATAAGTTTTGTTGGGGTTGTTGATAAAGTAAGTCTGTGTGAACGATAAAAAGTATGTTTCTATATTTGATGATTTTACAATTTATCACACACATGCACACATATGCATGCTTATAATTTGTAATTTTAATAAAATGTTTAATATGTACTTAAAATATAGCATGGAAATAAAGTTGACACTATATAGGCTAGGATGGTGAACAGTTTTTTCGCGGCTGGTTACTTTTTTACCTTAGCATCAAACACCGGTTAAGAAATAGCAGATAATTTAGATTTTAGAGAGTGCAAGCTACTGATTAGGTTCTATTTTTAGTCATACTTGCTGTCAACTTCATTCAAAAGGAATAACTATTAAGTGGAAATCAAAACAAATATAAATAAGCTTGCTAATAAGAAGCTTTTTAATGTACTGAAAATTAGAAAATAAAACTATTTTGCTTGCTTCACTAAAAGCATTGGATGCTCATGAAATCAGCTACACATGTTGTTGACCAATTCTTTTATTGAAGTAATCTAATAAGACAAAATTAGAAAAGATTTTTGATGTAAGTTTAATATTTCCCCAGCTGATGGACCTGCTGTCTGAGACCAATCGCAGGGAACTCCATGAGGACGTAGAGAGTGAGATAGTGACCCTGGTCCAACACAGCTTGTCCGTGGCCCACTACTCGACTGGTCTTTACAGGGAGATGATTGTAGCTTCATGCCATCGGGTATTTTTTCTCATTTTTTTTTCATCTTTAATCAAATTAACATAAATCTAATAATGTTTCGTGTTATTTTTAAAATTCCAGTCCTTTATTGAATTAAATTTTTAAAATTTACCAGCCTGACATGATGGTCATAAGGGAAAATGAAGTGGAGTTTAATTTTTTTGACTCTGCAAATATTAAAAAAGATAGTGTGATCAGTTCTATGACTTACCATCTTTATTTCCCGAACTTCAGTAAGGTTCCTATTTAACCTGGGTAGATTCAGTAACATCCTGCTGACTCTAGTTCCTGAACTGAAAATGGTTCTTTGGGGTTAGTAGTAGTACATTAGCATCATTTTTTCCCGTTGGTGCCCAAGACACATGGGGTAGATGAAGTAGAGTTCATCTGTTTCAGGGACCTCAACATATGAAGGAATCGTGTGATCAGCACTATGCCCAGCCGTCTTTGCTTTCCCTAATGTGGGTTAGGTACCCAACAGAGCTGGATGGACTCACTGTATGAACTTGAAACCTTCAGGTTACAACGCCGTCCCAGTACTGCATTATACTGCTCAAATACACAGTCTAACTTAAATACAACTTTTCATTGTTTTTTGTTACTTCCAGATACTACAGTTAAAGGCCAGACTTGTTGAATTAAATATAGCTTTAAAAAATGTTGCTGTACAGAGAACAGTAAGGTACTTGTAGCTCCATTTTGTTTTATTTCTTCCTATTTGGAGACTTTTTTTTTAATGAATTTACATGAGTTTTTATATTTTGAAGTAATTGTCTATTTATATAAAAAAAAATCTCTCAGAATCTCTTTAAACCTAAACATTACATAATAGATCTACTATGTAATTGTTAAATTATTTCTAAACTTTGTAAAAATTAGATTCTAATGTAGGGGAGGTAATCTACTATCTTTAAAAAATTTGCCTTAATCCCTTCAAACATTTCATAATATTACATGGTTTGTGCACTTTTTCAAAACTTTGTTTTTAAAATAGTACCCAAAAATGTATGAATCTGTAAAATGTTATTTCAATTTTGTATCAACATTTAAAGCAGCAAATTTGTTCATCCCTAGAATTGATTTTTCCTCCGTGTGTGAAACCATCCTTGATGAAATCTGTGATCTGGAGAAACATGTGAACATGACCTTGTTGACTCTCATTGTTGACACTTTTCTGTGTCCTAAAGATGAACTAATGAAGCTGAAAAAAATTGCATATATTCAGGTAAAAATACTCAAACTCAATCCTTTTAACCCCAACAGTTTTAAATACTTAACCCTTTTAACCCCAACAGTTAAAATTTTTTTTTTTAATTTACTCCGGTAAAAATACTTAACACTTTAACCACAACAGTACCTATATTTTGGTTAAAATACTCAAATTCATTTCTTTGAACTCTATCAGTCCTAAAGCAGATTGCATATATTGAAGTAAAAATACTCAAGCTTAACCCTTTGAATCCTGAGAATTATTACACTTTGTTAACATTGTTTACCCATCTTAAATGGATAAATTATTAATATGAATAGAAGGTTTAATTTATTATATGAATCAATTTGATACACTTTTATGTTTTCCTGATGAATATGTTATTGATGTTGTTAACATAATGTGTTTTAGACAGTCTTTTATGGCTAAGCAGTTTATATATAGTTGACATGATTAGGAATATAATGTGCTATATTGTAAAATGGCTCACTCTGTTATGTACAGTGTGAGATAGTTAAAAAGAAGTGCAGTCAACTATTGCTACTAACTTTGCATGTTTTACCATAGAACCACATCTAATTTCCTTAACATTTCTTTAGAACACTGAGCCTAGTTATTAGACAGCCACATCTAATTTCCTTAACATTTCTGTAGAACACTGAGCCTAGTTATTAGACAGCCACATCTAATTTCCTTAACATTTCTGTAGAACACTGAGCCTAGTTATTAGACAGCCACATCTAATTTCCTTAACATTTCTGTAGAACACTGAGCCTAGTTATTAGACAGCCACATTTAATTTCCTTACCATTTCTGTAGAACACTGAGGCCCAATTGTCTAACAGCCACATCTAATGTCCTTAACATTTTTTCAACTATAGAACACTGAGGCCCAGCTATCTGGCAGCCATTTGAAGCTGATAAAGAAATTTACAGAATTCACAGAGAACCTTTGTCAGGTCGCCATGCTTGTTGCTTCAAGTTCCACAGACAACTCAAGCAAGTTGATGTTTTCTTTTGCTATTTAAGTGTTTACATAATTTGTTTTTCATGGCCCATAGGGAATAATTGTGACCAGTGTTTTAAACTTTAACAAATGAATATGATATTTGGTTTATTTTAAGGTTTGAAATTATTTATGATATTATTTATTATGACAGCTGGGCCTAATGCTGACAACTTTATCTCTCTGCATGCTGAGGTCTAAAAATTTGTTTTTTTTGTTGTCAAGTAAAATATTTATGCCTAATTCTTCCTCTAAAAAATTCTGCCTCCTTTTAACCTTATCTTTTTAACAATTTTAAACTGTTTAGTTTTATCTAACTTATTTGCTTTCTTTACTCATTTGGTCCAGTAATTCGTTAATCAGCTTTTACATCATATACCATTTTCCAATATTACTGTCAAGCCATATGTTTTTTAACTGTGGAAGTTTCAGTAAAGTTTAGTTTTGAAATATTACCTTCTTTCCTAGAATTTCAAGCCTGATTAGTCTAGCTTTGATAGATTATTTTAGAATGAACAAACGCAAAACAAAACCTAGCTTTCACTGTTTGTTCACAATATTTTAACTGACCAACTGACCAGTATTCCTGACATTTCAGAAGTGAGAGACATACTAACAGCGGTCAAGGGTCTGGAGCTGATTGACCCAGAGATAGCCCCCGCTGTGATGATGAACAGCCGTGACCCCAAGAACAGAGCCTCCAACAAACATTTGGACCTGATCCTCAGCCGCTGGGAACAAGAGGTCACCTCCATCACTGGCGCCATAGACAGCATTGTTGACCCTAAAGTTTTCATGGACTTGACTGGTCAGTTTGAAAGCTTACGCCCTTTAGTTATATTTTGTTTATGTTATGTGATGACACAAAACAAGAGGCAGGAATTTGTTATTGGAATGGATGGATGGTAGGGGGGGTCGAAATGTTGTCATTTTGGGCTTCACGCCCATGCCACAAAACATAACGATTAAATGGTTATACAAGTTTAAGTACTCAGCATAAGCATTGTTTAAATCAATTTTTCTGGAATAAACAAATTAACTTTTTTTTCTGTTTAACTGTTTTTTATTTCACTTATAAAATTATTAAAATCACAAGGTTAGGTTAGGTTAAATTGGTTAAGTTAGCCTGTCACCTCTCCTGGGATATAGGCCGCTGACAAGAGCTTTCCAGGCGTCTCTGTCATTGGCTGGTCTCTACAACTGTCACTAGGTGTATCCAATAAAATCACAAATAAACAAGCTAACATAATTTTCTGCATGAAGATTAGAAGTTGATTTTAATATTTGTGTCAAAAATAAATCATTTAGTATTTTATTCCTCTTTAAAGCATTATTTATTTCAGTTATACTTTTTTTACCCACAGAATCCGTGTATGTCACTGAGATAGAAAACTTCACCAAAATGATGGTTGACCCCTCTCATAAAAAACTACTGTCCCACAGTTCCAGAGTGAGAAATTTGGTGAAACGACCAATTTTAATTGCTGAAAAGTTGGTCGATGAAAGCAGTGATCCAATTTATCGCAATGGGCTGCGTTGTTTTATCAATAAGCTTTGTGGAAGTAAGACTTTGTTAATGGAAATAGACTTATAAAAGTGATATTTTCATGTTTGTTTCTTGCAGTAGTGACGTGGTGTAATAGTTCCCTTTATCTAAGTGAATTAACTTCTTACTTCAGTGTTTTCCTAGTAGCTTTCTATAAAAAAAACAATTGTTAACTTGTACTGTTTTAGTTTTAATGGCTACTCCTTTCAAGAGAGATAACTACTTACTTCAAGAAAATTAATTTATATTGTCTATTTTTGAGGGGAAAATCTGCTAAGTATGGTTGTTTATAATATAAAACTGTTGAAACTATTTAAATTCAGAGCACAATGCTAAGCCAATTGAAGCCCACATAAAAGAGCTAAATGTGCTTCACGTGAATCAGTACGTGATTACTTTATTCACGTGTGAATGTATATCATCACTGCTGTCATAGACTATATTTTTTACATTTAAGTTGAACTATAAAATTATGAATACGTAGTGATAAATGTAAAGATTCCTCTTCAAACCTAGCAATCCATTGGGTAGATGATTTTGAATTAATATGTTTCATGATTTTGGCAAATGAAGGGATGATGTGATTAGCATTATGCTCTGGCCCCTTTACTTTCCCCAACATAAGTCAAGTACCCATCAGTGCTAGGTGGACTCAAGAACGCCCTACTATCATAAGTCAAACCAAGACCCGAACTTGGAACCTTCGGGTAGCAGCCAAAATGCTTTACCATTTGACCACACCACCCCTACATGTGTGGGACGGAGTGGCCTAGCGGTAGAGAGCTGGACTGCTAACCCGTAAGTCAGTCATGTTAGGGAAAGTAAAGGCGATTGGGCATAGTGCTGACCACACTATCTCTTCATATGCCGAGGTCACAGAAACAAAGGAACTCTACTTCACTTGCCCTATAGACAGTCAGGTTTGAAAGGGAAACTTTACTTTTTTTTTTACCCCTACATGTAGTGATAAAGTGCATCAGTAAGGAGCTAGGTTTTAATGTGATTACTTTATTGACCCACATATTCCCCTGAGCAGGTTTGTCTGAGGCTGATGCTGTGTACATTGAGCTACTGCAGACCAAGGACCCAACACCAAAGCAACAGGACACTGTAGAACGGAGGCTGAAGATTGTCCTTCAGGACTTGAAGAGCTTAAGGGAAGGCTTGGATGTGAAAAAACACCCACACATATTGAGCCACAAGAGGTTGTTGTTCAAGCAAAGGTCAGGACACTCAGGTAAGTAAATCTTTACGGATATTTTAATTGTAACTAGTCTTAATGAATAGAGATGGGTTTTTTTTATTTTGATTAAAGCATTGTGTTAACTTACAGATATTTTAATTGTAATTAGTCTTAATGAATAGAGGTGGTTTTTTTTATATTGATTAAAGCATTGTGTTAGCTGACTGATATTTTAATTGCAATTAGTCTTAATGAATGCAGATGCTTTTTATAATTTAACTCTTTTCTACATAAATTGTGTAAAACCAAAGTAAAGATAGTTATAGGCTAGTGACTGGTAGAAAACATCCTTGGTCTTTACTAATTAAGGGGGTGGAGGGTAGGCGTTATTTTTTTGGTCTACTTGAATAACTATATATAATTGGGAGAGAGGGTGGCACAAAATTGATAGTTCGCCCTTGGCGTCTGAATGTGTCGCTACGTCTGTGTTATTAGTATCATCATCATTATTCCTTTTTGCTCCTTGAGGAACATAGGGCCTCCATTTCAGTTTTCCTATCTCCACAGTTTCCCTGCCACTCTAATCAGCATTGATCAGCTCTATCCTATCCTTTCTGCCTCTTCCAGCACACCACCCAACATGTTTTCATTGTTAAGTAAAGAATCCACTTTAGACCTAGCAATCCTTTGGTAGACGAAGTGGAGTTCATTTGTTTCTTGACCTCATTATATGAAGGGAAGGTGTGGCCAGCACTTTGACCAGCCACCTTTACTTACCTTAACATGAGTTAGATACCCATCAGAGTTGGGTGGACTCAGGGATGTTCTACTGACTTGGTCCTGTATTCCAACTTGATACTTTTGCATTTGTAGTGTAGTACTCTAACGCTTAGGTCATGTCTTCATAGGTTGAAACTTTAATTTGACAATTTTATAAACAAAGCAATAGCTTTGTATATAATATTAAATAAAGTTATCTGTACGAAACTGGTTCACAGATGTGGTAAAATTAAGACATGCACTAAATTACCTATTCTTTTGTCTTAAAGAAGGCAAGTTGAAGACACTAGGAACAGCCACAGTAGTTAAAGATAGAACAAAAGAAGACTTTGAAGCAAGAATGAAAGAACTAATGAAAGCTAAAGAGATGCCAGTGATTGGTGGGATGAATAAGGATGATAAAAACAAGAGAGAAGGTTAGAGATTATGTTTGTTTTGTTTTTTTGCTTGACACTCAGGTAATTTAAAACAATGAGCAAAACATACCATTTTGGCATAAAGAAAGTTAAGAATAATAATAAATTAAAAATCTAGATGTATCTCCTTAAAATGAAGAAAGCCTAGTTTTTTAAAATAGAAATAGCCACCAGGTTAATGTAACAGTATAAAATATTTGCAGGACAAAATATCCCAGTGGCAAAACATCCCCAGAATAAAATATCCCAGGGTAAAATACCCCAGGACAAAATATCCCAGGGTAAAATACCCCAGGACAAAATATCCCAGGGTAAAATACCCCAGGACAAAATATACCAGGGTAAAATACCCCAGGACAAAATATCCCAGGGTAAAATACCCCAGGACAAAATATCCCAGGGTAAAATACCCCAGGACAAAATATCCCAGGGTAAAATACCCCAGGACAAAATATCCCAGGGTAAAATACCCCAGGACAAAATATCCCGGGGTAAAATACCCCAGGACAAAATATCCCGGGGTAAAATATCCCAGGACAAAACATCCTAAGGATAAAATATCTCTGTACAGAACATCACCAAGATAAACGTCTATAAAATAAATATTCCATGATAAAATATGTCAGAAAAATACACTATGGTCATGGAACTATAATGGACTATCCATACCCTTACAAACCTTAGCATGACTTAAAATGCAAAACAATACCACTTAATGTACTAAATACATAAATTATTTTTATTTTTTGGCATGCTTTAAACATTATTGTGATGTTAATTTGATATTTGTCTTTTTGTAGAGGAAAGACAATCCAAGAAACTGCCTTCAGATTTTAGCAACCTCCATATACAAGAACAGCCAACGAAATCTTCCAAGCCCACAGCTGAAAATATGTTTGACTTTCCTCAGATTTTTAAAGAAAAGGAACTTGAAGGAGGCAAATATTTAACAATTATTGAGTGTATAAAATATTTCTTCTTTAATCTGGTCAAGTTGAGTTGCTTGCTTAGTCTCAAGGTTAGCTTCTTCTCTAGTTAGGACTCTGCAAGCTCTCGGTATTCATTTCCTTAAGATTTTGTTTTCTCTTCTAACATTTTAATCAACCTGATGGTTCTCATAGAAGTTAGTCAAGTCCATTTAATTGTTGGCACAGCTATGATGCGAAATTGTCAACATTAAAGTTAAACCTGACCATAAAAAATCATTTTATTTTTGTTTAGTTGGAGAAGCTAATTTTTATAACCTAGTCTAAAATCAACCTCTCCAACTAAACATTAAAAAATCAATTTCTTTAACGTAGACTAAAATCATCCTCTCCAACCTAACAACAAAAGAGTCTGTTTATTAAACTTAAATCATGGGATGGCCTGGTTAAATGGTAGAGCATACAACTGCTAAAAGTCTAGAGAGTTTAAAATCTGGGTTCAAGTCAATAGAGATTCCGTGAGTCCACCCAGCTCTGTTGGGTACCTGACCTACATTAGGGAAAGCAAAAGCAGCTGGGCATTGCTCTGACCACAGTAACCCTTCATATTCAGAGGTTACAGGTGAACTCTACTTCACTTGTCCCGGGGAATGTCAACTTTTCAGACTTTAACTTTATTGACTCCAATCAACCTCTCCAACCAAACAACTGAAAAATCTCCAGCCCCAAACAACATGTCAGTAACAGTAACCAATCTCAGACAATATAACAAAGTCTTCATCATTATCTCCCCTCCTAGGAGCAGTAGCTGAAATCTACGGCCTGGTGAAGAAGCTGCTAACCAAGTGTGCTGCTAGGGAGGGCAAGGCTGTTGAGGACCTGACACACAGCCTCTTGAGCTGGACCAATCACGTCATTGAAAACTCTGAGACGCTAGTGGCACATTGCTCGCATGTCATCAAGAAAAGGTGATCAATTGCATAGATATATAATTTTTACTTTTTTTATACTCTGACAGAAAAATAAAAATAGATTTTAATAGCTTTTGCAGTTTAAAACCTCCCCCAATGTATCGTATACAGAAAATCGAGAATGTATTGTAATTGTGCAAAATATCTAAATTGAGATATTGACAAATGTAGATGTTTTATAACCTTCCGAAGCCAAAAAAATTAAGTTTTGCTATCCTCTCTTTCAGTGTGTGTAAATGCGATAACTTGAGTACTGTTTCAGTTATGTTGACCAAATTTCATATATAAGTGTTTTATAAATTTTTTTAGTTTTCTATCAACTTTTGAGTGGTTTCTGGTAACTGGAAGTGATATGTACCCTTTTTCCGGTCTCTAAAGCTGATGACTTGAGTACCATTAAAACTATTTCTGACCCTAACTTCATAATAAACTTTTTGTGACATTATATTGCACCACCTGCTCCTTAGTAGAACTATACTTTTGAATTAAGCTCCTATATTTAATGAATATATTAATGACTATTTTACTAACTATTGTGTTTTAAAGTGAGCTGATTGATTTGGTGCATGAAGTGGACAAACTGGCCACCGAGGTGATCCAGATGGTCAAGTTTGCCACACTAGGGGAGACAACAGCCACACAAGAACTCCTGGCCAGAGCCATGTCCTGGGCCCACTCAGTAAGGACCCCCCCCCCCCCACCTATCTGTACCAAAGACACCTGGAACAGATTAAGTAGATTATACCTTCTGTTTCATTTCCCTCACCCCCCCCCCCCCCCACCTATCTGTACCAAAGACACCTGGAACAGATTAAGTAGATTATACCTTCTGTTTCATTTCCCTCACCCCCCCCCCCCCCATCTATCTGTACCAAAGACACCTGGAACAGATTAAGTAGATTATACCTTCTGTTTCATTTCCCTCACCCCCCCCCCCCCACCTATCTGTACCAAAGACACCTGGAACAGATTAAGTAGATTATACCTTCTGTTTCATTTCCCTCACCCCCCCCCCCCCCCCCATCTGTACCAAAGACACCTGGAACAGATTAAGTAGATTATACCTTCTGTTTCATTTCCCTCACCCCCCCCCCCCACCTATCTGTACCAAAGACACCTGGAACAGATTAAGTAGATTATACCTTCTGTTTCATTTCCCTCACCCCCCCCCCCCCCCCACCTATCTGTACCAAAGACACCTGGAACAGATTAAGTAGATTATACCTTCTGTTTCATTTCCCTCACCCCCCCCCCCCCCATCTGTACCAAAGACACCTGGAACAGATTAAGTAGATTATACCTTCTGTTTCATTTCCCTCACCCCCCCCCCCCCACCTATCTGTACCAAAGACACCTGGAACAGATTAAGTAGATTATACCTTCTGTTTCATTTCCCTCACCCCCCCCCCCCCCCCACCTATCTGTACCAAAGACACCTGGAACAGATTAAGTAGATTATACCTTCTGTTTCATTTCCCTCACCCCCCCCCCATCTGTACCAAAGACACCTGGAACAGATTAAGTAGATTATACCTTCTGTTTCATTTCCCTCACCCCCCCACCTATCTGTACCAAAGACACCTGGAACAGATTAAGTAGATTATACCTTCTGTTTCATTTCCCTCACCCCCCCCCCCCCCCCCATCTGTACCAAAGACACCTGGAACAGATTAAGTAGATTATACCTTCTGTTTCATTTCCCTCACCCCCCCCCCCCCCCCACCTATCTGTACCAAAGACACCTGGAACAGATTAAGTAGATTATACCTTCTGTTTCATTTCCCTCACCCCCCCCCCCCCATCTGTACCAAAGACACCTGGAACAGATTAAGTAGATTATACCTTCTGTTTCATTTCCCTCACCCCCCCCCACCCATCTGTACCAAAGACACCTGGAACAGATTAAGTAGATTATACCTTCTGTTTCATTTCCCTCACCCCCCCCCCCCCCCCATCTGTACCAAAGACACCTGGAACAGATTAAGTAGATTATACCTTCTGTTTCATTTCCCTCACCCCCCCCCCCCCCCCACCTATCTGTACCAAAGACACCTGGAACAGATTAAGTAGATTATACCTTCTGTTTCATTTCCCTCACCCCCCCCCCCCATCTGTACCAAAGACACCTGGAACAGATTAAGTAGATTATACCTTCTGTTTCATTTCCCTCACCCCCCCCCCATCTGTACCAAAGACACCTGGAACAGATTAAGTAGATTATACCTTCTGTTTCATTTCCCTCACCCCCCCCCCCCACCTATCTGTACCAAAGACACCTGGAACAGATTAAGTAGATTATACCTTCTGTTTCATTTCCCTCACCCCCCCCCCCCCATCTGTACCAAAGACACCTGGAACAGATTAAGTAGATTATACCTTCTGTTTCATTTCCCTCACCCCCCCACCCATCTGTACCAAAGACACCTGGAACAGATTAAGTAGATTATACCTTCTGTTTCATTTCCCTCACCCCCCCCCCCCCATCTGTACCAAAGACACCTGGAACAGATTAAGTAGATTATACCTTCTGTTTCATTTCCCTCACCCCCCCCCCCCCATCTGTACCAAAGACACCTGGAACAGATTAAGTAGATTATACCTTCTGTTTCATTTCCCTCACCCCCCCCCCCCCATCTGTACCAAAGACACCTGGAACAGATTAAGTAGATTATACCTTCTGTTTCATTTCCCTCACCCCCCACCATCTGTACCAAAGACACCTGGAAAAGATTAAGTAGATTATACCTTCTGTTTCATTTCCCTCACCCCCCACCATCTGTACCAAAGACACCTTGAACAGATTAAGTAGATTATACCTTCTGTTTCATTTCCCTCACCCCCCCCCCCCCCCATCTGTACCAAAGACACCTGGAACAGATTAAGTAGATTATACCTTCTGTTTCATTTCCCTCACCCCCCCCCCCCATCTGTACCAAAGACACCTGGAACAGATTAAGTAGATTATACCTTCTGTTTCATTTCCCTCACCCCCCCCCCCCACCTATCTGTACCAAAGACACCTGGAACAGATTAAGTAGATTATACCTTCTGTTTCATTTCCCTCACCCCCCCCCCCCCCCCATCTGTACCAAAGACACCTGGAACAGATTAAGTAGATCTTCTGTTTCAATTACTGCTACATATTAAGTGATTTCCAGTCCAGCTACTGTAAAGTAAAGAATCCTCTTTAGATCTAGTGACACATTGGGTAAAGGAAGTAGAGTTCATATGTTTCTGGACCTTGACATATGAATGCAAGGTGTGGTTAGCACTTTGCCCAGCCGAATTTATTTTCCCTAACATGATCTAGGTACCTATCAGAGCTGGGTTGACTAAGGGATGTTCTACTCACTTAAACCTGGGTTTGAACTTGAGACTTTCAGGTTATCAGTCTAGTGCTCTACTGACCACTCCGTTCCCCAGCTACCGTAATTTTCCCTCACGCAAGTCAGGTACCCATTTGAGTTAGGTAAACTCAGGGACCCATTTGAGCTGGGTTAACTAAGGGACGTTCTACTGATATAAACCTGGATTTGAACTTGAGACTTTCAGGTTATCAGTCTAGTGCTCCATCCCCCAGCTACCGTAATTTTCCCTCAAGTAAGTCAGGTACCCATTTGAGTTAGGTAGACTCACTGGCGTCCTATGAACTCAAGCCTAGAATCCAAACTCATGACTTACGGGATAGCAGTCTACCACCTAAACACGTCACCCATAAGGATAAATTATTTTTAGCAAGGGTTGCAGACTAAGCTTTCACCGTAATGAATAATTTAGCATATGTAATTAAATTAGACTGGAAAACCATACATTTTAAATTAAATCAGATAAATGCTTTAAAAGACAAAGAAAATCCTTTTTATTTATTTTGTTTGTCTTCTGATGTAAATTTTAGTAAAAATGTTGCATTTTAATTCTCAGGTGAACAGAGCCAGGTTGATCATTGATGTGACCTGCAACAAATGGTTAACTATGACAAGCAGTTTACCTAAACTTATTGAAGAAAGAAATGACAGTGAATTAAAGCAACAGGTACTCAAATTAAACCAAACTGCTATATTTTCTTTTGTAAAATATGTGGTTTAGTATTCTATTTGTTTGTGCAATTTTTATTTGTTATAATAATGTGAATTTGATTACGCATTTATATTTAAGTGAAATGAAATCGATTTAACTTTTGTTTTAAAAAAAGCAAAGCTTCCTTTGACATTGTTATTGATTTTTAAAAAATTATTTTGAAGTCTAATATTTTTATTTTGTAAAAAATAAATATTATATAGGCCTAAATAAATTTTTTAAAATGTGTATAATATCCATATAGAGTCTAAAGTGTTTTACATTTATGTTTTGATTGTCAAAGATACACATAAAGATTTTTTCTAATTATTATTTGTAAAAAATCTATTCTACGTTACAATTTCTTGTCATTAAAGATCTACTTCCCTTGTATCTGTCAACAGATGAAAGCCTTAATGTCAGTACAAATGGAGGTGTGCCAGCTATTGGAGAAAGCCTTTCTCTTGTCAGCCAAACACTTGGAGAAAGGCAATGAGAAGATGGAGTTCATCACTGCCTCCCGCAACGAAATTGAGAATTTATCCATAACCATCAAAACTACAGTGGATGTTACTGCCATTTCAGGTTTGATGCCTTCATTTGTTTTTACCTAATTTAAAAATCACAACATATGTTTTGTATTTAATACTGTTTTTGTTTTAAATAGTATTACATTGTTGCTTTAATTAAAAAAATATTTCTTTCTAGTTAGGAAATGTTTTAACATCATATTGCAATTGATCTCTTGTTTTGATACGAAATGTTATGTAGTATAACACGAATTATGTTGCTAATAAATAATGTCTTGTTTGTTTTACAGATGAAGAGCATTTAAATAGTGTAACATAAGTTATTTCTAATAAATAATATGAATTGTTACTATTATTTTTTACACAGATAAAAATAGAACATACATAGTTCAACAAATTATTTTTTATAAATATTATCTTTCTAATTCTCATTTTTTTCAAATGAAAAAGCACTTAACTAGTATAACAAAAATGATTTATGCATATTGTGACTAATTTTTTTACCCATAAAAAAAAGAACTTAAATAGTATAACATAAATGATTAATAATAAATATGTCATGTTATAATAATTTTTTTTAGATGAAAGAGCAGTTAATGATTGGTGGCAGCTAAGTGTGGCTTGTCGTGATTGGTCAGTTTTGATGACCTGCATCATGTCAGAGTTTGAAGACATTGCTAGAGAGATGGAAGAGACAGGGCTGAAGAAACTTCAGTGTTTACATGGTTTGACAAAGGACAGGACCAGGACTGCTGATGTTTTTGATAAGGAGACAAACTGTCTTCTAGAATTGGTGGATTGTGTGGTGATTGGGTAAGTTAAGGTTTAGATTGTGCAGAGATTGGCTGTGTAGTGACTCTGTATGTTGGATTGTGTGAGGGATTAACTATGTCTCTAGAGTTAGTACGGTGATTGAGTATGTCATCACCGTATGATGGTTTGTGTGAGGTTTTCTAGAATTAGTTTGGTAATTGGGTAAATCTTCTAGAAAACATTGATTGTATAGTGACTTGGTCTTGCTGTTGTTGATCAGATTGTCTTTTTGTTCCTATCAAGGAGTAAAAAACCATTTATACCAAAGTAATATTTACAAAAATGTTTTTTTTTTAAATGAAGATGCCAACCACAAATCCCCTTTTCTTAATAAATCCTTTGCTTTTTAAATATTTCCTAAATGAATTTTAAAAAATTTTGACACCCACTCCAATCACATCGACATCCCCAACCTATCACATCTAGACCAATCTCATCAACATCCACACCAATCTCATCAACATCCACACCAATCACATCAACATCCACACCAATCTCATCAACATCCACACCAATCTCATCAACATCCACACCAATCTCATCAACATCCAAACCAATCTCATCAACATCCACACCAATCACATCAACATCCACACCAATCACATCAACATCCACACCAATCTCATCAACATCCACACCTCTCACATCAACATTCCACACCAATCACATCAACATCCACACCAATCTCATCAACATCCACACCAATATCATCAACATCCACACCAATCTCATCAACATCCACACCAATCACATCAACATCCACAACAGTCGCATGAACATCAACACCAATCACATCAACATTCATACCAATCACATCAAGAACAATCACATCAATGTCCACATCAATCTCATCAACATTCCAACCAATCACATCCACACCCCCACCAATCACATCAACATCCCCACCAATCACATCAGCATCCACACCAATCACATAAACATCCACACCAATCACATCAACAACCACACCAATCACTTCAACAACCACACCAACCACACCAACATCCACACCAACCACATCAACATCCCCCAACAATCACATCAACATCCACACCAATCGCATCAATATCCACACCAATCACACCCAAACAATCCCTTTAACATCTACACCAATCACATCAACATCCACACCAATCACATCAATATCCACACCAATCACATCCAAATCAATCACTTCAACATCCACACCAATCACATCAATATCCACACAAATCACATCAACATTCCACACCAATCACATCAACATCCACACCAATCACATCTAGACCAACCACATCAACATCCACCAATCACGTAAACATCCACACCAACCACATCTAGACCAACCACATCAACATCCACACCAATCACATCAACATCCCCATCAATCATATCAATATCCACATCAATCACATCAACATCCACATCAACCACATCAACATTCACACCAATCACATTAACATCCACACCAATCACATCAACATTCACACCAATCACATTAACATCCACACCAATCACATTAACACAGCCCCTTAACACAATGCACCAATCATCCTGACACCCACACCAATCAACCCTTGACACCTACCACCTTTTCCCTAACTATTTGAACTTAAAACTTTGTTTACAGTGACACAACCTTAAAGGCCAGAAGTGAACAGCTTGTCACTGATCTAAAAATAGCCCTGTCTGATGTGTTGACCGTTGCCAAGCAACCAGTCAGCCTTAGTGATTCCATTCACACAAGTCATTTTTCAAAAGCATCTTTTGAAATGGCTAAAAGCAGATGGATTGAAAAGGTAAATATAAAAAATATGGGTTTTTTAGTAACGGAAAGTGGTTTCTAGTTTATTTTCCTGCAAGGAAATAGTAAAGATATTTGTTTGACTATTATCTCTACCCTGATGGGCGGATCATGTGGTTAATCTTGAGAGTGCATATTTGCCTTGCAGAGTGTTCTTGGGTGGATGGTAGACAAAGGCTATGGATACTTTTCCAGAAAGAAGAGCAGGAGGAAGTCAGAGTCACCAGATAATATGGCACTTAGCATGTTGACATGACTTTGACTTAGTCCTCTTTGCTCCTTATGGAACATAAGGCTTCCACCATTTTCTTCCATTTCGTCCGATCCCCGGTTATTAATTTTGTCATCTCCCAAGACATCCCTGTTGGCTTCAGTTCTTCATGTTGACATGCAATACTTGATAGTGTGGGAGGAAATCCCCTCCAATATTACACATTAAGAAAAAAACAGAAGACTACCCTGGTCCTTACCCTTATCTTGGCTCTAGTCATAGTACATGGGCCTGAATTATGGGGCTACAAAGCTAGATTACTACCGTTAAAATTACTCTTTTTTTAATTAGTTAAAACTGAACTCTAAGAATTAAAGACAATTAGTAGTTTTAATAGGGAAACTATTTACTGAAAACTAATGTAATAGTTATATTAAATGTTGATAAAATGGTTGACATATAAATGTACATATGTACAACATACAAGACAGTAAATGATATCTATTCATTGAAAATTAATGTAATATAAAATGTTGATAAAATGTTTGACATATAAATGTACAGCATACAATAAATGAAATCTATTAATTGAAAATTAATATTCTTGATAAAATAGTTTACCTATAAATGGGTAGAATTGACATACAGTATAGGGAAATATGAACATTTTATGCATTTATATTATTAGCAAACAATAAATGGAAAATTGATTGAAAATTAATTTAATACAAAGTTTTCATTAAACGATGTTCTGATTCTATAACAATTTTGTGAATGTACAGGCCCTTGATACTCAAGACATGGTATGCCACAACTGTTATGAATACATGGGGTTTGTACATCAGCTGCTCACTGATACACAGAACATCATCTCTGATGATGGTAAACTTTTTCATTCTGCAACATGTTTTAGTATATTGTAGTCAACATGTGAGGGGGGGATGAATGGGGGCAGTGGCATAGCGAGGGGGGGCAGGGGGGTGACACCCAGGCAAAAAATAGCAAAATATATAGAGAAAAATGATAATTCCACTTAATTAAGCGATTAATTCGAGTGCTAAAAAGTCTTAACGCAAAGTTGACAAATCCCGACAAGGGTGGAGAGGGGGGGGGTGCAAATTGAAAGTTTTTGGGGGGGGGGGGGGGGTTGCAAATCGAAAAAGTTTGTCCCGGGGACCGGGAAGGGTCGCTACGCCTCTGGTGGGTGACACCATTAAGTGCTACACCGGGTGACACCCGACCTCGCTACACCACTGAATGGGGGTGAATGTTGTTTGTACCCTACCCTGTTTAATCCTCATGTACCATACACATGTTTTCATGTTTGTATATATCTCAGATCTGAAGGAAGAATTAAAACTTCAGTATAGACACATGCTGACCAATGTACTTGTGGAGACAAGCAATGACCTCAAACAGAAAGCCCTGAAGGCTATACAGACTTGCCCTGACCTCACCAAGCGGGCGGTCATCAGGTCCACATTGGACACTGTCTCAAAACTGACCTCAGAGGTGGAGAGAGTCATTAGAGGTGAATGTAATACTTTTTCCATTCTTGAGGACCTTGCCTTCTTATCTATCACTTCATTTTTGACATGATGTTTGCTTCTATAATCATATGTTTATTTGGGTAAAGATTTTGAATCACATAGATCTAAAAACATTTTTTGATTTTTTTTTTTTAAATAATTTAAATAAAGAAGTAGAGATTACAAACAAAAAAATCCATAGTAATATTCACTTCACAAATTTGTAGCTTTTTAAAACTAAATTTCCAAACACACAACACCATTCCAAGGGTAGAAAATTAATATACAGATATTTCAGTAGATTAAATGTACCATAATTTACTTGTCAACTTATCTATGAAAACTGTACCAAGTTTTTTGTGTGAGTAAAATTGAGCTAACGATTTATTGTTGACTTACCAGTTTCCAATGAGATCACAGAGGCTGATGTGAACACTCTATCAGTGTTGTGGGCGGCCAGAGTCAAGAAGCTGGTGCTACACTTGAGGAAAATGGATGGGGTTAGGGCTTCTATTATCACTGGTATGTTCTTTGATTTTTATAAAATAGATTTGGTTAGTACTTCTATTAGCTGGTATGTTATTTAATTTGTTATGAATGGATGGGGTTAGGGCCTCTATTATCACTGGTATGTTATTTAATTTTATAAAATGGATTTGGTTAGTACTTCTGTTATCACTGGTATGTTCTTTGATTTGATATGAAATGGATAGTTAGGGCCTCTATTATCACTGGTATGTTATTTTATTTGTTCTAAAATGGATGGTGTTAGGGCCTCTATTATCACTGGTATGTTTTTTAATTTGATATGAAATGGAAGGAATTAGGGCCTCTATTATCACTGGTATGTTTTTTAATTTGATATGAAATGAAAGGAATTAGGGCCTCTATTATCACTGGTATGTTCTTTGATTTTATATGAAATGGAAGGAATTAGGGCCTCTATTATCACTGGTATGTTTTTTAATTTGATATGAAATGGAAGGAATTAGGGCCTCTATTATCACTGGTATGTTCTTTGATTTTATATGAAATGGAAGGAATTAGGGCCTCTATTATCACTGGTATGTTCTTTGATTTGATATGAAATGGATAGAGTTAGGGCCTCTATTATCACTGGTATGTTTTTTAATTTGATATGAAATGGAAGGAATTAGGGCCTCTATTATCACTGGTATGTTTTTTAATTTGATATGAAATGGAAGGAATTAGGGCCTCTATTATCACTGGTATGTTTTTTAATTTGATATGAAATGGAAGGAATTAGGGCCTCTATTATCACTGGTATGTTCTTTAATTTGATATGAAATGGATGGGGTTAGGGCCTCTATCATCACTGGTATGTTCTTTCATTTTTATAAAATGGATTTGCTTACTACTTCTTTTATCACTGGTATGTTCTTTAATTAATTTATTACAAAATGGATGTGGTTAGCGCCTCTATTATGACTGATATGTTCTTTGATCAGTATAAAAAAACATTGTTAAAACTGACAGGGACCACTGAGTTTATTGATGTGGTCTGTCTGTTTGAAGAAGACTGCTTTTGTTATACATAGCAAGGGTCTGTTTATCGGCTGAGGATCTCCTTTATCTCTTAATGGTGTTATACACTTCTATATTATAATGGGGTTAAGGAACTCTTTTTATCACATATAATGGTGTTAAGGAACTCTTTTTATCACATATAATGATGTTAAGGAACATTTTCATTTCATATAATGATGTTAATGATCCCTACCATATTATAATGATGTTAAGGAACTCTTTTTATCACATATAATGGTGTTAAGGAACTCTTTTTATCACATAAAATGATGTTAAGGAACATTTTCATTTCATATAATGATGTTAATGATCCCTACCATATTATAATGGTGTTAAGGATTATAATGGTGTTAAGGAACTCTTTCTATCACATATAATGGTGTTAAGAATCACTACCATATTATAATGGTGTTAAAGAACACTTTTATTTCATATAATGGTGTTAAAAAACATTTACATGTCTTATAATATCTTTAGCTGGTAAATATTTCATCAGTACCACAGATTTATTATAAGTTGATACAGTCAGTTGGCTACTTATATTATACTAAATAAAATAACACTGTTCATATCTGAGAAGTCCATAACTAAATGTGTGCAGATATTTAGCTGAGCAATTAGAAACATCAGTATCTCATATCTACGATAGTTTTAACGAGTAACGTAATTTTTTTGTCCTCAAGAAATTGAAAACTTGAACAAGCAAAGTGGAGCTGCAGTGATGCAAGGTCCTTATGTTTCACCTGTGCAGCACCAACATGCATCTGTCAGGGAGGAACAGAATGTGCAGCAACACCCCCATAATGGGCAGCAGCCTGTAAACTTGCAGGCATCACAGCTGTTTCCACATTATCTGCAGGATGGATCTACAGTGTTGCCTCAACCTGGCAACTATGTACAACCTGGCAACTATACACAATCTGGCCACATTATACATCCTGGCAACTTTTCAAAATCTGGCAACATTGTGCATCCTGACAACTTTACACAATCTGGCAACATTGTACATCCTGGCAACTTTACACAACCTGCAATAAACAACCATGGCCAACAACTGCTGCCACACCAATCACAAACTCTAAATTATCCACAATTCCAACCCACACACAACCAGCAGCCACAGTTCCTACCACACCCACAATATTCATCAACAGGAACTTCGCAAACAGCACAGAACCAGCCCCCAGCCATAACCCTAACCCAACCATCTCAGCACACACCCTCTCACCAGAATATCCAACCACACCAACCACAGCTGTATAATTCACCCCCAGCTTTAACCCAGTCAACCCAACAGTCACCCACTCACCAGAATATCCAACCACAACTGTATAATTCACCCCCAACTTTAACCCCTTCCCTGCCACCCCAACAGACACCCACTCACCAGAATATCCAAACACATCAACACTCACCACCAAATCAAGGGGCCAGCGCATCATTCAAGGAAACACCCACTAGGTGTGTATCAGCCATTATAAGCTACTTCATATAACTACAGTATAATTCATTGTGTATCTGTTATCACTACTATCTGTAATTGTGCTTAATTTTAACCCTTTACCTTTCAATATTTCAAATTAATCTTGATTATTAGAATTAAATTTTAAAAACGTATTTCATACTATATATCTATTTGAAATAACAAACAGCATATTTATATTTACTAATTTAGACTGATTATTATTTTTTATTTTTTTAAAAATCTATTTTTTCATGATGTTTTGTTATATACAATTGTCCTGAGCAGAACATTATCAGACTCAGTCTTATCACCTAATGGTAAATCAGTCAACTCGCTGCTGGTAAGTTTTAATTTAATTTTTTTTAAACAATTAGAAAGATTAGCGGGGCAATATTACTTTTAATGAATGAAAAAAAGTGTTTTAGTTTTTATCACAACAGGTTTTTATACTTTTGTTTATTTTTTTCTAACTACATTTATTAAACAACATGAATAATTTTTGAAAAACCAATCAGCTAAATTTATGAAGCATTTTGGGAAAAAAATAATTTTTAATTGTTTTATTAAAGTTAATAAAAGTGTGCTAATATGAAAAAGTAAAACAAACATCAATTTATATTATAAACAAAAAACATGTTTTCCTTTAATTGCGTTAAGTTAAATTTAGTGTAAGTTTTCAGGTCATGATTTTTTTCTATACAGATGCCAACTATTTTAAACTTTTTGTTATGGCAACAATAATATAAATTCCTCAGTTTAATTACTTTTGAAACAGAGTGATATTTACATGAATGTTTATTTACAGAAAGATGCACAGTTTTTAGGGGTAAAGCTGAATAAGTGGCAAGACAAGATGGCTGACATTGAAGGTCAAGGTCGGTCAAAAGTTGTACAGGATGCTCTAGAAATGGCCAGATTGTGTTCTGAGATGGCCATGTTTACCAAAGGTCAAGGACCACTCAAGGTGAAATCATAATTTTTATTTCATTTTCTGTTGATCTAAATTTAGTTCTGTGGCATAATTTTTATAATGCTTAAAATTTTAATACACTTCTATATGCCGACATGTAGGGGTTTGGCATCATGTATTTTACGAAAAAAAAATTTTTTGTTTTTTAATGAAATGATTTAGTTTTATTTTATTCAGATAAATAAGTTCAAGTTGAAGCTGAAGTTTTTAAAAAAATGTTATTTTTTCTAAATAGAACTCTGAAGAAGTGATAGCTGCTGCAGTTGCCATTGTTAGACACAGCCAAGATATTGAGACCTTTGCTAACAGGCTGCTAAGTCTGGCTGGTAAAAATAGGTGCGTCACAATTCTTTTTTAAAGTTTGTTGTTTTGGAAATGAGCTTGAATAAAAAATTTAAAGTTTGAAAGTAAAATAAAATTTTTAGCGTTTCCTTAAAAATTAAGACCAGCATTCTAGAATAGTAATTTAATTATCAAAACACACTTTCCTTTTAATTGCTATTCAGGTTTTCTTTCTTTGTATTTTCTATTTTTTAAATTTAACTGTTTATGAGTATTTTCTTTTTCAAGTTTCGCTTGATAATATTTAATCAATTCAATATTTAATTTTACATTTTAATTTCTTTGGCATTTCTCTTGCTCTTTTAAAACAAAACAAAAAAAAAACTGTTATGCGTTTGTTTGTCCATCTAACTTTTAACTGCTGTGTGTGTATGCTGTAAGTCTGATTTTTAACTGCTGTTTAATAGGCTATCAGACAACCTAAATCTTTGCATATTGAAGATGAATGGCTGCTCCTCCCAGCTTCAGATTATAGCATCAGCTCTACACAACTCCCCTAAGTCTCACCAGGTAACTAACACATTTCACATTCACTGCTAAGCTCCTTTTAAAATACCTACTGTATACAAATCATTTTTCAAATTTTAAATTTACTAATATTGTTATCTTTTTTTTAATGTGTCCAATATTTAATGTGTAAACCATTTTTAAATATCCTATTAATGAGAAGCTGTTTTTTATATTAAAAATGTACAAAACTAATTGTTTCTCTTACAGGGTGATCGTATACTAGTGAGGAATGCTTCAAACCTGCTGACCACTGTCAGACAGATGTTTGCACTGGTTGAAAGCATTGCTGCTATGGTAGGACTAAACTTTTTTTTTTTACATTTTTAAAAATTATTCTGATAACTTTATTGTGAATATTTGTTTTTAATAATTAATGAAAATATTAGACAGCATTTAATTCACTTAGTTGTGAATAAATAATATTCTTGGGAAAGATAAAAAAAAATGTTCTCATTTATGATTAATTAATTCATCAAAAATGTAATAACGTAATTTGAGTAATCGCTAATTTAAAAAAAAATCAAAAATTAGAAAGTGAAAAACATGACATATTACTCTTGGAGAAATGTTAAAGTTAATACTTCCAGCACATACAGCTAGGCCTATAGTAAATAGTTTTAACACTCAAAGTGTATGCTTTTGATGACTGTGATTTTATGATGATTCTTAACAAACAGAAACATAAATCTAAACCTAAACAACTATTTCAAAAATGAAACCTAAATAATTTGATTACACATTTTTTTTTAATTTTACTTTTAAAAATTGTTGATATGAGTTTGTCTAAACTGTTTATTGGCTTGCGTCCCGCTGATTCTCTGCAGCCATATCTGCAAAAATAAACCATTGAAGCACTCTCACAAGATAAGCTTCACTACTCAGAAATACATGGGTTAACCTGTATAATTTTATTTTTGCTGTTAATTTACTAGCTGAAGATTTTTACTGCTGCTACCAACTTTCAGGGCATTCAAGAACCAAGTGTGTATGATGAGAAAAACAAAGAAATTTTATCTCTTCTTTTAAAAATACGCTTGGATAACGAGCGGTACCTACGAGAGGAAAGACAAACTAATCAGATTGATGAGTTAGGGTTAAGGAGGGTGGAGCAGCATAACCCACCCTCTTTAACAGATCTAGTTGAATTAAAGGACCCGGATGATACATGAGTTTGGGTTATAAGCTGTATGATGACATAATCCACCATTACTAATTGTTAATTGAATTAATTAAAGCTGAGTGATAAAGGTTTTATTAGTTTTGACCCAAAACTGTGCTTACTGTTCCTAAACTGACTGAAAGTGTTTTTTTATTAGTCTTTAATCAATTGAGTTATACCTGAGTGAGAAATTTATAATTTTATATTTGTAAAATCCAATAACATTTAAAGCTATTGAAGATTTGTTGTATATACAACGAGATGTTCATTTTAAAATCTGGCTAGCGATCAGTTTTTTTCCAAAATGTAGTTTATCAGCCATTTATATAATTATTTAAATCAATTAATCCTCAAACAATAAATAGAGATGAATTTTCACCTGATAAAAATTTAGAAAAGTGCAATAATGATGTTATTGAAACATTTGTCTGCTGGTACTTAAATATGTAAAGACTAAAAAGTGTTTCAAAATACTGTTATTAAAACTGCATTTTCATTACAAAAGTATTAATTATTTATATGCATAATTGCAACATGTAAACAGCATCAGATAGTTTTAAATAGCTGAATGTTATAAAATATTTTTTTAAAACGTCCTAATATAAATCTGCCTTATATATGTTGTGAATTATTATTAGTGAACTGATGATGTAGAAAAATATTGACTTGAATTTTCAACTTTGTTGTATTGCAGTGAATGATGGATATAATGTTGGAGGTAAATTTTCACTGTATCACTGCTTATGCATGATGTCACTTTTTTTCAGCCATATGTTTATTGGTGTTCTAAATGTTCAATTACTAAATATTTTTTTTGTTTTTAAAAATAATATCAATCACTTGCAAAATAATGTTTATTTTTTTTCTCAATGTTAAGTTTTTGTTGTCACACCAACTTGTAACTGTTGAGTTTCACATCTGTTTGAATTTAAGGAAAGTTTCAATATAAAGATGTAATTTTATTTTGTTTCAATAAGATACATGACAAATGTATTCAACGAAAATCTCAGTTTTCCAGAGATCTTACCTTATTTGTAAGAATCAACTTACATATCATCTTACACTAGAAAAGTTCTACATTTTATTTTACAATTATTTTTAAATTTATATCCATTTCCAGTTATTATTGTGGTAAAAAATGAAACAAATAACATTCCACTTACTCTGGTTTATATAAACTCAACTAACCCTTTCCAACTTGGCCTCAATGAGGTCCCCAGTAGCTTAAAATCCATTTTGTGTGGTAAAATGTAAAGCAATAAAAAAACGTCATGTTTTTAATGTAGCAAGGATGTGCTGAAATATAAATTTGGCTAAACAATATTAATATTGGTATTTTTACTTGGAATAAAATTCAGTCAAATCTCATGTATACAAAAGTGTACACTGTCTTGGAAGGGTTGAACACAGTGACTCCTTGATTAAGGAGCACTGGAATAAAATAATTTTGTTTATCTATTGTTAGTCAAACAGCTAGGGGTTGTGCACATATTATCTGACATGATGGAGAAAATGGCCTTTTACTATTTTGTTTTTATGTTGTACGGAGTTGGGTGAGGTACAGAGTATTGTTATATACAGCATGTTGTGTGATCTCTACATTAACCTTTGTTGCCATGTTAACGATGGTAGCAAGCCTTTACCTACATACATGCCTTTAAGTATTTTTTTTGGTTGGCTACATTTAAGCTATTGTGAATTGGATGGATAAGTCCACACAATGAATTTATTCTTTCTTTTTCTAACACAATATAAATTTGCCTTTACTGTTTTTTCTGTGAAGATTTTCTAGTAATTTACTCTAACATAATGTAATTTTTTTTAAAAAATGCAATGTTTTTGTGTAATGAGTCAGCGTGGCCTAGGGGTAGAGCTTCTGGACTGCAAACCAAAAGTCTAGAGTTCATATCCTGGTTAAAAGTCAGTAGAATGTCCCTGAGTCCACTCAGTTAAGGTGGCTGGACTTAGTGCTGACCACTCTATTCCTTCACATGCTGAGAAAAAGGTGAACTTTACTTCACATGCTCATAGGCCATCTGGTTCAAAAAGGGAATGTTACTTTTTTAAAATGTATTTGTGTCCCATGTCCATCTGGGAAAGTTGGTGGTCATAAAAATATGATATTTAGGTTAGGCAGTGGGAAGGAGTGTATAGGGGTAAAGGGTGATCACTGTTATGATTTTGTGTAAAATAGTATACGCACAATCCCTTACACTATGGCAGTAGTTCTTAGCCTTTTTGGAGGTACCAATCCTCACTAGTTTCAAATACGCTTTCACCAAACCCTTTAGTTCTATCTTCTGCGATGACAAAATCTGTGCAAATTATATTTTTTTTATATGAGTTCGGTGAGTGTCTTGACTTCCATTGAACCCCTTAGACTGACCCAGGTTAAGAACCACTACACCAGGGAATCCATGTTTCCCAAGTTCAAGGCTAGATCTCATTGAAGCATTTATCTCTTCAAATGATGACATTTTAGTCAAACAATTTTTTAATTTATTTAATTTTTTAAATCTATCTCTTATTAAATGCATTTATTGCTTTATCTATGGTGTAATTGTTGGACAGATTTGTTGGCATTTTTACATTCAGCAAGTATTTGACTGCTTGATATTTGTCTATACAACTGCTTGAAATTTTGTCTAGAGTGCATTAATAAATAACTGCACAAGATTAAAGAGAGGTGGGGGGGGGGGGGGGGGGTAAGACTTATAAGTTGGGAGCAGTTAAGAGGTTATAAACAATAATATAAATACGTTTTTTTACATTCCAGATGGTGGATTGGGGGGGGGGGGGGGGGTGAGGAGCATAGCTAGCATTTGGTAACAATAGATGACTGGACTGTAAAATTTTGGCTAAACTATGTGCTTTTTATTGATGAGGCCTGTATTACTCTCCAATTTCTACATGACTGCCTGATAACAGCTGCTTACACTGTTAATCCAGCGATTCTCAGTTCAATGTTTATAATAAAATCTAACGTGCCTTTTTTTATTATTAAATTGTGAAACATAATTAATATAGTTTATTTTCCATTCAATGTTTGTAAAAAAAAAACTACTGTGCCTTAGTCTTAATATATAGTTAAACATTATTATAGTATATTCCTCATTCAATGTTTGTTATAAAATCTACTGTTCCTTTTGTTTTAAATAGTTAAAAGTAATTGCTATTGCAGGCTATTTTTTTTATTGCTATTGCAGGCTATTTTTTTCAAGCCTAAACTAAAGGTAATTAACCCAGTTGTTATGTTTTCATGTATAAATTCAACTTTTCCTTTTAAAATTTATAGATCCGAAAAGCTATTGATGAAAATTCTCAAGGAACCTAAAGATGATCTACTTTTCTATTACTGTTGGGATGAGGTTTTGTTGACAATTATAAAAAAAAATTGTTTATTAATAAATTATATTTTATTCATATTTAATCCAGACAAATAATGTTTATTTTTTCCCAACATCTTTTATGTTGGTTTAATACCTGCGCATTTTTATTGTTTCTTTTTTTTTCACTTTAATAACAAGGGTAATTTATTTTTTTAAATAATAATACAACCAAAATGAATGTCTAACTAGTTTAAGAATTATATATTTCATCCTGTTGGCTAGTTATCTAAACACAATAGGTTTACTGCTGTACTACATTCAGTTTGATTTAGAAAGGAGTGGGGATGTAATTGTAGTTCATTGGTTCTAAACACAGAGATTTTATAACTGCCAATTCTTAATTTCTGTGAACAAAACCGGTAACATAAATTCCAAGATCTAAAAATCTGGCAACCCCCAACTCTCCAAATTTAAAATGCAAACAAAAAAATCTATGATCTAGTGGTTTTTTTTTTTCAGGTTTACCATTACTGGCCAATGGGAAGGTTGTTAAAAGCTAATGCATATGTTAATATAAAATATCTCAGAATAATTTCTGTTTTTAATTTAGTATTTTAAAATACACAAAAAATGTAAATCTGTTTCACTGATATTTCTTCAGAATAAGGGTAACTCAAATTTCTGTTATCCTAATGTTGTTCGTGTAAGCATAATGTGAAACATGCAATAAAATAATGCTTAATGTAATTCAAGATGTGTTCAACTTGTGTTTATATCAATAAAGATGTGAAATACTATTGGGAATCAAAACTTCAGATTGCTAAGATAGAAAGATTTTAAACTGCATGTTAAAAGCAGCATCAAGCTGGTTTCTTGTTGTATTTAGAGTAATTGTGAGTACTCAAACAGTTGTTCAATAAAAGAAGTGAAAAGACAACCTCAATATTGTTTTGTGTTATCCACAAAGATAATTCCATGCTGCATAGATGTCTATCACAGACCTCGATCTTGTTTTGTGTTACCCACAAACAGAAATCTATGCTGAATAGTTGTCTAAGTATTACAAGTGCTAATGCTGCATTAACACATGTGACATGTATGTCTATATATGTCTAGAAAAAAAACTTTGCAATAAAATAACTATAAAGAAAAGCATGGGCCTCTTCCTAAATATAGTGACCCTTGCTTTTTTTAACAGTTATTTAAATAGTAGTGTATTATTAAATACTAAATTTTTAAAAAATCATTTTTTTACACACACACACACACGCATAAAATTGGGGACAACTTGGAAGTAATTTTACATTTTAACAGATCAAATATTGCGATAAACAATGGTTTCAGTAACATCAGATTTATATCAGAAATAACAGACATCCAATGACCAAGCTGAAGAAGGGGATGGGTGGTGTCACTGTGGTGTATTTTTTGTTTGAGGTCTTAAGTGCTATAGTTTGATTTAACATAGAATAATGGCTGTAGCATTTAAAACTGTATCTCTAGATCTATAAGAAGACACACAAACAAGAATTAAAATACAGTTTGTTCAAAGTGTGCAGAAATAAAATAGAACTCCTTTTACCTAATCCCATCAATCTGGTCTTATTGTTCATGTGTCAAGTACGCTCTAGATAAAGCAGAAAATATTCAACTTTAAATTTTACTGATGCCTGCTGTACCACTTTGTTGTAAACCAAGTAGTACTCAAAGGGATTGTAGTAGGAAACTATTGACCTGTTGCAAAGTTCTTTTAACTCAACACTACTGGTGGTAATAAAAAAGCTAGTTGCGCTTAAAATCATTTTTTTTTTTGCATTTAAATCTTGACAGCTGCTTTGTAAGAACAGAAGTCAATTGGGTTTTATCTTGTATAGAACACTTCATTTGTCTCTTAGCATAAATCCAGAAGATGTAATGTTGTTCTGTATGTTCTGTTCTCTTCTGTTCTTACTTGATGTGCCCCAATTTGTGATGCAAAGTTATATCATGTGTAGATAATTAGTCTCGAGATAATGGTCTTGAAATAATAAGTCTTCTTATAATCAGTATTGAGATAACGGTCTAAAGATAATCAACTCTGAGATTATCTGTCTAAAATTAAACTGCTTTTAGCTAACAGTATTGGGGTAGTCCATCTTTAAAAGCATTGAGTAAATGGTCTTGAGATAATATGAATTGAGATATTTTGAGTAAATGGTCTTGAGATAATATGAATTGAGATATTTTGTGTTCATGATGAGAATGGCTTGAATCACCAGTGGTAACGTAGATAAACTCATGCCCCTATGAATATGAAACCCTCCATATATATTTTGTCAGATTTTATTTGTCTTTTATGCATTACTACACCTTTCATTAGATCACCAGGAAACTTTGGGAAATTGTTGAGAATACTTGTGGGGAGGTTTTGCATGGGCGGCACCCATGTAGGGTCCGATTTGGCGCCTCGGGTTATCCCATGAGCGCTATGGCGCCTACGTTCATTTTAAACAGTAAGGTAGTCTATGGATACAATGGGGCATTACATTCATTCACTAAACTGAGTCAGGCTATCCTCGGATTTTCTTCTTGGGGTTCATATATATATATATATATATATATATATGTATATATATATACACACACACACACACATATATATATATATATACATATATACATATACTTATACATATATATATATATATATATATATATATATATATATATATATATATATATATATATATATATATATATATATATATATATATATATATATATATATATATATATATATGGTACCATTTTATTTTAACCCCTCCCATGAGTAATTCCTGGCTACGTCATTAACTTCACTTAGCAATTCACAATTTTATGTTAATATTTCATTTAATGATAGCAGAAACACGTATTCGGATAAAAACTATGAGACTCAAGGATAAGTGTGTAAAAAGTGAACCAAGGTATTTGATTACATCTTTTTTTTTTAATTAGACCGCAATGTCTGTGTGGGCAGATAAATCCAAGGATATTATAATCAGACAATTGGTTTTCATAGCCCAGTGTGTGTAGCCTACAGCTTTTATCTCCTTTGTTTTAAAATAGCTAATCAGAACACAATACGGTGCATAACAAAAACTGATAACACTTATCTTTTTTAAGTAAGGATAGCACTAATAGTAGACATTGGAACATTTTATTATTTTGAAAAACATTTATGATTAGGACAACCATCTTTTTCAGTTGCTTATTTTTTTAAAAAGGTGGGTAAATGTATTTTGTCTTGATAGTAAATTATTATCATACATATAACAATCAACAATTAACTTTTTAAAAGTTGAACAGTTGTCACATAATAGTATTATATCTATATAACTAGTATAAAACTAAAAGTGAAGTTCAAAATTGGTGTGTTGTCTTCAGTAGTATTCAGTAAACAAAGTTTTTGTTTGGGATTGTAAAATGTACTTCACTTTTTAGTGAAAGTAACAACAAAATACCAACCAAAAGTAGAATAATATTTTATTTTTTTCAAATGACATTAAAATACTTTTTGGTTCGTAAAATCGGCCGAGGCTAGATTTAGTAATGCGAAAGAAAGGTGACTCATTGATATGGGGCTTTAATACAAGTATATTATGATATATTTGTATCAAATATAATCGATAAATGAATAATAAACCAAAAGCAATGTCTAGATATATTAGTATAAGCCAGAAACTAACTTTAAACAGCAGTGTTTTAAGAGCAAGATTTGCTATAAAAAGAGCGGCCATCTGTAAATACGAGTGGTTTCCCCTGAATCTCTAACAATAAGTTTACAAAAGAAGTTAAGATGGCTGCTATAACAAAACGAGCTCTGTTGCTTCTGATGAAAACATTGCTAATCTTTATTTATAATATTTATTACTGAAAATTTTGAATAAAATTGTTTAAAAACAGGTAGATCTAGATCTACATGAAACATTTTAAAAACTTTTACAACATAAATCCTCCTAAACATGTGAAACAATTATAAAATATAAGGAGTCACCTTTCTTTCACATTGCTAGATTCTAGATCTAGATTTCTAGCCAGTGCTGATTTTACGGCAATTACGGACCTAAATGGATGGGAATTTATCGTTTTAGGTCCGTAAAAATCGACTGAGGCTAGTAACGGGAAAGAAAGGGCACTCGTTGATATGGCTTTAACTTTAATACAAGTGTATTTTGATTTATTTAATTTATATCAAATAATAAATATAGTCTAATATAGTAATATAGATAGGGGCCTAATAGTTAAATAATAGATAATGGAATAATAAACCAAAAGCAATGTCAAGATAGACTAGATTAAGATAGTAGATAGATCTTTTCTATATCAGTATCTATCGGAGTATACAACTATACATATAAGTCAGAAATTAACTTAAAACAGCAGTGTTTAAGAGCAAGATTTACCAAATGTTTGTTAATGAGTTTATGTTAGCAACATTTCAGAGATTGAAAACTTTCAATTTTTAAATATTTTTTTAGATAGTGATAATGGACAACTAAGACACTATATTAAGTTATTAACAGATGAAGTTGACAAAGTTTACTTCGTTTTTTTAATTGGTATTTTTAATATAATTCAAAAATAATTTTTTCAAAACTCAGGATTGTTTATTTTTTCCTGTTTTACTCCAGGGAGGTAACCTTGCTGCCATGGCAACCATAACAAATTACTTGGTTGGGGCTGTGTTCTTGGTGTCAATGGTTGTTGTTGCAGTGAAAGCTATCACTGCAATGTTTTCCTACAAGAGGCGTAGAGATCTGCTCATGAGGTTCCCACAAGACCCAGCCCACCCTCTCTTTGGTCATTTGCTCGATGTAAGTCAAGGGCTGCTTAAAATCCCCATCTCAGGATATTCCTTATAATAAATAATAAATAAAAACACACTCAAAATTAACTACAGACTTATACCAGCTTTTCCCATATAGTGCTACACTTGGCATATCAAATTTTGTAAGTGTAATTGTAGTATTAAACCTATTACTGATACCCATCTTACCATCTAAATATATATATATATATATATATATATATATATATATATATATATATATATATATATATATATATATATATATATATATATATATATATATATATATATATATATATATATATATATATATATATATATATATATATATATATATGACATTATAAATGACTTCTATATCATGTTATCAATTTTAAAGTTGTCTTTTAACATCAGTACCCAGGACCTGATGAGAAGGGTTTAGCCTACCAGAGGATGCAGACAGGGAAGTACCCCAGAACTAACCTAGCTTGGATGCTCCATACCCCCATGGTCATGGTGACACATCCGGACACAGTCAAGGTTGTTCTGAAGAGTTCAGGTTGCTTCACTTTAACTTTAAACTTTAATCACAAAAAAAAAACCTTGTTCACCAAAATTATAACTCATGACAAAATGTAAACCTTGGTCACCAAAATTATAACTCATGACAAAATGTAAACCTTGGTCACCAAAATTATAACTCATGACAAAATGTAAACCTTGGTCACCAAAATTATAACTCATGACAAAATGTAAACCTTGGTCACCAAAATTATAACTCATGACAAAATGTAAACCTTGGTCACCAAAATTATAACTCATGACAAAATGTAAACCTTGGTCACCAAAATTATAACTCATGACAAAATGTAAACCTTGGTCACCAAAATTATAACTCATGACAAAATGTAAACCTTGGTCACCAAAATTATAACTCATGACAAAATGTAAACCTTGGTCACCAAAATTATAACTCATGACAAAATGTAAACCTTGGTCACCAAAATTATAACTCATGACAAAATGTAAACCTTGGTCACCAAAATTATAACTCATGACAAAATGTAAACCTTGGTCACCAAAATTATAACTCATGACAAAATGTAAACCTTGGTCACCAAAATTATAACTCATGACAAAATGTAAACCTTGGTCACCAAAATTATAACTCATGACAAAATGTAAACCTTGGTCACCAAAATTATAACTCATGACAAAATGTAAACCTTGGTCACCAAAATTATAACTCATGACAAAATGTAAACCTTGGTCACCAAAATTATAACTCATGACAAAATGTAAACCTTGGTCACCAAAATTATAACTCATGACAAAATGTAAACCTTGGTCACCAAAATTATAACTCATGACAAAATGTAAACCTTGGTCACCAAAATTATAACTCATGACAAACTGTAAACCTTGGTCACCAAAATTATAACTCATGACAAAATGTAAACCTTGGTCACCAAAATTATAACTCATGACAAAATGTAAACCTTGGTCACCAAAATTATAACTCATGACAAAATGTAAACCTTGGTCACCAAAATTATAACTCATGACAAACTGTAAACCTTGGTCACCAAAATTATAACTCATGACAAAATGTAAACCTTGGTCACCAAAATTATAACTCATGACAAAATGTAAACCTTGGTCACCAAAATTATAACTCATGACAAAATGTAAACCTTGGTCACCAAAATTATTTTGCAACAGTTTAAACTGAGTGTTGAAATCTTATAACAGTATGTCCCAAGATTTTTTAAAAATGCTGTTATAAAAATATTATATTATAATCTGTTGTTATAAACATGTTATATTATAATCTGTTGTTATAAAAATGTTATATTATAATCTGTTATACAGAACCAAAGGGCAAACGTATCTACAATCTTATCCGGCCGTGGGTTGGAGACGGATTACTGACCAGCAGTGGAGAAAAATGGGCCAGGAACAGAAGACTTTTGACCCCAGCTTTTCATTTTGAAATCCTAAAGAACTATATTGAGTTGAAGAATCGCAGTGCAGATCTACTGTTGGTAGGGCCCATTTTATTGTGTCACTGCATGATTAAGGGGTAGAGCTGACTTGAGCCTGATTGGTACCTGACTGACCGTAGAGAAAGTAAAGATGGCTAGGTATAGTGCTGACCACACCATGCCTTCTTATGATGAGGTTAAGAAACATAAACTCTACGTCATCTGCCCTATAGCTCGACAGTCCCATAGGGAGCTGTATTTTATTGTGTCATATTACTTTGTAAGCTACCTTTAAAGTGGCATGACACTTAAAGACCAGTTGCACTGTATTATAACAGCACAAACAATGGACAAGTTGCACACTTTCAATTATGCTACTCTCATAACTTTATCAAAATGCAAATATCAAGCAAGTTAAATTTATTGCCAGTATTGTGCAACTTCATCTAAATGCAAATATCAAGCAACCATAAATTACAATAATCATTTTCTACCACTTTTCTAGATGGTAGCAAGAGATGATTGACAAAAATATTTGTACAGAGCAGACAAGAGTAATATATTGTTTCTATTACTAATTAATAACTTACAAAGTTAACACTCTTTGTACTGTTGGTCATGTCTCTTATTTGAATGTTTGCACTAGGTGCTAATTATCTTCATTAACGGAAACACCATTCATGGGCTTTTGACTAGACTTTTCATCCTAATTTGGATTTGAAATAATTTTGCGACAGCTGGCAATTTTTTTATAGACCTTGGTGTTTTAAAATAATGTTGAAACAATCATTTCAATTTTTTACTCTCTTATATTGTTTTAAGAATATTTATCCAATAATTAGGACAAGTTATTAAGCTTAATTAAGCAATAATTAAGCTAGTATCATTGATCGATATGTTTTTTCTTGAAAAAAAAATTCTAACACCTTTTCTACCTAAGCTACTATTACTTACATTTATCATCTGTTACTTATTATCATCTTTCTTACAGGGGATGTTCTTTACAATATATTTATACATTACTTATAATCAACATTTATATAGGTCTAAACATTCAAACATATTTCTACAGCTGAAGTTTCAACAAGCAGCAGAAAAAGCTCAGCCCTTTAAAGTGTTTGTTAACATCACAATGTTTACCTTGGATGTCATTCTTAAATGTGCAATGTCTTATGAGACTGGCTGCCAAAACCAAGGGCAAGTCACTTTTAAAATTTAAAAAATGCATGTTAATTCATTATGTGAATTCAAGTTAATTCTGAGTTTTACCAAGCTTTTCTTGTGTAGGGGAGCTAAAACCAGGGGGTTGGGGGGGGGGGGGGGTGCACTGGTAAAAGTATATATTTTCTATATAAAGTATTGACCTATATTTTTTCTATTTTGTCTGCGGTGGTGTATGTGGTCCGGGGGAGAGTGCCCCTTCCCTCCCCACCAGAGAGATGCCTAGGTTTTACTGCTCTAGCTTTCATTTTGTGATAACTATTTTGAATGAGTTTGCTTTGGCTATTTAAGTTAAATCAATATATTTTCTCAGAGTAATCCACTGACAGCTAACTAGACTAACAGTTTTCTAAACATTGCAAGACTTGTGAATTATTATAATTTAATTATAAATTAAATAATTTTTTGTTTTTCACAAATAACTATCACTGACAATTAACTTAACCGTAACCCTGACAATTAACTTAACCCTGACAATTAACTTAACCTTGACAATTTAAAAAAAAATAAAAAAGATACACCTTTTATCTTAGCCTGACTTATAAAATATTATTTATCTCCTATTTACAGAGAGCAGCACCCTTATGTTCAGGCTGTCAATGCCTTATCAGAAATGATGGTCAACAGATTTTTGTAAGTTTTTTCATTTGGAAACACTTATCTTGTTTCACTTAACATTCATAAAATATGTTTTTTTCCATCATCCTTATGTACATTATCAGTCTTTCACAGTTAGTCTTATTCACTATTATTCAAATCAGTCCAATTTAAAAAGGTTTGGAAATTTTTAATAGTTTCTTATTTAAAGCAGTTAATTTTTTGTAAGATTATATTGTAGACAACTTTTTTCTTCACCATGGTGGAATGTTAAGTTAACAACGGGATCACAAGAGAATGAGAGAAGTAAAGGGTAATAATCTAAAATGCTTTGTTTATGTTTTAAACCAGTCGACCATGGCTGCACAGTGACCTTCTCTTCTTCCTCACCCCTGAAGGGAGAAAATTTAAAAAACATTGCAACTATGTACATAAAGTTGCTGAGGATATCATTAAACAGAGGAAAGAGAAACTGGCAAGTTTTAACTGTATTTTCCATAAATTAAATAGTTCTTTAATTAACAAATAAAAAAACATGTTTGATTATGATAATAAAACATGTTTTTTTTTGTTAATTAAAGAACTATTTAATTTATTTCTATTTTCTTTTTTTTTCAAATGCATGTACTTAATAAAGTAATGGTGGTACTTTAAAATGTAAATGATACATTAAGGAAAATGTGTCAGCTTGCAGGTTTGATTATGATTTATTACAGTGAAATAATTCCTTGATCATTTTTTGAGCTTTAAAAAAATATAATTTGTATGTGATGCATGGTAATAATTATATACTTTGTGATGGTATGTGTAATCAACCATATTTTTATACAAGCATACTTTTTGTAAACTATTTTATTATATTTATCTCTATGTAGGGTATGTGTTCAACTTTTTAAGATTCTAAAGGACTAGATAATTCAGATGGGTTTTTAAGAAAATTAATTAATAAATTAATTTTAATTTTCTTGAAACTGCTTCAAATAACATTGCAGAGAACAGAAAGTCCAGTAAATGCTAACAAAGAAAGACATCACAGATGCATGGACTTCCTGGATATCTTGCTGACTGCACATGATGAGACTGGTCAAGGGCTGACCAATGCTGAAATAAGAGATGAGGTGGACACATTTCTTTTTGAAGGTATTCATATCAGTTTTATGTTGCTTGATAAACTATTATTTTTCAGTGCAGTAATCATCAAATTTCCTGTTCGTGCCTAGGACACATTGGGCAGATGAAGTAGAGTTTATCTGCTTGAAAGACCTGGCATATGAAGGGTTGTCAGTATTATGTCCAGCCGTCTTAGTTTCCTTGATGTGAGTTAGGTACCCACAAGAGCTGGATGGACTCAGGGACGTGCTACTGACTTGAACCTGGATTCGAACTCGAGGCTCTCGGGTTAGCAGTCTAGTGCTAGACCATGCCGTCCCTTCAGTGCAATAATAACAGCACAAAACTTAAAAATATACCATGGTTAGAAAAAATTACATAAGCATTTCAAGTACATTAAGTTTACTAAGTTCCATTTTGTAGTAGCTAAAGGGAAGTTGTTAATCTGTAGGTCATGACACAACCGCCAGCGCCATCTCGTGGGCTCTGTATTCTATTGCTGAGCATGATGAGGTCCAGCAGCAAATTTGTGAGGAGATTGATGGGCTGATGGCCAGCAAAACAAGCACGGACATTTTATGGTATCTGGTTTTGGTAATTTTTCTTCTTCTTCTTCGTTCTTAATTTTAGTGTTGGAAGGGATCCCCTCCAAAACAATTAAGTATACATGTCAACTGGTTATGCACCATTGAGGCCTTGATTCAGATTTCAGCTTGCTTTTCTTTTTGGATTTGCTTACATAGCCTTTGTCCACCCATGAACAAATTACAAGGCAGGGTTTTTTTGGTTTTGGAGTTGTCTCTCCTAGATGAGTGGCTGTCCCCAGCTAACGAGACTCATATTCCGTTGTTTAGAACTTGTGACTTTTTTGTTTAGCAACCGGTATAATTCTAGACAAGAGTTTTATTAAATTAAAGTTGTATGTGACCTTCCTACGCTAGAGTTTTATCAATTTAAACTTGATAGTTGGTATCTGATTGTTATTTTTCTACACAAGAATTTTATCAATTCATATTGATAGTTGGTATCTGTTTTTGGTATCTGCCTACACAGTATTAGATTGTTATCTTTCTATTTATAGGTGATATTCTTTATCTGGTTTTATCTTTCTACACAAGAACTTAATCAAATTAAAGCTAATAGTTTAGGAAAAAGTACCTACTGCTTTCTCATGTACAATATTATAAATTCGATGTTATCTGTTTAAATGTTTTGGCAATACTTATTGAAGTTCATTTTATATTTATACACATTTTTAAAGAAAAGAAAACCTTGGCTTTTATGTTATAAATTTTGTATACTATGTCAAGATTTGACTTGACTTGTGGCCCCAGAAAGCAAAGGGCTACAATCACACCTCCCCACTGGACTCGGTTTAAGTAGCTCTCCTTACCTGCGCCCACATAAGCCCAGCAGTCTTTGCCTCTTCTTCTACTGTCAAGATTTAAAAAAACAAATATTCCTTTCAAGGGGAGATAATTTTACTTTCAGGGAGGATTTGTCTCAGCTGCCGTATCTGACCATGGTCATCAAGGAGTCACTCCGACTCCATTCTCCTGTGCCGTTTATCCAGCGGGAACTGACAGTGGACACGGAAATTGATGGCAAGATGACGCCTGCTGGAACCATGGTCAACATTGTCATTTATAACGCTCATCACAATCCTACAATTTGGGATGATTCAATGGTTGGTTGTAGATTCTAATATATCATTGTCATTTACAACGCTCATCACAATCCTACAATTTGGGATGATTCAATGGTTGGTTGTAGATTCTAATTTTTCATTGTCATTTATAACGCTCATCACAATCCTACAATTTGGGATGATTCAATGGTTGGTTGTAGATTCTAATTTATCATTGTCATTTACAACGCTCATCACAATCCTACAATTTGGGATGATTCAATGGTTGGTTGTAGATTCTAATTTATCATTGTCATTTATAACGCTCATCACAATCCTACAATTTGGGATGATTCAATGGTTGGTTGTAGATTCTAATTTATCATTGTCATTTATAACGCTCATCACAATCCTACAGTTTGGGATGATTCAATGGTTGGTTGTAGATTCTAATTTATCATTGTCATTTATAACGCTCATCACAATCCTACAATTTGGGATGATTCAATGGTTGGTTGTAGATTCTAATATATCATTGTCATTTATAACGCTCATCACAATCCTACAATTTGGGATGATTCAATGGTTGGTTGTAGATTCTAAATTATCATTGTCATTTATAACGCTCATCACAATCCTACAATTTGGGATGATTCAATGGTTGGTTGTAGATTCTAATTTATCATTGTCAATTACAACGCTCATCACAATCCTACAATTTGGGATGATTCAATGGTTGGTTGTAGATTCTAATTTATCATTGTCATTTATAATGCTCATCACAATCCTACAGTTTGGGATGATTCAATGGTTGTTTGTAGATTCTAATTTACCATTGTCATTTATAACGCTCATCACAATCCTACAATTTGGGATGATTCAATGGTTGGTTGTAGATTCTAATATATCATTGTCATTTATAACACACATCACAATCCTACAATTTGGGATGATTCAATGGTTGGTTGTAGATTCTAATTTTTCATTGGTAGATCTAGTTAGGTTTTTGCAAGTTCTAATTTTTCAGTTTCCAAATTTCTTAAAAAATGTTATTACCACATGCAAATCAGTTTTGAAAAAAAATATACATAAGTTTAATTCAAACAATGTTTAAAATTATTTACACTTTTCCTGGTAAAATAAAAGTTTTATTACATTTTATTTTTCAACTTTAAGATTGTTATTTATTTTTTATTCAGAAATTTGACCCCAATAGATTTTTGCCAGAAAATTCAGAAAGAAGAAGTGCATATGCTTTTGTGCCTTTTTCTGCTGGTCCAAGGTAGGGGAATGTAGATAATAAATGCAAATGTATACTAAACAATTCTTAGTTTAAATAGTCAGACCTTGAAAAAAAAGATAAGGTATGGCCATGCATTTGTAAAGAAAGCTATAATAATAATCTAAAGTACATGTAACCCTCACTCAGTGGGGCCGCAACTCAATGAATTAAAACTTCATATTTTTCCCTCCCCTGGCTGGTAACCATATGTGTTACATACAATTACAGCCTAAATGGCTATTCAACACCAGATTTTAAAAATTAATTAAAGAGGTTGATTATTGTACTAATTACATAAGTCACTAATGTATGCAATAAACATAAGTCTATTGGTATACTGGTGTAGGCCTATATCAAGTGCAACTACTTGCAACTGTCTTTCCTGATTACCTTGGTTGTTAAAATAGCTTATTAAGTTCAATCTCATTAAATCTGAAATTGTCTAAATTTAAAAAAAAAAAATTTCATTTAAGTAATCAAGAACATTTTTCAACAGAAATTGTATCGGGCAAAACTTTGCAATGGATGAAATAAAAATTGCTTTAGCGCGCATCTTATACAGGTATTTCATTGTGTTTTATTTCTTATTTTGTTTAAACAACATCAGCTAAGTTTGGTAAGAACAATAGGTTAGGTTACTACAGAGTATAATGGAGTGATGGTGTTGAGCAAGTGATTTCAGCTCCAAACACAAGTCTAAAGTGTCCTTGAATCCACCAAACTCTTATAGGCAGTCAACTGCAGAAAACTTCCTCCACAATTCATTCATAAGCATAACTTAACTAAGCATAGAAAAATTATTTGTTACTATCAGCTTTCTGATATTTCTGCTTAATCTCTAAGATAATTGAAAAAAAAAGTTAAAATACAATTATATATATATATATATATATATATATATATATATATATATATATGTATATATATATATATATATATATATATATATATATATATATATATATATATATATATATATATATATTTAAAACATAAATGTTAGTTACTCAGAATAAATAAAGATTTGAATACTAATACTTCAAACATATTATAACTAATGAATGATTCTTTTTTTGCTAATTTCTTCAGGTTCAATATCAGGCTTGACCCCAGTCACAAAGTGGAGAAGCAGGAAAGCATAGTGATGAGAGCCAAGGATGACATCCATCTGCTGGTCACAGAACGCCACAATGCTTAAAATGTTGAAAATTTCTTTCTTGTTGAACATAACGCATATCATATAGCTACATTGTTTTAATTTTCTATTGAAAAAAGCTTGCATATTAATAGGAAATGGAAAGTTTTACTTACATGATTTTACATGTATATATATATATATATATATATATATATATATATATATATATATATATATATATATATATATATATACATATATACATACACACACGGGCTATAAATGTTATTTATCAGGAGCCCAAAAAAATCTTAAATTTATAAGCTTTAATATAGTATGTGTTATATAATTATATCAAATTTTGAGTTTTATTTAGATGTTATGTTACAAAATTTATGGGCTGCAAATGTTATTTATCATGTAGCCCAAAAAATAGTTCTTTAATACGGCAGTTTTAATTCACTATGTGTTATATACATATGTTAGATGTGATCCCATTTAAATATGACGCTTTTATCTATAATAATGTAATTTAGCTCAAAATTTCTTATTTCAATATTTTTAATGATAAAAAGACTTTTTCCATTTATAAAATACTTTGTTACTACTATTTCTATGAATGAAAATATTTCTAGTTACAGAACTAGCAAATCATTTGACCAAAGTTTTACTTCTGGGTCGTGTATTTATTAAACCTACTTAATACTTATATACATGTGTAAATATCTAGAAATATCAATGCAATTTTTAAATTTTTTTTTTATATATTGTTGAACCGGTAACTTTGTTGCAATTGGCATAACCTACCAGTTTGCCTTATTTGGGTAAAAACCTTTTTGGTTTTTCTGTAAATGTTGTTCCACTTTACGTGAAAACTGTCATAATTTAATGTTTACTAATTTTAAAAAAAGCTTTGGCTGTATTGTATTGATAAAACTACCATAGCCTTTTCTACAATAGATGTCTTTCACAGATAAATAATGATGTCAACTATTTACACAACCACTGGAATATCCTTAAGGTGTAAAAAAAAACATTACATGTGTTCATGCTTTTATAACAAGGATGTATGTTTTCTGTTGTGTTATGTGGAGTTTGTTACAGTAAATGCTTTATGATTATACATGTAGCTTTTCTTTTAATCATGTTGGATTGATGCAATTTATAGATTATAAATTGATAGAATTTATAGATTTTAATGATTTCAATAAGAACTATTCTTTAATGGGATGCATCATGTCCTTGTCAAAATTTATGTTAATTACATTGACCTAATGAATGAACAATGTTTCAAAATTTGTAATCAAAATTTAAGAAAACTATTTTAAGTATTAAAGAATAAAAAAAACACTGAAAAAAGCAAGTCATTAAATATTTATTTCATCATATAACATGAACATCCTAAACTAAAATATTTTAATATTGGAAAAAAAAATCACTGAAATCAAAATAATTGTAACTATAGTTAACTCCCCTGAAAATGATTCCAACTCTTTTCCAGGTCACAAAGCAGTTACACATTTAGAGGCTACAATAAATAAATATGACAATGTACTAAATGACCTGCATCTAGTTTTACAGCAACAGGTTTTTTTTGTTTACATATAATAACTGGGACTAGAGATGGACAAGCCCCAACAGGGTTGTATACTCGACTTAGTGGGCTCTCATACATCAGCCTTATAGTGGTCAGTGGCATAGTCAGGGGTTAATTCCACCAGAGGCGTAGCGAGGAGGGACGACATGTCCCCGGGCGCCAACCTTAGGGGGGGGGGGGGGGCGTCAACCTTAGGGGGGGCACCAAAATGGGTTGGAAAAACAAATTGAAAGTTTGAGGGGGAGGGGTGCAAATTAAAAGTTTGATGCAATTTATAGATAATAAATCGATAGAATTTATAGATTTTAATGAAAAGTTAGAGGGGGGTGGGGTGCAAATAGAAAGTTTGTCCCCGGGAAGGGTCGCTATGCCTCTGAATTCCACCCCCCCCCCCTCCGCACAAATAACAACTGTGATACATTCAGTTTCATTTAGTGACGATGCACTTTGTCTTAATTTCAATGTTCACAATTTTAATTCCTCAAAATGTTAGATTGGGAAAAATTTAAACACACCCCCTACTCCCTAAAAAGAATTCTTGCAATGCCACAGATGGTGGAGATAGCTACTGATGTGGATAAGATCATACCACATACACAAAGAAACATAAGTAAAACATAATATTCAAGACGTGAGCTTCGACAACATCAATTGTCGTAACTCTTGAACAAAAAATCTATGGCACAGTACATAGAGGAATGTTAGTCAACTATATATCACAGGTGTGTGTGACTTGTGTCATGCTGTATGACAGGTGTCTGGCATGCTCATGTGACAGACTGTCGTGTGTTGCTAACATAGCAAGCGACAGACTTACTTGTGACAGGCTGAAACATTATATGACAGACTGACATGACAACAGACACCTTTGTTTAATACACCCGCAAAGTAAAGACAAAGTAGCTACTGAACAATTAATTACAATAAATTATTATCAGAATAATAATACATTATTTATATTCTTCTGGAATCACAACATAATAACTACACAGTTTAGCAGCAAAGAAATGATTATAAAAATGTTACATATGCAATAATATACTCTCATGATATTGGGTGTAATATGTCAAACTTATACTCATTACAAACGTAACAAACTGAATTAAAATTTTTAAGCATTAGCACATTCTGTCAAAAATATTTTATAGAATGATATTGACATCCACATATTAAGGGGAGGGAATACAAGCAAAGGGGAGGAATGCTAACAACAGATGAAAACATGGAGATGAAAATAGATACAAATTTGTAAAAAAATCTTTTGCACAGATGGGTTCCTTGTTCAGTCTTTAAAATTATAAATAACCTGGATGTTAATCCTTTAAAAAATAAACACTAGCACTATATGTGATAAAACAGCAGAATAATTATCTAACATACATTTGATACTGTATTTATGTGATTAGGCCAACAAGCAAAATTTGCTTAATGTATTAACCTCTTTCAGTCAGCTTAAAATGTGATGTTAAATTATATCCAAATAACTATTCAATATAAAAAATAAATTTTCAACAACTATGAGTTATTATATGTGTGTGAAATAATCATTGAAATGTACTTTTACCAGTTTCCATCCCAAAATATCAATATGTAAACATGTAATTGTAAATAATCATTGTAAACATTTTGATACTATTTACAGGCATAAACAACCATGAGTAACCATAGCAACAAGAGCCAAACAACAAGCTGCATCAGCATGCCCATTCAAAGATCCTGACAGTGATTCAGACCATGGCCACAACAACAACCATGAGTAACCATAGCAACAAGAGTATGCCCATTCAAAGATCCTGACAGTGATTCATACTATGGCCACAACAACAACCATGAGTAACCATAGCAACAAGAGTATGCCCATTCAAAGATCCTGACAGTGATTCAGACCATGAGCCACCACGGCCACAACAACAACAAACAGAATCAGCATTCAATGAATCATTCACCCATCATGTAGTCAGGAGATTGGACTGGCTTCTTCACACTTGGTGGTTTAGGGTTAGAGAATGGTTTGGTTGGAGCTTACACTCTTCTATTTTTAAGAATCATTAACACTTAACCAGCTTTAGTCTCACAATGGTGTAAATTATTTACAGATTTTAATGTCGAATTTTTGTTTCAGATTTCGTTTTCATATAGGCCTACTTCACTAAATTCACAATCACTTAATTTTTTTTTAAAAAGAATATTGAGGTCTATAACTGAAAACCTATTCCTGAATTTTATAAAAATTCTTAAAATGAACTGTTACAATTTTTTAGATATTATTATAGAAAAAAATAGCTTTACGGGGGTTCTAAAAATGGTTCTGAGTCATCCCCAACTTAGCTGCGGTTGTAAACATCAACCCCATCCAACACAATATAAACCCCATGGAGTAAAACAAAATGGTGGCAACAACAGAAGAATGATCATACATACAAATCATAACAAAATGGTGGCAACAACAGAAGAATGATCATACATACAAATCATAACAAAATGGTGGCAACAACAGAAGAATGATCATACATACAAATCATAACAAAATGGTGGCAACAACAGAAGAATGATCATACATACAAATCATAACAAAATGGTGGCAACAACAGAAGAATGATCATACATACAAATCATAACAAAATGGTGGCAACAACAGAAGAATGATCATACATACAAATCATAACAAAATGGTGGCAACAACAGAAGAATTATCATACATACAAATCATAACAAAATGGTGGCAACAACAGAAGAATTATCATACATACAAATCATAACAAAATGGTGGCAACAACAGAAGAATGATCATACATACAAATCATAACAAAATGGTGGCAACAACAGAAGAATTATCATACATACAAATCATAACAAAATGGTGGCAACAACAGAAGAATTATCATACATACAAATCATAACAAAATGGTGGCAACAACAGAAGAATGATCATACATACAAATCATAACAAAATGGTGGCAACAACAGAAGAATTATCATACATACAAATCATAACAAAATGGTGGCAACAACAGAAGAATTATCATACATACAAATCATAACAAAATGGTGGCAACAACAGAAGAATGATCATACATACAAATCATAACAAAATGGTGGCAACAACAGAAGAATTATCATACATACAAATCATAACAAAATGGTGGCAACAACAGAAGAATTATCATACATACAAATCATAACAAAATGGTGGCAACAACAGAAGAATTATCATACATACAAATCATAACAAAATGGTGGCAACAACAGAAGAATTATCATACATACAAATCATAACAAAATGGTGGCAACAACGGAAGAATTATCATACATACAAATCATAACAAAATGGTGGCAACAACAGAAGAATTATCATACATACAAATCATAACAAAATGGTGGCAACAACAGAAGAATGATCATACATACAAATCATAACAAAATGGTGGCAACAACAGAAGAATTATCATACATACAAATCATAACAAAATGGTGGCAACAACAGAAGAATTATCATACATACAAATCATAACAAAATGGTGGCAACAACAGAAGAATTATCATACATACAAATCATAACAAAATGGTGGCAACAACAGAAGAATTATCATACATACAAATCATAACAAAATGGTGGCAACAACAGAAGAATTATCATACATACAAATCATAACAAAATGGTGGCAACAACAGAAGAATTATCATACATACAAATCATAACAAAATGGTGGCAACAGCAGAAGAATTATCATACATACAAATCATAACAAAATGAGCTGAAGAGATCAGATCAACTACCACAAGACATACCTGTCTGGTGGAGCCTATAACAAGTTCATAGGTGGGACTAACATCTTCATTAACAGGGGCCTGATAAACTCATTATGACTGCAGTACAGTGTAAAAAACTAATTATGCCAACATAGTTAAGATGCTGTTTTGAAATTTTTCTAACAAATATTTGTTCTTATTCAGTGAAACAAAAGGAGTTAATGACAATAGAATTTTTACATTTGTTGACCCTGATTGATGTATTTTGTTTTATGTTGTAGTAAAAATGAAATCAGTACATTAAAGGTGAAACAATAATAAACTAATTTAAACTCAAGTAAAAAGTAACGTGATGGTTTATCACAGAATATGTAAAAATCGAAATTCTTTTTTTTTAAAAACAAAAAGGGAGTTAAACAAAGATTAAAAAATGTTTAGAATGTAACATGTAGAATTGTTCTCTCTTGTTCCTGAAGCATTAAACACCCAGTCAATAATTTACAAACATTATCCATCAAAAATATTAATAACAGTTGGACCAGGAGAAACAAAACAAAAACAAGTAAATAAATAAAAAGATCTTGGAATGTTAAGGTCAAAGGTCAGTGCTCGTCCCGTGCTGGGGAACCTGCTCTCAGAGATTTTTGTAAGTTCAGGAGTGATGCCTTCATCTGGGGACACAAATATTTTTTTAAATATCTAACTTTACTATGCCAACTTCGGTTTCCAAACACCCAAAAATGAAGTTCCAACTTCTGTTTGAAGCACATACACACAGAAAATGGATTTTATTTGTATAGATGTAGTTGGAATGGAAATGTTGGAAATGAGTTTGAGAGTCACAAGATTCTAACAGAAAAAAGTCATGAGTTTTGAGTTTCACCACAGCCCTGATCTGCCCTATATTTCATGAGTTCTACAAGCTCACATCCCCTCTGCTCTACAATGTTGATGATGGTTACCCACATCCCATACAACCTTAACCACATCCCCTACAAACTTACCTGCTCTACAATGTTGATGGAAGTTGCCAGAACCTCTTCCCACTTGTTGATCTCACTCTCATGCAAGTGTTTTTGTTGCTGCAAGAGTTGACTCCATTCTTCTTGGGTCCGGGGGTATTTCCTGGTTTATACAAAACATTTCATTAGGCTGAGCAAAAAACATTTGTATTTGTAGGGCCAGTGGGTATTTTCTGGGTTATACAAAACATTTCATTAGGCTGGGCAAAAAACATTTATATTCATAGCTCAATAGCCCATTCTTAAAATTGTGTATTGCCTTAGCTTTAAGCATAAATAGTAATCAAATCCTCTTTATCAATGTTTGTAGCTAAAAAGTATGGTTTTAACATTCCGCTAGCTAAAAAGTATGGTTTTCACATTCTGCTAGCTAAAAAGTATGGTTTTCACATTCTTCTAAATATCAGCACAACCACCATCATTAAATCAATCTAGACATCAGTTTCTAAAATATGTGCTTGCTTCTGACTCAACAAAAAATAGAACGTTTATTAAGTTTTATCTAGTTTACTTGTATTAAAAAAATTATTTAGGCAAATATAAAATGAAAGGCATAAAGTATAATGTGACTGAAATACAAAGTCAGCCAAAGTAAATGTGGCTGATCATTCTACTGACCACAATGCTCCTTCATATTACAGAGAGAACAAAAGAACAGATATATAAGCCACAAAGAAGTCAATGTCAAGATAAATTAAAACTGAAGATACTAATTATTACTATTATTTTAAATGCATTTTTTAAATTGTCAGGATTTCTATACATGATTAATTCTAGTGTAAGCCATAGATAGTACTGTCAACTTACGATAAGGATTCGATTGATTCCTGTGAGGGTGTCCCATACAGTGAGCTGGCATAGCTCTCCAGTGACCACAGCTTGTAAAACAGGACAGCATTGAATAGAAGCAGGAGGACCAGCCTGAAATAGGTGACAGTTGTTGTACAAAAACAATCTTACTTTACCAAAGCTGCATAAAATTTAGGTTAATCAACTGGCAGAAACGCATTATGATTACAGCTGTGGAATAGTTAAGTGAGGAAATATGATACGACATGGAAATGCTGCTCTTAAATTCTTTTTTCGACATTTGATATTCAAAGTTCAGTTGAACCAATGGAACAGCTGTAAAATTGGTGCAAGTATTTGACTCAAATTTTATGGAAAAGGTCAAAATTTAAATGGATGCCAAGAATATTTTAATAACAGTATCTCTCTATACACAATCCATTTTATGATAGATTGAGGCAAAGTCTGTAGGCCTACAGGTCTAAATGTAAATGGATTCTTAGAATTGAACAAAACAATGACTACATGTTGGCTAATCAAAGTTTTACAACATTATCTTCAAACAGTTTTGCATTAATCATAATATAGAAATTGTTAATTTTTTTTAAATTGGCATTACCATTGCCCTCATAATAGCCTTTACCCTAACCTCACACCTGTTTGTTCATTTAAACAGCACACTAACCTATAAGTAAAATTTAATGAAGTATTTTGCAACATGTCATATTTTCTTACATACATTCAGCTATCATTCTATTTAACTGTGTTTCATGTGATAAGGAAAAAAACGACTAACACAACAATGATGATCCGAACAAAAAAAGACTTACACAACAATGATGATATAAAAAAAAATGACTTACACAACAATGATTATTCTAACAAAAAAAAGACTTACACAACAATGATGACCCGAACCAAAGTGTGGGCATTGAGTTCTATCAACTTCTCATCCTTGTACAAGGCTGTTGATGAGGTTATGTTCAATTTGTTTTTAAAATGTACAATTTAATATAACAATTTAAATTTACCAAATTAAAAAAACTAACAACAAATTTAAATTTTACATTATAAAAATATAGAACTTTTAAAATTGCGATTTTAATATTTACTCATTAATTTAGAATGTGAGTATTAATTTCTATTCATTAATTGATGAAATTTAGCAATTAATTAAATAAAATGATGTGACAATAAATTTTTTTTATTGTAATGAGCACTTGCTGGAATAATAACACTACACAAAAGCGCACCTTTGGAGGGTGATGGTGGTGTCGAGGTTTGCCTTTCAAAGAACTGTTGGCGCGATGCTGCAGCAGAGTCTGACGAAGCCGCATGCACCTTAACCCGTTTCCGCCTCACTTTCTTTTTAGGTATGATGTTCTGATGACCAACAACAATGGCTTCTTGTCTCTCTGCCTCACGCCTCAGGTGAACAGCTGATGAAAATTGGTTAAACTACATTCATTTAAGTACAGACTAGAGTTTTAGTTCTAAATTTTACTTTGATACTCATTAATATTGTAAACAGATGAGAAGATATGTCTAACTACATTTATTTAAGTACAGACTTGTTTTAGTTCTAAATTTTAATTTGATACTCATTAAAATTATGGGACGGCAAGGCCTAGGGCTTGAGCGCTAGACTGCTAACCCTTAAAGTCTCAAGTTCGAATCTGGGTTCAAGTCAGCGGAACATTCTTGAGTCCACCCAGCTCTGGTGGGTACCTAACTCCCATTAGGTAAAGTAAAGGTGGCAAAAGTGCTGACCATTTTATCCTTTCATATGCCGAGGTCAAAAAACATATAAACTCTACTTCATCTGTAAAAATGGATAATTAGGTCTAAAAAGAAATCTTTACTTTTATTCATTAAAATTGTAAACAGCTGGGAAATTAGTCAAATTAGATTTATTTAAGCAAACAATTAGAGTTACAGCTCTAAATTTAGTTCTACTTTAAAATTCTAAATATAAACACATAAATCAGGTTACATTATTGTTAGTGTTACTAAAAATAGTTTCATTATTATTATCATGAATGGAAAAGATGTAACTTACATAACTGCCTGCAGTAATCCGTCAAACCATTGACAGCACTTTTTTCTATCATCCCTGTAATAAGGTACAAAGTGTTTGATATGATAAGCTTGGTCAGGAGTGAGGTATTTTTATAAAATGTGAGCTGGCAAAATAATGGATGCCCTTTTTTTTTCCATTAAATAAATGTTATGTACAAAATAATATTTGTAAGGTTGTCACATATGTTGCTTATCACTGCAACACCGCTTATTATATCATAAGATAAATCAAGTAATATCAGGACTTTACACGATTCAAAAACAACTCTCTGAAATAATACATTTGAAGATAAAACACTCTCTATTTTAACACATCTGTTTATCATGTAAACAACCTCCAACTGAAATGGTTCTAATTTATAAAACAGGGAATCTATTGTTAAAACTAAGCTATTCACTTTGTTAAACCCAAACAAAACAAAAGAGTTATCTATGACCATTTCAAACCATGGGATAGTGAGGTAGATAGATGGTAGAGTGCACAGCTACTTAACTAAAAGTCAGGAGTTTGGATCTCGGGATTAAACCCATAGCACATCATGAGTGCTGCACCCAGCTCTGATGGGTACCTGACTCATGTTAGGGAAAGTATAGGGGAAGGCTGGGCTTAGTGCTGACGATACTATTTCTTCATATGCTGAGGTAATACAAACAGGTTAACTTTACTTTAAGTGCCCAATTGATCTCCGGGTCCATAAGGGTAACTTTGTTTTAAAACTAAATGTGAGTTAGGTTCTAGTATAATATTCATAACTATACAAGGAAGTCATGTCAGCACTATGCTCAGCCTCCTTAATTTCCCTAATCTGAGTCAGGTACCTATCAGAGCTGGGTGGACTCAGGGATGTCATACAGACTCAAGCCCAGGATCCGAACTGGAGACTCAGTCCAACAGTCGTACACTCAACTGTTTGACCACACTGTCCCTATCCATCTTAGCAGTGACATGATACGGATAATTCAGAAGTATCAATTCATGTACCTTATTCTTCTTCTTCTTCGTTCTTAATTTTTAGTGTTGGAAGGGATAGAGCCAGAGTATTTGAACTCAAGACTGTTTCAAGTTTAATAACCATGAGCTTTTACTGACTCGACCACGCCTCCAACACAATTAAGTACACGTGTCAACTGGTTATGCGCCATTGAGGCCAGTGACTCAGATTTCAGTCTGCTTTTCTTTTTGGATTTGCTTCCATAGCCTTTGTCCGACCAAGAACAAACTACAAGGCAGTAGTTTTTTATTTTGGAGCTGTCTCTCCTAGAAGAGTGGCTGTCCCCAGCTAACGAGCCTCATCTGCCAGAGGGTTCGAACTCGAGACTTTCAGTTTAGCAACCATGAGCTTTTACCAACTCGACCACGCCGACCCCTATGTACCTCATAAATAAAAAGTTTTATACCTTTAAACATTCCCAAAACATGTTTCTTGTACTTTAACTCTCCTGTGACAACCACACGACACTTGATGGGAGAGACCCTGGTCAGGCAGTAGCGCAGCAAGACATAGAAGGAGTCCGCATAGGGGATGCCACCATTACAACATTCACAGTCCACATGATAGATCCTTCCTGGCTTGCTCATGGTGTAGCATATCTGGCAAGTTGTATTTCAATTGTTACAATTTTTTAATACAAAGTTGAAAACTTCTATAAAAATACAATTCTTGAAGTATTTTGAAAAATCAATCTGGTAGGTTATATTTCAAAGAGTAAATTTTCAGACCATAAATTTTAAAATGAATTCAATACTAGACTTAATAAACAATTTTAGTAGCTATTTGGCATACCTTACCGGCAACTATATTTTTTAGTTTAAAAAAATTTCTAACTATAAACATTGAATTCTTTAAATAATCAACAATAACTATAAAAACATTCTGACAAATTACACTTTCTGGCAAGTCTATTAAGCAACTGGACAAGTTACCCTTGCAAAAATTACCTGGCCTGTTCAGCAAACCAAGACAAACTTATCTGTCACCTCCATGTCAACTTAAACACTGAACTCACCTGTTTCTCTGTGGAAGGAGAAGTCTTGGGGCCAATGGAGTTGTTCAGTGTTAATGTGTATGTGATGTTTCGCACTTTGTTTCCGTTTTCATCTGGCTCTTCCTCCCAATTTGGCAAATGTAAATCTGGAATTGGAGAATAAAGCAATAATCAATGATTGCATAGGCATTCAAGGAAAGAACACTAAATATCTTAGCAAAAAATTATTTTACACTTAGGCCTACACATGAAAAAAAAACCCATTTTTCAACGTAATTTAAAAAAAAAGCAATATACATACTAAACACTAAACATAAAAAACTGCACAATAGAATGATTGTAAAATGTAATACCAATAAAGGTACAGAGCACTGCAAAGTAAAAAATACATTTTTAATTTAAAAGTATCTACGTTTGTACTATGGAACGCTGCAACTCACCAAAAGTTTTCCTCGAAGAGACGAAATGTCGAAAGAATGGGGAGTCTGTGAAGAGACACTCGAAGACGGTGTCGATGTTAATGCTGAACACCTCGTCCAGGTACATTTTCTCCAGGTGATCATGACCAGCACAGAAGTATTCACCTGCAGGTAAATAAAGTATTTGACAATGATCACTTAGCTAATTTGATAATTATAGGATTCTGAAAATTTTATTGATGATTTTATTTGTGTACATAAGTTAAAGCTGAATTCAGGGATTGTTTTTTTTCTACCCCTTTCTAATAGCCACAATAAACTCACGGAATGTGTCTTCAGGTAGAACTATAAACTCCAGAATTAAAATATTCAAATTTGACTCCCTAATGATGTATTTAAAAGGTCACTTGGTACCAGCTGATATCCAAATAGGGAAAAATACAAGCACCTTTACATATTATTGGCAGCATTTTCTATCCAATGGCATTGCATATTGATTAGTCAGTTTATAAAACTAGATCTGATTGGACTTTGCAACTGGCTACATTATGCCTTCACACACACACTAACACAGCACAGAAAAACTTAGTAATCACACATTTGTAAAGAGGTTTTACAAATTATGTTTAAGACATGGTAATTAAAATTCATAATGAAAGTTGTTGTTGGTGAAAAGACTAATATTTTTAAAAAAGCAAAAGAATATATTGTTAGTGACCTTCCAGCGGGAACATTACATCACTTGATCACGGGAGGATAATCCTCCACAGTATACTGTAAAGGTACTATGTTAAACTACTATTTGATAAAAAAAAAAAGCAAATGCGTTATTTACCTTCACTATCATCACTTGAATCAAGAAAGTCAGGCAGTTTAGCTAGATGGGCTTTGGACAAAACAATAGGGATGGAATCTGTGAGCAGGGGCTGGTTGAAGACTTCATCAGAAACAAAGGCGTCTGTATCCTCATTGCTGGCTGTTTGGATGTTGTCAGCTGTGGTGGTCAGCGCCTCGGAGTCTGTCTGCAGCTCCTGGGGGTGATAGAACTTAGTGAGAGAACAAATAGATTAGATTAGTATATATAGAGAACAAACAGAATTTATATAGAGAACAAACAGAATTTATTAGGTGTTTGATGTGGTAAAACTTAAGGAATGAACGATCCAACGAGCAGACAGTAAATCAAATAATCTGAAAGAATAGTGAAAAAATAAAAAAATAAAATATAATTTCAACTTAAATAATAACACAAATAATATCATAATAATTAAAACTGACAATATAATAAATTAGATAACCTATAAAGTACAAAACTAAAAAAATTAAATGTTTCAAAAAGTCTTACACTATAACTAAACAAAGAAAAAAGGTAATAATTTAAATAGAAAGTAAAAAATAATTCCAATAGTATTAATATAATGAAAATAACACTAAAGAACTTAAAATAAACAATATAATAATACTTATATAAAATAAAACAAACTGATAGTATATTAAATTTTAGACTAAAGAACTTAAAATAAACAATATTATAATACTTGTTTAAAATAAAACAAACTGATAGTATATTAAATTTTAATGTGAATGAATATGATAAATGTTGAATCATCAATAAATCTTTAAATAGTATGTTAATTTAAACAAGACAAGTCTTCATTAGTTTTTTTTTTTAAACCTTGGTTCACTAGGTAGATTGAACATAGCCACACCCATCTTCATACCCATGGATATCAGATATGGTACAAAGAGAACTCTGGTACCTCAGCACAAAGCAATTCTGAAACTCTACTTTTCAGGAGTCAAACCCATAGAGAAAAAGAATATTATTGGCCTAGTGGTAGAGCCAATCACAGACCATCTATGAGTCTCAAGCCTGTGTCCAGATCATTAAAGCAAAACTCCTTTAAAGTAACAAGTCAACCCATTGTTTAGACCATTAACCTTACTGCTTTATTTGAAAGTTGCCCAGTCAAAAGCTCACAACCTACCTTTATGATGGGGATCTCCTCCTTCAGCTTCTCAGACAACTCTTCAAAACTCTGTGGCGGCACATAGTCCTCGTCTTCAGTGGTCAGGCCAAGGTCATCGCCATAGTTGTAATGGATCCAGGTCCAAAGCTCTTTGGCTGACATTGGCTATAGTGAGGAACAAAAAGCACCTTAAGGAAATCTTTCCATGACGTAAAGCAAAGCAAAAAAACAGTATTAAAATGAGTACTATTTATAAGAATTATCCCTATGACTTGGTCCAAGACCAAGTAACTGTGGCAGTCAAAGGCTACTTGGTGGAACGCTAAAGTTCACTAGAAAGTCATTTCATGGAAGTATCAACAGTTATATAACAATTTAGCTGATATTTTGACAAAACAACTCATTCATGTGGTTATGCAATCTTATGCTGGCAAGGACCACAGTAAAAAAAAAACCCATTTTAATACAGACAAGGACCATAGTTACAAAAAAAAAACCCATTTTAATACAGACAAGGACCATAGTTACAAAAAAAAAAACCCATTTTAATACAGACAAGGACCATAGTTACAAAAAAAAACCATTTTAATACTGACAAGGACCATAGTTACAAAAAAAAAACCATTTTAATACAGACAAGGGCCATAGTTACAAAAAAAAACATTTTAATACAGACAAGGACCATAGTTACAAAAAACTTTTTAACAGAGAATCCTTTCATGGAACCATTAAAATAATTAAATAGTTTGAACATTGAATACTGTGGGACAAATTAAAATAATTCAAATACAATTTTTGTTTAAACAAAAACACACCTCTGACCAAAAGCTCTTTAGCTATGGGGAGGAACAAAACAATTTACCAAAGCTTTAAAGCAAAGTATTCTCACAGATATTTTTTAAATAAGCTAGACCAGGGGTCGGCAACCTTTTGAAGCGGAAGAGCCAAAAGTTACAATTTTAAAAATTTCCCTGGTTTTAAAGAGCCACTATCATTTTTTTATTTCAAATATTTTCTTTTTTTATTAAGATTCTTAGTATTTGTGCAAGGAGCTGGAGAGCCACATCTTGATATCAAAAGAGCCGCATGCGGCTCGCGAGCCGCAGGTTGCCGACCCCTGAGCTAGACAAACACTAATTCTTATGAGAAAACAGTTTGATGATACATCTTTTTTTTTAAGACTCAGTTTTAAAATTAGTTAATGTATAGGCATAAACATTAGCTAACCTGGTCAAGCAGGGCATTCTGCCAGATGCGGAACAGCATCATGTACGTTTTGTCCCGAGCCCCAAAGGAAGTGAAGAAGTAACGTTCTTTTTCTGTGGTGATTTGGATGGCATTGGGTATCACTCTGGCAGTCTTCTCCTTTGTTATAGCAGTGATTTCTTTACAAGGGATCATCAGCTAGACAAACACACAGTTTACCATTTTAAATGGCAGCAGCAACTTCTATGTGATTTAGATGGCTTCAGAAACACTACATTGGAAAACCTGGCTATAACAATTACATTCCATTCTCTTTATATTTGAATAATTTAGATAGAGACAGAGATATTAAGATTGAGATGAAAACTCTGCTATATTAAGATTTTAAGATAAGTAAAGCACTACAAAATAAATATTTTAGCCCAGAGTAATACAGCAATATAAAAATTTTAGCATAGAGTAAAAAAAGGAAATAAAGATTTTTAGTAAATACTACAAAATTGATCCAGCTGTCTTGCAATTTACAGATTTTAGCAAAGAATCTGAGACTACAAAATCATCAAAATGATCTAAGACAAACATAGATTCCCAAAAACAAAGAATTTTAAACTACAAAATAATCTAGCTGACACCTACCATAGTCTCCCAATTAAAGATTTTAGCATAAAAACAAATCCAGTTCTGTGAAATGTACATCCGACCTTGAACTAAAATATCCTTTTGCAGAGCACAGGAATAGTCTGAGGAAATAATTAAATGTTTTACTACATCCTAGAGACGCTATACACAAGAGCATTCTGGAAAAAGAAATGTAATATAACCGATAGCTTCCGATAGCAACCTGCAATGCCCATGACACCTGGGTGGTCACCAAGGTGTATTCTACCTCACTAATTAAATTATAGTGCTGATTAATGAACACTCAATGCCCTTATAACCTATGCCTTCGGACGACTTGGCGGTAGTATATAATTGGTAACGGATTGATAAAATCATTTTAAGATATTGTGTCAGCCTTTCTTCTGAGTGTGAACAAACCTGCACCACTAGAACTATGATCCAAGAAATATAGCGCCTGCTTTGTTTATATTTAAATATCAGTTTAAGAAAGCAATATATAATTGGTAATGCATTGATAAAATCCTCTTAAGATATTGTGTCAGCCTTTCTTCTGAGACCGCAGCAGCGTGTGGGGACAGGTACGCTAGTATTAGATAAATGGTTATTGAACATGCTAGAGAATCAACTGACCAACAATTAATCTTTCATCCTTGGGGACATCTTTGAACATCCTCCTGTAATCCTCACTTCTGGACTTGTATGTAGTGCTCATAATCTGGGGAGAAACAGACATCTCATCAAGGGAGTTAACTAGGGACACAACAGGCTTAAATATGGTAAAACAAGATGATAAATAGCTGATGTGATACTTATTTAAAAAAAAGCCACTAAGGCAGCTCAAATAAATTTTGTTGCTTTAAAAAAAGAATAAATTCAAGTTACCTGTAGCTACCTATAACTAGCAAGAATAAATTTTAAGTATGTTATCACTCAGCAACTAGCAAAGCTAAATAATACATAACATGCTGGCCTATAAAAATAGCAATAATACCAGTTTTTATAAAAAAAAAAACTTTTTTTTAACTCTCCCAACATCTGTATACCATATGGTTTTAAAGAAAGCAAATAAATGATAGTTTTAAAAGCATCAAAATAGTTAAAACCTTCTTACTAAATGCATCTTAGTCAAATAGCTGTTAGCATCCATTTGCTATATCTAAATGTAGAGTATAAAAACTTAGACCAAGCAGTTCGACTAAACAGGTGATTGTCTGCTTCCTCTAATAGATAATTTACAAAATCTATTCTATCAATAGTTACGTGATTACCTGTTCTCTCCTGCAGTAATACACATCTAGCTAAGTGTTATTCCTACAATCTTAATGAACACCTTATCAGTTCATACAATTTACTGAGTCAGTTAAAATTTATCCCAGGCTTATTGCAATGGAACAAAAGGTCCTCTTGACCCCTGACCCCAGCCTCTATAACCTTGTTTACACTCTGCAGTATTGTATTTATCAATACACTATCAAAATCTGGCTGGCCACTTAAATGTGATAGTAATTTAAAGATTTTTTTAACAATTTCTATTTATAGTAATAACTATTTTTAAAATTGCAAATCTAACTTTTAAAGAAAGCCAAGCCTGATTAGTGTTAAATCTATAATTACAAGTTTAATTCTAGTTTCATAATTAAAAATTAATTAAAGCAAAAAATATCTATACATAATTATTACACATGTTAAGTTAAAGAATAAAGCTATAGTACTTTTGTTTATAAGGCATGGCATTGTAATCATAATGCTTGTTTTGCTGTTTTAAACATTACAAATATAAAAGCAATACATTATAAAGCCAAGTTATCAACACAAATTTTAAACTTTATAAGAATTGTAAACTTGGCTATGTGAATGCTGGACCTAGTGATAATAAAGCGTGAGTTGTCAATGTTAATGCTATTAATGTAATGGTAGATCCTTCACGGAAATTACTCAAATTTTGGAGAGTGTGGTAGGTTTCCCTACCGTGCCTATAAACTCTGCCATCTTCACTGTAGTATCCCATATCCAATTCATGTTATTATAATTCATGAAGAAAAATAAAAATCACAAAATTGTGATATACACAAGTTCTTGATATTTTTTAAAATGCGGTTATAGTATGAAACACAATGAATATCCAATGTTAGAACTGTATTGTGTTTATGAATGTTTTTAAAGGCAACTGTCAAAAACACTTTTGAGACAGGTGATTTGTACCATCCACACATCATATAACTCCAACATATAAGTCCAAGAAAAAAAAATGTTCAAAATATTCAATGCCGGATGCGATCTAGCCAATAGGTACGTAAGCAAAGGGCATAATTACAGGAGAACGAAGTATTGCAGCACACAACGCTGGGTTATAAACTTAGACACAAAGAGCAAAATGAAAGAGGCATCCAGCATGCTGGTGTCACACCTGATCCACAGCACCTGTCTCCCCCACGCCAATCCATTAAAGGCCTAAACCATTTACATAAGTTATGGGCCTGGTTACAGGGGTTGATCACTGGATGTCAGGTAAATACACTTAATCTGTTTGGTGTACAGAACATGAGACAGGCTTCAGTCTGTTGGGCCACGTTATGATGTTAAGTGTCAAAACATAATTACAGACTTAGTTACGGCAAAAATAAATAGACTGGACTTTTTCAAGGTATGGAATCTAACATTTTTTAAAATACAAATGGTAGCTGCAGTGAGGTTAATACAATAATTAACACTACCTGTTTTATTACTTATAACATTTTTTTATCAGTCAGATTTTGATGTAAATAATACGACAGTTAATGTATTAACCCATTTGATCAAAGAAATATGCTATACAGCCCATGGGATTGACAGATAAGTAACACATTTAACCTGATGTCATACAGCTAATGCATTAGCATATGTACTGTTAGACAGCTGCATTACTAGCCCATGGGATGTCTGACAGTTCATATATGTACATGAGTGTTCAATGTCAGACAACAACTGTCATACAACTTGTTTGACAGATGATGTGTAGAGGAAAGTCAGAGTAATGTCTAACCCAGTCTTTGGTCAGACAATTGAAATTGTCTACAAGATGCTCGCATTTAACATGGACATGAGGCTATAGCTAGGTGGTCATAGTAAGTCATTTTTTTTTCAGCGTGGGTCTTTCAGGGCATACTCTTTACCAAAAACAACTAATATTCAAATACAGTAAAAAAAAATGTTTTAGTTCAAAACCAAACACTAAATAAAATAAAAACCTACAACTATATTAAAAAATAAAATCAGCTATGTTTGTTTTAAAAATGTATTAAAAAAACATCCCAGCACAAACAAATTTTTATGAAGAATTTAAAAAAAAAAAGTAGATGAAAAAAAAAGTTATCAAAGTGCACCGTAAAACAGCATTTCCAAGTATCAAACTATCTGAATTAAACCACCACAGAAGCTAAAATTTAAGTCTAAACTAAAGTTCCAACCCCAACATTGGCAATACCACCGCTGGTCAGGTATTAACCAAAAACAAGAGCACTGAGGGACCTGTGTAGAAGGTTTGATAAGCAAAGACACACATGTATATGAGCATCTGGCATGTGCTGGTGGACACACAAGTTGTAAAGCTTGTGTTAGGGTTAGCATCAATCAAGCACAAACAGATTAATCATAGGTAAAAGACAGCGGTAACTTGAGGAAAATATATTGATTACTTTCTATAAATAGTTTATAAATATTTTTATAAATTAAAGCATTACCTTTACAATTTAACTACATCATTGAAATAAATTTAGAGAAATATTAAGATATTTATCTTTTTAAGACCTTGAAGATATTCATTTTAAAAAATACAAGATAGAAAAGAAAAAAAATCTGACCCTGAGTTAAAAATTGAGTTTAATTTAACAAATCGACCGTGACCCCTTTTTGTAAAATTACCTGTTTTCTTCGTTTGAGTGTCTTTTTGCTGCGCATACTGTCAAACTTTCTTTTGTCCATTTCATTCTGTTTTGAATAGTGGATTTCAATAATGTCCAAAGGCATAAAATAAAATAAAAAAACTAACACCTAATTTGTACGCGCTTCACTCAAGTTTCCAAGATGCGCTGCTGACTTCATAGGCCAACCCATCATCAAGAAGGGGAAGCAATCAATGATCCATAGTCATTCCCATTCAGTGACACTACCTAAGAATTTGTCTGAACCTTTAAAGAAAAGTCAACGAGACAACAACAGCAGTTTTAGGTGGTATGGCTGGTAGGTACATCAACGACATGATGACAGTGCATGTGTGTGGTGAAGACCATCCATAAGGTCAGCAGCGTCATACGAAATAGCATGAACACTTGGCTTCAATTCTTGACCCATCAAACTAACATTGGAATCAATTCTTGACCCATCAAACTAACATTGGAATTAATTCTTGACCCATCAAACTAACATTGGAATCAATTCTTGACCCATCAAACTAACATTGGAATCAATTCTTGACCCATCAAACTAACATTGGAATCAATTCTTGACCCATCAAACTAACATTGGAATTAATTCTTGACCCATCAAACTAACATTGGAATCAATTCTTGACCCATCAAACTAACATTGGAATCAATTCTTGACCCATCAAACTAACATTGGAATTAATTCTTGACCCATCAAACTAACATTGGAATCAATTCTTGACCCATCAAACTAACATTGGAATTAATTCTTGACCCATCAAACTAACATTGGAATCAATTCTTGACCCATCAAACTAACATTGGAATTACTGCTTAAAGCAATGTTACATGTCCATGTTGGATTATGTAATATGATATTCAGGTTATCATGACCTTCAACAGAAATACTTGACCCATCAGATATTCAAGTTATCATGACCTTCAACAGAAATACTTGACCCATCAGATATTCAGGTTATCATGACCTTCAACAGAAATACTGGACCCATCAAACTTAAAATGAAATAACTGCTGAAAGCAGTGTTATATGTCAATGTTGGATTATGTAATATGATATTCAAGTTATCATGACCTTCAACAGAAATACTAAACCCATCAGATATTCAGGTTATCATGACCTTCAACAGAAATACTGGACCCATCAGATTTTCAACAGATATTCAAGTTATCATGACCTTTAAACAGAAATACTGACCCATCAAACTTACAATGGAATAACTGCTTAAAGCATCGTTACATGTCCATGTTCGATTATATAATAAGATGTTCAAGTTAAGTCTTTCAGCAGAAATACCGGACCCATCACAGAAGTTACATTGGAATCAGGTCATTTTTTTTTCTTGGTTTCATCCCTGTAAGAACCCTATTCAATTCAGTTTTCTTCTATTTCAGAAAACTCCAAAGCTATGCAAAAAAAGTTCTTCTTTCTCATCATTAAGAAAATACAATATGCACATATATTTCTCCATGTTCTCCTTCTTCATTATCATTGCAAACACATTTTCCAAACCTTAAATTCTTCAGTAGACAAGAGCTATTCCAACACTGCAAAATGTTTGACACTAAACAGAACTGAATACAACTTCTAATCTTTAAGCACATAATCAACAAAGTGAAGATAAAATCCTACTTTTAATGCTAATTCATGAATGTGAAAAAAGGCTAACACTGTCTATCAAATATAAGAAATAGCTAAAACAAGCAAAGGGAGCACCAGAACATAGAGACACAAGTTTAAAGCCAGTTGCCTATAACCAGCTTGCATGTAAACAAGCCGTCAGCACCAGAACCAGATGTTACAACAAGGGGCTCAACAGGATCAAATGTATTTGATCAATACCCCATCAATAACAAATAAACACCAGTTGGGGGTTTAATCAATAACTCAATTTACTGTTTTGACACCAGGATGGGGTTACCTGCCTCATTAGCAGGTTGACTTTCACACAATAATGAGGGGAAATGGTGCGCAGTGGTGTTAGATTATTATAAGAATAAAAAGAAAAAAGTTTTTTAAGTGTAAGAAAATTTTTTTTATTACTTGTGCGACAGCTGATACAAAGGAGCTGGCTAAACAGTGAAACATGCTGTACAAACAGCTTAAATGCTGTATGACATGTCGAAAGAAAATGCTGTGTGTGTCAGACAAAAATAAAATACTATACAACATGCTGGTCTAACAAAAAAAACGTAGGGTGATGAACAATTTAAGTGTGGGTCTACACAAAGTTACTACAATGTTGGTGTATTGATCAATGGGTGTTGTTTTTGGTTTTCGTAAACTACTGGATAATTACACAATGTAAACGCAAGTACATTTCAAGTTGATCAACACCAACATTGCTATAATGGTGAGACAGTGTACATCCAACATGCAGTGCTAGAAACACCAGGAGAGCAGTTCAACATTGGATCAAGCAGGAGAGCTAACTCTTATAACCATCAAAGTTTCACCACAATTACACCCGGGTGTACTTTTTTTTAAAAAGTCTCCCACTCTGAAAAAAAAAAACCACCCAAAAATTTCCGCAAGATGATAATACTCTACTTACATTGTACCACCGGTTTTTCTTCTTCTCAGATTTAGATCCTTTTGCAGCACTACCAGAGGAGTGTTGGTCAGGGGATTTGCCTCCCTCCAGAGCTGAAGAGTTCCAGGAATCCACAGACAGGTTCAGATCCAGAGATTTCTCAGAACATTTATCTGTAAATGTAAAATAAATTAACCGGATATTACATTTCAAGTTTAAGTGTTCTACCAAGTACATGAGGAATCCATGAGCAGCATAACAACCAACAGGCTTTACTTGCACAGTAAAAGGTGAGTAACAATTTGAGATTTTTTGTAGGAAGTGTATATAAATAAACATTAATATAGGCCTACAAGCTGAAATCCTAACCATGATTGCAAAATCATATTGCCTTTAGTATTTAATAATATAAATACATTTTTGTATTAAGAGTATTTTCGTTGCATTGTCCAGTAATCTACTAATCCATAATATAAATACATTTTTGTATTAAGAGTTTTTTGTTGCATTGCCCAGTAATCTACTAATCCATAATATAAATACATTTTTGTATTAAGAGTATTTTGTTGCATTGTCTAGTAATCTACAAATCCATAATATTAATACACAAAAATGTGCAATAATTTGAATAATCCTTCCACCCACATGGGACTACTTTTATATCAGAGAATAATGAATGCTCCATAGCCCTCAGTCTGCAATTACAAAAGTAAACAATTTGCTAATCCAGTTGAAATTAGATGTAAGCTCCTCTTTCTGTTGCCTGCTACAATCATGCATTAATCTAATCTAACACAGATCTAAAATACAATCATGCTTTAATCTAATCTAGCACAGATCTGAAATAAGCTCACCTAAGATATTATCTAATGACCTCTCAAAAGACCTCGAGTTTGGCCGACTGTTGTTTGTTTCATAGTTATCTTGAGCAGAGCTTGGCCTCTTTTCAAACGGTGCCAACAGGCCGATGCCGCTGTTGGTGCCAAACTCTGTGAGGTCCCCCCCATCAGAGAAGCTGTTGTAGCAGGATGGGCTCTCAAATGTGTTGTGTGGTTTGTCAGGGGAGGCGCTGCGGCTACAGTTGGCGGAGTTGTGGGAGGGTGACCCATCTTTATTGCCTTCGTCACTGTGGGGTTATGGGTAGAGGGAGAAGGAACAAGGAAATATTAAAATATGAATTTATGGATCATCAAGAAATAAATCAGACAATAAAAATATGGCAATTAAATTACAAGAAGAATTGTCAACACAAACATAAGAAGCACATGATGATTTTTATTATTTTTAATATACAAGTATAGTTAACAAAGCCATAAAACTATTTTAGCACCCCCCCCCCCCCTTTAATGAAATAACACGTCATCCAACCATCTCCCTCAAAAATGCAATTTTAGTTCTTTAAAACAGTGACTTCTTTCTAAAAGATTTACTGGATACTATCAACATGAATCTATTGATCAAATTTGTGTATTATTAACAAAGTATTTTTAAAAATGTCAAATAATAGATAAAAACCTAATTTCTAACATTACTTTTTAAAATGTAAAAGTGTGGAAGTCACACTTTCTGAGCCTACATCTTCACATTGCCACAAAAATCTGAACTCTAGGTGTGTGATGTCATTTATGGACCACCCTTTGAACCCTTTTAACTTGAGCACATGAAGTATTAAGTAAGAACTGCTGGCAAATACAAAGTGTAGAAAAATATCTTACCTTTCTCTCAAGTCTGTTGAGCTAGCCCTTGAGGAGGACCTTTGTAGACCAGGAGAAGACAAAGACTCCTGACTGGAATTCAAGTCTTTTGATCTGCGCCTAGAATAATAAAATGTATACTCTTGATCATAAATTAAAAGCAATGTCATCTGGCTGTTAAATTTGCTTTATTTCACACTGTTCTCCAAATTTCACAAAGTTATTTTACATGATTTAAAAGAACAGATTAAAAATTTCAAACATGTGAATGAAGTTAAATAAACCAATTCTGTTAGTGTTGTCCCTTGATGATATAGGGATTTGATTGTTAGGCCTGTGACTTACAGTTGCTTAGTTTTAGATAAGAACTCACCGCTGAACAGTTAAGTTTGGTGACATTTTCCCATCTTGGCTACATGTTTCTACCACCTGGGTTTGTTTCAGCTTGTGCTCACGCAAGCTTCCACTGTTGACTCTACGAAACCCAGGAGATTCCACTGTTAGCGAAACTCTTTGCGTGTCACCTGTTTCATGCTTTGACTGTCTATATATCACAGTTTGGGATGTAGCAGTTTCCAAGTGAATAGGTGTACTTAATTTGTTTCTCAGTACACTCATTGTGTCCATGTCACCATCTAACGTGTGCATGGTAATAGTTCTTTTGCTAACACACTAAATATTCATGTGTATAAGCATGTCCACAACGCTGAATCACACCTATGTAATGATTATGAGTTTTGCTTTTCTATTGTGTATTTCATCTTTAATTAAGACCTAGATTTTATTTGTTCTGATGAATAATTTAAGTTTGTCTATACTAATTACTATTCCTGGTACATTTATTGTGGAGTTTTAAAAAATTACATTGAAGAAACTAATAATAAACAGCATTGCTTCTCCACAGTAAAGGTAACATTAATGAAGATTTTCCAAAGTAATGTCCTTTTGGCTTAACTTTAAAAAAATATTACTTTTCACATATATTTATTGCATACTCTGAAGTATTAACTTTTAAAAGGTCATTATTTATATAGGCTACATCAAAATGGTATTTATAAATTATTTTTTACAAGTTTTTTTTTTTACCAAGGTGCCGAATTATTGAAATATGACTTTTAACTTAACTAAACTGTTGATTATCAATTTATAGCCTAAAAAATCATGACTGCTGGTTCACACTATCATAGACCTAGGCAGAATCTCCACCTGCTTTAGTGAGGCATGTTTGGTGCCTAATAATGTAGTAGGTTAAAAATTGACCAACTGATTGTAAAATACTGAAACCATTGGATTATAAAACATAAGTTACCACATAAAATCTGTGCCTGTGACATGATTTTTAAAAATTGTCTAACAGTTTCTTTAACAGTTAGGGCCTACTAAGATTAAGAATAGGCCTATTATAATTGAAATTAAGGTTTATAATTAGGCCTATAACGCCATTCTTTTTAAAGTAATTAGGCCTATTAACTATTAAGTAATTATTAAATTAAAGGACGTTCTGACAGAGATTCAAAGGGACGACTCGAAATATCGTCCGTATTCTCTAGTCACTACTACACTAGAGATCTATTTGTTATTCTGTAGGGCTTATGTATCAGTGTGAAAAATGTAACTGTACTGATTACGTAAACTAGCTAGATGTAGTTGCTAGAATTGTAAAAAATAAAATGGTAGAACAAAAATACTAGGCTATTCCCTTCACACCACCCCCCCCCCCCCCCCCATCTTAAATTTACAGAAACCATTTGCAATTTGCAGTATTCCAATAATTATAATTTGATTAATATTTAGAAGATCAACTAGATCTAGATCTAGGCCCTATTACGAATTATTTAATAGTAAAATAAATAATTTATAAACTAGATTATAAGATACATTTATCTAGCGAGATTTACATTTAATAACATAAGAATAGAGATGTTTCACAGGAAGTTGACAACCACCAAGCAGAGAGCAATAAAAATAAAATAAAAGATAAACAAAGATTTTAATATTTCCATTACAAGTAGTTTCGAAAATTTCTGTTATGTTTGGCTTTTTAATTCATGTTCCTGATTTTGAGTTTAATCTTTTTTTTTCATTTAATGAAGAGAACGTAAACCAACATAATCAAAATATGGCACTTAAAGCATAGATCTCTAGGTCTAAATTACTAATCTACTAGCTTCATTTTACTAATGATAGAAATAATATACCAGATAGAGCTTTTTGTAAATATTTAGCAACAACTATAAATTAAACTAAACTAGCTCTAATAGTGAAATTTTATAGTATTTTATAGTATTGAATCGCGTTGTTTTTGTAAAGCTAGTATAAACTATTTTTAAATATGTTTATTTCTTCTCACAAAGAAAGAAACGAATGTTTTTTTTTAATTTAATTTTGATTTAGCCTTGAACGGAACTTCAAAAACCTGGCTATGTAGAATTCCGGGCGTTAAGGAAAACAATCATGGATTTTGACGAGGACTCAGCAGATGTAAGTCTTTGCAATATTCTAGATTCTTTTATTTCTATTTTGTCCAAATCTACTTTTTACAGTTTACTGCTTGACTTGATACTTACTACTATTACTAGATCTAAATATTACATTTTTATTAACAACGCCGTTGCATTTAGTAACATTGTCACTTTGTGCAAGGTGCTTCCCCCCCCCCCCACCCTTTACATAAAAAGTATTTAGTATAAAGTGAAGTGAACTGTCATAGCATGAGTAGCCATTGACCATTAGCATTGTTAGTACCTTTACTTTTACCTTATATATCTAGTAAAATTAACCTATAGTTTTACACCAGACTGAGACTTTACTTCTTTTTCATTTTGCTGGAGAAATTTTGATCAATGATCATTACAAGATTCTAGATCTAGAGGAGTTTACACTTTTCGGACACACACCAAAAATTACGTAGGAGCGAACACTTCGTCGGTTTTTGGCTCATAGAAACTTTAATTAGCATGTCTCACGCGAAACCACGGCGCCTGCACGTAAACTGTTCATTTATGAACACTTCCGTGTCAAGTACTTCCGTTTCCTTTCTCAAGAATTATTTTTAGAAATTTTTTAACGTTGCATGGTACGCACATTTCTATTTTTACACCAGCCGGATGAAGTGACCTAGGGTTGGACTTAGGGGCAAAACTTGAACCAATCAATGCTTAGCTAAAAGGTTACACTATAAATAGCTTCTATATATGTATGGAACATCGTAAATGTCAAGGTTAATGGGTTTTTTTGTGCTTGAACAATAAAAAAGGGGTGTTCGCTAACTTATTTGGCCTTACATGGGAGCGGACAGCAACACAAAAATATTACTAAATAAGAATTTAGAGCATAAAAGGGGCTGGTTATTGAAGGGAAAGGGTCAAAATAAGGTCAAGAAGGCAGTGGAATGCGAAAGAGGAGGGGGAATCATGTGACCTGGCTGGCTTAGCAGCGTACTGCGCGAGCCGCAATGGCTGAATGGGATGAACTTTGGGAGTGTGGGAAAAAGGTTTTATACTATTAAAATTACCTCACAAACAATCAATAACACAATATACATGCATATAATATATGTTTTTATTCATTAAATTGACTTTAAATTATTCTAAATGAACAAAAAGTGCTATGTCCGATGACGGGTAAAGGTGTCTGAACACATGTAAAACTGTATTACATGTGTTCGAACACACGTTAAGACCCCCCAGTCACTATAACAAGAATAGCTTAAGTTCTATGCGTATGAATACAAAATGACACACACATTATTAAAGTAGAATGGTTGCGGATAGATATGATACTTTTTTTTGTTTTCTTTGTTAAGCGGTTACTGAATGAGACCGCATGGAATTTTTACGTTGCGTTTTTTCGCTATGTGTGTCCGAAAAGTGTAAGCTCCTCTAGATCTTATTATTAATTTTATTAACAACACTTACACTTTACACTGTAAAACTCCATTTTAGCGTATTTTATTCCCTGCTTCACGTTCACCTCCAGTTGAGCGTATTTTATTATAAACTAATATAAACACAACCTAAACACACAAAATTGTTAGGAAATCACTCGGCCTATTTCTTTATGAATTTTTTGTTTAGTTTGTTTAATTAATTTTGTCAAAACTTGAGAAAAATTCAAAATTTGGAATATTGAATGTGAACTAAATTAGATCTATTTATTTTCTTTAAAAAAAATATGTTCGTGTCAGTTAAGATTTTCATGGCAATGGGTAAAGTAGAAACACATAATTGCAAGGCATGATACTATAAATTAACTTGCACGAACTCACTATGACCCTATGCTTTGACGTATGCTGATAATTATAATTAAAGTCAATGACCCCTTGATCATGTAGGGATTTTTCTCACGATCACACGCTGTTTAATTGCAAATGTACTGTAATGCTTATTTATAATTTATATTTTTTACCTTTTCTAATTAAAACACATTCATAAAAAAATAAGTAGATCTTTATCTATCATCTAATGATTCTAATTCTAGTGTTTTCCTAACGTTTTTGTGTGTTTTGGTTGTGTTTATAATAAAATATGCTCAACCAGAGGTGAATGTGAAGTGGGGAATAAAATACTTGAATCGAGTAAAATTAATAAAGTATGCAAGGTGCTTTCAACTTTTTATATTCGTTAACTGGCATAGCATTAGTATAGTTAGTACTTTTAGACTTTTTGTACTTTCACCTTATCGATCCAGTAAAAATATAGTTTTACATCAGAATGGGGCGTTTTACTTTTTTCTTTCTTTTTTTTCATCATTTTGCTCTAGAAATATTTTAATTAAGTAAATATTTGATTAATTTCAGGAATATGTATGTAGATCTTGATTTATAATTGGTAAAAGACTAGTCCTCATTTATTTATTTCGGCCTGTTAGAAATTAATATTAATTCAGCCTATGTTTTACATTATCTTGACATGTAACAAAAAGATTAGGCCCAAATACTAATAGTTGGTGAAATAGTAATACTTAATAATTAGCATAATAATTAATTAAGCCTGCTTATACCCTAATAGATCTACATAATATATCAATAGTTTAAGTAAACGGTAATTTTAAAAGTTATTAAAATTAACTTTAAACAGCAGTGTTTAAGAGCAGTATTAGCTATAAAACAGGTCATCTGTAAATTAGAGTAGTTAACCTGAACTTCAAACTATAATGTACCAAAAATTTACTTTAAAAAGATGGCTAATCTTTATTTGTTGCTAAAAAAGTATTTTTTAAAGTTGTTCAAAAACAGGTACATAAAACATTTTTGTTTTACATTTAAAATATAAATGCTCCTAAAATTGCAAAACAATTTCTAAAATTTAACATTACTAGCTTCAGCAGATTTTAGTGTCCTGAAACGATAGATAACCAGAAAAATGTTCCAATATGTCTGGTAATATAACTCTAGTATAGTAGTTTTTAGTGTTAAAACAGGTTTTTTCAAATAGCCAATAGATCTATTTGAAAACAGGCCTAGAGTTATTATTAGCTATTCAGTGAATAGACATCAACAAGTTTAGGTGAATTCTTCCATCATTATTGTTGAGGTGGATAGAAATTGAATTTTAGCCTAATTTTACAATTTTGCTTGGAAATTCCAAAAATTTAATATTTTAAGAATCTGTTTCTGGCAAATGTAGAAAACATGAAAATAATTTTTTATGTTTTAGGCTACATTTCTATTTATTATCATCAGCTTCACTTTTATACGACAAGCTTTGATTACCTGTACCAAATAAAACTATGTGATCAATCTTCTAAAAGCCCTACTGTCTAGCTTTTTGTACCCTGAACTTTACCAGTAAAATTTTTTGAATTATATTAAACTTTTTTAAACCACAAGATCCTATTCATGCCATGCTTAGGTACTTTTTCAGTGATAAAATGTAAATGACCACATTTTATTTGGCTATCTTTAAAATATTATATTTTAGTTACTGAAAACACTGAACACATAAAATACATCCCATCTTTAGTAGTTAAGTCTAACAAAAATCAGATTTTTATAACCATGTTTATTTTAACAACATCCTACACGATTTTTCAAATATTTTATAAAGGCCATTCAAATTATTTTGATTGAGACTATTCCTTGGTTGTGTCCATTAACAATGTTATGTTACAGTAACTTTATTAAAACATTTTTTTATTTATTTTCCTAATGATATAAGATTAGTAAGTAAAGTTCCCTTTCAAACCTTATGGTCTACAGGGCAAGTGAAGTAGAGTTCACTTGTTTCTGTGACCTCGGCATATGAAGGGAAAGTGTGGTCAGTACTATGCCCAGCCACCTTTACTTACCCTAACGTGAGTTAGGTACCCATCAGAGTTTAGTGGACTCTGGGATGGTCTACTGACTTGAACCCGGTTTTAAACTCGAGACTTGCAGGTTAGCAGTCCAGCTCTCTACAGCTAGGCCGCTATGTCCCATAATGATATGTATCTACTAATTCCACTTTCAATTTCATGTTTAAATTTTAATAATTTTAAGCCAACCCATTAATTTTTAGCGTACTAAAAATTGTAAATTTTATGATAACCTATACGTTTTAATACACATAGAACTAGTAATGGCTGCCATTAGTGTGAAATAGCTAGACTCAAAACTGAAATTTTTACTTATCAAAATAGTTTGAGCCCACCCAGCTCTGATGGGTTGACCAAATCAGAATGCTGTGCATAGTGCTGACCACACTATCCCCTGTTGTGCTGCAGTCATTGAGACATATGAACTCTACTTCCTCTGTCTGGGCACCAGCTGGTAAAAATGATGATTGTCAATAGTTAGGTTAGAAGAGATGGGATATCTTAGTTGTGGGTCTAGGTTATTACCTGTCATTTCCCATCTGTCTATTCCCCCTTCCCCATTATTTTACCTATTTCCATATCCTGTTCCTTACCCCTCTCTATCCCTAGATCGTGAATGTTTCAATCTTTGACATGTTTGTTACCCAACTATTCCACATAGCTATCCAACCTACTGATTTATGACTGGGGTATAAAATATGTGGTATGAACACACCACCAACCTTATATGGTGTGCTTGTGTTGCACCCATTAATCTGTCAGATAAGGCCTACCAGCTAAATAAAACTTTGAATAAACTTTATAAACTTGTTGTCTATTGCTGAAAGTATTGGCTGATAGCTTCTCTGTTTTGGTTATTTAAGGCTAGGCTTATTATCACTTTCTTGTATATTTGTTATCTAATAGTGTTTGGTTTTAACTTTTTTTTTGCTTTAAAAGGTTAATATACGGTAAAAGATACTTTTAAAAATCCAGGGGAAATTTGTACTAGGCCTATAAGAGCCTAGCATATTAATAAATTATTAAAATCACTAGTCTTAAGTTGGCTCAACAACATATTAGAAAATGGCTAGTTAAACATTTTAAACCTGTTTTTTGTTTTTATTTACATGACTTAAACTGGCTGATATTTTTGTACCGATATAGTTTAATGCTACCTCATACAGGGATGATATTTTTTCAGCCACTCATCCTATGTCGAATATTTTTGCCAATGAGGTTTTATGTTATTAGCAGTACAGTACTGCTAGTGTTGCCAATATCCTAATATCATTTAGTTTGGTAAAGATCTAGTCTGAAACTACTGGTTAATGTTCTATAAAGTTAAAGTATAGTATAAAGTATAAAGAATTCCAATCTCATAGCAATAAATGTGTTATGTAGTTCTAGGTAGAATAAGGGTTCAACAACTAGACAACTAGTGTATCAACAACTAGGCAACAATGTTTTCATGTTTATCTAGGCTAGGCTGTGTGAACCTGAGACAGATGTTGACATTGTTAAAGTAAGTCACTCTAGTAAACAAATTGGTTCAATTGGAGTTATTGTTACTGCCAGTATTTTATTTATTTCATTTTCTTAAAATTGTTGTTTTTGAAAGTTTTCAGTTTCAAGTCAGAGCATTGGCTTTCTTTCTGATTTCATGTGTCCTGTTCTTTTCATTGGGCATTAGTTGTCATTCTAAAATTACAATAAGTTTCAGCCTTAATTCCCTTTAATTTCTGGTTAGTTTTGGTTTTTTTTTCCATATAGAGAGAATAGAAATCTAGTATTGGACCTATACATTTTAGCACGATTTAAAAAAAAAAAAATCTCATTCACACATGCTTTTCAATGAGTTTGCATGATTTTGGTAAATGGACGTGTGAAAAAATAACCAATTACCCGAAAGAGTCGTGCTTGAACAGCTGGGCCAGCATCTTCCTGGGAAACCCGCTCTGTTTCCTTAGGATGATCTCCTCCAGCTGACCATCCTCTGACGCCGGGCTGTGCATGGTAAGATCGGCCTTCATTCATTGACGGCGGGCCTATTTACAGCAGTGTTTTCTTCACTGGATTTTTGTCTAGTGCCGACATCTCTGGGAATAATGAGTATATGTTCCACTTCAAATATCGTGTTGTAAATCCATTATAGTCAACTGAATGGAAAATTTCTCTGCTATGGAAGAACGCGTCTCTTTATCTCTTGGGTAAATTAGTCATTACCAAAACAGTTTGTCTTTGTTGATCATTAAAATTTAACTTTAAAGAATCGGTTTTTTTTTTAAAAACTTCCAAATCTACTATTACTAGATAGTATAGTAGCCTTAAGAGTACACTTTAGAGTTTAGAGTTTGTTTACACTTTACACATAACGAAATAAGATAACGCAATGCAGATTTGAAACCTATAACTATTGAATGTATTGATTGAGATTTTTTTTTCTAGACTCGTGTCCTTAGAATTAAACAGATGTTAATGTATGCTTCACGATGGTAGACCGGCACTATGTGGACAATTAGCTAAGCGTGTTTATTTTATACACACACACCCACTATAGACACAAGTGCAGCACATCAACAAATAGCACTGGCCCTCGCTACACACATAGACATAGTGGTGGTAGTGGTAGGCTCCCCGCGGCACTGTCAGGATCTGGCTAAGCCGCTTGTTGGTCCGCACACGTGACGCTGGCGCCGTGCGTGTAAGTAGTCGCCCGGCCAGGAGTGGCGTGTGTTTACATTGGAATTGTCTTCTGGTGCTGTCCTGGCGTGGCCCCCGCGGGGTAAGTGGCCGGGTGCCGTGCGTATTTTGTTGGCTGGTGAGTGGCCATGGATGGGCGGTGGTGGAGATCTGGGTGGCAGGGCTAGTGGGGGGGGGGGGGGGTGGGGGTGACATCAGGTGTACAAGACATTAGGTAGAAGTACGAATGTCAAGTGCAACAGGTGAACGGGGTGAAAGGTCTTTAGTGGTCAGGTGATCAAGGTGTAATAGTCAGGTGATAGAATGTAATACGGGTGTAATCGGTGAGGGGGGGGAATGTAATAGGCAGGTGATACAGGGGCGTAGCGAGGGGGGCGGAAGGGGGCGGACCGCACCGAGTGACACCATTTAGGGGGGTGACACCAAGGCAAAAAATAGCAAAATATATAGAGAAAAACTTGAGGGTGGGGGGTGCAAATCGAAAACTTGAGGAGGGGGGTGCACATCGAAAGTTTGATGGGGGGGTGCAAATCGAAACTTTGAAAGTTTGTCCCCGGGAAGGGTCGCTACGCCTCCGGGGGGGGGGGGTGACACCATTAAGTGTCGCACCGGGTGTAATAGTCGGGTAATAAAAGTGTAATCGGGTGAGGGGTGTAGTTGGTGAGGTTGGGGGAGTGTGAGTGTAATAGTCGGACGATAGGAGTGTAATTGGTGAGGGGGGTGTAATAGGCAGGTGAAAGGAGTGTATTAGTCGAGTGATACAAATGTAATAGTTGATAGGGGTGATATTGGTGTAATTGGTGATAGGAGTGTATTAGTCGGGTAATATAAATGTAATAGGTATTAGGGTGTAAAACTTTGGGGATATTGGTGTTAGGGGTGTAATTATTTATGGGTGCAACAATCAGGGATGATGGTGAAATATTCAGGTTGCAGTATTCAGGCAAAAGTTCAGATGTAATGTATTCTTAGATATGAATTGTAAAAGTCAATTTGTACGGCCATGTTTAAAGCTGTTCCGCATGGCCCTTAATCAGCATGCAACACTGTAGTGTCTAGAATAACCAGTTTGTGGATTATCTGACCCTTGACTGTCTAAGACGCGCTTTAAAAAAAAAAACCTTCATCCTTCAGATATGTAAACATTAAAACAGAAAGGGGTGGGGCGGCCGTTTCAGCAATTAAAAATGTTATCGAGATAACATGACCCCGGTACATAAACATTCCAGTTGTTTTTAAATGTCTTCATGCCACTGTTGCTATGGTAGTAGTTTTGTACCGTCCGAGATTCTATGGGTTAGCTAATACAATTGGCGCGGCCAGCACGCTCAACGTGGGACATCCCCGGGGGTTCTGACCCCTGCATGAATATTAACTGGTCACAACATGCAAGTTGTGGGTTGGGGAGGGGGGTCGCAGGTACGTGTTACAGAGCATTAGTTATCGTGTTGCTAGTGAGGGCAGGTTGACCCGAATTTAGGCAGACTTTGGTTTCTGAGAAGATAACACGAACAGTGCAAAGTTTGAGAAATAAATGAAAAGTACGGGAATTGTTTGATTAAAAGGGGGTGGGTGGGCCTAACAATATACCCCCCCCCCCCTCCCCACCAAATAAAAACTACTAAAACTTATCGCAGTGGTGGGCTAAGATTTGGTTACATTGTATTAAGGGCGCCCAAATCTAATGAACTTTAGCAAATGCTTGTCTTATCCACGGCTTAGTTTTTAACTCGGTTAATGCAATTAAATGCAAAAAAAAAAAATAAAAACTCGTAATTAGCCAGTGTCGTGTTATTCGGGAATTATGGTAAGGAAGACAAGATTTCAGCCAAGGGACCCTGTGTGTAGCATCCCATCACACTCACGTACTGCACGCGCACACTTAGGGGTCATCCATTTATGTCTTCCACAAAAATTTGGAATTTTACCGCGTCCACCCGCGTCCACTCTCTGCCTTATATTGTTAACAATATATTTTTTTTAATTGAAGATGCTGTAGACCGAACGATTTTATTGTCATTTGTGGCTGTCTAGATATTACGACTATATCGTAGGTTTGGATTAATTCGGCTAATCGCGCGTACCGTGAGCCCCACATACCTGAGCAAGCGAGCACATAATACACGCGCTGTTATTTAAAAATATCTAATTGTAACGTGGTTATTTTGAGTTTTTTTACTTAGAAAAAATATTTAGATCCGCGTCCTCTTGGGCTTTGACACAAAGTAATGATGTAGCCTGTGTAGACTATGATTTAGTTAAACCAGGGGTCTCCAAACTTTTCAGTCCGAGGGTCGCATTAACTATCAAATTTTAGTTCGGGGGCCAGTTTCTTCCAGGCATGTCTTTGATTTTTCTAACCAAAGTTCCTCAGCCATCACCAATAAACGATTTTTCCAAGGACAAAAAAAAATCTCCGCGGGCCGGATCAGATGACTTCGCGGGCCGCATCCGGCCCGCGGCCGTAGTTTGGAGACCCCTGAGTTAAACGATCGGAGTCTAGAACGAATTGTTTTTAAATGTTTAAAAAAATTGAAATATCGTGAAATGTTTTAGATTGTTGACGCGGTCACTGCCCCCTCCCCTCTCAATTACAAAAAAAAAAAATAAAAAATCTCCCGCTTTTTTTTCTGTTACATTTCTGATACATGTATTCACCCGTTGTGAGAGAACTGCCGATTTAATGTATAACCTACATTATATTGCAGTTTTATTTTTAATATAACTACTTTATTGTTAATATATTCAACATGTGGATGTCCACAATAACCAGAAACCTCCCACCCCCAATCCGCATTCGCCCACAAAAGTCATTTTTTCCCCGAACCCATTTCTTAAATGGATGACCCCCTTATACAAAAGCACATATCTTTCTCGTGTATTGCTTTGTTTTCTAACTCTTCTCCGAAAAATGAAGGAACGGCTACCGGATGTAATTATTGGCCCCATTGTCCGTCCGGTTAGCATTCTCTAGCAGGATGATTATAGGCCTATGATGAAGAATGTATGGCAACGTTTCCTCCTTTGTTTTTTTTTTTGTTCTTTTAACAGAGCTGCCTGCAAGAGATACAAGTTAGTCTCATCGTTCATGTTCTGAGTTTTCTCATTGCTGGTTGCAACCAGTGGCGGAGCTACCGTAAAGCTAGCGTAAGCAATGCAAATAGGGGCCCTTTTCGAAAGTTTGAAGGGGGGGTGCAAATCGAAAGTCTGAGGGGGAGGGGTGCAAATCGAAAGTTTGAGGGGGGGGGGTGCAAATCGAAAGTTTGTCCCCGGTCGCCGGGAAGGGTCGCTACGCCTCTAAGGGGCCCACTAACACTTTTTGCATGGGGGCCCAAAAATCCTAGCTACGCCACTGGTTGCAACTTTAGTTTTATTTATTTTTAAATTTATTATTTGTTGTTATTTTTGTTTTACGTTTCTGATATGTTTATGTTATTGGTAAGATTTTCGAAAAATAAAACAAATTGACTATCATTATTAATATTGTTGGGGTCTTATCCAGATAAGCCCCCGCCATTAATGCAAGAAAAAGTGCACTCGCGGAAAGCTAAGCCCCGCCACTTTTTTTGCCAGATCCAAGTTAATGCTCGCACGCAACCTTGAGGGTTAGGGTAAAAGGTACTAAAATAATACCTTTTCATACAAATTATCAATTACACGTTTTAGTTTCACACACTTGAATGAAATCTAGAAGTAGCTTGCAAGTTTCGTATCCTTTTTGGGGTGAGGTTGGTTAACTTTTTGGCGGGCATATCTGGACAAAATTCCTGTTATGTTGCATTTATATTTTTCAGTGACAAATCATAAATGACAAAGTGATTTTTTTATAATAATATTTAGGAAAAATTAATTTCTTAAGGCTTTTTTTTTTCTATTGCAATGTGGGAGGGGGTAGGCTTAATTGTGACGTCATTTTAGAAAAGGTTTATCATTTTGCTAGTGTGAGGGGGGGGGGGGGGGGAATATGTAAAAAAAAAACGTGACTTCGTTTAGGAATGACCCTCTTGTTCACCTCTGGTGTTATGTGTGCTGTTAAATATGAATTTGAAAAATAAGGCATAGAAATAGGGTTGGATAGTGTATGCGAAACAAAATGACATAGTATAATAAGTGAACTACGCTGTTTATACCATCGACGTCGTTGATAAATGTCTCTCAAAATTGTCTCTCAAAAATCATTAATGTAATCGGGTTAATTATTTGTATCTAAGTTCAGCTATCCACAACTCAGAGTTGCTTACTTAGAAAATAAAGCAAACAGTTAAAATGAAAGCTCGTATTCTAATTATCGATTTCGTTTCAGTTTCGTTTAAAACTGTGTTTCTAACTCAGCTGGGTTTTTTTCGTCTGAATTATTTCCCTTGTTTTGCTTTATAGGCGTTATCCAGACTTTTATTCTTTTAAATTTTAATGTCAACTGCTTAGCGATGAGGGGATGACATCGGTTGCTTTTTTTTTACACAACCGCTGAAATCTTAGAGCGATCACAATATGAGCTTGTTTTCATTTCAACCACAATAAGGACATTACCACATCAGCGATGTATCATGGCAGCCACAATAGCCAGTTTTATCACAACCCCATCAGCTAGTTTTATCACAACCACATCAGTTGGTTTTACTACAACCACAGCTAGTTTTTACTACAACCACAACAACTAGTTTTTTCACACAACCACATCAACTAGTTTTATCACACAACCACATCAGCTAGTTTTATCACAACAACATCAGATAGTTTTATCACACAACCACATCAGCTAGTTTTATCACAACCACATCTAGTTTTTACTACAACCACATCAGTTGGTTTTATCACAACCACATCAGGTAGTTTTATCACACAACCACATCAGCTAGTTTTATCACAACCACATCAGGTAGTTTTATCACAACAACATCAGATAGTTTTATCACACAACCACATCAGCTTGTTTTATCACAACCACATCATCTAGTTTTTACTACAACCACATCAGTTGGTTTTATCACAACCACATCAGATAGTTTTATCACACAGCCACATCAGCAAGTTGTATCACAACCACATCAGCAAGTTTTATTACAACCACATCAGATAGTTTAATCACACAACCACATCAGCAAGTTTTTATCACAACCACATCAGCTAGTTTTATCACACAACCACAATCGCCAGTTTTATCACAACCACATCAGCCAGTTTTATCACAACCACATCAGCAAGTTTTATTACAACCACATCAGATAGTTTAATCACACAACCACATCAGCCAGTTTTATCACAACCACATCAGCTAGTTTTATCACACAACCACATCAGCCAGTTTTATCACAACCACATCAGCTAGTTTTATCACAACCACAATCGCCAGTTTTATCACAACCACATCAGCAAGTTTTATCACAACCACATCAGATAGTTTAATCACACAACCACATCAGCAAGTTTTTATCACAACAACATCAGATAGTTTTATCACACAACCACATCAGCTAGTTTTATCACACAACCACATCATCTAGTTTTATCACAACCACATCAGCTAGTTTTATCACACAACCACATCAGCTAGTTTTATCACACAACCACATCAGCTAGTTTTATCACAACCACATCAGCAAGTTTTTATCACAACCACATCATCTAGTTTTATCACAACCACAATCGCCAGTTTTATCACAACCACATCAGCTAGTTTTATCACACAACCACATCAGCTAGTTTTATCACACAACCACATCAGCTAGTTTTATCACAACCACATAAGCTAGTTTTATCACACAACCACATCAGCTAGTTTTATCACAACCACATCAGGTAGTTTTATCACACAACCACATCAGCTAGTTTTATCACACAACCACATCAGCTAGTTTTATCACAACAACATCAGATAGTTTTATCACACAACCACATCAGCTAGTTTTATCACAACCACATCTAGTTTTTACTACAACCACATCAGTTGGTTTTATCACAACCACATCAGGTAGTTTTATCACACAACCACATCAGCTAGTTTTATCACAACCACATCAGGTAGTTTTATCACAACAACATCAGATAGTTTTATCACACAACCACATCAGCTTGTTTTATCACAACCACATCATCTAGTTTTTACTACAACCACATCAGTTGGTTTTATCACAACCACATCAGATAGTTTTATCACACAGCCACATCAGCAAGTTGTATCACAACCACATCAGCAAGTTTTATTACAACCACATCAGATAGTTTAATCACACAACCACATCAGCAAGTTTTTATCACAACCACATCAGCTAGTTTTATCACACAACCACAATCGCCAGTTTTATCACAACCACATCAGCCAGTTTTATCACAACCACATCAGCAAGTTTTATTACAACCACATCAGATAGTTTAATCACACAACCACATCAGCCAGTTTTATCACAACCACATCAGCTAGTTTTATCACACAACCACATCAGCCAGTTTTATCACAACCACATCAGCTAGTTTTATCACAACCACAATCGCCAGTTTTATCACAACCACATCAGCAAGTTTTATCACAACCACATCAGATAGTTTAATCACACAACCACATCAGCAAGTTTTTATCACAACAACATCAGATAGTTTTATCACACAACCACATCAGCTAGTTTTATCACACAACCACATCATCTAGTTTTATCACAACCACATCAGCTAGTTTTATCACACAACCACATCAGCTAGTTTTATCACACAACCACATCAGCTAGTTTTATCACAACCACATCAGCAAGTTTTTATCACAACCACATCATCTAGTTTTATCACAACCACAATCGCCAGTTTTATCACAACCACATCAGCTAGTTTTATCACACAACCACATCAGCTAGTTTTATCACACAACCACATCAGCTAGTTTTATCACAACCACATAAGCTAGTTTTATCACACAACCACATCAGCTAGTTTTATCACAACCACATCAGCTAGTTTTATCACACAACCACATCAGCTAGTTTTATCACACAACCACATCAGCTAGTTTTATCACAACCACATCAGCTAGTTTTATCACAACCACATCAGCTAGTTTTTACTACAACCGCAACATATTTTCCAATGAAAGAGTTGCTTATGATTTAAACACAACGCCTATAAAATCCAAAATCAATAAGAAAGCTCTTATCATGCTATTGCCATTCAACAATCAAGACTTAACTCATCTTAACAATCAATGCTGTGAAAATGCTTGTTTCCGTTTTACCTAATGTCAACAGATGGAATAAAAATAAGAAATGTTTTAAAAGTAAAATATGTATGTATGTTTGTCTCTCTTAGGAGTCACCCAGACGCGATGTCAATGCATGTATGTCTCTCTTAGGAGTCACCCATACGTGATGTCAATGTATGTATGTCTCTCTTAGGAGTCACCCAGACGTGATGTCAATGTATGTTTGTCTCTCTTAGGAGTCACCCAGACGTGATGTCAATGTATGTATGTCTCTCTTAGGAGTCACCCAGACGTGATGTCAATGTATGTTTGTCTCTCTTAGGAGTCACCCAGACGTGATGTCAATGTATGTATGTCTCTCTTAGGAGTCACCCAGACGTGATGTCAATGTATGTATGTCTCTCTTAGGAGTCACCCAGACGTGATGTCAATGTATGTTTGTCTCTCTTAGGAGTCACCCAGACGTGATGTCAATGTATGTATGTCTCTCTTAGGAGTCACCCAGACGTGATGTCAATGTATGTATGTCTCTCTTAGGAGTCACCCAGACGTGATGTTAATGTATGTATGTCTCTCTTAGGAGTCACCCAGACGTGATGTCAATGTATGTTTGTCTCTCTTAGGAGTCACCCAGACGTGATGTCAATGTATGTTTGTCTCTCTTAGGAGTCACCCAGACGTGATGTCAATGTATGTATGTCTCTCTTAGGAGTCACCCAGACGTGATGTCAATGTATGTATGTCTCTCTTAGGAGTCACCCAGACGTGATGTCAATGTAAAATATTGTATGTTTGTCTCTCTTAGGAGTCACCCAGACGTGATTTCAATGTATGTATGTCTCTCTTAGGAGTCACCCAGACGTGATGTCAATGTATGTATGTCTCTCTTAGGAGTCACCCAGACGTGATGTCAATGTATGTATGTCTCTCTTAGGAGTCACCCAGACGTGATGTCAATGTATGTATGTCTCTCTTAGGAGTCACCCAGACGTGATGTCAATGTATGTATGTCTCTCTTAGGAGTTACCCAGACGTGATGTCAATGTATGTTTGTCTCTCTTAGGAGTCACCTAGACGTGATGTCAATGTATGTATGTCTCTCTTAGGAGTCACCCAGACGTGATGTTAATGTATGTATGTCTCTCTTAGGAGTCACCCAGACGTGATGTCAATGTATGTTTGTCTCTCTTAGGAGTCACCTAGACGCGACGTCACGCCATTTTACCCCCGGTTCTACCCCGCGCATCGTCAAAAAAAAAATGCCAGATTTCTTTTTGAAACGACATAACATAGTTCCAAACTTGAAGCTAATAGCATATAATAAATGCAAGTTGCGAGTCTGTTTAGCAAGCAATACTCCTTTAAAATATATCACCAGTAATCCGCGCTTGTTTTTTGCCCCCCCCCCCCCCTTTCTCCCTTCAGTATTTTTACTCCCCCCCCCCCCCCATTGGCCCCCAACGTCCCTCTCCCTCCTTACTGAACCCGACGTCACCATTGTATGTAGCAGTACAGTAGAGTACAGTTATAATAACACAATTGAGTACGACACAGTATCCACAATATTAAATGCTACACTCGTAGACCACAAGCCTATTTTATTTTTACTCACAGGTATAATTTAGCATACCCTACAAAACATCAAATGAACAGGAAATAGAAATATTTGATTTAAACTAAAACACGGAACGAAAAAGTGACTATATAACCTCTATGAAATATTACACATAACAATGTTCATATTCACGGCAGTATATTACAACTTAGCTGTGGACTTTACACTGTCCATCAGTTTCTTCCACATAATTTTTTTCAACTTCCCCACCCCTCCTGACACATACCCTTTAAAAACGCCAATCTGTTGAGGGGTAAACTGTTTGACTGAACGCTCCTACCATTGTTTTTTATTTACAAAACTGTCTGTTTTGTTCAATAGAATCTAGAAGCAAAGAATGTTATGAAAAAAATTAATCAAATGTTTTAAACGAATGAACCTGTTATAAGCGTTTGTTGATTTGTTTTTGTTTAACGGTTTTTTGTTTTAAAGAAAAACTAAAATATGATGCACTAGGGGTTTTTAAATAGGTTGTGTTTGATGTTTGTTTACGAATGGAAGTAGTTGAAATATATTTTATGGCGAAGTACGCAGCATTAGATTGTCATGTAATCCTTCCTCAGATTTGCTGTGATAGTAGGCTACATAGTATCTAATACACATTTTTTTTAAATGATGTAGTTACAGGCTTTTTGATGTAATGCACTAAAAACAAAACTTGAGAATATAAATAGTCTTTTTTTTTTAAATCCCCCCCCCCAACCCCCGCCCCCCACTTTCCTCACACATGACGTCACAAAAGTCCACACCACAACGTCCGCACCTTACTCCTTTTAACGTCGTCAGATTTCTGACTTATCCCCCCCCCCCCCCCTCCTTTCCTCATCTACCACCATTTAATGTGCGTGACTTCAGTCTTCATTTAAAGACGTTCCACATATAATCCATCTTTCACTACCTTGAATAGCCAAGTTACCTCCCTTGTGATAACTCTATCGGGCATTCATCGTTCATCTACCAGTATCAAATTCAGAGTTGCTCTAGATGATTATTTGCTTAGACCTAGCCCAATAATTAGTTGCGTCAAGTGAAAATATAGACCGTCTGCGTTTGTTTTTTTTGTATCGATAGGTTTAAAAATAGAATAACCGATACTAATGCTGTTCGAAAATGACGTCACGTACCTCGACGGAGGGGGCGGGGGATTTAAAATGACGGTGTACTGTGTGGATGATGAACGAGTTCGGAAATGTGACGCAGACTTTTTTTTTTTATAAATATTTTGAAGAATCGACACTTTATTTTTTAAAATACGGTAAAAATACGGTTATTATAAGCAGTAGGGGCGGGGATGTGGAACAATGTGACGACAACGTGTTGTTGGTAATGTGGGCGGAGTTAAGTTTGGTTAAAACCTCGTAACGTCATTCGGTAAGACGGGCGGTATATGCGGTTAAGAAAATATTTGCTTTATCCTAAATGCTAAAACAATGAAGAAAACGTAGGCCTAGATCTATAAGCGAACAAAAATGTCGAACAAAGTCCTATTTCCGACTAAGACGTTTACAAAGACCGAATACTAGGTCTATCGAGAAGAATTAAGTAGGTCTATTAACATAACATATTTGGACTAAGCTGTAGATTTAAAAAAAAAAACAATGTGAAAGTGGTAGGTACTAACCTGATTATAAGTGCGTCCACATAAGCCTACCCGCGGGATCCCGTCCCTAGCGGGGGGTAGGGCAACATCCTTGGACGTCACCCAACGCCAGCATCGTACTGGCATCGATAATGATGGCGTAGATATCCTTCACCGCAAGACGATACCAATACCCAGCTATTTACAAACATTAAAAACATCGTATCGATACCTCTGTTTATATCAGTCAATCGATTTTGTTTTTAAACTCTCGTTGACTGGGTAGAAATAAAAACTAGAGACGACAGAGATTGAATGCTCGCTAAAGCAGGGAGTTATGAAATCTTAATTCGATACGTGCGTTTTGGTATCGATATCAAAATAATGATTACAGCAGATAAGATAGTCGAGTACTACTTAGCGTAGCAGACAGCAAGCATTAAAGCTGGCTTAAAAAAAAAATGAATTACTATCGCTGCCAAGGGGGGTGACATCATTTATGATGTAGGACTATCAGAAAGTATCGATTTTTCTTTTGTTCGTGGCTGAGTATTTCTCATGATCGTTCTAATTAAGGGTTCTAAGTTCTTGTGGATTAGCTGTACACGGGTAATCTAATAGAGAAATGCAATGGATTATATGGTGTGAGTACGGCTAAACACGATATTCGATGCTATTTATGTCTGACAAATAGGTATAGGTTTGTTTTTCAAAGTTTTTGTCATTACTATATTAAAAAAAAGTGGCGTAGCTAAGGGGTGTGATAAAGAAAGGGGGGGTGCCATTCTTTCTGGGCTACTGTTTTACCCAGTGTATATTCTACATACTGTGACAGAACTGAGTCTGTCTGATTCAGCACAGATCCTGCTAGTTTATACTTAAGTTTCTAACCTACCTTAGGGGTCGTCCATAAATAACGTCACATTCGTAGGGAGGAGGGGGTCCGTAATTTTGTGACGGTGTGTGATGAGGGGGGGGGGGGGGAGGGGTTCAGATGGTGCGACGTCACATTTTTGCATTAAAAAAGCAATGTTAGAAAACGAATTTTAGACGTCATTTTGCGTTTTAGAAAACTGTTTTAATAAATTGTAATAGGAATTGATTAAAATACTCTATTTTGACCGAGTTCAGACGAGATTTTGGAAAAATATCGATGTTTTAAAAAAAAATTCAACTGCAATTTTGAGGGGGGCTGTAGGCTGAGGTGTGACGTCATTTTAGGGGGGGGGTCTGGCTTTTTGTAACAATGTGTGACGGAGGGGAAGGGGGAGGTAAAAATCGTCAAAAAAAGCGTCATGTCATTTATGGATTATCCCTTATTAAAACCAGCCCTGGAGGTTAGGGTTAGGGTTATAAACTATCTTTGTGTTAAGATTTGCATAACCTACGTCTTTGTGTCTCCCCCCAGGCCAGGATACATCAGAACCAGCCCTATGATGAGTCCCTGGAGGTACCTGATGGTGAAGAGATAGCCAGTACATATTCCCCTACCCCTCGGACTAATCTAGGGGGTGAGTTGTTTTTTTTTTGTTTTTTTTACCTTGGCAAAGTTAAATATCTTAGCAAAGTTAAAGATCTTGACAAAGTTAAGTTAAACAGACTTGATATTCCATTCTAAATTAACAATGTTAAACTCACTTAGATATCCCCAGTGGCGTAGCGAGGTCGGGTGTCACCCGGTGCGGCACTTAATGGTGTCACCCCCCCAGAGGCGTAGCGACCCTTCCCGGGAGAAATTTTTGATTTGCACCCCCCTTCTCAAACTTTCGATTTGCACCCCCTCAAACTTTTTTTTCTCTATATATTTTGCTATTTTTTGCCTTGGTGTCACCCCCCTAAATGGTGTCACCCGGTGCGGTCCGCCCCCCCCCCCCTCGTTACGCCTCTGGATATCCCCCATTTAAGTTAAACTGATGTTATCCCATTCTAAATTAACATTGTTCAACTCACTAGATATCCCCCTATCTGTTAACAGTATATATCCCTCATTAAGTTAACAATGTTTAACTAACTTGTTATACCACATGAAAGTTAACTGGACTTGGTTGGTGACTTGAGATTAGTCAACCATCTTCACTAGACTCAATATGGCTACATTTACATTCATCTGACTGTAGCATTATTTACTCTGAATAAAATACTAGAGACAGATCTAGCTATGTGTTGGTTTACTGATTGGCAACTCAAGAAATGATTTGAGATGGATAGCTTGTCCATAGGCTTACACTCAGTCTCTGTAATTAAACTTTATTTACAGCTAAATCAAAGGATGCTCCTGCAGGGAAGCCAGGTAAAGGTCATGACCTCTAGTGCATGCTTTGTTTATCTCCTGTTATTCGCTTCTTTGATTTCTTTTCAAGTCCCTTTTCAATGTAGTTGAGCCTTAATTGAATTTATCTCAGTGGTTTTGATTGTTTAGAGAGGGGGAAAAAAAGTTATTTTTACCCTCAAGACGAATGATAAAATAATCAGCTGCATGCAAGCTGCGCTGGTTGGCTGGGATATATCTGTCTGGCATTTAGTTCAGCCCTGGACATTGATGTGTTTCCCTGGGCATAAATTATGCAACCAGCACGCCACGGTGTTTTTCATGGATGTTCTTACATTCTCAGAACAAAGAGCTTGGGGGGTTAATTTTTTTTGTTTTTGTTTTTTTGTTTTTTTCTGTTATTTTTTTTTCATTTTTTTCTTGTAGACAATAAATAAAAAACATTTTATTGCTGCACCTTAATGTGTGGCTTGTGTTCTGTGAATATTCTAATAAGGTTTTGGAAAAAGGGAGAGGGGTGGGGGGGATGGAAAACCACACAATAAATTCAAAATTGTAGTTGTATAATGTTTTTCCTGTTGTTTTTTTTTTTCTCAATTATTTAATTTAATCTCTGTTTCCATCAAAAGCTTAGAAAAACAGAAATAGTCTTGCAGATGATGAAAATTGTATCATAGTTGCAAAAATTTCACTTTAAGCTGTAGATTCAATGTTTACTTTATGTATTGTTAAAAACCATTAATTTTTAATAACCTTTAGAAAATTAATATTGCTATTAGCCATTGTTAATTTTTCGACAGTTTGCTTTTGTAGTTCTACTTATCCTTCTTAGTTCTGAGTCGCTAACAATTAAACTTAAATTTACAAATTCGCTATGTTTCTAAATCTATTTGTCTGGTTTTTTTATATTTCTTTTAAGAAACCTTTATAATGTTCAGCAATAAAAACTGGGATAATATAGAAGCGCCAGTATCACTATTAGAAATCAGGCAGCGCCTTCTTTTTAACCTGGCTTCAGTACTCTAGTACCTTGTCTGCTTGTAGAGCTACCTGTAAGGCTACCTGTAGCTTTAGTCAATTTTTTGCAGAGTAGAGTATAGTAGTAAATTTTATTTACATTACTGACCACATTTGTTAGAGGTTAGGGTTAGGTGGATAAGTGGATCTAGGAAATGGCTGCATACTACCTGTAAAAGAAAGTTAAAGAAAAGTTCTTTGGAAAAATGTAGGCCTATCAAAAATTTATCACAGTTGGGTTTCAATATTCGTAATTTTAAATGTTCTGTTCATGAAGTTACTTAATGTATATTTGTAACAATATTAATGATTTTAAAGTACCATAACTTTAGCATCCTTATAGAAGACAATGAGCAACACTGTGAGTTACTGAACCATTAATGCTACAAAAATAGAAGAGACAGCTATTGGGATGTTACATCTCCAGTACTCAATACTATCCTGTAGTTTTTGGTTTAATATAGCGGTTGGGGATTGTGTAAACAATATATACCTACATACAGTGTGTGTAGATAATTATCTGGAATAAAATATCTGGAACTCCTGTTAGAAGATTAGTGTTGTACTTATACCATATTTAACTCTAGGTGTCAATGGGATCATTTAGAGGTGAGGGTGTCACACAATACTTGAATAACTAGCAGTGTCTGTGTTGGTGAAATTAAACATCCTCTTCCAACATTAGAGCCATGGAAGTCATTAACAGAACCATCAAGTGTCACAAACATAGGCTATGTTCCCTGTTCCTCAGTATATGCTATGTTCCCTGTGCCCCATACATGTGTTATGTTCCCTGTACCTCATACATTTGCTGTCCTTGTACGTCATACATATGCCATGTCCCTGTGCCTCATACATATGTTATGTTCCCTGTACCCCATACATATGCTATGTTCCCTGTGCCTCATACATATGTTATGTTCCCTGTACCCCATACATATGATATGTCCCATTAACTCATACATATGTTATGTTTCCTGTACCCCATCCATATGCTATATCCCAGTACCCCATACATATGCTATGTCCCTGTACCCCATGTTCCTGAGCCCAATACATATACTATGTCCCTGTACCTCATACATATGTTATGTTTCCTGTACCCCATCCATATGCTATATCCCAGTGCCCCATACATATGCTATGTCCCTGTACCCCATACTTATGCTATGTTCCTGAGCCCAATACATATACTATGTCCCTGTACAACATACATATGTAAATGTAATGTTCCCTGTGCCCTATACATATACTGTTCCCTGTGCCTCATACATATGCTATGTCCCTGTAGCCTGTACCCCATACATAGGCTATGTCCCTGTGCCTCATACACATGCTATGTCCCTCTGCCCCATACATATGCCATGCCCCATTACCTCATACAAATATTATGTTCCCTGTTCCTCTTACATATCCTGTTATTGCCCTTGTAGGTGGCAGGAATCACATGGGCAGGAATGGTACCCCAACAGGCTCCAATAACTCAGACCAGTCGGATGACTTCAATGATGAGGCCGCTGCCAAGCCAAGCAAACCTGCCCAGCCCCTGGGTAGGATGCCAGCTGGTAAACCTGCTCCCATGCAGCCGCAGGTCAGTGCTCAGGTGGGTTTAACATTAGGTCAGGGGGGTTTAACATTAGGGCAGTGCTCAGGTGGGTTTACCATTAGGTCAGGGGGGTTTAACATTAGGGCAGTGCTCAGGTGGGTTTACCATTAGGTCAGGTGGGTTTAACATTAGGTCAGGTGGGTTTAACATTAGGTCAGTGGTCAGGTGGGTTTAACATCAGGGCAGTGCTCAGGTTGGTTTAACATTAGGTCAGGTGGGTTTAACATTAGGGCAGTGCTCATGTGGGTTTAACATCACTCAGGTCAGGTGGGTTTAACATCTGGTCAGGGGGGTTTAACATCAGATCAGGGGGGTTTAACATTAGGTCAGTGCTCAGGTGGGTTTAACATCAGGTCAATTGGGTTTAACATCAGGTCAGGTGGGTTTAACATCAGGTCACATGAGTTTAACATCAGGTCAAGTGGGTTTAACATCAAGTTAGGTGGATTTAACAGATCAGGTGGGTTTAATATCAGGTCAGATTGGTTTAACATCAAGTTAGGCGGGTTTAACATCAGGTCAGGTGGGTTTAATATCAGGTCAGGGGGTTTAACATTAGGTCACTGCTCAGGTGGGTTTAACATCACTCGGGTCAGGTGGGTTTAACATCAGGTCAGGTGGGTTTAACAATAAGTCAGGTGGGCTTAACATTAGGACAGTGCTCAGGTGGGTTTAACATCAGGTCAAGTGGGTTTAACATCAAGTTACATGAGTTTAACATCAGGTCAAATGAGTTTAACATCAAGTTAGGCAGGTTTAACATCAGGTCAGGTGGGTTTAACATCAGGTCAGGTGGGTTTAACATTAGGGCAGTGCTCAGATGGGTTTAACATCACTCAGGTCAGGTGGGTTTAACATCTGGTCAGGGGGGTTTAACATCAGATCAGGGGGGTTTAACATTAGGTCAGTGCTCAGGTGGGTTTAACATCAGGTCAATTGGGTTTAACATCAGGTCAGGTGGGTTTAACATCAGGTCACATGAGTTTAACATCAGGTCAAGTGGGTTTAACATCAAGTTAGGTGGATTTAACAGATCAGGTGGGTTTAATATCAGGTCAGATTGGTTTAACATCAAGTTAGGCGGGTTTAACATCAGGTCAGGTGGGTTTAATATCAGGTCAGGGGGTTTAACATTAGGTCACTGCTCAGGTGGGTTTAACATCACTCAGGTCAGGTGGGTTTAACATCAGGTCAGGTGGGTTTAACAATAAGTCAGGTGGGTTTAACATTAGGACAGTGCTCAGGTGGGTTTAACATCAGGTCAAGTGGGTTTAACATCAAGTTACATGAGTTTAACATCAGGTCAAATGAGTTTAACATCAAGTTAGGCAGGTTTAACATCAGGTCAGGTGGGTTTAACATCAGGTCAGGTGGGTTTAACATTAGGGCAGTGCTCAGATGGGTTTAACATCAGGTCAGGTGGGTTTAACATCAGGTCACATGAGTTTAACATCAGGTCAAGTGGGTTTAACATCAAGTTAGGTGGGTTTAACAGATCAGGTGTGTTTAATATCAGGTCAGTGCTCAGGTGGGTTTACCAACTTATTATTCAAGTTATTTAGTTTAACAACAGATCATAGTTCCTTAGTTTTACTAAGCTCTAATTTAACAAAGGTCTGTGTATCTTTAATTACACACAGTGCACCATTAATCTAAAACTCTCTATTTTAGCCAAAGTCTGGACAACAGTTTAACTCTGATGATGATGAGGATGACAGTGAAGATGAGGATGAGGAGGAAGATGATGATGATGATGATGAAGAGGATGACCGTCCTCAAGTTGAAGGGTGAGCAGTTTTTTTGTTGTAATTTTCTGCAATGGGTTTTCAGTAAATCATGTTCTGACCCAGGAGCTGGTCATGGTTGGTCACTATAGTATGGTTGTTGTAGATTTAGACAATAACAAAATGTAAAATAAACATGGTTTGTAGAATGTATTATTTTTACCCTTCAGGGCCTATGATATTCTAGAATGTATTACAAACATTATTTTTACTCCTTAAGGCTTATGATATTTCTCGAATGTTTTACAAAACATTATTTTTACCCCTCAGGGCCTATGATCCAGCAGACTTTGAGAACCTCTCTGTCTCAGCAGAAATCAAAGAATTATTCCAGTACATCACTAGGTATGTCAACCACGCCATTTTAATTTTTAAAATTTTCTCTGATTAAACATTTTTTTAATTAACTTTTGCACTACATTTCACATTTGTTTTTCTTTCTGGTAATCATATCGTATTTAAGTTGATCTAACTATGAAGTAATGTATAAATTTTGTTTTCAAAATTGATGAAAAATACGAGCTATAGGGCCTACTTGATTATTGTTTTTAATTATTTATTAATAAAAAGCCATTGTAAAAGTTTTTTTTTTTTTTTTTTAACTGAAGTAAAAACCAGACAATTCCATGTGAATGTTCCCAGGTACACACCTCAAGCTATAGAATTGGATCACAAACTGAAGCCCTTCATCCCAGACTATATTCCTGCTGTGGGAGACATTGACGCATTTATCAAGGTTCTTTTTTTTTCTATTTGTGCATAGTCCACTTACCTGTAATTACTGTAACCATGCATTTATCAAGGTGCTTGTTTATTTCTCTATTTTTTTATTTACTTACCTGTAATTGATGTAACCATACATTTATCCACGTGCATGTTTCTTTCTCAATGTACATAGTCCATTTACCTGTAATTAATTTAATGATGCATTTATCAAGGTGCTTGTTTCAATTACGCCCACATGTACTACCTTAATTAATGTAATAACGCATTTACCGTGTTCCTTTCTCATTATACATGATTTCCCTATGTGTAATTTATGTTACGATGCATTTTTCACAGTGCTTATTTCTTTATTTTTATTTGTGCAAAATATATTCAACTGTCTTTAGATTGCCCGCCCCGACAACAAACCAGACACGCTAGGTCTGACGGTGCTTGATGAACCTTGTGCTAAACAGAGCGACCCTACAGTCCTAGACCTACAGCTGAGAGCCATCTCTAAACAAACAACAGCCAAACAGCTGGTAGGTACCTTTACATGGTGTAACTAAACAAACAACAGCCAAACAGCTGGTAGGTACCTTTACATGGTGTAACTAAACAAACAACAGCCAAACAGCTGGTAGGTACCTTTACATGGTGTAACTAAACAAACAACAGCCAAACAGCTGGTAGGTACCTTTACATGGTGTAACTAAACAAACAACAGCCAAACAGCTGGTAGGTACCTTTACATGGTGTAACTAAACAAACAACAGCCAAACAGCTGGTAGGTACTTTTACATGGTGTAACTAAACAAACAACAGCCAAACAGCTGGTAGGTACCTTTACATGGTGTAACTAAACAAACAACAGCCAAACAGCTGGTAGGTACTTTTACATTGTGTAACTAAACAAACAACAGCCAAACAGCTGGTAGGTACCTTTACATGGTGTAACTAAACAAACAACAGCCAAACAGCTGGTAGGTACCTTTACATGGTGTAACTAAACAAACAACAGCCAAACAGCTGGTAGGTACTTTTACATGGTGTAACTAAACAAACAACAGCCAAACAGCTGGTAGGTACCTTTACATGGTGTAACTAAACAAACAACAGCCAAACAGCTGGTAGGTACCTTTACATGGTGTAACTAAACAAACAACAGCCAAACAGCTGGTAGGTACCTTTACATGGTGTAACTAAACAAACAACAGCCAAACAGCTGGTAGGTACCTTTACATGGTGTAACTAAACAAACAACAGCCAAACAGCTGGTAGGTACCTTTACATGGTGTAACTAAACAAACAACAGCCAAACAGCTGGTAGGTACTTTTACATTGTGTAACTAAACAAACAACAGCCAAACAGCTGGTAGGTACCTTTACATGGTGTAACTAAACAAACAACAGCCAAACAGCTGGTAGGTACTTTTACATTGTGTAACTAAACAAACAACAGCCAAACAGCTGGTAGGTACTTATATAGGGTGTAACTAAACAGCTGGTAGGTACCTTTACATGGTATACCTAAACAAACAGCTGGTAGGTACTTATATAGGGTGTAACTAAACAGCTGGTAGGTACCTTTACATGGTATACCTAAACAAACAGCTGGTAGGTACTTATATAGGGTGTAACTAAACAGCTGGTAGGTACCTTTACATGGTATACCTAAACAAACAGCTGGTAGGTACTTATATAGGGTGTAACTAAACAGCTGGTAGGTACCTTTACATGGTATACCTAAACAAACAGCTGGTAGGTACCCTTACATGGTGTAACTTAACAACTGGTAGGTACCTCCACATGTTGTAAGTATGGCTGGGTGTTATGGTTGTTTGTTTTACTGAATGTCTGTGGTTGTTTGCAAAGTAATAAAGTGTTGTATGGGGTGCCTGTCTTTTGTTCCTAAAGTTGTTACCCTGTTGATTACTTTGAAAAGAGTTAGTGATAAAGAATGTTTAGCCTATTTTTTTAAACTAAACTAGGGCTTTTGGCCAATCAGCTATCAGTGAACTCAATTGACATCAATTGATGGGTAGTCCATTGTGGCAGTCAATGTTAAGTCTATTTATGTGCATGCTCTGTTATAGTGATGTGTATACTTGGTTTAGATCATAGTTAGAACATAGAACTGACATTAGAACATAGACCTGACATTACTGTGTGGTTTAGAAATTAGATCATAGTTAGAACATAGAACTGACATTAGAACATAGACCTGACATTACTGTGTGGTTCAGATCATAATTAGAACAAAGAACTGACATTACTGTGTGTTTTAGATCATAATTAGAACATAGAACTGACATTACTGTGTGTTTTAGATCATAATTAGAACACAGACCTGACATTACTGTGGTTTATATCAAAATTAGAACACAGACCTGACATTACTGTGGTTTATATCAAAATTAGAACACAGACCTGACATTACTGTGTGGTTCAGATCATAATTAGACCATAGGACTGACATTGTGGTTTAGATCAAAATTAGAACATAGAACTTTGAACTGACATTACTGTGTAGTTTAGATCATAATTAAAACATAGAACTGACATTACTGTTTGGTTTAGATCATAATTAGAACATAGAACTGACATTACTGTGTGGTTTAGATCATAATTAGAACATAGAACTGACATTACTGTGTGTTTTAGATCATAATTAGAACATAGAACTGACATTACTGTGTGGTTTAGATCATAATTAGAACATAGAACTGACATTACTGTGTGTTTTAGATCATAATTGGAACATAGAACTGACATTACTGTGTGGTTTAGATCATAATTAGAACATAGAACTGACATTACTGTGTGTTTTAGATCATAATTGGAACATAGAACTGACATTACTGTGTGGTTCAGATCATAATTAGAACACAGACCTGACATTACTGTGTGGTTTAGATCATAATTAGACCATAGGACTGACATTGTGGTTAAGATCATTATTAGAACATAGACCTGACATTACTGTGTGGTTTAGATCATTATTAGAACATAGAACTGACATTACTGTGTAGAAACACTGTTCTCACTGGACACTGATTAAACTTTGTTGGCTACTGTTTCAGGTGGTGAAAAGTTTACCCAGTGCTGAGAAAAACCCCAAGCACATTGAGAACTGGATAGAAAATATTCGTGAACTTCACAGATCAAAACCCCCACCCAATGTTCATTACAGCAAGTAAGTGGGACATAAGTGTAAACGGGTTATCATCATTTAATTACATTCTGTTATATACTACTTATGAAGTTTTAGTATTATTTAAAGTTTTAGCATTTATTTATTTTAAGTTTGTGGAGTACTCTTTCAATGAAAATATTTAAGTATGAATCAATTTTAATATTTTTAAAAAAAATGGGTAACTTTTTAGTGCCAAAAGCTTTGCTTATAAGTAGCAATGATAAAATGTTAACAAATTTTAAAAATGAAATAATCTATTTGTTTGGCCACCAATTAAAAAACCTTTGTGGTTTTTGTGTTTGAACTGACAGAAACATGCCAGATATTGACACCTTGATGCAAGAGTGGCCCCCAGCCTTTGAACAGCTACTGAAAGAGGTGAGTCTAGCAACTTGTGGTTGTTAGTGATATTTAGTCAGCCTGACCAGATGGTGGTCATCTGTCATTATTTTAGTTTGTGATTTGTGTTACGTCAGATCATGGTCATCTGTCATTATTTTTGTCAGTTGAAAAATATCTCATGTGAGTTTATTATTTTTTCTTTCTACATCCACAGGTGGGCCTACCAACAGCTGAATTGGATTGTGATTTGGGGGAATATGTAGAAATAATTGCATGTAAGTGAGGAAAGGGAAATAACTCATTATTTACCAATTAAATTAAATGGTTTTCAATACTGAACTTAATTTAACATAATTTCATTACATTTTTTTCTGTTGACTTATTTGATATTATCACTACTAATTTTTTTTTCTACTTTAATGGCAGAATTTATAATTTAATTATCTTAATGTTTTGTAAAAATTATCAATTTGTTTTATTTTTTCATTATGAATACTCATTAGTACATTATGTTATTATTAGTTAACCACATCCAAAAATTGGTATAAGGATTCTCTAACCAGCTTTATATAATGGGTATGGCTAAACAAGATGCACAAACTATTTTTATGTAACCAACCTTTATCTTTGGATAAAATATTGTTTGAACTAGAATTTTTCTGTCTTATATTGCTTATGTTGGCACAGTTGTTTGTTCAGTGATTATATCTTTTCTGTCTGACTGATATATGTGTTTTTTTGTGCAGCTATCCTTGACATTCCTATCTACAAGAACTCCCCCCACCACAATGAGAAAATCCAAGCTTTACATGTTATCTTTACTTTGTACTCTGAGTTTAAAAATTCACAGGTAAGATTACAGAGGGTGTACTATAAGGAAACTTAACAAAGTTTTTGTAAACAGAACAAGATTAGGGGATTGAGGAACTTTAAAAAGTTCATATCCAGCTTTAGTGTGAACTTTAATCCCTTAGTTCTACAGCTCTTATTTGTTTAGTCAACATTATAAAATAGTGTAGTAACCTTTTCCAATTCAGATGAAGAAGAGTTCACCTGTTTCTGTGAACCTTTCATTTAAAGAGTTAGAGTGGTCAATTCTATACCCAGCTGCCTTTACTTTTCCTAATGTGAGTTGGGTACCCATCAGAGCTGGATGGATTGAAGTTTCAATGTAATTGAGTCTAGTGTTAATACTTGAAATTAGTACGCTGTCCCATCTGACCACGTCACCCTATAGACGATCCTTCTAAGTTATATATTCACAGGTACTGTTGTAATTCTAAGTAATTCTAGGCTACTATATGAAGTCTAGATAAAGGAAAGAGTGGCCTTGTGGTAGAGAGCTGGACTACTAATCTGTAAGTCTCGAGTTCAAATCTAGGTTTATCTCAGTAGACTGTCCCTGAGTCCACCCAGCTCTGATGTAAGGGTAAGTAAAGGCTACAGGGCATAGTGCTGACCACACTATCCATATGCCAGGTCACAGAAACAAGAGAACTCTACTTCACTTGCCCCTGTAGACCGTCAGTTTTGATAGGGAACTTTACTTATATGTAGTCTAGATAATGTCTCTAATAATGGAACCATTTTGTTTTTTTTCCTTCTATGTAGTCTAGATAATGTCTCTAATAATGGAACCATTTTGTTTTTTTTCCTTCTATGTAGTCTAGATAATGTCTCTAATAATGGAACCATTTTGTTTTTTTTCCTTCTATGTAGTCTAGATAATGTCTCTAATAATGGAACCATTTTGTTTTTTTTCCTTCTATGTAGTCTAGATCATGTCTCTAATAATGGAACCATTTTGTTTTTTTTCCTTCTATGTAGTCTAGATCATGTCTCTAATAATGGAACCATTTTGTTTTTTTTCCTTCTATGTAGTCTAGATAATGTCTCTAATAATGGAACCATTTTGTTTTTTTTTCCTTCTATGTAGTCTAGATAATGTCTCTAATAATGGAACCATTTTGTTTTTTTTCCTTCTATGTAGTCTAGATAATGTCTCTAATAATGGAACCATTTTGTTTTTTTTCCTTCTATGTAGTCTAGATAATGTCTCTAATAATGGAACCATTTTGGTTTTTTTCCTTCTATGTAGTCTAGATAATGTCTCTAATAATAGAACCATTTTGTTTTTTTTCCTTCTATGTAGTCTAGATAATGTCTCTAATAATGGAACCATTTTGTTTTTTTTCCTTCTATGTAGTCTAGATAATGTCTCTAATAATGGAACCATTTTGTTTTTTTTCCTTCTATGTAGTCTAGATAATGTCTCTAATAATGGAACCATTTTGTTTTTTTTCCTTCTATGTAGTCTAGATAATGTCTCTGATAATGGAACCATTTTGTTTTTTTTCCTTCTATGTAGTCTAGATAATGTCTCTAATAATGGAACCATTTTGTTTTTTTTCCTTCTATGTAGTCTAGATAATGTCTCTAATAATGGAACCATTTTGTTTTTTTTCCTTCTATGTAGTCTAGATAATGTCTCTAATAATGGAACCATTTTGTTTTTTTTCCTTCTATGTAGTCTAGATAATGTCTCTAATAATGGAACCATTTTGTTTTTTTTCCTTCTATGTAGTCTAGATAATGTCTCTAATAATGGAACCATTTTGTTTTTTTTCCTTCTATGTAGTCTAGATCATGTCTCTAATAATGGAACCATTTTGTTTTTTTTCCTTCTATGTAGTCTAGATAATGTCTCTAATAATGGAACCATTTTGTTTTTTTTCCTTCTATGTAGTCTAGATAATGTCTCTAATAATGGAACCATTTTGTTTTTTTTCCTTCTATGTAGTCTAGATAATGTCTCTAATAATGGAACCATTTTGTTTTTTTTCCTTCTATGTAGTCTAGATAATGTCTCTAATAATAGAACCATTTTGTTTTATTTCTAGCACTTCCGTGCCCTGGCAGAAGACAACAAACTGGACAATGGTTTGAAGGACGATGGCGCTGACAGATTTGTTTTGTGAACATAATTTTTTATTTAGTTGATGCATCCAAATTTTGTTGATTTATGCTTGATGGTGTTGGCCAGCACTTGATGATGATTTTAGTTAACATTGTTTCTGATAGTGTCGTAACAATTGGTTGTTATTTCTCTGCTGGATACATCACGTACACATTTTATTTTCCATAAGGTTGATGTAGGAAGGTTCCCAATGTAGGCCTATGACAATTATGTGACTGTCCTTATTTATATACATAGGAGCATACTCTCAACTTTGATACCTTCCTATTTAATTTATTATTTTAGATCCAGTGCAATGCTAGTTTTACCATACTGGCTAAGTAAATTGGAAAATCTCTAGATTGACCTCCAAAATTATTCTTTTTTTTTTGCAGTTAATTTTAAAAACCTGTTTGTCCTAAAAATTACAGTTCTCCATTTAATGTAATATAGCAGACACTAAAATTGTTGTTGATTAATTATAATAAAAAAGCACAGTACGAAACATTGCATTTTTGAGGCTAATACTTAACTTAAAAACAACTGTAGTAATCAGATGCTACCATTTCCTTGGTTCTCTGGAAAGACTGAAAATTTGGAATCCTGTATTTTTTTTTTCTTCTAATATTCTACCCTGTTTCTAGCCTTATTTCCCACTTTCAGCTTAGATTTCATTTGGTAGCTTCTGTCTTTGATGAAACAAGTTTCATTCATTGTTGTAAAGCTAACTAAAATGTAATTAAATGGCAGCATGTGCTTATTTTTGTCTTACTTACATTCAAACATTCCGTCCATCTGGTCATTAAATGTAGATAAAATAAATTCTATTGAAGAAAAAAATGTTAAATATTTTGTTCTTGGAATTTAGTTTTAATGAAGAAAATTTTAAAGAACTATTGTATCTGCACTCTGACTTGTACTTATTTAATGCTAGACTTTAAAAGTCTAGAACATTTTTTTTATACATCTTAACCTGTTAAATGTCATTTCTAGACTCTCTTGGTCTAGAAATTTGGAAGAATCTGACCTTGTTAAATGTCATTAAACACTGTGATAAACATTAAACACTATGGACTTGTTGACTGCTTGTGTTGGTTTAACATCATGTTGTGTTAGTTTTAAAAAAAAAACAAATTTGATTTGACAATGATGCAGGCTAGTGCTGGTAGATAATGAGGTTTGTTCAACATTAATAGGCTTCTCATAACAGCCATTGTGTCCAAGAGTTTTGTGTGGTAGAGAGACAGTTTTAAAGTAGAAGAATTAGGCCTGTAAATTATTATAGTAAATGGTTGAATTAAGTAGTTCTGGTCATGTACTCAGATTACATAATTCAGACTATACAACAGATGAGAGTTACTGTTCTTTGTTGATAGTTTAACTAGAAAATACACAGAAACAAAGTTCAAATTAGGTGGATCCTTTATTGTCTCCCTTAACTACGTCTTCAAATCAGAATTGTAGATTTTTTTGTTGTTCAATAATGCATGTAGGCTAATGGGCCAAGGGGGTCGTCCATAAATGACGTCACACTCGTAATTTTGTAAACGGGTGGGGTTGTGGCTCAGATAGTGTGATGTCACACTTTTGCATTATAAAAAAAAAATGTTAGAAAAGTAGTTTTGGCCGTTATTTCGCGTTTTAGAAAACGGTTTTAATAAATTATAATAGGAATTGATTCAAATACTCTATGTTCACAGAGTTCAGACAAGATTTTGGTGAAATATCGACATTTAAGAAAAACTAAACTGCAATTTTGAGGGGGGGGGGGTTGTAGGCTCAGGTCATTTTAGAGGGGGGGGGGTGTCTGGGTGTGTACGATGTGTGACGGGGGGGGGGGGGAGGTAAAAATCGTCAAAAAAAGCGTGACGTCATTTATGGATGGATTCCCCCCCCCCCCCCCCCCCGAAGCCACGTACATTCAAGGTGGGGACTAGACAAAAGATGGAGACCCTAAAAAATTGATAAAGAAAAAGGAGGAGGGATGTTGTACAAGCCCTGTTCTCCCAAAGGTGTAGATAGGTGAGGGCGTCCGCCGACCCAAAAGTGGAGCCAAACTTTAGTAAATAATAATATAAAAAGCTCATTACTGAATTATATACAGTCGAAGTAAAGAATATAGACTGCTACTCGGCATTTCGGACTTATTTAATTGTTTTCTACATCAATTGTTGTGACACTAAAATAAAAAGGCAAAGTGACTGGCAAAAAAAAGACCCGACCTTTCCAAATGAGCGGGTAGGGGTCGCTTTTTCACCAACGCGAATAATTATATATAGATCTAGGCCTAATTTGTGGAGGGGGAGCAAAATTGATAGTTCGCCTTTGTGTGATCGATTGGCAGTTAAAAAAATCGAAGAAATCAGAATCCGTCCTTAGTCCTGCAATATATTAAGTAAGTGAGTTAAGCCCCTTATGTCTCTGTCACCTTATGAGTAGGCCAATAAGTGTTACATAGGTTCTTATCTTAGTTCTCTACTTTTGCTGTTCAACCTTGAACTATTTTTTTTCGCTTTATCTCTGAATGCCCGATTCAAAATTACCTACTAATTATAATACAATGGTGGTAGGGGGGGGGGGCTTGGCTGTTGCGTTGTGTGCAGTGACTAGGTAAGGAGAATGATAGATGGCACCAAAGCTGGTGTGTTACAGATAAGGGTCAATGGCACACGCGAGCGGGCAATGTTTGGTATGTACTTTTAGGACGGCGTGGCCTAGAGGTAGAGCGCTAGACTGCTAACCCAAAGGGTAGAGCGCTAGACTGCTAACCCGAAAGTGGCTTAGCGGTAAAGCGCACGACAGCTAACCCAAAAGTCTCAATTTCGAATCCAATTTCAGTAGAACGTCCCAGAGTCCACCCAGCTCTAATGGGTACCTAACTCTCGTTAGGGAAAGTAAAGGCGGCTGGGCATAGATCCCCTCATCTGCCGAGGTCACAGAAACACTTCTCTTTTACTACTTGCCCCATAGACTCTATGTTCACCATGGGAGCTTTACTTACTTTAGCACATTGACAGTGAATATTTAGTACATCGATATTAAACTTTCAGAATATTCAAAGTAAACTTATATTACATTGACATTCAAAATAAGACTGTTAGTACATTGATCGTAAATTGTTTGAAAATAATATTCTAGTACATTGACAGTAAAGTTTTAGTAAATTTCATTAACAGTGTGGATGGCGTGGTCTAAAGGTAGAACATGCCCGGAAACCAGGTTCAAGGGGAAGGTCGTTCAAATCCCAACTGCCACTCATGTCCAAGTCGGATGATGGGATTTGTATAAATTGACATTGACGGTAAACATTTACTAGACCAAGGTCGGCTGTAAATCTTGAATAAGCTATATTGGCGATACCTGTCATCATCGATAACATTAGTATTAGCGTTAAGTTAGAAATCCTTCAGAAACGTTGTGTGATGTTGAGATTGGTGTGGTAGTCGTTTGTCCCCATCGGTTAATAGTGTGCTATATTATAATCAAAAGCCACTTTAGGAGAGTAGCCTAAGTGGTTTTTAGAGGGTAATTGATAACATGTCCAGTGTGCGTAAACCACTAGGATGTTTATTGTATGAAATGTTTAAGTTTGCATATTTTTTTTACAGTGACATATCCAAACGAGGCTGGTGTTCAACTTGCGTGTAGGCCTAAGCTATGTCAGTGACAGAAATGTGACACGCGTAACATCTAAGTGTGTAACCCTTAGGACTGATGGGAAATGTTATGAAGTAAATGGCCAGGTTTTTGACATTCTTTCACGATCTGACATAAAGTAAATGATCAAGTTTTTGCCACTTTCACTATCTTACATTAAGTAAAAGATCAAGTTTTTGCCACTTTCACTATCTGACATTAAGTAAAAGATCAAGTTTTTGCCACTTTCACTATCTGACATTAAGTAAAAGATCAAGTTTTTGCCACTTTCACTCTCTGGCATGAAGTAAACGACCAAGTTTTTGCCACTTTCACTATCTGACATTAAGTAAAAGATCAAGTTTTTGCCACTTTCACTATCTGACATTAAGTAAAAGACCAAGTTTTTGCCACTTTCACTCTCTGGCATGAAGTAAAAGATCAAGTTTTTGCCACTTTCACTCTCTGGCATGAAGTAAACGACCAAGTTTTTGCCACTTTCACTCTCTGGCATGAAGTAAACGACCAAGTTTTTGCCACTTTCACTCTCTGGCATGAAGTAAACGACCAAGTTTTTGCCACTTTCACTCTCTGGCATGAAGTAAACGACCAAGTTTTTGCCACTTTCACTCTCTGGCATGAAGTAAAAGATCAAGTTTTTGCCACTTTCACTATCTGACATTAAGTAAAAGATCAAGTTTTTGCGACTTTCACTATCTGACATTAAGTAAAAGATCAAGTTTTTGCCACTTTAACTATCTGACATTAAGTAAAAGATCAAGTTTTTGCCACTTTCACTATCTGACATTAAGTAAAAGATCAAGTTTTTGCCACTTTCACTATCTGACATTAAGTAAAAGATCAAGTTTTTTTCACTTTCACTATCTGACATTAAGTAAAAGATCAAGTTTTTGCCACTTTCACTATCTGACATTAATTAAAAGATCAAGTTTTTGCCACTTTCACTATCTGACATTAAGTAAAAGATCAAGTTTTTGCCACTTTCACTATCTGACATAAAGTAAAAGATCAAGTTTTTGCGACTTTCACTATCTGACATTAAGTAAAAGATCAAGTTTTTGCCACTTTCACTATCTGACATAAAGTAAATGATCAAGTTTTTGCCACTTTCACTATCTGACATTAAGTAAAAGATCAAGTTTTTGCCACTTTCACTATCTGACATTAAGTAAAAGATCAATTTTTTGCCACTTTCACTATCTGACATTAAGTAAAAGATCAAGTTTTTGCCACTTTCACTATCTGACATAAAGTAAAAGATCAAGTTTTTGCCACTTTCACTATCTGACATTAAGTAAAAGATCAAGTTTTTGCCACTTTCACTATCTGACATTAAGTAAAAGATCAAGTTTTTGCCACTTTCACTATCTTACATTAAGTAAAAGATCAAGTTTTTGCCACTTTCACTATCTGACATTAAGTAAAAGATCAAGTTTTTGCCACTTTCACTCTCTGGCATGAAGTAAACGACCAAGTTTTTGCCACTTTCACTATCTGACATTAAATAAAAAATCAAGTTTTTGCCACTTTCACTATCTGACATTAAGTAAAAGACCAAGTTTTTGCCACTTTCACTCTCTGGCATGAAGTAAAAGATCAAGTTTTTGCCACTTTCACTCTCTGGCATGAAGTAAACGACCAAGTTTTTGCCACTTTCACTCTCTGGCATGAAGTAAACGACCAAGTTTTTGCCACTTTCACTCTCTGGCATGAAGTAAACTACCAAGTTTTTGCCATACTTCCACTATCTGACATTAAGTAAAAGATCAAGTTTTTGCCACTTTCACTATCTGACATTAAGTAAAAGATCAAGTTTTTGCCACTTTAACTATCTGACATTAAGTAAAAGATCAAGTTTTTGTCACTTTCACTATCTGACATTAAGTAAAAGATCAAGTTTTTGCCACTTTCACTATCTGACATTAAGTAAAAGATCAAGTTTTTGCCACTTTCACTCTCTGGCATGAAGTAAACGACCAAGTTTTTGCCACTTTCACTATCTGACATTAAGTAAAAGATCAAGTTTTTGCCACTTTCACTATCTGACATTAAGTAAAAGACCAAGTTTTTGCCACTTTCACTCTCTGGCATGAAGTAAAAGATCAAGTTTTTGCCACTTTCACTCTCTGGCATGAAGTAAACGACCAAGTTTTTGCCACTTTCACTCTCTGGCATGAAGTAAACGACCAAGTTTTTGCCACTTTCACTCTCTGGCATGAAGTAAACGACCAAGTTTTTGCCATACTTCCACTATCAGTCCTTAATTAGATCTGACCCCTCCACTGGCCGACATACTAGTGTCAGGCTAACTATATCGTCCCAAAGTTTGCATACAGTGACAGAAATATCGTGTTCGTGTTTCTCTGTTTCTCTATCATAACACGAGTGGGACCACTAACGCTTACAGTTTTTTTTTTCAAACTTAAATTGATAGCTCTATTTATTTATTGTGGGATTAAAACTCGTTTATTTTCAAATTTAATGTGTAATTAACGAACGTTCTTTTCTGTGTTTTCTTTGGGATTAAATGTATTTTAAACTGAGAGTAAACTTTCCAACTCTGCGTGGCAAATGGCTTGGATAATTGTTTTCATTCAAACGGATATGACATAACATATTCACTTTAAAATTTAAAAATTGTATCTGTGTTTATAAAAATTTATATTTATTAAAAAAAACGGGTTAAAAATTGTTTTCATTTTTAAAAATAATTTGGAGTTGTCGTTCCATAATCTGATTTTTAAAAAAATAATTTGGAGTTGTCGTTCCATAATCTGATTTTTTAAAAATAATTTGGGGTTGTCGTTCCATAATCTGAATTTTAAAAATAATTTGGAGTTGTCGTTCCATAATCTGTTAAAATGAAGCAAGAGGTTGGTAGATTTTCTGTGGCTGACTACATCGTGTTTTCCGCCACCCTCCTGATCTCCGCGGCCATTGGAATATTCTACGCCATCAAGGGGCAGACCAGCACCAAACAGTTCCTGATGGCAGACAGGAGCATGAAGTATCTGCCCATCGCCCTGTCCGTTCTGGCATCGTTTTTCTCCGCCTCAACGCTGCTGGGCACGCCAGCAGAAATCTATCAGTACGGGACGATGTACTGGGTGTGTGTCTTTGGTTCAGTTTTCGCGCCCCTGACCGGCGCCTTGCTGTTTGGTCCGATGTTCTTCAACATCAAAGTCGTCAGTGTTTTTCAGGTGCTGTTTTAAGAATTTTTTACCCCCCCCCCCTCCACACAGACGTAGCTACCCTTTTTGGCGCCCGGGGACAAAATTTCAATTTGGCGCCCCCCTCGGAAACAACCTTTCGATTTTCAATGTGACCACCCCCCCCCCCTCTCAAACTTTCAATTTGCACCCCCCTATATTTTTTGTATTTATAATGCAAAACTGCAGCTGAAATGAGCTTTTAATTTATTTTTACAACCTATTTTGGCGCCAGCGGACAAATGTAACCCCCCTCCCCGCCCCCCCCCCCCCCCACCCCATCTTTATTGTCACACGTCGTCACAAAATGTTAGCCTACTTATCTCTAAAAATAGTGTCACAAAATTCTACCATGCGCTAAAAAAAACAATTTCTATTACAAATACGAACCTGATTTGCATCATTTTTTCTCTTTAAAAAAAATACAAAAGATTTGCGTAGTCACACTTCTTTAACGAAATCACTATATATAAATTTAATTCCTAAACTGACGGCGAAGCACATTTTATCTATAAGAATTTTATTACGAGTCTATTAGCCTCTACATTGAACACATCATTTCTTTTCCTTCATTCAGTGTAGCCTTCATATCTACAGATCACATATAAGAACTTATCTGAGTTTTAAGAAAAAGTCTATAATATATCCATAATATTCTGGTACAAAAAGAAACAACTTTCTGATCCCAAATTATATTTATTACCGTGACATATATCAGTTTTAAAAATGGGTTATGTGATTTAAATAATTGTGCATAATTAGAATGAAAGTTGTTAAAATGTAATTTCTCTATTCGTAAAAGTCGATATTGTTGTCTACTTAACGAAAACCTTATTTCTCTTCTCTCCGCAGTACTTAGAACTTCGGTTCCACTCTAAGCTTGTGAGATTGTTTGGGGCTTTCATTTTCCTGCTCAGAGCGGTAAGCTGGCCTGGCTATATTAAAAATTTCACTATCTTCATCTTTTCCCGTTTGTGCAGATGGAGCAGATGAAGTAGAGTCCATCTGTTTCAGAGACATCGGCATATGAAGAGATAGTGTGGTGAGCACTATGACCAGCCGATTTTGTTTCCCTAACGTGAGTTAGGAACCCATCAGAGCTGGGTCGACTCAGGGACTTGAACCCGGATTCGAACTATATTAAAATTTAGTCCAAATTATGTAGACCTATAGGACGTCAGCGACCTAGTTGCGTTGTGGTATCTAGGACGTTACTGACCTAGTTGTCGTAAAACATTGTGGACTGTGGACATCAGTGACCTAACCGTGTTTGTAGGTAAATATAGTGAACGTCAATGACGTAGTTGGAATATTTTGAAACTCAAAAGACCTGGTTGTTTGGAAGTATAGTTGTTGTGATGTCTTTGACGTCAGTGACCTAGTTGCTGTGATATGTTGGACGTCAGTGACCTAGTTGTGTTTAGAAAGATACCAGGAGTACAGACGCAAACTGATTGTGCAAAGAGTTCATTGCAGTGTTTCTTTTAGAAACTTTTCTACGGAGGAGGGAGGCACGTGAAACTTTGGGGGAGGGGGGAGGTGCAGACACTGGTAAAAGTGTATATAAAGTAGACTTGCTTTGTGGTCTTTTATTAACGGCCATTGAACCAGAGTTTCTTTCAGGCATCCTTTCGTCCACCTCCGCCACACCCCCCACCCCCGAACGAAATAGAATTCAGATAGAAAATATTGCCCCCGGGAATTCTCCCCCACCCCCTCAAAGTTTCAAGTGCCCCCTCCCCCCCCCTTTTCCAGACAAAAATGTCTAAAAAAACAAACACTGGTTGTTGGTAGTATGCTTAACTAAACGTTACCACTATTCAATTCCACAGACTATTGGTATGGGGATTGTTTTGTATGGACCATCAACAGCGTTAAGTGCAGGTAGGGCATTGATATTTGTTTTCAGTTTCATTTTCAGTTCTTCTTCTTCTTCGTTCTTAATTTTAGTGTTGTAAGGGATCCCCTCTAACACAATTAAGTATTACGTGTCAACTGGTTATGCGCCATTGAGGCCATTGACTCAAATTTCAGCCTGCTTTTCTTTTTTAATTTGCTTCTATAGCCTTTGTCCAACCAAGATCAAACTACAAGGCAGCAGTTGTTTGATTTTGGATGTTTCGAACTCGAGACTTTTTGGTTTCGCAACCATGAACTTTACCAACTCGACCACGCCGATCCCTATTTTCAGTTCCATAAACAAGGTCACAGTCGTTATTCTGGATTTTTTTATTAAAATAATGTATTTTTATTTGTAATTTGTAATACAATTTGATAAATTTACTTAATGTTGATCCAGCTCAGTAAATATTTTTAAAAAAATCGCTAATGTGAAAATAAATTACAATTGTGTATACGTAGGGGTGGATTTGAGGGGGGGGGGGGGGGGGGTAATTAGCTTTTTGTAACGAAGTGTATCGAGGGGGATAAAGGGGGGGGGGGGTAAAACAGAGTACATAGCTTGGCGTTAATTACGGAGGACCCCATATCAGATTAGCTAATTAATTAATCAAATTCTTAATATATATATATATATATATATATATATATATATATATATATATATATATATATATATATATATATATATATATATATATATTGCCCAGTGACCGAGTTTCCCACCTGGGCTGTGATTGTCGTGGTTGGAGTCGTCTGCACATTTTACACGAGCATCGGCGGGTTGAAGGCCGTCATCTGGACAGACGTGTTCCAAACCCTGGTCATGTTGGCGGGGATGGTGGCGGTGCTCATTAAGGTAAGGGGGTCAGGGGTCATACTGTCGTGCTCATTAAGGTAAAGGGGTCAGGGGTCACTGCGTAATGATGGCGGTGCTCATTAAGGTAAGGGGGTCAGGGGTCATGGTTTCGGCCTACTTGTCAAGGTAACGGGTTAAGGGGTCACTGTGTAATGGTCGGGGTCAGAGGTCATCTTGTTGTCGTGCTCGTTAAGGTAAAGGGGTCAGGGGTCACCGTGTCGTAGTTGCAGTGCTCATCAAGTTGAGCGGATCAGGGGTCATCATCCATGATAGCGGTGCTCGGTAAGGTAAGGGCGTGTAACATAAGTGGTCGTCAGGAGACGCCTTAGGCCGCTACCTTAAACAATTCCATGCTTAAGTCCTATAAAAGCCGTCCCTGATGTGCTGGTTATTTGTAATAGGTGCCAATGTCTGTATTCGGTGTTTTAGTATAAGGAAATAGGGCATAGCAATCACCATTCGAGGCTTTTTATTGGTGAGGCAGTTATTTAAGCATATGAAAGTAGATGGGTCTTATAGATCTTTATGAAGGTGGATATGTGATATTCAGTGGCGTAGCTAGGATCGTCTCAAGGGGGGAGGGGGGTCCAATTTTTACCCGGGGACAAGCTTTCGATTTGCACCCCCCCCCCTCAAACTTTCGATTTGCACCCCCCCAAACTTTCGATTTGCACCCCCCCCCCTCATACTTTATATATATACCGAGGGGTCTATGGGGTGGGGGGGGCGCTTATGACCCCCCCCCCAAGTGCCGTAGAGATCTTCATAAAAGTAAATAGATGCATCATTCAAGACAGTTAAAGTTAAAAGTTGCTTCTCTAATCTGATGGTCTATGGGGAAAGTGAAGTAGAATCCATCTGTTCCTGTGACCTCGGCATATGAAGGGATAATTTAGTCAGCACCTGCCTAGTGCCAAGCCGCATTTGCTATATGATGAGATGACTGGCAGGGTACGTCTAATCGAACTGTGCCCTCACTATTTGTTATATCCTCAGGGTTTTCTTGTGTCTGGTGGTGGAGCGGATGTATGGGATGTCAACTACCGAGGCAAAAGGATCGAGTTCTTCAAGTAAGTAGGTCAGCTGGTCACGTGATGTCTCCTGCTATTTATAGACCAGCACGTGTGCAATCGAAATGCTTTGTGTACGTATGTTCCGTTTATGTTAGTGTATCAATCGTCAGGTAAAAAACGAAAGAATAGAGGAAAGAAAGATCCACCCTCATACTAAAGACATGAAAAATGTGTTCGTTTTCGCTTTTATACTACTTTGACTTAAAGGTCAAACATAAGATTCTGATTTTTGGGATCTGCTGTTTCCACAGTTTTGACTTTGACCAATATATTAAAGGGACCTCATTTTTCCACAGTTTTGACTATGTTTGACTTTGACCAAAATATTAAAGGGACCTCATTTTTCCACAGTTTTGACTTTGACCAAAATATTAAAGGGACCTCGTGTTTTCACAGTTTGACTTTGTTTGACTTAGATCAAAATATTACAGGACCTCATGTTTCCACAGTTTTGTCTTTGACTTTGACCAAGATATTAAAGGGACCTCATTTTTCCACAGTTTTGACTTTGACCAAAATATTAAAAGGATCTCATCTTTCCACAGTTGACTTTGACCGAAATATTAAAAGGATCTCATCTTTCCACAGTTTTGACTTTGACCGAAATATTAAAAGGATCTCATCTTTCCACAGTTTTGACTTTGACCGAAATATTAAAAGGATCTCATCTTTCCACAGTTTTGACTTTGACCGAAATATTAAAAGGATCTCATCTTTCCACAGTTTTGACTTTGACCGAAATATTAAAAGGATCTCATCTTTCCACAGTTTTGACTTTGACCGAAATATTAAAAGGATCTCATCTTTCCACAGTTTTGACTTTGACCGAAATATTAAAGTGACCTCATCTTTCCACAGTTTTGACTTTGACCCTAGGGTCCGGCATACCTTTTGGTCCCTGATCATCGGCATCTTCTTCGTGTGGTTGCCCCCCTACACGGTCGACCAACAGATGGTTCAGCGTTTCTCGTCGGCCCAGTCTTTGAAAGACGCCAAAATGTAAGTCTAGCTATGCACGGTGTTTCTTTCCGGCTTTCTTTGAGTACTTCCCGATAATGCTCAGCGCCCCATTCCCCCTTCCTCCCCCCTCCCCCCCCCCCCCCCCCACCCGGACGAAATAGAAAAATTATATAATTTATTTATATAGAAAATGCTGACCATCCCTAAATATGCCGGGGTCTCTGGTGCAGATGAACTCTACTTCATCTGCCCCATGTGTCTTGGGCACGAACGGGAAATGATGATGATATAGAAAATATAGAAAAGGTTTCTTCTTCTTCTTCGTTCTTAATTTTAGTGTTGGAAGGTATTCCCTCTAACTCAATTTAGTACTAGATCTACGTGTCAACTATAGGGCGTTGACTCCGATTTCAGCCTGCGTTTCTTATTGGATCTTTTTCCTTAACATTCGTCCAACCAAGAACAAACTACAAGGCTTCGAATCGTAAAATGTTTATAACTTTAGATGCCGGACAAAATAGAAAAAATAAATAAGTTTTAAAGAAAATAACAATTTAATAGCATTTTTAAATTTTAAGTCATTAAAGGGCTATAACTCTGGATAAACTATAGTTTTTCAATGATTTTCCCCAGTGCTCTCCTCCTGAACATCCCCGGGATGGTCATCATGATAACGTTGTGTTGTCTGACTGGTCTGACACTGTTCGCCTACTACGCCAACTGTGACCCAATTAAACAGGGTCTAATCGATAATCCTAACCAGGTAGGTTTTTTTTGTAGGTCTTTTATTAATTGAATAAATATATGGAGTTTTTAGTCAAATATAGAAACTTTGTGGCTAATTTTGACACTCATAGAGCACCATGAGGGTAATACCAACAGTTTCCTTCAGGCTTTTCTTAGGGGGCGTCCCCTCCACTGAGCACGTCCAGCGCCCAGCACACCCCACCCCTCGACATAGAATATAGAATTTATATAGAATTTACACACTTTAACCCGTCTCCGCCCCTTATTTAAATTTAAGTGCACCCCCTATCACCAAAAGGTTCAACTGCACCTCCCCCCACCGCAGGAAAAAGGTGTGAAAGAGACATTGAGTCAAAGGATTTCATTGCCATGCAAAGTTATTACCTGACCCTATCTCATACGTAACTCTAATTATAACATATTATGTAGGATTAAAATACGATACATAAAGGAGCCGTCTATAAATGGGGGTGGTGGGGGTGTAATGAAGTTACCATGTGTGGCGAGGGATAGAAAGTATGAAGCAACACTTCATTAATTTAAAACATCATCAATACCTAATTTAAGCAGTCATTATAACAATTTTAAAACTGTGGCCTGTTTATTGATAAAGGCCCAAGTAATATGATTAAAAAATCGCTGCTGTTTTTTAAAACTGCATTTTTGGTTGTGGTGTAGCTATAATGCGTGATCGTTTTTATGGAGACGGGTGGCGATGTGTGGAGACTGGGGTGGGGTAAACTGACACTGACCAGCAGTTTAAAAAACGCATTTTATTTATAGCTTCTGCCCTACTTTGTGATGGATATTCTGGGAAGTGCGCCGGGACTTCCGGGTTTGTTCGTTTCCAGTTTGTTTAGTGGCGCCCTCAGGTGAGTGCAACGTTTAGTGATGGTACGGTCCATGTTGGTGGTCACTCATCGTCTTCGCCATGTCCATGTTCTTGGTCACTATGTCCATGATTGTCTTCGCTATGTTTTTAATCACTATGTCAATGAATGACCATGGAGCCCCCCCCCCCCCCCCCGGACGAACGTCCACCGCATAGAAATATAGAAATATTAACTTTTACCAGTGTCCGCCCACCGGAAAATTTAGTCCCCCAGAAAGTTTTAGGTGTCGTCGTTCCCCCCCCCCCCCTACACACACACACACAGAAAAAGGTCTAAAAGAATCACTATCTAACAACATCACATACATATTAATTTATTGTATTGCTTTCTAATTTTCTAATTTTGCCTCAATTTTTAACTAATCAAAACCTCCCGCCCTCTCCTAGCTACGCTTCTGCTTGCATTCTAATATGTAACTCTTTCAACCTCTCCCTGCTAGTTCAGTGTCCTCCATGTTAAACTCTCTGGCCGCCGTCACGTGGGAAGACTTCATGAAACCCTACATGAAGAATGTCAAGGACGACAAGGCTACAAAAATCACTAAAGGACTTGGTAATGGCTTTTTACTTTCTCGTATATACGAAGTATAGAGAAAGTCTTGTAATCGTGCAAAAAAAAAAATGCAAATCTCGACGTTTTACAGCTCCATGAGTCGGAAAAACATAGTTTTGCAATCTTGTCCGTGTGTCTGTATGTGTGTGTATGTGTGTATGTGTGTGTGTGTGTGTGTGTATGTAAACACGATAACTTGAGTACCGTTACAGATAGGTTGATGAAATTTCATATATAAGTATTATATCAAAATCGTAGATCCGTATCAACTTTTGAGCGATTTCCGATAACCGGAAGTGGACCTTTTTCAACTTTGAATTTTTCAAAAGCCTATAACTTGAGTACTATTTCAGATGTAAGTAAAAGATCTAATTCTCTTCCTTCTGTCAAATGTTCTACTTTATAGTGCATTATTACATAAAAGCTTGTTATTAAAACGTTTTTTTATGAATTGTTAAATCGATTCCAACTACAATTTATTAAAACAGCTTTTTTTCTAAAACGCGAAATAACGGCTAAAACTCGTTTCCTAACATTGCTTCTTTATAATGCAAAAGTGTGACGTCACACAATTTGACCCCCACCCTCATCACACACTGTCAAAAAATTACGGACCCCCCTCCCCCCATACGAGTGTGACGTCATTTATGGACGACCCCTTTCTAGCTAGAGTAGGTCTACGTCAAACCAGTTTTCTTTTGAAAAGAGTTCGTTTTAACCATAGGGGTCATCGATAAATGACGTCACGCTTTTTTTGACGATTTTTACCTCCCCCCTCCCCTCCGTCACACGTCGTCAAAAAAAGCCAGACCTCCCCCCCCCCCGCTAAAATGACGTCACACCTCAACCTACAACCCCCCTCAAAATTGCAGTTGAATTTTTTTAAAACATCGATATTTTTCTAAAATCTTGTCTAAACTATTACAATTTATTAAAACAGTTATCTAAAACGCGAAATAACGTCTAAAATTCGTTTTCTAACATTGCTTTTTTGTAATGCAAAAATGTGACGTCGCAACATCTGAACCCCCCCCCCCCTCCCCCTCATCACACATCGTCACAAAATTACGGACCCCCCCCCCCTACGAGTGTGACGTCATTTATGGATGACCCCATAGAACTTCTAATAAGAGAGCCTTTAACTAGAGTACTTTAACACAAGATTTTGTATACACCTTTCTATTGATGAAACAAGTTACTCACCCTATTTATGACATAATGACTCGTTTTCAACATAGCTGTGATGTATGGTGCTTTAGGCATAGGCGTCGCCTTCCTGGTCAAAGAGTTGGGTGGAACAGTGTTGCAGGTACGATGTGTATTGGTTATTGTTTTTTTTTAAAGTTAACGAAACAAAACTCTTACATTTGACAGATTGCACAAAATACAGAAAAAACAAATCTGAAAAAAAAGCAAATCTATAGTGTGAGTTAATTAATGCCACGAAAAAAATGAAATATTTATTGTAATGGGCCAGAATCAAATCAACAAAATCAGCCCTACTTACAAAAATTAACGGCAATAAATCAAAGATTGTTGCCGTTTTTTAATAAAATCAAGCGAATTATATAAGAAATAAATAGTTTGTGGTGCTTGCAATACCTGAATTTTTTTTAAAAAAATAATTCAATTTATCTGGCTAACAAACGACACCTCACTCAAGATTTTTTTTTACTCGTCTCCCCTTCTCCCCCCCCCCCCCTCCCCCACCTCCAGGCGTCGCTGACGTTGAATGGGGCTGCTGGAGCACCTCTGGTCGGCCTGTTTATTCTCGGATCATGTTTCACAAGTACCAACTGGATAGTAGGTATCTAACGTAAGGTTCATTAGTAGCTAGTGCTCTTTTTAATGATACTGTAATTTATGCTAGTTTAAATTAGAAAAGGTAATACGTTAATTTAATTAAGTCGTATTAGAAGGGGCGGGGTGGTATTAAAATGCTAAAATAACGTAACGTGCTATATTGGCGATTCTTTTTTTTTTAATTGGTTAAGCCGTAGCAGCATTTTCCAAACTAATCGTGTTGTTTTTCTTATATTTTTGAACTCGCTGGATTACCGAACCCTCAGGTAACAGCTTCATAAGAGCCGCCAATGTTATCTTTTTTTTTAGGACAATGTAAAAAAAACCTGTCTGTTACCGTTAATTAGTTCCACGTTGTTGACTAATTTAAATTATTTTAACACAATTTGAGTATTTTAAGTTAAAATATAAAAGCATTTAACAAGCTATGTTATTAGGCTGTAGAATCGGCCATGAAAAGCGCTTTCAATCTATTCACCAATTTGACGGTTATTTCATTGGTTTGTTAATTATTTTTTTTTTACAATCCTCAAAAATTCATTGCATTTCAATAACTAGTAGAATGTGAATGGAAACAGGTCCTCTGGAATAAGTTAATATAAACACTCAGTGAAAACCTATTAACTTTTTACTTTTTCGTATATACGATGTATAGAGAAAGTCTTGTAATCGTGCAAAAAAAAAATCGAGATTTTTACAAATCTCGACGTTTTACACCTTACTGAAAAACATAATTTTGCAATCTTGTCTGTCTGTGTGTCTGTCTGTGTGTGTGTGTGTCTGTGTGTAAACACGATTACTTGAGTACCGTTACAGCTAGGTTGATGAAATTTCATATATAAGTATTTTATCAAAATCGTAGATCCGTATCGACTTTTGAGCGATTTCCGATAACCGGAAGGGGTACTTTTTCTACTTTGAATTTTTCAAAAGCCTATAACTTGAGTACTATTTCAGATAGATAAATGAAATTTCACATGTAAGTAAAAGATCTTATTCTCTACCTTCTGATAAATTTTGAGTAATTTCCGTTGACCGGAAGTAGTAATTTACGCTACTTCTGATTTCTCAAAAAACTAATGTAAATTTTTAAAGTACTAATAATATTGCGCACTATTATGCACTTTTTTATTTGGCGTTCACTTGGTGTGCAATTCTTTTGTCTACGAGATTTTATTCTATTTTTAAAACTTTAAGTATTTAAAATTGATTAAAAATCATGTCTATAGCCCGAGTTCCCATCCCCTGTTATTGTATATAAGAATATCCGAGAAAATTTAGGGGAGATCACTCCCGGTTTATTTGTTTTGTTTACAGGGTGCTCTAGTAGGTGGCGCTCTGGGTCTGGGCTTCTCTCTTTGGTTGAGTGTTGGGACCTACGTGTACAAGCCAATCAACTTCAAACTACCTGTGACGACAGCGGGGTGTAACCTAACCGGAAACACGTCAGAAACATTCTCGTTCGCTGACACACCTGATTACACAAATTGGACGCGGCCAAGTACCGACAGTTTGTAGGTTAACTAACCGCAAAACTTATCCCATTTCAATTTTTTAGTCTTACAAAAGTAAATTAGGTTAATATATTCTTTCTAGCGAAAGCCCATGCAACTATTCTAACTGCATAGTATCATTTTTTAAGTCAGTGGTTCCTAAAATAGTAGAGCGCTACCCCGAAAGGTTGTGGAAAATAGGGAAAAAAACGAACATTTTTGGGTACCTGATTGTAGTATGAAAATATATTGTCTACACAAAACATTTACCTACTACAATAACAAATTGTCTCTATATATTCTACTTTATGAAGAAATATCTTCATTTTTGCTTAAATGGACACTGATTTGTTTAAGTCACAATTATCAATAAACTGGTAGCAATCTTAGCAACACTCTGCAACTTTTAAATACATTCTTCTCTTAGAAATGGTTTGGAAAATCTCTACGGGTTGTCGTACCTTTGGTTCTCTGCCCTTGGCACATTGTCATGTGTAGTTATCGGACTTATTGTCAGTCTTGTCACAGGTAAATATTGTGTTGGTTTGGTACATTTCTGTTCTAGGGCACCGGGTGATTATATCTTTTTTTTTTAATATATGGGATTCCATCCTTAAAATATTACCCGTTTCTGCTGTAATGTATCAATCTATGAACGTAGTATAAACAATTTTGAAGAAAAAAAAATTTTGGCTTGTAAAAAGGTTTTTTTTTCTGGCCAGGCCCAACAAAAGCGTCAGAGGTAGATCCATCCCTACAACTTCGACTGTTTCACAAGCTGGCAAAACTGTTCACATCGCCATTTTCATCAAGCTCATCTGTTTCTATTGAAGCAACTACGCGGAAGGTGGGTTGATCAAAATGTTGAGTTTGATCAAATAATCGCATGAAACTACAAGTCAAAACTGCATATTTTATTCAGTATACATATATATATATATATATATATATATATATATATATATATATATATATATATATATATATATATATATATATATATATATATATATATATATATATATATATATCATTCAATGATAAACACAAATTTCTAATCACACAGGAATCGAGATCTCAGGATGAACTAGTGAATGGCACTGACTACAACATCAAAGGAACTGGTACGAACGTTGAAAGCTACAGCAACAAACATATCAGTGGCAACAGTTCAGATCAGCCGGCCCTGTCTTCAAGACTCTAAGACATTAAGTCATAAGACACAACTAGTCAAGTACCCTTTTAGATGAGATGCTAGATACTCTGAACTTCCCCTAGACTCTAAGACATCTGGTTAAAAGAGAATTAGTCAAGTACTCTATTAGATGAGATGCTAGATACTCTGAACTTCCCCTAGACTCTAAGACATCTGGTTACAAGAGAATTAGTCAAGTACTCTATTAGATGAGATGCTAGATACTCTGAACTTCCACAAGACTCTAAGACATCTGGTTACCAGAGAATTAGTCAAGTACTCTATTAGATGAGATGCTAGATACTCTGAACTTCCCCTAGACTCTAAGACATCTGGTTACAAGAGAATTAGTCAAGTACTCTATTAGATGAGATGCTAGATACTCTGAACTTCCCCTAGACTCTAAGACATCTGGTTACAAGAGAATTAGTCAAGTACTCTATTAGATGAGATGCTAGATACTCTGAACTTCCCCTAGACTCTAAGACATCTGGTTACCAGAGAATTAGTCAAGTACTCTATTAGATGAGATGCTAGATACTCTGAACTTCCCCTAGACTCTAAGACATCTGGTTACCAGAGAATTAGTCAAGTACTCTATTAGATGAGATGCTAGATACTCTGAACTTCCCCTAGACTCTAAGACATCTGGTTACCAGAGAATTAGTCAAGTACTCTATTAGATGAGATGCTAGATACTCTGAACTTCCCCTAGACTCTAAGACATCTGGTTACAAGAGAATTAGTCAAGTACTCTATTAGATGAGATGCTAGATACTCTGAACTTCCCCTAGACTCTAAGACATCTGGTTACAAGAGAATTAGTCAAGTACTCTATTAGATGAGATGCTAGATACTCTGAACTTCCCCTAGACTCTAAGACATCTGGTTACCAGAGAATTAGTCAAGTACTCTATTAGATGAGATGCTAGATACTCTGAACTTCCCCTAGACTCTAAGACATCTGGTTACAAGAGAATTAGTCAAGTACTCTATTAGATGAGATGCTAGATACTCTGAACTTCCCCTAGACTCTAAGACATCTGGTTACCAGAGAATTAGTCAAGTACTCTATTAGATGAGATGCTAGATACTCTGAACTTCCCCTAGACTCTAAGACATCTGGTTACAAGAGAATTAGTCAAGTACTCTATTAGATGAGATGCTAGATTATATGAACTTCCCCTAGACTCTAAGACATCTGGTTACCAAAGAATTAGTCAAGTACCCTGTCAGATGATATGCTGGCTACTCTCTGATTTCTTACAGGACGTTAGATGTCTCCTTTGTTTTAAATTGTATATCTACATCATAAAGTGTTCTTTCGACAACCTAACGAAGAACAACTATAATATTTGTGGATTATTATTCAAATTAAGTGTCCCCCCACCACACACACACACACACAATGTTTTGTTTAAATATTTAGTGACGCTAGACACGAAAGTTTTGTGTGCTTTGGTCTTTTGGGTTAAATTAAAGGAAAAGTGTCACATTGTATATTTTTATCTCAAAATTTGAGAAATTGTTATTAAACATTGTATCATATAATGATTTACATGCATGGTTTTGTTTCTTTTTTAAAAGAAATAAAATTTTAAATGTAAAAAAAAACAACATAAATGACCATAGACTTGTCTAGTCAATATATAGGAAAAAAACAATCTTAAACCGGTGCTTCGCTCTTACCTCTGTCGTACATGTTCATTGCCGGCTTAAGCAGAGGCGTAGCAACCCTTCCCTGCGCCCGGGGACAAACTTTTCGATTTGCACCCCCCATCAAGATATCGATTTGCACCCCCCCCCCCCTCAAACTTTCGATTTGCACCCCCCCTCAAACTTTCGATTTGCACCACCCCCCCCCCCCCCCCTCAAGATTTCGATTTGCATCCCCCCTCATACTTTCGATTTGCACCCCCGTCAACCTTTCAATTTATTTTTCCAACCCATTTTGGCGTCCCCTAAGGTCGGCGCCTGGGGACATATGTCCCCTCCCCCTCGCTACTAGGCTTAAGTAATGCTTATCAGCCAGACAGACCAGAACAGGAGAAAAATTGTGCATTTCTCTCACCTATGTTACCAGCCGCTAGACCCACGGGGGGTTTCTCCCAAGTTCTAACTCCCTCCCCCAGGGTACCGCATTTACTGGCATAAGCAAGAATTTTTTTTTCATTTGGGGGGGGGGGGGGGCTATGGTCATTGTGGGCTAGAAAATATGGATTTAGCTGGTGAAAAAAAAAAACAGTTTTTACTTCAAGTAACTTGAGATCCACATTGGAGTCTACACAACGAGGAGTTAAGAAAGACTCACCTCAATACCGAATCCTGGATATGATAGATGAAGTAGAGTTCACGTCTGAGTTTGGCATTTAAATGATTGAGTCACTGAAGCTGGTTGTGTTGATGATGGTTGATGCTGGTTGATGCTGGTTGATGCTGGTTGATGATGGGTGATGCTGGTTGATGCTGGTTGATGCTGGGTGATGCTGGTTGATGCTGGTTCTATTGTTGATGCTGGTTAATGCTGGTTGATGCTGGTTGATGCTGGTTGATGCTGGTTGATGCTGGTTGATGCTGGGTGATGCTGGTTGATACTGGTTGATGCTGGTTGATGCTGGTTAATGCTGGTTGATGTAGGTTGATGCTGGTTGATGCTGGTTGATGCTGGTTCTATTGTTGCTATCCTAACCCTTATTTTGACTCCCGCTACCATGATCTAGTCCTAACCTTTAATTTGAAGACATTGTTTTATAATCATATTCCACAAACATAAGATAGCATCTCTTCGATAGTATTAAATCAGAATGTAGTGTAAGAAGAACATGCCCAATCGCCGTTACATTACTGGTGGATCGTGGGTGGGGGACGTTACTCGTCTTGAAAACAAGAATAAATCCTAGAATTGAACTCCAGATTTCCGAGTGAGAAATAGCATACTCTTCCACTCTACCATTCATAAACCGCTGCAGTAAAAAAAAATGTACCTTGTAGGGTGTTGTTTTTACTTTCTCGTATATACGTAGTATAGAGAAAGTATTGTAATCGTGCAAAAAAAAAAATCGAGATTTTTACAAATCTCGACGTTTTACACCTCACTGATACGGAAAAACATAATTTTGCAATCTTGTCCGTATGTCTGTGTGTGTGTCTGTGTGTGTGTCTGTCCGTGTGTAAACACGATAACTTGAGTACCGTTACAGCTATGTTGATGAAATTTCATATATAAGTATTTTATCAAAATCGTAGATCCGTATCAACTTTTGAGCGATTTCCGATAACCGGAAGTGGTACTTTTCCTACTTTGAATTTTTTAAAAGCCTATAACTTGAGTACTATTTCAGATAGATAAATGAAATTTCACATGTAAGTAAAAGATCTAATTCTCTACCTTCTGTTAAATTTTGAGTAATTTCCGTTGACAGGAAGTAGTAATTTACGCTACTTCCGATTTCTCAAAAAACTAATGTAAATTTTTAAAGTACTAATAATATTGCGCACTATTATGCGCTTTTTTATTTCGCGTTCACTTGGTGTGCAATTAATTTGTCTACGAGATTTTATTCTATTTTTAAAACTTTAAGTATTTAAAATGGATTAAAAATCATGTCTATAGCCCGAGTTCCCATCCCCTGTTATTTTATATAAAAATATTCGAGAAAGTTTAGGGGAGATCACTACCGGTTTATTTTTTTACTTTCTCGTATATACGAAGTATAGCGAAAGTCTTGTAATCGTGCAAAAAAAAAATCAAGATTTTTGCAAATCTCGACGTTTTACACTTCACTGATACGGAAAAACATAATTTTGCAATCTTGTCCGTATGTCTGTGTGTGTGTCTGTAAACACGATAACTTGAGTACCGTTACAGCTAGGTTAATGAAATTTCATATATAAGTATTTTATCAAAATCGTAGATCCCTATCAACTTTTGAGCGATTTCCGATTACCGGAAGTGGTACTTTTTCTACTTTGAATTTTTCAAAAGCCTATAACTTGAGTACTATTTAAGATAAATAAATGAAATTTCACATGTAAGTAAAAGATCTTATTCTCTACCTTTTTTCAAATTTTGAGTAATTTCCGTTGACCGAAAGTACTAATTTACGCTATTTCCGATTTCTCAAAATAAAATGTAAATTTATAAAGTACTAATAATATTCCGCACTATTATGCACATTTTATTTGGCGTTCACTGGTGTGAAATTATTTTTTCAACGAGATTTTATTCTATTTTAAAATGTTTAAGTATTTAAAATGGATTAAAATTCATGTCTATATCCCGAGTTCCCATCCCATGTTATTTTAATATAACAGTATTCGAGAAAGTTTAGGGGAGATCACTCCCGGTTTGTTTGTTTTTTGTTTTATTTTTTAAACTTTTTTTTACGGAGAATGTAGGGCCTAAAGCATGGAATTAATGTGACAGCGCATGGGTGAAACGCTTTAAACACAAAAAAATCCAAGACCATTTTTAAAAGTTTGGATGTATTTAAAAGTACTTAGAATTAATCTGTTAAAATGTATGTTGTTGCAAAACCTTTGAAATATCTTTCAAAATTATATAATTAACAGGGATAATAAACGGATTATACAATAAGAACGCGTTAGGGTTTGTTTTTCATTTTGTTTAATTGTGCCGAAAGAGTTTTTCTATCAACCTTACAGTACAACGAGGTAAGATTATTTTTGCAATATACCGCTACATCATTGATTGTGTTATTTAAATGCTTTGTGGATAGTGCACTTCTTATCTAACGCACGCACACACGCACACATATTTACATTAATATACAACTCGATTGAGTATCGGATAATTATAAAACTTTTTTAAATTTTCAAAAAAACATATAGGATACAAGTCGGCTAATTAAAGATCGATTTTCTCTTCCTCATTTTAAACAATCTGCAAAGCTTTATGATTAATTAAAAATAAAACTGTTTAATTATTTCTCCATAAATAGAAAAATCATCTTTTAACAAATTGGAGCACGAAACATCAACAAGTGAGCACCATTTCGCCCTTTCGCTAACTGTAAACTGTTCCGGTACTCCGTGGCGTCACTAGGTCGGGTGTCACACGGTGCGGTGCGCACCCCAACACCCCCTTATGAGTACGCCCCTATGGGCGTACTCATAAGTGTGTTAATTCAATTATCTTCGCCACGATGCCTGTCTGGTACAGTGTCCCAACATTCCGGCATCCAACTTGTATTATTGATCACCGCCCTTCATTAACACTATCTGTTTTATAATTAATTGCATTAACTCACTGCTGTTATTTGCATTCATTTTGTCTTAAGCTAACCCTCCTCCTTCACTTCTTCATCATTACTGCTGGGGTTATAATGTAAATAGCAGAAAACAGAGAATAATAGGAATTTTTTGTATTGCTCTCAGAGTTTCTTCCAGGCATCTCTTCGCCCCCCCCCCCCCCTCCGAACGAAATGGAATTTATATAGGAAATATATACTATTAAAAATGTCCCCCCCCCCCGAAAATTTTAGTCCGCCCCCTCGAAAATTCTAAGTGCCCCCCCCCCCCCCCGGAGAAAAAAAAGTCTGAAAGAAAAACTGATTGCTCTTTAGAACTCATTTACAGCATGTGACACATTAAACATAATGATAAACCATACACCTACATCAGGTAACATTATAAGAAAATGATAACTCATCCCACAGCTCATGTAAAAAGGCGAAACAAAATTATGAATCACACATCAAATATCTTTGCATTGAAAGTCTCAGAAACTGGGAAGAGCTGGCTGCAAATACAATACCTATTTTGCATTCGAATTTTTATGTTTTTAATTCATTTTTTTTTCCTGCTCAAGTTACATAACAATGAAGCAAGCCGTGGGTAGATTCTCTGTGGCTGACTACATCGTATTTTCCGCCACCCTCCTGATCTCCGCGGCCATTGGAATATTCTACGCCATCAAGGGCCAGACCAGCACCAAACAGTTCCTGATGGCAGACAGGAGCATGAAGTATCTGCCCATCGCCCTGTCCGTTCTGGCATCGTTTTTCTCCGCCTCAACGCTGCTGGGCACGCCGGCAGAGATTTATCAGTATGGGACGATGTACTGGATTTCAACATTCGGCGCCATCTTGGCGCCCTTATCCGGCGCGTTGCTGTTTGGTCCCATGTTCTTCAAGATCAAGGTCGTCAGTGTTTTTCAGGTCAGTTTGTTGTTTAATTGCATTTTTTAAACTTTCTCGTATGTACGAAGTATAGAGAAAGTCTTTTAATCGTGCAAAAAAAAAAATCGAGATTTTTACAAATCTCGACGTTTTACATTTCACTGAAACGGAAAAACACAATTTTGCAATCTTGTCCGTATGTCTGTGTCTGTCTATCTCTCTCTCTCTCTGTGTGTGTGTGTGTGTGTGTGTGTGTGTCTGTCTGTCTGTCTGTCTTTCTGTGTGTAAACACGATAACTTGAGTACCGTTACAGCTAAGTTGATGAAATTTCATATATAAGTATTTTATCAAAATCGTAGAGTCCTTTCAACTTTTGAGCGATTTCCGATAACCGGAAGTGGTACTTTTTCTACTTTGAATTTTTTAAAAGCCTATAAATTGAGTACTATTTAGGATAGATAAACGAAACTTCACATGTAAGTCAAAGATCTAATTCTCTACCTTCTGTCAAATTTTGAGTAATTTCCGTTGACCGGAAGTACATATTTACGCTATATCCTATTTCTCAAAAAAAAAAACGCATGTAAATTTATAAAATACTAATAATATTGCGCACTATTATGCACATTTTGTTTTGGCGTTCGCTTGGTGCGCAATTCTTTTTTCTCTGAGATTCTATTCTATTTTTACAAGCTTTTATTTAACTCACTTCCTCTGTCTGTCGACAGTCTGTCGTCAGTCTAGATCGAAACGCAGCAGTGAAAATTCGGACACCTCTACTTGACCGATACGATTCACAGTTGGCACGTGGGTCAAGACAAGAAGACAATGCATAGCGACATTAAATTTGACTTAACTGGATGCTTAATTAATTTTTTATGAATTAATTAAAATTTGGACCGAATTAGTAGGCATGTCTATCCAACCACACACCACGCGTCATCACGTTCAATAGCTGCGCCGTCACGTTCAGTAGGCGCGCCATCACATTCAGTAGGCGCGCAATGCTTTTTAGTCATGTAACTCTATTGTAAATAAAACATGTAAAGTACTAAAATAATTTAAAAAAACGTTTTAATATCAAGCTTTTGTGTAATAATGCACTAAAAAGTAGAAAATAAATTATAGACTACTATTCAAATAACTATAAAGAAAAGCGTGGGTGTCTTCCTTAACATTAGTAAAGGTATCCAATAGATACTAAAGTGACCCACGCTTTTCTTTCTAGTTATTTAAATAGTAGTCTATAATTTATTTTCTACTTTTTAGTGCATCATTACATAAAAGCTTGTTATTAAAATGTTTTTTTTAAAATTATTTTATTAAAAGTTTAAGTAATTAAAAATCATGTCTATATTCCAAGTTATATAAGAATATTCGAGAAAGTTTTGGGGAGATCACTCCCGGTTTATTTGCACTTGCAGTAAGTAGGCCTATTTCTTTGGGGCATTTCTCAGTAGTCACTGCGACGAAATAGAAAATATAAGTTTAATTAATATAGAAATATATAATTCATCCAGTGTCTACTCCCCCTCCCCCCCCCCATCCCAACCCACCCGCCGGAAATTTAAAATAAGCATCACCACATCCCCGGAAATGTCTTGCCCAAAGAGAAAAGTGTTCAGACCGTGTATTCTCGAGCGAACTACTAAAATTGGTATATAACATATACACATGTAAGTAAGTGTATACGCATGTGTAATAAGTATTCAAATATTTTTTCTTCAGGATGAATTTAGGTTTTTACCCCCCCCCCCCCCCCCACAAACATAAGTTATTACGATTCTCAACCAAACCGTTTTCCTCAGGCATATTTTGTTACGTTGAGTTGATGTAACTTCCCCCCCCCCCTCCGTCACCCACACCCACCAAACCCCCACGGCGATAGCTTTAAGCCTAGCCTGATAATACTAACGCTATTTATCTATATTCGGTTATAAATACAGCTGGATGTCACCCAGTGCGGTCTGCCCCCCCCACCCCCCCCCCCCCCATCGCGACGCCTCTGCCCAGAACTCCTGAGTTTGGATAACGTACTCGAGTTTACAAAACAACCATGATCCCATCCACTTCAAATAGTTATCACAGTCATCTATCTATATATATAATTCTCTTCTTGGAGAAAATAGAAAACACCAAGCTGTAATCGCGCTCCCTACCACCCCCACCCCTACATGGTCTGGTGAGCTGTGGTTTACGCTAAATGTTTACAATCGTAGAGCCGGGTTTAGTGACGGCTATTAGGGGCAGATAATGTAGTTTGAAACGATTTTAAACTTAGGGGAGGTAACTAAGAGGAGTTTGCTTTTAAGGGGGGGGGGGGGGTTAAGGTAGGGTGAAAGGAGGGGGGTATCGTCCTTAAAGACCATCTGATAGGGTTTTAAAGCAAATATTTTCCGTGGCAGCATTGGTACTGTCGAATTCACAAATTATGAATTACTGGAAAGTAGAAAATAAAACAACTAAATAGCGGCGTATGATATGCCGCGATCGGCTCGTTTATTTAAATTTAACAACTAAACAACTCACAACAGCATAGTACTTTGGTTGTTATTGTTTTTGTATTTTGTTTTTATTGTTCTTTAACACAGTAAAGTATGTTTAAAAAAAAATCTTACGGCTAAATTTATTCCTCAGTATCTAGAGCTACGGTTTAAGTCAAAAGCTGTGAGACTGTTTGGTGCATTTCTCTATATCCTAAGAGCGGTATGATAACGTTACTTTCTTTGTTGTTTATCTGATTGATCATTTCATTCGTTTAGCTTTACAACAATCTCGTGGATTGTTTTCATCATTGCTTTGGTTGTTTGTTATTATTTAGTCATTTGATTGGTTTTTTTATGGTTGGGTTTAAAGTTATAAATACTTACCACATACAAGTCACTAGACCGTCCCTGAGTCCACCCAACTCTGATGAGTACCTAACTCACGTAAAGTAAACCGGCTGGGCATAGTGCTAACCACACTATCTCTTCATATGCCGAGGTCATAGAAACAATTGAACTCTACTTCACTTGCCCCATAGACCGTCAGGTTTGAATGGGAAACTTTACTACTTACCACATACATTACACATTTTTTGGGTCAGGCAAAACTTGCCCTTGTGGCTTGCCCACACCCCCCCCCCCCTCTCCCCCCTCCCCCCGAGAATACAGGACTGCTCCTTGTACATTCAGGCACGATCCAAACACTGGCCCTTATACACCCCACTCAAGGATAAAGTAAATAGGGCACCTGAAGTTCTGAAGACTACAGTCCAGTTTATCCACGAAGTTAGACTTGTTTAAATCCTCCAACATAAACTTAATTAACGACACAGAAAAAAAAAGAAGTAGAGGGAAGCTCATTATTCATCATGAAGTTATCTCCTTTACAATCGCTGATCATCTCCTTGTCTTAGTATAGAGCTAAATAGTTTTTGTCATCAGACCATTGCTTTGGGAATTTTTCTCTTCGGTCCTTCCACGGCGCTAAGTGCAGGTCAGTAGTTACTTTGGCTTTCGAGTTTTTTAATCACATTTTATATATACACTTTTATATATAAATATATATATATATATATATATATATATATATATATATATATATATATATATATATATATATATATATATATATATATATATATATATATATATATATACATATGTATATATATATATATATATATATGTGTGTGTGTATTATATAAATAATGTATTATATATATATATATATATATATATATATATATATATATATATATATATATATATATATATATATATATATATATATATATATTCGTGTGCGTGTGTGTGTGTGTGTTATGGCCAAAGCACGAAGTCGGCCAATGAGCGCGTTGGCCAATATTTTTCTATTGGCCGGCTGAAATGTTTTTTTTAAATTTTTTTTAAAATTTGGAATATTGGGAAGCCAAATCGCAAACGGATTACTAATAATAACTAAAACAACATCACAATAATAACCACCATTGGTCATTGGCCAGGATATTCCGGCCAGAACGCGCATTGGCCGGTCGGTGTACGAAATACTCTGTTAAATAAGATCTCCTGGAACATTGGCCAAACTAAATGTGTACACTGTTTGCCCAGTGACCGAGTTTCCCACCTGGGCTGTGATTGTCGTGGTTGGAGTCGTCTGCACATTTTACACGAGCATCGGCGGGTTGAAGGCCGTCATCTGGACAGACGTGTTCCAAACCCTGGTCATGTTGGCGGGGATGGTGGCGGTGCTTATTAAGGTAAGGGGGTCAGGGGTCACTGTGTAATGGTGGCGGTGCTCATTAAGGTAAAGGGGTCAGGGGTCACTGTGTAATGGTGGCGGTGCTAGTTAAGGTAAGGGGGTCAGGGGTCACTGTGTAATGGTGGCGGTGCTCATTAAGGTATGGGGGGTCAGGGGTCACTGTGTAATGGTGACGGTGCTCATTAAGGTATGGGGGTCAGGGGTCACTGTGTAATGGTGGCGGTGCTCATTAAGGTAAAGGGGTCAGGGGTCAGTGTATAATGGTGGCGGTGCTCATTAAGGTAAGGGGGTTAGGGGTCGTTGTGTAATGGTGTTTATTAAGGTAAGGGGACAGGGGTCATACTGTCGTGCTCATTAAGGTAAGGGGATCAGGGGTCACTATCGTGCTCATTAAGGTAAGGGGGTCAGGGTCATACTGTCTTGCTCATTAAGGTAAGGGCGTCAGGGGTCGTCCTGCCGTGCTCATTAAGGTAAGAGGGTCAGGGGTCACTGTGCAATGGTGGTAGTGCTTCTTAAGATAAAAGGGTCAGTGGCCTTTGTGTCCTTTTCGAACTGTGTTGATGTGTATTCCCGTTGCGCTATAGATATTTTAATGAGATGTGTGAATCCATGGATTGTTTTGCTGGTGTGTCATTTTTTTGTTATTTAGCTGATAAATCTCAAAGTTATCGAATAGGGCTGTAAGTCAGCAGATAGATCTATAGGCCACAGTACTCTCAGTTCAAGTGCAGGTTTCTATTTTAAATTAGCGGGGCAGGCAGACTTAAGATAGCTCAGTCAAACATTTTGCTTCATGTAACCATCAAGATTCAATCAAGTTTACCATCATCAACTTTCTATTTTCAGGGTTTTCTTGTGTCCGGTGGAGGCTCCCAGGTTTGGGACATCAACTATGAAGGCAAGAGGATCGAGTTCTTCAAGTAGGTTCATGTGATTCAGTCGTTTGATTGTGATGATTAGCAGTGATGAGCCATAACAGAGGTCCGGATACTGCTCGGGCAGATGAGGCTCGTTAGCTGGGGACAGCCACTCTTCTAGGAGAGACAACTCCAAAATCAAACAACTGCTGTCTTGTAGTTTGTTCTCGGTTGAACAAAGGCAAAAATAAAAGCAGGCTGAAATCGGAGTCAATGGCCTTAATGGCGCATAACCAGTTGTCACGTAATCGTTAATTGTGATGGAAGCATGGTCGAGTCGGCAAAGCTCATGGTTGATAAATTCGAAAAAAGTCTTGAGTTCAAACTCTCTGGCAGATAAGGCTAGATCCCTCCCAACACTAAAAATTAAGAACAAAGAAGAAGAAAGAAGACTGGTTGGGAATGCAGAAACAAAATATGCTTCTATATATGTTGAAGATGTAAAAACGCGACATAGATCTTTGATTGAGGTGCAAAAACTCGATTGAGATCTAGATATTTTGCAACAAAAATTTGAACACAAATGAAGTAAAGGCTCCCCTTTCAGATATAACGATCAGTAATGCATATTAAGATTAAGAGATACGGAAAAAATAGTTTTCTGTTCGGACCAACATTAATCTTTTAAGCTGTCGATAGGGTTAACTTGAATGTCACTTTCGGTCGTTTTTTTTTTCAAATTTGTATTTTCAAATCATAAAATACAATAACAAATGTATATGAAAGCACTTTTAGACTTCAGTTTATTTATTAAAAGTTTGTTTTTTAACACTGTCCCTGCCCCCTCCCACCCCCACAGTTTCGATATCGACCCCAGGGTCCGACACACTTTTTGGTCAATGATTATTGCCATCGTCATAGTGTGGCTTCCACCCTATGCCATAGATCAACAGATGGTGCAACGGTTTTCTTCTGCTAAATCTTTAACGGATGCCAAAATGTAAGTATATTCTAGTGGGGTTTTTGTTTTAACATATTTAATTTTGCTGAAGCCAGCATTTTAAAAAATATTTCTGGACAATGATAATGAACTTTTTCCTCCTTAAATACTGAGTCCATCAAAAACACTAAATTTAAGACCCCCTTATTCCCCAAAATTTAGTGTTTTTACAGGATCCAGAATTTGAAAATTCATAAGAAATTAGTTTGAAGATCTGCACTTAAAATGTTTAGCTGAGTACCCCAAAATATTGTAGAACATTATGAATTCATTGTTTATTGGGCATAAAATTTAATATTTTTAAATGGTGGAAATCCTACGAAGAGGTTAGTTTTTCAAGATTGCCGCCGGTTGTTATGGTTATCAAAAGTATCTCACTATCTTTTTTTGTAAGTGGAAACGTATATTCAGATGTACCTTAAAAAGCTGTAGAGAAAAAAATTGTTTGAATTCTAGTATTTAAAAAAGTTTTTTTTTTACCAGAGCCTACCGCCTTAACCGAAAGATTTCACGGCGCCACTTAAAAAAATTCAATTTTATCTTCACCTAGCTACATGGAGTTCAGAACACCATCCAAAACTACGCTTTAATATGCAACTTTTCCTTCTAAACCCCAATCCCCACCAAACCCTGTCCAAGCCGACCAAGCATCTATTACACAAGAACCTCGCCCAGGGAGACGGGGAAGGGTTTAGCTTAAGTGTGATGTAAGATAGCCAATTTCGTATCTTACAATTTTTGAAAACGTGCACCAAAATGGTTAAAGTCTACAAGAGGATTAATTTAATGCGTGGTTTTTTCATGGTGCTTTGAAAAAATACATATTTTATCTCATTTTTGTGTGTTAAAGATTGTTAAATTGCAGTTTACTAGATTTTCAAAAATCTTATCAAGTCACTCTTTTCGTCTAGTACACCTTATTTTCCATAGTGCTCTCCTCTAAACGCCATAGCTAGATACATTTTTCTCCAATTTTTTTTTTAAATTTATCTAGAACTTTAAGGAAACAACTATTTCACAAATATTTGAAGAAGTATAGCTTTAGAGAAACAATTATTTCAGAAATATTTCCCCCAGTGCTCTCCTCCTGAACATCCCCGGAATGATCATCATGATAACGCTGTGCAGTATGACCGGTCAGGTTTTGTTCTCCTACTACGCTAACTGTGACCCAATTAAACTTGGCCAGATAAATAATGCGAATCAGGTTAAACAGTAATTATAATGCATGGGTTGAAAGATATGTATTTTGAAGATAAAAAAAAGTGTATCTAATTAATGTTACTTTCCAGTAGTGTAGCGAGGTCGGGGTCACCCGGTGCGGCACTTAATGGTGTCACCCTTCCCGGGGACAAATTTTCGATTTGCACCCCCCCCCCCCCTCATACTTTCGATTTGCCCCCCCCCCCCCCCCCTCAAACTTTTGATTTGCACCCCCCTCCCACAAAGTTTTCTCTATATATTTTGCTACTTTTTGCCTTGGTGTCACCCCCCTAAATGGTGTCACCCGGTGCGGTCCGCACCCCCCGCCCCCCCCCCCTCGCTACACCTCTGTTACTTTCCAATACTTTCCATCTAGTATTGGGGTTGGGGGTGATATTTCTTTAAACAGTCTCAAGGCAATAATCGTTTAATTTGAGAAAATATTGAAATTGCAATCAGAACGTGAAGTTAAATTGTATAACACAATTCAACAGCCTTTATTGGTAGTTTTTTTTTCAAGTAAATGATATAGCATAAAATTAATATACCTGCTAAACATTTTAATAATGTAACATTTGGTTAGTTCCTTGAGAAAGATGGGATCTCTATCAAAACCTCCATGCTACCAAACATTTGAAGACAGTGGGCCTACATACTGCTAACTTAAAATTAATAAAAATCTCTCAAATTAATAGGCGCTACACTAAAAAAATACAAATAGCCCTAACAGTTTTAGAATAGATGAACTAAACGGTTTTATTAATAAAATATAATTTATTTAGCAAAACTGTTTGTTTCTTTTCTTTCTACAGCTGCTTCCATATTTTGTGATGGACGTATTCAGCAATACGCCAGGCTTTCCTGGCCTTTTTGTGTCAAGTATATTCAGTGGCGCGTTAAGGTTTCTAAGTTTAAATGTTCGGTTAAATATATTAATCCATATTGTTTGAAGATACCTTTGTTAAATATTTTCAAAACAAAGATTAGTGTATAACATATTCTTAACAAATAATTCGTCGCACGCTATTTTTAAGTCATGTCCCTTTCTAAGTCATGTCCCTTAAACTCCTTAAGAAGATTATGTCCCTTGTCTACCCCAGTTCTATATCCTCTGCCCTCAACTCTATGGCTGCTGTCACGTGGGAAGATTTTTTAAAACCCTGTTTGAAGAATGTTAAGGACGAGAAAGCTACACAAATTACCAAATGTCTGGGTGAGACTGCTTCGTGTTTTATAAATTCATTGTTATTTTTTATTATTATTTTGTTATTATTTTATTTATTTATTTATTGGAGCAAATAGATTTTCTAAATTGTTTTTATTTCTTCATATTGAAAATATGAAAAATCAAATATATTCTTTATAAAAAAACCACATACTGGAAACAAAGCATATAGGGGTAAGGAATTTTTTTTTAAATATGGCCCAAACATATTGTTTAATCAGAAAAAAAAAATTTTGTTTCCCTTTTCTAGTATCTACCCATGTCTTTTCGGTAGTTCGGTATTCATATTGTTGTCCCCCTTTACATACCATCTCGATTTGAGGACAGAATAATTTAGTTAATTATTATATAGATTACATAGGATTCGTTTGGAAACTAAATAAAACGACCGTGCTAAATATATCTTCAGCTGCCGCATACGGGGCTCTTGGCATAGGAGTCGCTTTCTTGGTGAAGGAGTTGGGTGGCACAGTTTTACAGGTAACTAATGCATCACCTCTGTCGTGTACATTTTCAGTGTAAAAATCACTTGAAATGTGTTGACCTATTGTCGGTGTACAAACTATGTACAGTGTTTAGGATAAATTAAGACGTATATCGTACTTAAAGGGGGTTGTGCTGGTTTTCTCTTGGTATGCCGAACTTACTGAAACTGTTGAACTCGTTGACGTCTGGTCTTGATGTTTTTACTTGCAGAATTAAAAAAAATATTTTTTTTAAATTTTCAATTTGTGGTTAACTATACTTTTCTGCCCCGGAGGCAGTGTTTCTTCCAGACTTTTTCTTTTTTTCTCCGGGGGGGGGGGGGGGGGGGGCACTTGAAATTTACGGGGGGCGGTAGACTTTCTTCGGGGGGGGGGGGGGGGGGCGGTAGAATTTTTTAGGCGGGGGCTTTGCCACCCCCCCCCCCCCCCCGAAGAGATGCCTGGAAGAAACTCTGCTCGGAGGGTTTTTTCCACGATAAATTATTGCTTCTGTGATCATTTGCTTTTTAGACATTTTTAAAAATTATTGTGTATACTTAATTGTGTACATTTCCAGGCTTCGTTGTCGTTAAATGGGGCCACTGGGGCACCCCTGATTGGTCTCTTTGTTCTTGGATCTTGTTTCACAAGCACTAACTGGGTCGTGAGTCATCATCTTTGTCATGTCCAAAGTTAACAATATTTCGTCCGTTGGGTAGTTGTCTATCATTTCATATAAAGTTTGGAGATTTATGTCTTGCCGCTGAAATTGAATTTTTCTCTATAAAATATATAGAATATGTTATACCATCAATTTACATATAAGCCTTCTCGATATTTTTTCTAAACAGATTTTGTCGGCGAATTTGCGTAAATCTTTTTTTTTATATGGAGAAGTAAAATAAAATAATTATAGAGAAAATTTGAGACAATAGACCTATATTAAAATATAACAAGGTTTTGAAATATATCATAGTATCTATCTGTAAAGCCTTTATATAAATGTTTTCATTACCATCGCTATATTTTGCAAAAAAAATAAAATAAATAAAGTCGTTTATTTGTCGTTTTTATTTTTTTACCTTATACAGGGCGCAATTGTAGGTGGCGCTTTTGGGCTGGGTTTCTCCCTTTGGTTTAGTGTGGGGACGTATATCGTTAAGCCAATCAACTTCAAGCTACCAGTGACGACAGCAGGGTGTAACCTAACCGGAAACACGTCAGAATCGTTCTCGTTTTCAGACACATTTGATTACACAAATTGGACGCGGCCAAGTACCGACAGTTTGTAGGTTTCAATTTTAAACCCTTCTTAAATTTTTAGTGTCTAAATTTATGAGTTTGTATTAATTAATTATAGATTAAAAAGTATTTTTGTTTGATACCAATTGCTTTGCAAATTTATAGCTTTAAGGTTTTAAAACTAAAGACGGGTTTTATTTTTGTTTTATTTTATACAGGACAGGTATAGATAATCTCTATGGGTTGTCTTATCTTTGGTTTCCGTTTCTTGGTACAGTTTCATGCGTGGTTATCGGACTTGTCGTAAGCTACGTCACAGGTTATTGTTGACCTATTAACCCCTTCTAAAATATTTATTTACACAAAAGTTGTGTCTTGACTCGGGGTGTTAAATGAAGTATTATATTCAGCCCGTTCTACTGTTGTTTTATCTGGCCAGGTGCTACAAAACAAGTGGATGTAGATCCATCACTACAGCTAAGATTTTTCCACAAGTTGGCAACTCTATTCGGATCGTTATCTCTATTGGTTAAACCCGGTGATGGTGATAGTGGGGTAAAGGAGATACAATGTACTACGATGGTACCAGTACGTTACATATAGCTACTGAAGAAATATAGGCCTGTATATATATATATATATATATATATATATATATATATATATATATATATATATATATATATATAGCCTATATGTATAGGCTATATATATATATATATATATATATATATATATATATATATATATATATATATATATAGTCATTTAGTGATATATATATAAATTATATGTATTTATATATAGGCTATACATATATATATATATATATATATATATATATATATATATAGAGAGAGAGAGAGAGAGAGAGAGAGAGAGAGAGAGAGAGAGAGATGTTTGTGCGTTATGTTAGTGCTTGTTCATGTGATGAGTGTGAAACACTATAGATACGATGGGCTACTATAAACGTTGACTAAATCGAATCGGGGGCGTCCACTATTGTGCATACATTCCTTTTCTACACTAAGGAGAAGGTAGCACACGATGATTAAACTGAACCAGGGCCGTACCCGGCGCCCCTACGGTAGTCAAACCCCTAACATCAGGGGGGGGGGGTAGCCGAGGTATGTTTGACCCTCATCATTACGGAGAGTGATTAGCGTACACACAAAGCGTTCATACAGCACGCCCTTGGGCGCCTGGGCGGTAGCGTGGACAAACCCGTAGCCTAACAGCTAAGATAGTGTATAGTCAGAGGCGTGGGGGGGGGGGGTGCGGACCGCACCGGGTGACACCATTTAGGAGGGTGACACCATTTAGGGGGGTGACACCAAGGCAAAAAATAGCGAAATATATAGAGAAAAATGATAATTCCACCTAATTAAGTGATTAATTCGAGTGTTAAATAATCTTTTAAGAGGGGTGGGGGGTGCAAATCGTAAATTGAATGTTTGGCCCCGGGAAGGGTCGCTACGCCTCTGGGGGCTGACACCATTAAGTGCCGCACCGGGTGACACCCGACCTCGCTACGCCACTGGTGTATAGTCACACTTTTGTATGTCAAAAAAGTATTGCAAGATAATTATTTTTAGCCGTTATTTTGCGTTTTGTTTACACTGGTTTTGTAAATTGTTATAGAAATCGATTAACATACTCCATGTTAACAGAGCTCAGTCAATATTTTAGAAAGAAATCATGTTTTAAAATAGATTAAGCCGCAATTTTGAAGGCGGTTAAAGCCAAGCATATCTGCTGTTAAGCGGATGATCTAATTTTGAGTCTGTAGCACGCAACAATATACATGTGCTAACCAGCGAATGCGAGGTTAGTCCGACCGTTACAAAAATAGATCACAGTTTTCCCGCAGTTGTGACTTTACGTGTATTTCTCCACAGAAATCAAAAACTGGGAAGAAACGGAACACGCACAAGAGAGCTGGACCCACTGCCTTTTCAGCTATTGTTGAAGCTTAGATAAATTAAACCACACATCGAGAAAAAAAAAATGGAATACCGGGGATCGAACCCGGGGCCTTTCATATTCAAAGCGAACGCTCTACCACTGAGCAACATCCCCTAATGAGTTGTGACGCGTTACTTTGTGTAAGACAATAGCAACTTAAAATATTTCAGTATTTAATATCTGTTTTAATGTTTTGACGAGCGACAGCCTAGCATGCAAAACACAATACGGCCTTTTCAGCTATTGTTGAAGCTTAGATAAATTAAACCACACATGTTAAAATACAAAAAGATGTATATTTTATATAAAATGCACATAACTGCTAGATTTTGCTAATAATGATTTTTTAATACAATAAAATCATGGATCACAATTTGTTCTTTTATTGTCTTATTATCATCATATTTCCCAGTTCGTGTCCAAGACACAAGGGACAGATGAAGTAGAGTTCATCCATTTCAGAGACCTCAGCATAATGTATGGATAGTGTGGTAAGCACTATGACCAGCCACCTTTCTTTCCTTAACGTGATTTAGGTACCTATCAGAGCTAGGTGGACTCAAGGACGTTCTACTGACTTGAACCCGGATTCGCTATTGTTCAATTATGAGTGCTTTTACTGTTTATCGAGATAGTTTGTCATTATTTTGTATTTCTTTACGAGCACTCACTGAGCGCGTTTCAATGAGCTGTGCTCCGTGTTATTATTATTATTTTGTGTCGTTCACCAACAGTGAAAATGAAATTTACTAAACTAATTGCGCTTTGGTAAATAATTTTCCATCACCGGGGACAAGGGTTTCTTTCAGACATATTTGTGTGTGTTTGTGGGGGGGGGGATACTTTAAGACTTACTTACATGTCGCAAAAGTAAACGCGGTGTGAAAATCAAGAATAATAACACACGTCAAGAAAAAAAAATGGAGATGCCGGGGATCGAACCCGGGGCCTTTCACATGCAAAGCGAACGCTCTACCACTGAGCCACATCCCCTGAAGGATAATAAGGCGTTACTTTGTGTAACACAATAGCAATCTAAAATATTTCAGTGTTTAAGATCTGTTTTAATGTTTAGACGAGGGGCAGCCTAGCATGCAAAACGAATGTATTCAAGGCATAACATGTGTTGTAGTACATAGGCCTCCTAAAGCATCTTTCATAACAATTGTTAAATCAAAGTCGGCTAGGCCTGGGGTCAGGGTAAAGATTAATTTGAAGATAAGATCCGAAAAAATAGGATTAGTGATTATAGAGATTGTGTAGGCTACATATTTAGGCTAAAAGACTAAAAGGTAATGGAGGAAGTGCAGAGACGTAGCGAGGGCGGGACGGGGGGTGCGGACCGCACCGGATGACACCATTTAGGGGGTGACACCAAGGGAAAAAAATGCGAAATGTGCTGAAGAAAAATGCTTTCTTGCAAGTTCCAGTAATAATTAATTAAAGTTCAATTGTCTTTTATGTACAAATCGACAATTATTACAAGGGGGCGGGGTTGACACCAAGACGTAAACGTGCTAACTATAGAGAAAACAATGCTACATCCAACTGTATTATTAACAGAATAAAGATATAAACATCGTTACTCTTAAGTCTGCAGTGATTAAAGCATACAAACACACACACACACACACACATATATATATATATATATATATATATATATATATATATATATATATATATATATATATATATATATATATATATATATATATATATATATATATATATATATATATATATCTTGTTTCTTGGGGGGGTGTCACCCAGAAGCGTAGCGACCCTTCCCGGCGCCCGGGGACATATGTCCTCCCCCCCCCCTCGCTACGCCAGTGGTGTCACCACGAAGTGCCGCACCGGGTGACTCCCGACCTAGCGAAGCCACTGAGTAAGGGTAAAAACATTGGTTTATCTATGTATAGACCATTGTGTTATATGGGTTTGGGATGATACAGGACAATTGTTATTAGCCTACTAATAGAATTTTATTTCGAATTTTTAAAACTAAAAAAAAATTGTCGACATATTAACTAGTTGTAGTGTGACTGAGTGAATAGGTTTTATATAGACAAAACAGGTTTACAAATTTCTTTTTACACAGATTTTGTTTTAAGAATGATCTAGATCAGGGGTCTCCAAACTACGGTCCGCGGGCCGAATGCGGCCCGCAAGGTCCTTTCATCCGGCCCGCGGAGATCTTTTTGTCCACGGAAAAATGTCTGTTAGAGGTGGCTGAGGAACTTTGCCCAGAAAATTCAAAACAATTTGAAAATGTAGCTTTGGGTGCAAATACCCTTGCATACCGTTTTGTAGACATATGTGAAAACATCTTGACTCAAATAGCGAAAAATGCAAGCATGTTTCTGTATTTTTTAATTGCAATGGATAAGTCGCCGGACAGCTGTTTCACCTCTCAACTGTTTGTGTTCATTAGGGGTGTGGATGAAGACATAAACATAACACAAGAGCTGGCTTCCCTACATAATACGTATGGCACTGTTACCTGAGAGGATATATTCAATGAGTTAAAGAAAACATTTGCTGATTATAAATTGTACTGGACTAACCTCAATTGACTGATGATGGGGAAAAGTACATTAGTGGCATAAAGAAAGGCTTGGTTGGACAAGTGAATGAGAAAAATATTCTACAACCATTGCTCCTGCACTCATTTATTCATCAGCAAGGTTTGAGTGCTAAATATATGGACATTAGCAGATGGCGAATTTAATAAGGTCACATGGGCTCAACCATAGATATAGAATACGTGAAGAATAATTTGTGAGCAAACTTGGACCTCGAGTGTGTTGTCGGCCCTCGACAGTGTTTCTTTCAGATTTTTTTTCTCGGGGGGGGGGGGGGCGGCACTTGAAATTTGTATATATTTCTATATAAACTATAAATTTAAGGGGGGGGGCGGTGGACCGTTTTTTTTTTGGGGGGGGGGGGGCGCTCCATAAAACCGAAGATATGCCTTGAAGAAACTCTGGCCCCCGATTGGAGACCCCTGATCTAGATCTAAATAATATGTCATAATTTTGACTAGTGCGTGGTGGTACGTGGGTCCTAACAACAAACATATTTAAAATATTATAAGGAAACATATTTAAAATATTATAAGGAAAAGTACTTTAGTTTTAGGCCTAATGTTGGCCTGCTTAGTAATGAGTCAAAAAGTCACATTTATGTGTGTGTGTTCTAGCCTGTAGAATGCTACAGAACGAGATCCTCTCAGATGTCAGGTCTTTTTTTTTTGTTTTAATAAGTTATTTTCCTTTTTAAAATTTTTTAAATCTGTGGGAGGACGATATTTTTTATGAATATTTTTAGCCGCTGTTGCTGTTGGAGTCGGATCAAAAAAGATTGCTAAGGCTCAGTGTTAAGGCGGTTAGTATTTATATATAGTATATAGTATATAGTATATGGTATATGGTATGTGGTATATGGTATATGGAATATGGTATATGGTATATGGTATATGGTATAGGGTTTAGGGTTTAGGGTATAGGGTATAGGGTATAGGGTATAGGGTATAAGGTATAGGGTATAGGGTATAGGGTATAGGGTATAGGGTATAGGGTATAGGGTATAGGGTATAGGGTATAGGGTATAGGGTATAGGGTATAGGGTATAGGGTATAGGGTATAGGGTATAGGGTATAGGGTATAGGGTATAGGGTATAGGGTATAGGGTATAGGGTATAGGGTATAGGGTATAGGGTATAGGGTATAGGGTATAGGGTATAGGGTATAGGGTATAGGGTATAGGGTATAGGGTATAGGGTATAGGGTATAGGGTATAGGGTATAGGGTATAGGGTATAGGGTATAGGGTATGGGGTATGGTGTATGGGGTATGGGGTATGGGGTATGGGGTATGGGGTATAGGGTATAGTGTATAGTGTATAGTGTATAGTGGTGTATAGTGTATAGTGTATAGAGCATAGTGTATAGTGTATAGTGGTGTATAGTGTATAGTGTATAATTGTATAGTGGTGTATAGTGTATAGTGTATAGTGTATGGTGTATGGTGTATGGTGTATGGTGTATGGTGTATAGTGTATAGTGTATAGTGTATAGTGTATAGTGTATAGTGTATAGTGTATAGTGTATAGTGTATAGTGTATAGTGTATAGTGGTGTATAGTGGTGTATAGTGTATAGTGTATAGTGGTGTATAGTGTATAGTGTATAGTGTATAGTGGTGTATAGTGTATAGTGTATAGTGTATAGTGGTGTATAGTGTATAGTGTATAGTGTATAGTGTATAGTGGTGTATAGTGTATATTGTGTAGTGTATAGTGTATAGTGTATAGTGTATAGTGTATAGTGTATAGTGGTGTATAGTGTATAGTGTATAGTGTATAGTGGTGTATAGTGGTGTATAGTGTATAGTGTATAGTGTATAGTGTATAGTGTATAGTGTATAGTGTATAGTGGTGTATAGTGTATAGTGTATAGTGTATAGTGGTGTATAATGTATAGTGTATAGTGTAAAGTGTATAGTGTATAGTGTATAGTGTATAGTGTATAGTGTATAGTGTATAGTGTATAGTGTATAGTGTATAGTGTATAGTGTATAGTGTATAGTGTATAGTGTATAGTGTATAGTGTATAGTGTATAGTGTATAGTGTATAGTGTATAGTGTATAGTGTATAGTGTATAGTGTATAGTGTATAGTGTATAGTGTATAGTGTATAGTGTATAGTGTATAGTGTATAGTGTATAGTGTATAGTGTATAGTGTATAGTGTATAGTGTATAGTGTATAGTGTATAGTGTATAGTGTATAGTGTATAGTGTATAGTGTATAGTGTATAGTGTATAGTGTATAGTGTAGTAGTGTATAGTGTTTAGTGTATAGTGTATAGTGTATAGTGTATAGTGAATAGTGGTGTATAGTGTATAGTGTATAGTGTATAGTGTATATTGTATAGTGTATAGTGTATAGTGTATAGTGTATAGTGTATAGTGTATAGTGTATAGTGTATAGTGTATAGTGTATAGTGTATAGTGTATAGTGTATAGTGTATAGTGTATAGTGTATAGTGTATAGTGTATAGTGTATAGTGTATAGTGTATAGTGTATAGTGTAGTAGTGTAGTAGTGTAGTAGTGTATAGTGTATAGTGTATAGTGTATAGTGGTGTATAGTGTATAGTGTATAGTGTATAGTGGTGTATAGTGTATAGTGTATAGTGTATAGTGGTGTATAGTGTATAGTGGTGTATAGTGTATAGTGTATAGTGTATAGTGGTGTATAGTGTATATTGTGTAGTGTATAGTGTATAGTGTATAGTGTATAGTGGTGTATAGTGTATAGTGTATAGTGGTGTATAGTGTATAGTGTATAGTGTATAGTGGTGTATAGTGTATAGTGGTGTATAGTGTATAGTGTATAGTGTATAGTGTATAGTGTATAGTGTATAGTGTATAGTGGTGTATAGCAGTGGCGGAACTAGAAAAAAAGGGCCACCCCACAAAAAATTTTTTGGGCCCCCTCCTATATATATATATATATATATATATATATATATATATATATATATATATATATATATATATATATATATATATAAACACAGAATACAAACATTAGATACTCATTAATGGCTTGATCGTTTTTTGAAAAAAAAAGTGTCTTTTGTTTCAATTTAAACAAATTACAACAAATAATGTGTGTGACTGCATTAGTCTGCTTCAAAAATTTATTTTTTTAGGTTTAGAACTAGATCGATGTAATACTTCCTACCCTTTACCCTTTATCCGGTCAAAAGAATATAAAACATGAAAGCTTTGTAGGTGTAATGGTTTCTCGTGTTATGTTTATTTTTAATGTTTTTTGTAGTTTTATTATTTGTTTTAAATATATTTCATTTTTATGCTCTGTCATGTTTAGTATGTATTTTTTTCAAATAATAAGAAAGAGAAGTAATTGCTTTTTAATTTGTTTAGTACACATATATTAAAAGGAGTTTATGAGCACCCCTATTTAACTATTTAAAAAAGGGAAATAAGTCATTGAAGTGTTTTAAACGTTTGCCTATCTTTCACATTACAGCTACGAATATATTTTTTTCCGAAACAGCATTTGTTATCTACTGTATAACATCGCTAATGTAGTAGATCTGTTTGTTATTTACAAAAGCTTTTACAGTCAAGTCAAAAATCCAAGAAAATTATTTTTTTTTTTACTATAAAAAATGTATTATGGTCGGCTATGGGCCCCTAAATGTCGTGGGCCCCCCCGCATTGCGGGGTCTGGCGGCACTGTAGTTCCGCCCCTGGTGTATAGTGTATAGTGTATAGTGGTGTATAGTGTATAGTGTATAGTGTATAGTGTATAGTGTATAGTGTATAGTGTATAGTGTATAGTGTATAGTGTATAGTGTATAGTGTATAGTGTATAGTGTATAGTGTATAGTGTATAGTGTATAGTGTATAGTGTATAGTGTATAGTGTATAGTGTATAGTGTATAGTGTATAGTGTATAGTGTATAGTGTATAGTGTATAGTAAATCCATGTTAGTTTCCATATATGGGCTCTCGATAAAATAGTTACAGAGGAAGATCTTGAGAACATTGAACAAGAAATGGAGCGTTGCCATAAATGCAATGACATCCTCAGCTAACACATCTGCTGCCGTTGCGGAACGCCCAGACCAGTTGCGTGACAATAATGTGGCCAACGGATTCTATATAGTTTGTGAAAAACATTGTAGTGCAGCTCATTCTTGTGGATCCCGTGGCAACTATGTCCATGCTATTTGTGGAATACCCAATGAAGCAGACGAAGGGTACGGAGGGAACATTACCTGCAGATTGTGTCACAACAAACAAGACATCATGGAACACAGGTCAGCAGCTCATACTGGCTTGCAAACTCAAGGTGCTAAGATGCATAAAACATCAAATACAAAATTTAAAGACGGTGAAGTGGGTGGCAATGTACGCATCCGTTTTCCAGATGTTGACAGAGGTCACGGTGACCCCGAAGCGTGATTGCAGTTGTTATGAGCGTCGAGGGCGGTTTCTACAAATTAGGAACGGAACATGGTGTTCTAAAACAACTGTATGCTAGAAGTGAGTTTTCAATTCTTCACAGCTCTTATTGTCGTCAGTTGGCACTGAGGAAAAATCACAACGAACCATCGCATCTTCACAATCATTGATTGAGGGCCAAGGCTACACTAGCTGCAATTGCACTACTAAGTGCACAACAAATCGCTGCAAGTGTAAAAATAACAAGCTGCTATGTAATTCTAAATGCCATCAAAGTTCAACTTGTTGTAACAAATGATGACATTGATTGATTGAGACTACAGTACAATAAAAATTTTGAATGTTTCTGTCATTTACTTTAATTAATAATCAATAAAGACTTAATTTCATGATCCTTACGGCATAAAAAAAAAACCCAAAATCTGCTCATGATCTTCTAATTCGGACTTTGGCCGGTCGTCCCCAGCCAGATGATCTTCTAAATAAGACTTTGGCCGGTCCACCATGGCCAGTCTGCGGATTGGCCGGCCAAAGGCCGAAATCAAGCAAAGTTTCGGACTTTGACCGACCTATGGGAGGCGATATTGGCCAATGCGCGGATTGGCCGGCCAATCCTAGCATTGGCCGACTTCGGGCTTTGACCGTAACATATATATACATATATATATATATATATATATATATATATATATATATATATATATATATATATATATATATATATATATATATATATATATATATATATATATATATATATATATATATATATATATATATATATATATATATATATATATATATATATATATATATATATATAATATATATATATATATATATATATATATATATATATATATATATATATATATATATATATATATATATATATATAGTTTTCATCATAACAATTAAACTTAATCAGTACAGACCCAAATATTTAATGTAGGCTAAGGGTTCGTCCATAAATGTCTTAAATAACGTCTCACTCATATGGAGCAGGCGGGGGCGTAATTTTGTGACGGTATATGTGATAAGTGGGAGGGTGGGGGGAGTTCAGATGGTAAAAATCGTCCCAAAAAGCGTGACGTCATTTATGGATCAAAATAAAATGAATGCGCAAAAACGCACGTCTTCGTCCTTTTCTTCCATCCAGCACATCAGCTTTTTCGCGAAATTCCCGTAAACGTCGATTGGGATTTCCCGCTAATTTCCCAGAAAATGACTTGGTTTTTAGTCAACCAAAATAAAGGTCTGGACAGAACTCCAGTGAGCGATACACATTAACACATGATTCGTTGGACTAGGTTTGTGATAAAGCCTGTGGTTTTTTTTTTAAATAACCGTGTTGAACTTAACGTTTTTCTCCTTTTGTTTAAAAAGTAAGGAATGTTTAGGTCTAATAAATAATAAATTATAGATTGTTTACTGGCTGGGCTAGTGTGTGTACTCACTGTGTACTCACACTACTGTACTGTGAGGGGGGATTAATACACATATTAGGTAGGCCTGATATGGGCTGGGTGGTTTAGATTATAGTACACACCCTTTAGATTATGATCTGTTTGTTAGGCCTATAGTTAATTAATTATTATAATAATTATATTAGGAGAGGCCAAAAATATATGGGCTACTTTATAATGAATAATGGCATGGTGTAGGTGGGTGGATAAATTTCTCGTTTTTGTAAGAATAATTATCAATTATATGCTTGATCCATTTTTATTTGAGCATTCAATAACTAATTACTCTATGAAATATTAAATTAGGAGGATAAACAAGACTTAGGATAGATAATCGGCTGCTTCTACCATGGACAAACTGTAGGACTCTACTACTACTAGTCTATATTTATATACTCGTTTTTTTTAAAAAGACAACCATACCCTTTTACTAGCGCGTACAGCATTGACAGTTTTACAATATAATATTGGGTTTTCAAAATATGACTGGGGGGAGGGGATTTTGAACGAAAATAGATCTGCCTATTAATTTTATTCTTAGTCTTAGATCTTTACCCTTCCTTTTGCGTGTTATGTTCTTTCTTAAAATAGAACGTTACCAATCAATAGCCTCACAAATAGGCTCTGTAGAACTGTAGATAGTGTGGGTATTTAAAAGTCAAAAGAGGCTTAGAAAATACATTTATTTGTGTGCCCTCTTAACACAGTAGTGTTAGTAAGCCAAGAAGAACTTGCCGTATTTTCTTAAACTACTAGATCTACATCTAAGAATTCTAGACATCAAAACTTGGTCTGTTTTTAATGAAATTTAATGTTTACCTTTATGACATCAGGTATAATATAAAACATTAAATCAATTTATTTTGTGACAAGTCAATTTATTTTGTAAATCTTAGAAGCCAACTTGTAACTAACTTTAACTTAAAAAAATTAAAAGTATTTTCAATTTTAATTTAATAAAATAACTTTTAAATTTAAGTCATTTATTTAAAATATTTATAGATCTACTTTAAAATAATTTTCATGGAATAAATAATCACTAGAATCTAGACTCTTGATCAATAGTTCTATAGTTAGTAGTTCTATAGATAGACCTGCCTAAGGTCTATATAGATAGGCCCTAATACTACTAATAGTATATATTATTATACAATTTATAATGATTATTTTCAAAGTTTGTCAAATTAGTAAATCTAATATAGATCTATATAACAAAAAAATCTTAGACATCACATAATACACTAATAGAATAGGTATAGCTCATTTGAGTTAACATAAAAAAAATTAGGTATTTGATTCAAATGTGATGACATTTTTTTTTCATTTTTAAAAATGTTGCATCACTTCCTTAAATGAAATATTGGTCCTGTAATAAATCATTTTATTAGCTAAACAAAGTAAACACAAACATTGTAAACATACTAACATTGATCTTTATTCTAGACCTTACTAAATCTTTGTTAAAGAATTTTTACCTAACAAAATAAATATTAATAAAATTGTAAGTTGATACAAGCTAAATTCTTAGGTAAGCCTAGCTATCTGGATCTATTTTACTATTTTACATTTTTATTTTAACTAGAATCTAGATCTAGATCTAGTACTAAGTACTAGTATTTACTATTTACTATTTTTTAATGAATATTTTAAACTCAATAATAAATGTATATTGAATATTGATTATATTGGGGACAACACTGGTGTAAGTATATGTTTTCTATGTAAATTTCATTTTGTTGGGGGGGGGTGGGGGGGGGCTCTGTTTACATCTAGACTCTAGATCTGTATGTATATTAACACCTTTTAATCAATAAGAGTGCAAGCAAAGTGCAGTAACAGTGGCGTAGCGAGGTCGGGTGTCACCCGGTGCGGCACTTAATGGTGTCACCCCCCCAGAGGCATAGAGACCCTTCCCAGGGACACACTTTCAAATTTTCGATTTGCACCCCCCCCCTCAAACTTTCGATTTGCACCCCCCCCCTTGGTGTCACCCCCCTAAATGGTGTCACCCGGTGCGGTCCGCACCCCCCCGCCCCCCCCTCGCTACGCCCCTGTGCAGTAATAATCATCATTCCTGCTGCTACCGTTTTCACATGTATAAATGAACAGGCCTGTGTAACTGTGTAAGCAATGCCCAGCCTCTTTTTCTTCCAACTTTTCACGTATAGGTAATATATGTACCACAGTTGTTAATGAAATTCATGATAAACGAAGTGTAAAATCCAATAAGCTCAAAGTTCTGATCTCATCTGTCGGGTGTTTTCCTACACTGAACTACCTCATAAATGGACATAAATGGACAGTCTAACTGTTAAATATAAAATCTCTATAAATAGATCACAAAGCCAAGTCAGAGGCCTTGGCCTTTGGGGAACAGCAGCTCCATTCCAAAGTATTTAAACTCAGTTGCAAAATTTTTTATTTTTCCCTTACAAAAGAATTAAAACAACAATCACCATATGCAAATTATCATTGTTGGTGCTTGTTAGTGAACAGAGTTTCTTCCAGGCATCTCATCAGGGGGGGCAAAGCCCCACCCGAAAATGTTTTACCGCCCCCCCCCCCCCCCCCCCCCCCCCCGAACGAAATGAAATTTATATAATTTATATAGAAAATATATACTTTTAACAGTGTCCGCCCCCCCCCCCGAAGAAAGTTTACCCCCCCCCCCCCCCGGAGAAAAAAGTCTGGAAGAAACACTGTCCTGACCTGACCATGTCCCCAACCAAAATGTTTTTGCAAGTCTTAGTGATAAGTAACCCTTCATGTTGCTTTAAAAATGATATGTTTATTTAATCTTGTAAAAAGTTTTGCAATACCTTACTGTTAGCATCGTTCCTGTGGAGCATCGGGACACAACCACACCTCTCCATCGTACTCGGTTCTGGGCGATACCTCCAAGTTGAGCCCACAACATTCCACCTGCTTCTACTTTACTGACAGTGGACCATTTCTGTGTTTGTTTTCGCCTACCTACTTTCCTTGGGGATTCCAATGTAGTCATGCCTGTGGTGATGTTGCTAGTTTGTTTACACAGGGTGTGTCCATGCATTATCTTACTTATCCTATATTTATGTTGGCAGATGACATACCAACTAGTGTAAGCAGCAAAACAAAACCATGGATTTTGGTTCAGAGTTTGTTCTTGTGGGAGATGATGGTGAAGAAGTTGTTGAAGAAGTAGAAGAAGAAGTTGAAGAGGCTCCGCGACCTTTCCAGTACACTTACAGTAAACAACCTTATTATTTTCATTAAAAAATATTAAAATAATAAGTATGAAAAATGCGAGGTATTTAATATTTATGTTACCTTAATAAAATAGTGATAATGTAAGAAGTTTGTTTTTAAATTAAAAAGTGTTTTAACTAAAACATAATGTGGAACCATTGTATTGTTGTTTGATTAGATCCAGGATATGAAATTCACAATGCAGAGACTTCAGGTTTCGAATGTGAAATAATGGAGTTTGATGATGAAGAAGAGCTTACATTCCCTAAGTCTAAAGAGCAAGCGCCGAAGAAAGTAGTATGGAGTTTGATATATTTTATATATTAGCAGCATTTAATCTTCTTCTACTGCAATATTAAAATAATTAAGCAGCTTTATTGATCATACTAGATTTAGACAGTGTGATTATTTATATTTTAGTTTTTAATATTTAAAAAAAAAATTTACCTTTTTATTTTTGCTTAGCTTTTTTTTTTAAATGAAAAAAATCATTTAAGTAGGCTTACTATTTTATGTATTATTTTTCTTAAAAATTAGCAAGAAAATTTAGCTAACTTTGACACTGTTTTCCTCTTCCAGATCTCAAAACAGAAAAAAGCTGTGAACACTAACACAGTGTGTTTAAAAATGACTGCCCTGACTGAGAGCCCAGAAGAAACTCAACTATTGAATAATGCCATTCGCTGCGACAATGCCCTGTGTGAGGCTGTTTTCTCACACATTGACCAAGTAGATGACGATAAGGTAATTTCGGAGTTAAAATAGACTACTGCATAAAAAAAGGTTAACAAAAATTAGTTCATAGGTTTCTCATGCTAAAATGTTTTGCTCACTCTAGTATCTAGTAGATGACAATAAAGTAAATTTGGGAAGCCTGGAAATAATAAATTAATGTATTACTACTACAAACAGAGGTCTATAAAACTGTTTGTTAATCTTGCTTTAATAACTTTGTCATGGTAAACTGTTTTGTTAAGCTTTAGTACTGTAAATATTAAATTTGTGTTTTCAATGCTTTCTATAATTTATTTTAAAGTTGTTTGTAAGAACCATGTGGTTTTCTTAAACAAGTCAACAAGTGTGGCTTGAGAAATTTTGATTTAAATTTAGTTCTTTATTTTATATAATGGCATTACATTTTTTGTGGAAAAGCAAATAAAAACTGTTTTATTACTACATATTTAGAAAAATACTGAAAATTCTTCATTTATCAGCAAAAATGTTTTTGGAGTAGTTGATTTTTTAAAAGAAAAATTGTTTTGTTTTTGCTGGTTTTTGTTCTTGTGGAGACATTAATTTTAAATATGTTTATGATTAGACTTGGTGCTGCAAGTTTTGTGGCTTCAAAAACCAGTGGTTGGAAAATGTGGTGGTCAAGACCCAGGATGTCCTGTATGTAGACAATCTAGGACAAGAACTGAACTTGGAACCACTGACAGATTATGCCATCATATTTGTCATTGACACCTCTGGCAGTATGGGACGCACTGCTAAAGTAATTTGTTTTCTTCTATCTAAAGATATAGGTTATTTTTTTTAAAGACAAAACCAATCTTTTTATGAATGTTTATTATGTAAAAATTAACTTAAAATATCACAGAAAGTTTAGATTTTTATTTTATTTTACAATAATATTCTAGAACATAAAATATCTGTAAATCATATTTTACTAATTTAAAAACAAAATGAAATAGTATGAAACATAGCTGCACATATTTTTTATGGATAAAAAAAAAATCTGTACATACAGGTGACAAGGCCTAGTCAGATTCTACAAGATATTGTAAAGAAGGAGCTCGAAGAGTACCACAGACAGATGAGACTGATACTGGGAGAAGATGTACCTCAGGCAGCTCAAAGCACCAATGAAGTTTCTTGGCTGCAGTTACTCAAAGCTGCCATCATTTCTAAGATTCAAGAACTCAAGACAAATGACCCACAGAGACGTGTTGGACTAATTACCTTCAGCGACAAAGTAAATCTTTAATTTTAGAAAATATACTTATCATTTATCTATAAGGTGGATTTGAAACGTGTATATATATATATATATATATATATATATATATATATATATATATATATATATATATGTATATATTTCAGGTGATGGTTTACAAAGATGGAATGAGTGATCCTGTGCCTCTAGAAGGGGGACAACTTGTTGATTATGCAGAGCTTTTAAGAATGGGTCATTTGTCAGAAGATTTGAGACCTATTTTTGATTCAGCAGACAGCCTGATCGAAAAGATCAAATCGTATGTTACATAATCATTTCCATCTAGGTTTCATGTTACATTTTGTAATAATTTACATTTTTTACACACCAAAAAACAGTTTTATAATCTGGTAGCGATAATATGTGGTACTTTTCTGTACACCCTGGGCTAATTCAAGTTAGCTAATGAAAAATCACATTTGTAATTATAATTCTATTTTTAATATTAAGGGTACATATTGAAAGCTAAAAAATTTGACTTTGCTCTAATATGAAATTTTAAAAAATTTTTTATTATTTCAATCTGCATGGTATTTAAAAATGTAATCAGATTGAAAGAAGAAGGTCAGACTTCCCTTGGGCCAGCTCTTGTGGCTGCGGAAGGCATGGTGCGTCATTGTAAAGGGTCAAAGGTTATCCTCTGCACGGATGGCGTGGCTAATATTGGCATTGGGAAACTTGAAGACTCAACAGATCATGAAATTAATAAGTTTTACGACAATGTGACAAAAAACGGAAAAGTTTGGGGGTAAATTTTTATGTTTTTTGTGTCTTATATAGGGCTTACATATTTGGTAGGCCTTTAACTTGAAAAATTATAAGTTGAATTGTTTCTTTTGTCTTTTTTTTTAAAACATTTTTTATCCCAATTTCAGTGTCAGCTATTTGAATTTTTAGCTGATAGTTTAATGTGTTGATATTCATAAATTACTATGTATTTCCACTATTCATACCATTAACCAGAAGCTATGATTTAGTACCTTGCGCAGCTGCTAACATAATTAATTATAATTCTTTGATTTAAGCCTGTTAGGCGTACTCTAACTTTACTTAGCTTTCATAGAACCTTAATGTAGACTGATGAAGTAAATAATAACGCCTAATAAATGGCACTGAAATTCCTTAAAGCTTGTGATTCAATCATATGAACTGCCTCTTTTTTCTTTTTAATATTAATCTGAAAAGTAATATTATGCTCTTATTTTAATTTGTATTTGGCTTTTTTCCTCAGTCTATCCTTATCCATTGTTTCTTTTGATGACTGTAAGCTGCAAAAGCTGGGCAAAGTTGCAGATGAAACTGGAGGAATTGTGAGTAGGAGTTATGGTCCTTGCCTCCATAGATTAGGGTGGTCTAATAGAGTTGTGGTTATTGTATCCTTCAGCTGTTTACTTCATGTAACAGAGTTGTGTTGTATGTTCCACTAGTGTTGTAGTTTTGAATTTGTGGACTAAGAACACACTGTATATAGTAACCAGCTTTACTGCACACTTCAGTTATATAAACTGGGGTAACATCCATTGAGTTATGAACCTGAAAAAAATCTAATTATTATTTTGACTAAACAATATATATTAGAATAGATCTAGAATCTATGTATTATAATATAAGTATCACATGAGCCCAGCATCTCACCTTTTCATATTAAGCTTAACGTTTTTTTTTCCAGGTGGAGAGGGTGAAACCAACCGAGTTAGATCTACCACTAAAAACTGAACTAAGTCGTCAAACAATCGCAACTGGGGCAGAGATTAAGTTTGTTGTTCACAAAAGCATGTAAGTAAAAAATAAAGCAGGTTTATAACTTTATGACATTTAATTTTTTTAAAATCTATCTTTTTAAAAGAGTTTTCATTTGGTAACAAAACTGTTAAATTTGGATATATAGAGTACGATATTGGTAATTTTAGGGCATACAATTTGTCTCGAATCTAAGTCTTTAATGAAGGAAAAATCTAAACAATGCATGTATTGAAAGTATTAAAGGAATATTTGGCTTAAAACTAAAATACATATTAATAATAATTTCCACTAAGATGGCTAATTGGTGTTTATTAAAGCTAAAAGTCATCTTAGTTTATTTCTTTTAACCAAAGCCAACACTGATTACATCTAAATGCCTTATAATATAAAATAATTGTGTTCCTTATTATCTTGCTTTAATTAAGTAAAGTTCCCATTCAAACCTGGTGGTCTATGGGGCAGGTGAAGTAGAGTTCACCTGTTTCTGTGACCTCAGCATATGAAGGGATAGTGTGGTCAGCACTATGCCCAGCTGCCTTTACTTTCCCTAAAAGTGTTAGGTACCCATCAGAGTTGGGTGGACTAAGGGCGTTCTACTGAATTAAACCAAGATTTGAATTTGAGACTTTTGGGTGGTTAGCTGTCTAGCTCTCCACCGCTAGGCGACTCAATCTCATTGCTTTAACTAAAACTACCTAAAAATGTTTTGTTCTTGATTCTCAAAATTTTAGGCAGCTTTTTTCTGTTACCTTGTCAAGCATATCAAGGGGAGATATTTTAGACTTTTTTAATAAGGGTTAAATTTTCTGTTATTTTATTCAGGTATATCAAGGGGAAGGAAGGAGGCATGCAAGAAAGTAACTACACCTACCACATAGGAAACATCATGCTGGATAAAAGCATCCCATTCAGTTTTGCCTCACGATCCAGTACTGCCGCTGCTGCTCCTCCTGTGGAAACCAGACCTGTAGCAGCGCCACCTAGTGGAGCTGTAAACTTACATGACATCCCCAGCAGTTCTACAAGCTCTTCCGATACACCAATCTACTCAGGATTTTCACAAGGCCAACCAAACAAATTTGGAACAATTTTTGAGAGACAAGTCACGTCGGCAGTTGGAAGCACGTCACAGAATGTAGCAGGTGCGTCCTTTACTAATGCCAGTAGTCTGACGATACAAACTGTTGACTGTCCTCACCATGGCCTCAACACTTTCATCCAATTCACACCATCAAATGTAACTCAGCAACCACCCGAACAGCACACCGGCTTAAAAATTATAGAACTACCACCAGACTATGATGCATCACAAAACAAAGATCTAAAATCTTTAACATTCCCTGAGCCAGGTAAATAGTTTTATTTAGGCTGTTTTCATTAAGATTGTGTGAAACTAATTTATTCAATTTGTAGCCAATACATTTCATTTGCTTTTCACTTGTTGTCAATGTTTATTTCTCAAAGTGCTTATTTAGTAGTCATTTATTAGCAATAAAGCATACTTTTTCTTAAATTTGGCATTTAAAAAATGTTTACTTCTTGGGTCAGAAGGTACATTTTTTATTTTTTATTGTTGTCTCTATAACAAATGTTGACAAAATATCAACATTTTTATTTTTAATTCCACGATAGTATTGTAGATGAGAATGAGCTGATATTAATCATTGGGGTTATTAAAATTGTACTCAAATGCTACCATATTTTCATGTTTTCAGAAAGAGAAGAACAAAAACAACCTACTCCCTCTACATCAGAGAACATTAATCCACCACAGCCTACTTCAAACATTGAAACTAATGAAGTTGGTTACCCATTTCAAGTACAGATTAATTTCATAGATAAAAATGGTATTTGATTTTTGTTTTCAGAATAGAAATTAAATGGTTAACACTAAGCTCTCATATTCAAGACAGATTTTTTAAGTCAAAAAATTATGCATATATATAATAATGAACTACTATTTAAATAATTAAAAAGAAAAACATGGTTGCTATATTATGTATTGAATACCTTTACTAGAATTTAAGAAACGGTTCATTATTACATATCAGGGGATAGTATTCACATATCTTTTGTACACAGCTTACAAATTGTCTGTCTAGCCAGTCCAGTACACACCGCATGCTAACACTACAAATAGAATTTAAACTCTGTACTTTTGAATAAAACGATAGACCTATGTTTCACATATTTTTTCTAAAAAAAAAATTATTAATAACTTTGATTGAGAGCTAATTGATGTTTTGAATGCAGGTGTGAAAGCTCTTCGAGTGTGGACAAGAATAAAACCTTTTACCAGCGACCGTTCTGCTGCAGTAGCCAGTAAGTTAATTTAAAATTTATGCTCGTTAACTCATTAACTGTTTTATGTTTAATCTGGGTTATTTTATTGGGATTTTACTGTTACTTTTTGACATACATTTTACTCCAGCTATGGCATATGCAGAACATACAACTATTTTACTCAAATTCCACAGTTGTATAAATAATTATATGCTAATAAGCTAACTATCAATTACATTTTATCAATTTTTTTCCTTTTGTTTAATTAGTGTGATTTATTTTACTGTTTGGTTGGTAGAGCCTGTGCATTATTTAAAAAATCTCTTTCTAAACATATTCATTGGCCATATCATTCTAGCATGGCTTACTAGCTCATAAAAAGTAAACCTGGAAATTCTAACAATTAATAAAATAACAATATGAATTGGGGCACAAAGTGATGTAACAATTGTCATAAAAACTGTCATATATAGCACAAAATACTCCTTTAAAACCCGTACTTGAATGAAAAATTTACAATTGAACTTTTTAAAATTTTATTTATAGATATGAATTGGAGCACCATGGTTCTTAATTTCATCCAAGAAAATGCAAAAAAACTAAACTCATTTATCGAGCCTTCATTAAACATGACTAAACTTAAGACAGAGGCAAAAACACTCAGCAACACAACAGAGGACTTCCTGAAAAAGAATGAGTGAGTCTACGAATTTGTTTTCAAATTTTAACATTAATTTATGTCTACCCATATTTTTTAGTATACTTATACTACAATATCTGAAATTAATTAGAACAAAGAAAAAGGGGAGGGTAATAATATAATATGCTGCCTACACATTTTTTAATTTATACTATGTTTATTTTTAACTACCCTATTGGCATCTTTGAAATGCTTTTATTAGTTTAAAACATAAAGTCAAAACATTAGGATTGTAGAGTAACAAGCCAATAAAACTAAGACTTTCATTCATTCAAGAAATTTAATGTCGAAACAATTTCAATAGGGTTAAGCAAGATATCAACCTATACAGAAAGCTGGAGGAGTTCTCAGCTTTACTCAGAGATGTAAGTTTTCTTGACTTTTGTTGGTTTTATGTCATGTTTAAATTGATTTTGAGGGGTCGGCGTGGTCGAGTCGGTAAAGCTCATGGTTGCTAAACTGAAAAGTCTCGAGTTCGAACCCTCGGGCAGATGAGACTCGTTAGCTGGGGACAGCCACTCTTCTAGGGGAGACAACTCCAAAATTAAACAACTGCTGCCTTGTAGATTGTTCTTGGTTGGACAAAGGCTATGGAAGCAAATCCAAAAAGAAAAACAGGCTGAAATTGGAGTCAATGGCCTCAATGGCGCATAACCAGTTGACACGTAACGCTTAATTGTGTTGGAGGCGTGGTCGAGTCGGCAAAAAGCTCATGGTTGATAAATTCGAACAAAGTCTCGAGTTCAAACCCAGTGGCAGATAAATCTCGATCACCTTCAACACTAATAATTAATAACGAAGAAGAAGAAAGAAAGAATTGATTTTGCTGTGACAGTATCAAATAAATTTGAACAGTAAGGTGTTGCTTGGCAGGGAATTATCAATACATTTATTTTATAACAGCATACAATTGTTATAATTTGACAAAATATATAACAAGCTATGTACTCATCATAATGAAATACAATTACTTATGCCTAATCCATGAACAATTTCATCTGGATTTTTTTTAAATGTTAAAAATATTAAAGTAATGTTGTAAGTATATAAGCCATTCTATTTATTGTTTTGTTTTTCACAAATTGAGATTAAATATTGTATGCTAAGATATCATGTGATATACATATAAGTGAAATTGTGTGTTACGCTAAACATACTTATTTGAGAATACTCTATTTGCCAGGTTACTTGTTCAGATATAAAGCCAAAGGAGGAGACAATAGCGCAGTTGATTAAGCTTCAAAGCAGGAGAGATGTTGGCTAAAATGCTAAGGAAAATGCCAGTGTATTCATTAACTTGTTTACACTATCTTCAAGATTAATACAGTTCATTATTAATCATAATATTGATTATAATATTCATGACTACTTTTTTTTTATGGAGTTCAGAATTTTTGTGTGATAAAATCTTATTGCAAATTGCTTTATCCAATTAAAATGTATTACTTTATTTTAAATATGCTGCTTGCAGTAGTTATTTTACATTTTAAAACTACAATACTTTTTTTTTTACATGTCAATACTTCTGTTGAGTAATTTTTTCATTGTTCTTTGAAATTGTTCTTGTTTTCTGATATTGCAATACTGAAGAAAAGAAATCCACTGACAAACTAAACAGTGTCAGTCTCAGCTGTTATTTTAACACAGGTCGTTACTCTGCAAACCATTGCCATATCCCTGTATCATGTTTGTTTCTGTACATTGATTGTCAAACCAAAATTGGTTTTCTAGTACATTTGAATATTGTAATATTGTTTTAAGAAATTATTTCTCTCATTTTTAAAAATTCTCCAATTAAAAAAATAACATCTATAGAATTAGAATCTGACATATACAATATGAAAAATAATTGCTTTTGTAAATGTTTTCATTCTTAAGCAAATACTTTGTTTTAACTCAACATGTGTCAGTATTTTTTTCTGTTAATAAAGTTTCTCTTCAAGTTTCAAGTAAGTGTTGATAAATGAAATGAAAAATTCATGTTAACTGTGGTATAAGTAAAATGTTTTTTGTTTTGATATAGATATCAACAGATATTTTGCCTCAGTATTTACTCTATGCCAGGGGTCGGCAACCTGTGGCTCGCGAGCCGCATGCGGCTCTTTTGATATCAAGATGCGGCTCTCCAGCTCCTTGCACAAATACTAATAATCTTAATAAAAAAATAAAATATTTGAAATAAAAAAATGTTAGTGGCTCTTTAAAACCAGGGAAATTTTTGAAAATTTTAACTTTTGGCTCTTCTGCTTCAAAAGGTTGCCGACCCCTGCTCTAAGCTATTATACCACTACCTACTTAAAAATAGAACTAAGATTTCAGAGTTTAAAAATAAATCACTTTGTATGCTGAGGTCACTAAGAAATAAAACGTCTTAATAAAGGATACTCTACTATTTAAAAGATAAACCAAGAAAGGATAAACATTTTTATTTTCAAACATTTAATTTAATTTTTACAAGAAAATTTGCATATAAACTCAAGTATACTTGACCATTCAAACACATTCACATTAACTCTCTATAATACAATTATCATACTTATCTAAACACACACAAAACTAGTGTGCAGATAAGTGCTCTGTATTCTTCTGGGGATTTTTAAGTGTCGGTACAGGCCCAGGATTCTGTTTGAGAAAAACAACCAAAATATTTTTAATCAATTCATCATTTTTTAAAACTATATTATTTAAAACCAGCTGACCCGCAACGTAGCATACGCTGCTGTCTAGTTGTTTTTTTTTCTACTTATCAACAATTCGTAATTTGTGAATTCGACACTACCTCACTCCCTGCCTCCCCCCCCCCCCAGTGAAAGCAGCCGTTTACAGACGACAATGAAAATATCAAGCAGAACTTGTTATCTCCCCTTAGTTTCAAATCATTTAAAAACTAAATTATCTGCCCCTAATAGCCGTCACTTATTTGAACCTGCTTTACTATTGTAAACGTTCGGGGGTGAACCACAGCTCACCTGACAGGTGGGGATGAGGGTGGTGGCTAAGCTGAGTGGTGTTTTCTATGGTCCCCATGAAGAGAATTATATATATAGATAATAAACCATTACTTAAACAATATATAAAACAAAAGCACAACTATTTATTTTTACTAGTAAAATAACGAATGTCTTATGAAATTAAAGATAATTACAAAGGTTTAACAACTTACAGGTTTTCCAGCTCTGGGGCGTAAAATTGTGTCGTATGTCCATGAGTGAAGCTGTGGAAAGATTACCCTCAAGTTATATATATATATACATACATATATATATACATATATATATATATATATATATATATATATATATATATATATATATATATATATATATATATATATATATATATATATAGATAATAGATTGCTAGATAACACTAAGTATTTCACTTTCTTGCTCCTTTGAACATAGGAGACATTATGTTAGCATTTTTGCCATTTTGCAGGATTTTTTTCTGTTTATCCTACCCATATTTCTTTTAAAAAATTCATTCTTTTTGGCATATTTTCAGTAAAGCAGTGTTTATGAAAGCGTTAATAGACTAATACAAGTGTGGGGTGTTTCTTAAGCTTTAAAATATATATGAATCCAACTATTCAAATATGTATATGCTAAAATTTAAGACATCTACCTTAAGAAGATATCAGATATTTTGGTAATTTACTAACTTTAAATTTCTAGTTTTGTATAAAAGTAAATTTAGCCTTAAGCATAATATTATATACTGAAAGTATACTATCATACCATAAGTTGTGTAGGTAAGGCAACTCCTTGCACTCGCTTTAACTTGCCAAAACTTGGACTTTCTATGTCGTGAATCTAGTAAACATGGTAGAAATTGTAGAGATAAAGACCCGAGTCAAAGCATAATACTTAACAGCAATTTATAGTAAAGAAAATTAAAGAAATAACTTTTTGGTAAAATGAAGCATTATTATTTTTTATAATAGTTACAAACAAAATTCAAACATTAATGCATTAAAAGTAAATTTAGAAAATTGAATATTTTGTAAAAAAAAAATCAGTCTAAGTAATTTTTATTAATACAAATTTTAAAAAAATAAAAGTGATAAGTATGGTAATATAACAAATAATAAATTTTAGGTGCAAGAAATAACAGACAAAAAATGTTTCCAATGATCTATAAGTGCTGAAGTAAAAAAAATTTTTTAAATAGCATGCTATAAAGTTTACACCATAATAATTTCTAAAGCTGTTAAATTTTAGGACCAAGTTTTAAAAGATTTCATTGTAAAATACTTCTAGCAGAACTGCATTAAGACAGCTCCTTACCGCGCAAACAGAGAATCTGCCAATCTGCGATGTGCTAGAAATCAAAGGACCCGAGCTGATATCAATGTGATCCCCCATCCTGTAAACTGTGACTGAGGTCCCGGTCTTTGACTTTTCAGCAATGGGGGGAATCTGAGCAGTCTTGAACCTGTTGTCTGAAAACATCTCCTCCGCCACAGACACAGGGACCTCAAGTCTCTGGAACTTGAAATCTGAGTAGTTCAGTCGCAGACCGATCCTGCTCAAGCAATTTAGTTCTATCTGGAAAAAGTGAGAGGGAAATATATTGTTTTTTTTCCCAGTTCTAAATTGAGTTCAAACTTTGAGAAAAATATATCATAAGTTAAACTGCCTTTCAAGCAGAAGATTTAAAACTCAACTGGTATGTTCGCTAAACAACGGGTCAGACTTAATTTCAAATGTTTATGGAAGGGTGAGATTACTATTTTAAAACACTTGTTTTTCACACAGCAATGCTTTCTGTTAGGGTCATGTTACTTGTTTAAAAATGTTCCGAGCAATGGGTCACACAGTCAGTAAATAGAATGACATTAACAAGATTAATTTTACAAGTTTGTCTGTTATAAAAGTTTTTATGATAAAAATTAACACCCAAAGGATTCCATAACACATATCAAGTCATTATAAATTTTTTAAAATTAAAACTTTTATATTTTGCTCAGTAAACATTGACAAGAAAAAGAACATACTTACATTTGAAGGTTTCCAATCACCTAAATTTAAATCTGCATCATAGACAAAACTTCCACTAGCGACTGTGGACACCAAAACAAGTCATTACTTTATAGTTTCACAAACAAATTTTAGCGGTTTTTCTCCAAACAACATTAAATTGATGAATAATCATTTTTTAATAAAATAAATTTCTCAAGTTAAAATACTTAAATGTTGTTTCTACATATGTCTTTGATCACCCAATACAAAAAGGAAAAATTTAATTTGTTGGTAAAATAAAAATAAAAAACCTTTTCTATATATGTATATAGACTTACTATTGGGAGGCGGAAAGCTACACAGCTGAACATAAAATTTATCTTGGAAAGCTGTTTCTAACACATGGCCTAACACAAAAGAACAACTTTTCCAAAATGCCTGAAAAAAAAAATTGAAACATTTTTATGTACAAGCATGCAAAAACATGGCATTTTAGACTTCTTTAAAAAGATCTTTCAGAAAATTAAAAACTCACTTCGTTCGCGATACGTGGATCCTCATCCTCAAAATGTAAAAACTTCAGCTCACAGTCACTCTCCAGAGGTCTATGCATGTCCCAGGGTTCACCATTTACCAAAGCAAGAGCAGATTGTTTTGTAAGTAGTTCTTGCATATCTGGATTTGTTTTTTAAATGTACATGTGATTATGTATAAGTATTTCTTATATATCTGGATTTATGAGCTATTATTATTGTGTATATATAATGAGAGTGCTAAACATCACGTTTCTAATTAGGTTTCAGATAACAATGTTAGTATAAATAATATAAAAAATAATAAATTAAATAAATATACTATTTACGACAAACTATCCATACTTTTAAAAATATTACATGTATGAACAGATTTCATTCACAATGTATGTGCCATTTCAAATACTTACGCATTGCACAGTTAAAAGGAGTTGATAGATATTTATTCATGATAAGAGAACATTCTTCAGGGACTCCAGTATGTTTCACTTCAATTTTTTCAACACGTGTCACTAAGGCATATTGCCGTGCTTGTTCTTTCTCAAAGATGTCAACACGCTTCTTACGGACTTCTTCATTTGTTAAGACTCGAGAACTTAAGAAACCTGGGAAAATAAAAATCCACATTAGAAACTACATAAAAACTACAACAAAAGCCAAGGCTATTGCCTAGCTGGTTGGGAATAGCCCCTAGGCTATGGCCAGACGGCTGTCATTTCATGCTGAATACGATGGGAAATAATATCTTACAATAATACATACAAGCGTTTATTGTGACTGGGGAGTGAGGTGTAGATTAAAAGAGCAGTGTTATTTTTTTTATTGTGTTATATTTTTACATTAAAAAAAAATAGGCCTATGGTTTAAACTTAGTTAAGCATTTAGGTTTATATCTGCTAATGCCATGTACATTGTAGATGATCAATTATGCACTCTAACTAAATTTATTTTATACTTGGCCTAATCAATCATGGCTTATTAACTTAATAGTAGGTAATTTTTAAATTAATAAGCCTAAAATTCTAAAATTAAAATTAATTAGGGCCTAGGCCTCTGTAGCCTATCAGTTTTGTTAGTAATAGTAATTGCTATTCAACTGTCAATTACCATTTTAAAATTTGCCTGTTGGCCTAATAAATTTCAAGTAACCCGTCCTGGGTGATTATAGATACTGGTGTCCAATAATACTCTTCCATTAAATAGGTGTGTTGGTTTGTTAGTAGTATTGAACCAAAGTAAGTAAGTAGGCTAATTATTAACAAAGTAACTAAGTAACCAATGACTTTCAACCACATAGTATGATAGTTGGCACATAGCTTCACAAAATAATTAATTAAGTACTTAAAATCTAAGTAGTAGGCCTAAGTCGTAGTTTTAACACTAAATTTAGGCCGCCTTTGCTTAATCTTTACCCTAGATGGCACACGATCTAAATAAACAGATATCAGGACTGCCGGATTTTTTTTCGCTGTATCAATTTAATGTTGCCATGTATTTATATCGTAGGGGGAGGGGGGGGGGGGGGGTCCGTCAAAAAAAGCGTGACGTCATTTATGGGTGACCCCCTAAGTCTATATTATTTTTACCCTATGTGAACTTAAAAAAAAAGTTTTCAATTTGCTTGAGAGGGGTGGGAGGAATAGAGAAGTGAAGACAGACAATTTGTGAGCTTGTATTCATTCTATGACGTATGTTTTAGGCCTGCTGAACTCACAGTGACCTCGATGACCATGGGCCGTGATGGGATTTTCCACTCACTGGATAGTAAACGTAAGGCAAGCAAGCAATCACACCAGTGACGATGTTTGGAAATTTTATTTAATAAAAAAAACTAATCATAGTCTACGTCATATTTTCAATATGAAAATATGTTAACAAAAAAAAAAAAACTAGTACCGGCCAAGCTAACCCGTTTTCGAACTCGGAACTCCGGATCTATTCTTTCTTCTTCTTCTTCGTTCTTAATTATTAGTGTTGAAGGGGATCGAGATTTATCTGCCAGTGGGGTTGAACTCGAGACTGTTCGAATTTATCAACCATGAGCTTTTTGCCGACTCGACCACGCCTCCAACACAATTAAGCGTTACGTGTCAACTGTTTATGCGCCATTGAGGCCATTGACTCCGATTTCAGCCTGCTTTTCTTTTTGGATTTGCTTCCATAGCCTTTGTCCAACCAAGAACAATCTACAAGGCAGCAGTTGTTTAATTTTGGAGTTGTCTCTCCTAGAAGAGTGGCTGTCCCCAGCTAACGAGCCTCATCTGCCCAAGGGTTCGAACTCGAGACTTTTCGGTTTAGCAACCATGAGCTTTACCGACTCGACCACGCCGAACCCCTCCGGATCTATGAATAGCTAGGCCAATGCAAAAATTTAATTTCAGTAAAACAATATAATAGTTACATATTTGGATAGGGGCTGTCAATCTGATTACAGATCAGTTTGAATTTTCAAAATCTGACCATAAACAAAAAAGTTATGAATTTTTTAGTCATTAAAAAACAGCAGTTTTTTCAGACAACCGGGGTAGACCCTGAAAGAGGAAAAATACTGGGAGGGTATGGACCAAATTTTTAAGAGTTTTTCACTAAAAGTGGTATAAAAGCAAGCAGACTTCACCAATTGATATCATTTCAGGATATTTAATAGATTTTTGTATGCCGAATCCAATGCTGCTATTTTAAAAAGTGTTCTTCAATTACATAATCGACTAATCTCATAGATTGTGTAATACCCCCCCTTTCAATTTTTTTAAAACATCTAATAATCAATGTGATAAGAAGTCATTGTTTAAATGTAACACTGTTTTAATCTATAATATGATATCTATATATGCTGAAGATAATGGTAGTATTTAAAATGGTCCAACATTGTTACATAACTATCAAATGTTAAGGTTATGTAATACCACCCTTTGCTCAAAATATACCATGAATTAGTTTTGAAATCACTTTTGTCAGTTAACTTCAAGTTAATAGCCTACTAAAAGAAAATATAACTAATCAAGTTTTACAATACAAAGAGAAGAATGCTATTACAATAGTAAATTTGTGATTATGTAACTTCTTAAAAGATATGTAATCTATGTCCAATACTATAGGCCTACTCTATTCCAAAAATGTAGGCCTATTTCATTATAATTTTATTTCTTGTTATTTTAAATATCATACAACTTTTTGCTATAGAATTAGTCTAGTTACAAATGTGTCAGATCAGAATCAGAGTGTGCTTTATGATAATTACGTAATATTATTACCCATATTAAAATTAATAATTTTTACAATTTCAATAAAATAATTTTTGGAGGAAAATATTTTTTTTAAAACTTGCACAAGGTATAGATCTAGTGTAAGTTATAGGTCTATAACATAAATTTTATTTAAGCCCAATGTTTATGCTAGTAGTAAGTAGGCTTTTGTATTTTGTAGGCCTACCAGTAGGCCTTTTACAATTAAAAACTTCCTTAAGAAAAAAGCAAGTGTTTGAGTGCTTGACTGTGTAGATCTAGTAGATTCTAGAAACTGTGTAAGATTACTGTGTTTGCCTATACACAGACACGTGTACCACCACAAGCTTTTGCCTAGATTTTGATTAATCTGACTAGCCAGATCTTCTGACCAATGAATTTTATTGCCCTATTACGTAAACACGACCGCTGGATAGGCTAGTCGGCCAACCCAATGAACGTGTCAGACGAATGTTATGTAATTTCAGAGACAAAAGTCTGGCAAGATTTCTTGATCTTTGCCCGAGGGTTAGTAACATCAACTCCACAAAGTGAAGGGGGAGGTAGGTGGGGTATGAAACCACCACAAACTGAGTAGGTACCGTACGGGTGTTGTACAACATCAAAGGCTACGACCGTCGGCTCGTCGCGTCACGTACTAGTGGGGGCGGGGTGAGGCTTACGTAGGCTATGGGTGTTACATTGGGTGTTATACAGAATGCCCACCCCACCCCTTTTTGGTCAATTTGGCAGGCTAGTATCCTCCACGTTGCTAAGCGTATTTAAATGTGTAGTGGAAAAAAGGGGGACCGGGAAAAAAATTTAAAGCCGTTTTTATGAAAAAGAAATGCTCTAATTTTAAATGAAATTAGGGTGCGCAAAACGCACAATTGTTGTAATCGGACAGTAACCATCTGGATTAATTTAAAAAACAAGATAAATTTTAATCCTGAGCCGTAAATATTAATAAGACTTTTTTTCCCGTTTAAATGGGTAAGGACAAAATTATGAAACATGCCTGTCGGCTTATAGATCTAATCCATATAAAATAGAAATAGCCGTCGAGTCTAACACGGGAACACATGTAGGCCTATCTATCTTTAGAAATTGTTTACAGTATCATCCAATCGGATCGACCGCCTAGCGTCACGTGACCAGGCATTCGGATGTGCCACACGGTGTGTAGATCGACACAGCAGAGCAAGCAGTCGGACAGTGGTCAGCGCGTTAATTTTAATTTTTGCTCCAGTTTAAAATGTATGGGCGGCTTTATTTGGGGGTATTGTAGAAAAAATCATACATATAAATAAACGTCCAGATTTAAGCAATGCAGCGCAGGGTTCAGATTAAAAATTGGTCTGTAACTAACCCGGGAAACTTGGTTCAACTTTGCTGTACGATATCTTCGATAGTATTTAATATATTTTGACGACGAACCCTGCGCTGTATACCTCTACATCTAATATGTATTTCTGCCAAATTTCACTGTTGTAGTATGTAAACTCGATTCGTGTATAAAAATTTTGTAACGCGTCGTCTGTTTAAAGACGGCGATTCGAAGCACAGCCGAGCCGTTCAGTCGGACAGCGGCCGGCGCGTTATGTTTTGATTTTCGGTCCACTTCAAAGTCTATAGACGTCTCTATCTTAGAGCATTATAGTACAAATCATACATATTAATAAACGTCCAGATTTCAGCAATACAGCGCAGGGTTCAAATTAAAAATCGGTCTATAAATAACGCGGGAAACTTGGTTCAACTTTGCTGTACGATATCTCCGAAAGTATTTAATATATTTTGACGACGAACCCTGCGCTGTATACGTCTGCATCTAATCTGTATTTCTGCCAAGTTTCACTGTTGAAGGGCGAAAACTCGAAGAGTCTATAGACTCAAAGTAACACCCCTGTTTTAAAAAAGTGAAAAAGCCTCCCCCTTAATCGGCACGTCGCCGCGGGGGGTAAAAAATGCGATTCAATCGGCGATTTCTTCAACGTCTGAAATCATATTAAAATCAAACTTATACAGTTTAAAAGGTTATTCAATTACGAACAGAATGGTGTATAACATGTTAATATAAACACAATAAAAGCATGCAAAAAATAGAGTTGAACATGCAGGGGGTAGGGAAAAGCCGATTTGTCCGATTTTCTCGGCAGCGGGATTGGCCTAGCTACTATGAACTACAGTCTTCAGCTGGCACACTGTTGACTCAACCACAACGGATTAATGCAAAAAGTAAGCGAGTTTAATTACAAGATAGCAAATCCAACCTGCGAGACGCATAGTCTATTCCTTAGGGGCCACGCTCTGTGAGATGCGTAGTCACTTCGTTAAATTTATCAAAAAACAACCACGACTGTGAATACATAGTACATAGCAATAACATTTACTGGCTCATAGATCTAGATCTAAGGCTACTGAAAATCAAACGCACAGGACTCAGGCCCAGAACTAGATCTAGAAATCTAGATCTAGACTAGATCTAGGCTAGGGCCTAGCCTACTCTCAAAAAAGCCGAAAAGCTGTAGCCCGGTAGGTCGAATAATCAATAAATAAAGGATGAAATAACAGAACACACGATGCTATAGACTATAGACTGCAGAAAACAAGTAAAAATGATAAGCCTATAAATTTTACACTTACGAATTTGTTTTTGAAAAAATGTGTTTGTCATTGACCTAGCAAAAAGCTTTGTATTCAAACACACGGAAGCCATGTTGCTAAAATATTAAAGTAGTAAATGAGAATAGCCTCCCCTTATTCACAAAGCGCATGTGCAAAGGTATGTATCCAAGGCTACTACATAATCATCCTGCGAAGTGTTGCGGTTTAAGAAGAGACTGCAAGAAATTCTACTGAAAACGGATTTTTGAGAGAAAACAAAAACAATGGTATTAAATTTGTGTCAATAGTTATAACTTTTGGTTATAGTTATATTGTATTAAATTGTTTTAACTTGTGTATTGTAAGTTGAACAACGGTTTTAAACATAGAATAGATTCTATGACATGTTAACTTGTTAAGTTAATAACTTCAGTAAAAACTGTAAAATGTTGTTCATTGTTTTCTTGGACACTTAAAAGTTTAAAGACTTAAACTTACTAAGATCTAACTAATTATTTACTACTTACTTAGTAGTAGAGTAAACCATATTCAATTGTTACTTTTAGTATTCAATTGTTACTTTTAGTTAAGTAGAGTAGTTTAAGTTAGGCCTAGAATCCTATTCCTACATACTACATATTCATCTACATATCTACTTCTGATTAGTAACTACTAGTACATTCTAGCTAGAATCTAGTAGTTAGTAGTGTGTTCTGTAAACTGAAGACAAATATGACTCTCAGTTACTTAATCCTAGTGTAATTTAAATAGAGTAGTTTAGTGTTGTGTACAGTCACTGGCGGGCTGTATCACTGATCAGTACCTTAGTCAAGTAAAAGTAAAAGAACATTCATTGGAACATTTGAAAATAAGTAATAAGGAAGTAACATCAGTCAGTATTGCTGTTAGGTCATAAAAATAAAAGAAGTTATTTATATAATCAGATAAAATACATCACAATGTGACACCAAATAATAGGCCTAAATAATTATTAATTAATTATGATATAGCCAATAATTGTTCAGTGTTCTGCTGTTCAAGATTACTTAGTTTTGGATAAGGTATTATTGAATTGATGTTAGTATTAAAATTATTTTCACCTTAGTACAAGTTATCTCAACCACTATAAGCTCCAAAAGCTATTACTTTATTTATTATAGAAAAACAAAATCACATACACATACAAATAGTCTTTGTGATGTTTTCAACTAAATTATATACATTTAACTCATCTGTTGTTTTTACAGCCAGGCAGTGCCTCATCATTCTCAGGAGGTTCCAACTCTAGTGGCTCACGCCGAGGAAAGACTCGGCAGTATAGAACTGTCAGCCACCAGTCACAGATTGATGAAAGCCTCTTTGGACAACCCTCTCAGCAGATGAAACATGCTTTGCTCAAAGAAAAATTCCAGGAAACACAGGTATGTTTTGTGTTATGTTTTATGATTATAACATTATGTATAACTGCTCATCATAGTTAGAAACTAGAAGTAACAAAATTAGCCAAGGAATTTTTTTCATTTATGAAACAAATTTCATTTTGTAAACAAATATATTATTTACATTCTAGCAAATGCCTGCATGCAATGACAATGTTCCCATTGAACGATTAGCACAAGAAAGAAACAGCCGGCGCAAAAATGGTCAAACCAAACACCAGAAGGAACTTGTGACAGTTATAACAAAAGACCTTATTAGAAAGTTAATGTAAGTGGTTTGTTGCAATTGATTAATTGCTTTGAAAATGTTAAGAGTTGTTTTTCTAATATAGTTATTTCTTAAACATTACATAATGCCATATTCTAAGCACTTTGGCATTTCAGATATTTAATTTGTCAAATATTTCCTTGAGAGTCTGGTTAATTTTAAAATTAACAAATAATTGTTGGTACTGACTAAATAATCGGATTGTGTGCTCAAATTGTAAAGCATGCAATTTTTTGCCAGAAATGTCTTGATTTTGGGTATCTGGGTTGAGTTTGAGGATGTCCCTGAGTCTACTCAACTCTGACATGTACCTGCTTTACATTAGGGAAAGTAAAGGTGGCTGAGCATAGTACTGATCACACTCCCTTCTTATGCTGACATCACAGAGACGGGTGAATTTACTTAATCTATTCCATGGATTCCTAGGTTACAAAGGTTAACTTTACTCTCAGTTTAATGCAATGTGTTATTTTTATAGTGTTCCCTCTGAAGATCCTTCTGGAGACTCAATAGTCATTCCAAGAGACCAGTTTTTTAGAATCCTCCAAGCATCTAGAGTCCTTACAAAAGAAGAAAGGGAGGCTGAACTGGAGAGACAAAAACAAGAGAAAGAACGTGCCATGGTATGCAGAAAATTTGTGCATGTTTCAAAAGTGTGTTGAGATTTTTCTGAGAACAAAAGGATGATGTGTTCAGCACACATTGTTGAATGAAAAAAATGTTGAATGGAGAATTATTTTTGCTACATTATACAATTTCATACACAATTTATATGAAATAAATTACCTTTTTTAAAAAAATTGAAGTTTTAATTGCTATTTATTAGTTGTTTTTAAATTTTTTAATTTTAAAATTGTTACATTGTATGATTTAATTTTATACATATTGTTTACCAAAGTTTCCATTTGCAATTTTTTTTTAAATTTAGCAATATTGTTACAAATATTATTAGCCTGTTAACTCCTAATTTCAACTGTAGGATGAGGCTCAAGAACGTAAGAAGAGGATGAAGCAGCTTGACATGGCCAGGCAGAAAAACGCAAAACTTAATGATTTAGAAGAGGAAGCCAAAGAAAAGGCTGAGCATCTTTTGACCAGAGCCAATGAAATGAGGCAGGAACAGGAGGATGAAATTAAACATCTTAATGAAGTAAACAATTGCTGGCTCGTTAAATTTATACATCATGCTTATTATATTTAAATACTCACCTAGATTTCATTTTTAAAATTATCACAAAGGTACATTTGTTTTACATTTAAGTTGCAATTAATTTATATTTCCTGTAGGTAATTTTGAATGCAAAATGCCACGCAATCAGAGATGCTCAAATTCTTGAGAAAGATCTTATAAAGAAAGAAATGATTGATGAAGAAAAACGTCTTGACATCATGATGGAGGTATATTATATATAGATTTAGCTAATTTATAATTCAAACAATTTTGTGGAAGCTAAAAATTTTTTTAAAAGTATTGAAACAATATTACTTTATTCTTCTTTTTTGTACTGTTCTATTTTATCTTTTAAAGACAACATTTTTTCCTGCTATTTTCAGGTTGATCGACAGAACGCCATTAAAATTGCTGAGGAAATAGAAAAAAGGAAAAAGGAAGAACAGCTAATTGGTGCAGCCAAACTATTGGAACAAATTGATGAAAATGAAAAAGAGAAATTATTTGAATTGGAACGTAAAGATCAAGAAAACCTGCAAATGCAAAGGTGAGAATGCTGTAACCTTTGGTGTTGAAGTAACAGTATATATTAATTTGCTATTTTAGTAAAGTTTTTTGAAAACAATAACTGGGACATGACTGGGAGAGTTAACATGTACAACATTTGAGATACTGATTAGGATCAGGTTTTTAAATTACTGATTTAAATTTTAATCAAAGCATGGATTTCAGTCATATTTTATGCATCCTTGAGCCAACACAGTGTTTTAGGGTACCTGTCATAAGTTGGGTATTGTCCATGCAGGATCATGTAGGCATACAGGCAGGCTCCTCTCCATCTACTATATGGACTGTAAATGTCTTGAAAGACTTCTTTACTTTTTTTAACTTCCATTAAAATCTGTTATAAAATTCTTATCAGATACATTGAAAAACTTATGGAAGAAGACCAGGAAGCTATTGAGAAAAGAAAAGCTGAACAAATATACCTGAGGGTAAGTGTCCATCTAGCTACATTGGTTTTTGATGTTAACAGTTTAATTGTCTTTATTATTTTAATGATTGCTCAGTTTAACTCATGCTTACATGATTTAGATTTGGAAAACAGACTTAATCTGACCAGCAGTATAATTGATTGTTTCCTTATCTGAATTTACACAGTTCATAAATATTTACAATCCCTTTATTGTGATTGTTTATATATTAAGTATTCATTGGTCATTTAGGAAGAACTCAACAAGGCTAATGATGAGATTTTGAAACGTAAGGAACTGAAAAAATTACAAGAAAAGGCAGAGGAGCTTAAAGTCTTAGAATTCCAGAAACAGAAAGCAGTAAGTGTATTGATTCTCCAAAACAAAATGTGTAAAGTTAATGTAAATAATGTTTTTTTTTAGGTTTACATTCTGGTTTTTAATCAGAATTGTATTTCATGTTGGCTTTTTTTCTTCTTTCTTTTAATTTTGTTAACTCATTTTTTTCTTATGTTTAGACATTTTTATTTTTATTATTATTTGTTTCCTTTATTATTTTGATATTATTTGTCCTATATTTAAAATTCTCTAACATATTCTTATCTTATATCATTATAAGAATTTTTGATTACTTATTCCATTAAAACTTCATTGTTAAAAATAAGTTGGAATAGCTAAGATTGGTTCAATTTTTGTTTAAACTAGGAACGGGAGGCAGCATTCGAAAAGGAACAAGAAAAAATAAGAATAGAAAAAGAAAAGGAAGTAGCCAAACTGAGAAGTCTACAAGAAAGAGCCAAAGACGAACAGGCTGAAAGAGACGCACTGCGGGCCAAGAGGGCCCAGGAACAGGCAGAGAGGGAGTGGCGCAAAAAAGAGGCAGAACAGGCCAAGAAGAAAGCTGAGCTGGAGGATAGTCTCAAGCAGGCAAGATCTGTCCAGATGGAGCAGAAGGAGCACTTCCTAGCTGTACAGGCCCAGAGGGAGAGAGCTGAGTTTGAAAGGGTTTTAAGGTTAGCTTTCTTGTGTCTTAAAATAACATTTCTTTGCTGCTAGTATTCTTTATTTTTATTTAGAGCTGTAAGCCATTTTTTAAAATAGTTGAACATTTTATTTTTATTTACATTATTATATTCTAACATAAAACTTTAAGATATTGTAAGATCTTAAAAAAAAATAACTTCTGAAAATAGATATCCTATTCTTAACCTGTGCCAAAATAACTTCTGAAAATAAGCATCTTATTCTTCATCTGTCCCTCTTAGATTAACTTTAAAAGTAAAAAAACAAATTGCAACATAAATGCACATTTTGTATAGTTAATGTTAAGATTGCTGTAGGCATTCCTCTACCAATATTCCTTGATCACCAACAACATGAATATACTAAACAGGAGACTTATTTCTTTATATTTATGGGTTTTTTTTTTCAAAGTATAACATTGTCAGTTTAGTATCCGAATAGACTTGTCATTGACAGAACACAGATTACTTCACACATCAACAGTATTACCTGAACTCTCTTACATTCATTCCACAGCAACAACTTCTCTACCTTCCAGGTCACTATTTTTCTATGTGTCACACTTACATTCATTCATTATACACCCACACCGACACTCATTCAAACCAATTTGTACTCACAGAACATGTATCACAACAGTTAACCAAAATAAAAGTAAAAACTTTTCTTGCAACATTTCAGAGCTCAGAAGGAACTGGTTGAAAAACAAAAGAAGGAAGAAGAAATAGTCCACAAGAAGAAACTTGTACATGCAGACGAAGTGAGGGCGCAGATCAGGGAGAAGGAGAAGCAGAAACTCATGGACAGGAGTGCATTTTTCGAGGAAGGCGTTAAGCTGGATGAGGAGGCAAGGGCAAGGAGGATGAAGCTTGAGGCCATCAAAAGAAAGAAACTGAATGAGCTCAAGTGAGTTGGTTTTTTTTAAAGACTGTATTCTAATACCCACATAACTTTTAAAGAAAGAAACTGAATGAACTCAAGTGAGTTGGTTTTTTTAAAGACTGTATTCTAGTACCCACATAACTTATTAGTTAGTGTGAGCTAAAAAAAAACTAAGATAATCTTACCACATTTCGTCCCTAAAATTAAAGTTCTTTTAACTTAATAGTCAGTGGGAATGAGGTAATAAAATGCATCTCCGTCAGTGGTATAGTATAAGTAATAAGCTGTGTGGTAAGTGCTACATGCTCAGACACATTTTCTTTCCCCATCATAGCTGGTTATGTTCTAACAGATTTGAGTAAAAAATGAACTTGGGTTTGAACCCTAGTCATTCTGTATGATTTATGGAAAACTACACACCCTACATAATGGCTGTATTGTGTCATGTTTTTTCCAAAACTTCCTGCCCTTACAGCCACCCACAGGTGTAAAAATTAAGTCATTTAGCAAAATACATAATCTAAGACTTTCAATAACAAAATCTAGTAAATAAATCTACAAAAAAATCTTTTACTAAAAAGTATAAAAACAATTTCATCTTAAAACATTAGTGGTGAAATTCAGTCTATTTTACATACTCTTAATATTGCATTGCTTAAAATTCTAACAGACAAATGGGAATACCCGACAAATATTTAACTGTCGTGGATCAGAAAGTAAAATTTGATCCGCCCACAGAGACAACATAGGGTATCACTTCCAACAATATGTTTTTTGTTTTGTTTTTGAAAACTTGTTTCCCCATTTTTAACAGTTCATGATTTGTATTAATCTTTTGTGACGTTTCATTTTTTTAAAGTCCCTTTAGTAGGCCCTATCTGCTACAAGTCGACTTTAATAATTGAACATTTTATATTTACAGTTTGGATATTAATTTCTAGTTATGTTTTTTTTTTTTATTTGAATTTTCACAATTTATAATATTTATTATTAAACTTATGTATCTTAGCAATGGCTGTAATTTGTGTAACTCACAGCTGTACAATGAAATAAAGCTTAAAGTTAAAACAATATTTGGATATGAATATTATAATATATAATATGAATATTTTAATACAGATTTTGAAGTTTTTTTTCAATTTGGTTATTTGGATTATTTTTTTGTTTTTTCAGAGATGCTGGAATTCCTGATAAATATCTGGCACAGATTGAGAGAAAGGTTAATGAGCCACAGAATATAATGGTGTAACAGGGACCATCTTAACAATGGAATATTCATTTCACTCGTTTAACAATGATAGCTGACAAACAGCTCATTAATTCAAACTTTAAAAATAAAATCCATCCTACATTGAGAGTAAATTAATGTTAATGTATAAATTCTCTTAAAAATTTGTATTTCAATAGTTTTTAGAGTAACTTAAAATGTTTTTTGAAAATGTTATAAGAATTCACATAGCTGATTTATAATTAAGAATATACATTTCACTCCAAAATACTAATAAGTAACCTATACATCAAATTATGGAAAATGCATCCATTTAGTTACTTGCAATTCTTTCATCATTTTCTGAATCTATGCATAGTTGAATTAAATTCAGCATATATTTTGTCCCTATCCTTTTTTTTTTACATCACTAAGAATACAAACATGTTATAGTCATGAGATCTATTTAAACAAATCACAACCATGGGGAAACAATTGTACACAAATCTCCACTACTAAGCAAAATTCATTTTCTTTAGTTTATGCACCGGAACAAAATAATCTAATCAACATTGTGTTGGCCTATTTTATGTTCTTTAGATTTTGAGGTCATTTTTTTTTTTCAAAATGGATGATTGTTAAATATGTTATTACTACTACAAATAAATATTAGAAACAAATATTATAAGCATATAATGTTTAAAATGTGCATTGTTGAAAGCAGTGTGATATACTCAATTTTATTAAAAACATTAATCCTGTGTGAATTTGAAATCTACACTACTTTCCCCCATTAATAATTTTGGTGACTTTAAGCAAAATCAAATGTATGTACATTTCAGAAACAACAGTTATAGAATATCATTAAATCTAAACACTAATAATCTATTTATTGGTGGTTTGATATTTCGAGTATTTTATAAAATTAAATTAAAGCTGGTAGTATATATACATGTTTTTAATATTATTTTGTTCTCTTTGAAACTATTGTTCTTAGTGTTCTAGTGGAAACTCTTCTGTCCTTTTTATTTTACTGTTTGTTTCGTTTCATTACCAGAACCCTGACACTTTTTAAAATAGAAAACTAGAGCATAAGAGATGCAAGCCACCTGTGATATATGTATATTTGATGATAACTGTTTTCTAAGCATTATTTCTTTATATTTGTGTTGGGGAATAACACATAGCATCAGTATTGTTTCAACAATTTAAATAAACTTCAAGATTTAATTAGCTACTTTAGGAACTATAGTAATATGATTTTTGTGTTATTATTTAAGTTTAAAAAACCTACAATTAAACTTTTTTTTTAGTTTGATAAGCTTTTAATTTAAAAGATTCTATCAGGTTTTGTAATTATATCAACCTGTTTATACTGTATAAATGTCATCTAATGTAAAGAAATATGACATTAAATTATGGTATATTTTGAAAATTTTATTGCATTATTCTATTTTTATTTCTTTTTGATAATTATATAAGAACTTATGGACAGATTTTTTAAAAATATTATACAACTGGCAGGAAACATTTGAAAAGTAAAACAGGAAAATAGATTGCCTTTTATATACATTTTTACTATGAATGTTTGAATAAACATTGTCTATGAATTTTGTATCAAACATGGAATAAAAATGTTTTAAAATTAAATTTAAGTAAAAAATTGTGTTTGTATATTGTTTTTCTGATGGGCAGTGAAATGTAAATAATATTGTTTGTATTTTTTTTAGCTATTTATGAAAACTTCATGAACATTTTCACCCACAAAAAGCAACATTATTGAGTAAATTTTATGTGTATATTCTTATAGCTTATGGATCTAAATAGCAGACAAGCACATACAATCCATACAGTAGTAATTAATGCCTTTTTGTTTTCAGAATACTTTTTTAAATTTCCCATTAAAGTATTGCCATATCTCTCTTTATAGTAATCAATACCTTAATTATTAATGAGTAGCCTATATTGTAGGACCTAAATATAGACACAGAAAAACACCTTCCACAGATATATTGTAATCTACCCTAGTGGTCAATGGGGGGGGGGGGTAAAAATATCCACATGCAGGCATGTATTCTATTGTATTGAAATATTGGCTATATATTATATACTGAATCAAGAGTAATTTTAAGAGTATATGTCACATTACGTTTATTGAAATTATAGACGAATGTGTGTTGATAGTGTTACGTTATGTCTTGTGATTGTTACTTCCCTTGTATTGGGTATATCATGGTTACGTCCCTTGGGTGTTCAGTGTGTTTAGTGTGATGAGTCAATGTGAAGCAGTTAACTACAGTTAGAGACAAGACGTATCGTCTCTAACAATAAAGTACCAAGGTTTACTCAGAGAAATGTGTATAAGCAGGGGCGTAGCGAGGGGGGGGTGCGGACCGCACCGGGTGACACCATTTAGGGGGGTGGCACCAAGGCAAAAAAATAGCAAAATATATAGAGAAAAACTTGAGGGGGGTGCAAATCGAAAGTTTGAGGGGGGGGGGGTGCAAATCAGAAACATGAAAATTTGTCCCCGGGAAGGGTCACAACGCCTCTGGGGGGTGACACCATTAAGTGCCGCACCGGGTGACACCCGACCTCGCTACGCCACTGTGTATAGCCCCCTATCATCATTTGACATTTTCTCATCTGTGTCCCATCCAGGCAAATCGTTGGTGTTTAACGTGAGACAACTTTCATTTTGAGGGTCGATTAACTCCCTTAACACCCTCCCCTGCCTACGCCACTGCATCTTCTAGCTACGTGTGTCTTTAGTAGACCTAGGCTTTATTATATTAGCATTGTGCTGCAATGCTGGTATGTATCAGCCGTTGATTTCTTGATCGTTCTTGCTTAAGCACAACTGTCTAATCGGCAGGCAAACACTTTTTTGTTTGTTTGAGGGTACGGATGTCCGAATCAGATAATAGACTTCTGAAAATAGGTGTGTTAGGTTGTTAGTAGTATTGTAATCTCAAGTGCAGTTTTATGGATGGACTAGGGTTGGGGTTATAAATGATAGGCTTAGCATTGACCAACAAGACTTGTGTGTATTTAGTAAACTACCAGTAACTTAAGCAATGAGCCACTTTTCAATGAAACATTGGTTGAATTTAAGATGCCTTTAAAACTAAGGGGTCATCCATAAATGACGTCACGCTTTTTTGGACGATTTTTACCCCCCCCCCCCTTCACCTCCGTCATTCATCGTCACAAAAAGACAGACCCCCCCCCCCCTAAAATGACGTCACACCTCAGCCTCCAACCCCCTCAAAATTGCAGTTGAATATTTCTTAAAATACTATATTTTTCTAAAATCTTGTCTGAGTATTTTAATCAATTCCTATTACAATTTATTAAAACAGTTTTCTAAAACGCGAAATAACGACTAAAATTCGTTTTCTAACATTGCTTTTTTATAATGCAAAAGTGACGTCACACCATCTACTCCTCCCCACACCGTCACAAAATTACGACCCCCCCCCCCCCATACGAGTGTAACGTCATTTATGGACGACCCCTAAATAAATGTAAGTACGGTGGTGAAATAACCAGACTGAAATAAAACTAATAAAAGCTACAAAATCTATATTATAGTCCCGTTGTCATGGTCTTTTTTTTTTCATTTTAACTGTAGGGCCAAATGTAAATGTTGTATAGGCCCTATTTTTCTTTCTCTGTGGATATTTTATACCAGTATTCTATAATGGCATAATAATATAATCTTTAAAAAAAGTGTGTAAAACTACTATCTAACAGCCGTTTTGTAACATTTAATGCAAAATGATGTATTCATATAATATCTCTGAATGTATTCTCAAGGGACCTAACCCTAACGTACACGTTTTTTCAACTGATTCAACAATTCAAATGTAAGCGCATTTAGGCATATCTACTACAACACATGAGAATGTCTTGAATATATCTTATATGTGTTTTGTATGGTGGGGGTGGGGCGGATATTGTTTAATGGATATATTTTCTCTTCGTCAACACTTAAAACATTAAAACAAATATTAAACACTGAAATATTTTATGTTGCTTTTGTCTTAGACAAAGTAACGCCTCCTACACCACAAGGGGATGTGGCTCAGTGGTAGAGCGTTCGCTTTGCATGTGAAAGGCCCCGGGTTCGATCCCCGGTATCTCCATGTTTTTTAAAAATTATTTTTAAAATATCGATTTTTTTCTAAAATATTTTTTGAGTTCGATCAACATAAGTATTTTAATCAATTAAATTGCATTTTTACTAAAACAGTTTTCTAAAAACGCGAAAACAGCTAAAATTCAGTTCAGTCACTAAAATAATATTTTTAAATGCAAAAGTGTGAAGTCACCCATATGACTTCCCCACCCCCACCCCTCCTCTATCATTAAAATTATAGACACCCCTCCCCCTACAAGTTAGACGTCAAAGGACGACCCCAACACCCCCCCCCCCCCCCCCCCCAATATTCGATACCTACAAGGGAGATAACGGGATTAATCAGTAACGATCACTCGATGAGCATGTGTTTGGTTTTCACGAGACTGACCTAGATCTATCTATGATTATTTAATGGCTACATTTCGAAACGTTAAAATTCATCGAAAATCCCCTCCGTCTTTTAGCCATAGCATTTCATAGGTCTATGAAATTGCATCTTTTATTTACGACTGCTGTGTAAGTACGCAACATTCGAGAATTCAAATCACGAACCATTTTACACTATCAGTAAAACCGGAAATGAACGTTTCACCTAAGTCTCCTAAGTTGAATATAGCAAAATTTTGTTATATACTTTTGATATTGCAACACCTTATCAGCACAGGATTTACCCAACAAGTTTCATGCTTCGCGAGAAAGTAGACGCTGCGCGTTTTACCTCCCTCAAGTTATTTATATTGGTTTCTTTGTTTGGTCTTGCGCATGGTATATATAACTATACACATTTCATATATAGATCTAGACATCTCTCTCAATATATAGAATATATAGACTTACTGACTTAGTCTAATTACTAAGTAATGCGGTTTCTTGTCAGATAAATGTGTTTTTCTTTTCTTTTGCTTTGAAAATTATTTTCTAGTTATTACCTCCCTTGGATGAAGATGACACGCCATTTTACATTTTTTTCCCCGTTGCTTAGAGATCAAAGCCAAACCGGACGCTGAGCTGGTTATCCTTGGTTACAAGAAGAACTGCTTGGGCTGCATCAACGTCGGCGACCTGGTGACCGTCCAGGGCTACTTCCGCCCCAACGAGGAGCTGAGTAGCCTCTCTGTCGGCTGCTACAACATCTTCGTTGACTTCTGCGAGCAAGCGGACGAGTACGTCTGCCTGCTCAATGGCACGTGGAACGTGGTGAGTGACAGTCAGAGGCGTATCCAGGTTTTCGTTGTAGGGGAAGCGAAAAGTGCAAAAAAAGGCGCCGACTTTTTAACCCGTTCTATATACGTGTATTATATATATATATATATATATATATATATATATATATATATATATATATATATATATATATATATATAATCACTAGCTGTATGTCAGTACTTCTCTATGATGTAAAATAAATTGAAAGTAGCACTCTGAAGAAATAAGAAAAAACACACAATGTAGGCCGACAAAACAAAATTTGTATCAATCTAACATATACATATATATATATATATATATATATATATATATATATATATATATACATTACATCCAAATACAATGAACGTAACACAATCTGTTTTGTTATTCTTGTAAAAAAATTTCTAACATAAAAATTCCTGGGGAATTATTTAAGACAAGTGAAATAGGGGAAATAATCACTCTCTTAATATAAATATGTATATATCTACACATGTATATATATTAATGTCAAAACAAATAAATAATTACTTTAGAATATAATGAAATTGTTTAACACTATTCGTGTTAACATAATGTTTTTGTCTCTACTCAGAATTTAATATATCGTCATCATAAATGCTAAAGTATTAAAGCATAATGAAAGTTTTTAAAATCAGAGTTGGTATAAAACCATGCTTTTCAATTTAATTGCAGAACGATCGGGATAACAGCCTACATTTAACTAAGCATCGGTCTTTATAGTTCAGATCATATATTTTTAAATAACTACTGCTTCTTTGTGTTCTTTAAATATCATTTTTTTTTAACATAGTGATAGGTATGGGTTAGATCACTGTATTGATCACACACCTTTTTACTTGGAAATTGCAAAAACAATATTCACAGAGTTTTTAAAGCTAATTTTCTGGCGGCATGGTACTTTGGTACATCATTACGCGTTTTTCTACATGTACTTAACAGATTAGTTCGGGGTGGGTTGGGGAGGGGGTTGGGTTCAACTTCATTCAACGCTGTTCGGTCACTTTAGGTCAATTATCCAACCCAGTGTATACCTAGGTGTGACATTAAGGTCGCTCTACATAATGGTGGTAGTGAGGTGTATGTGCGTGGGGGGGGGGGGGGGGGGAGATAACCAACTCAAGAGTGAACATAGCGTCAGTTTTTAGATGACTGTTCTAAACATACATATATATATATATATTACACAAATATATATTACAAAAATATATATTACACAAATATATATTACAGAAATAGATTAAAATAAGTAGCAGAGGTATAACGACAATAGTTTTTTTTACAGAGGGGTCCATGGGGGAGGGGGGTTGTAGTTGTTTCATATAATTTGTAATCGTAATCACTATCGCCCAAACTGTAAGAATACTACTACTTCATCGTGATGACGTTGTTGACCTTGTCGAAATTTCCCCACCGCTACACAGTTTGCTCATAAGTAAATTTAAATAGAGGTGTAACATCAGCTGTATTTGTTTCTGTATTGTAATTTTTTTTTAATTAATAACACGATTCAAACTGTATATATAAAATAATTATGTGTGAAGTTTTATGTATAACATTTTCTAATTCAATGATTCGTAAGCAAATACATTGTCGCCTTAAACTTAACACCCCTCTTGCCAAGTGGTACTACCCGTAGAGGTCTTTAAAACATTGCAATGCATCGCGATGGTTATTTTTAAAATGAAAAACTGATGCAGCTGTTAATACGTGTTGTAAACGTAGACACTACTAGACTAGTACAATAATTGCCTCATGAAAAGAAATCTTGTGATTTACATGTGCCGACCAAAATTTTTTTTTAACAAATATCATTGTTTAAAACTTTGAGTTTAAAAAGTTTCCAAAAAGGCGCCACTTTGCTGAAAATGGCCAGAGGGGGAGCGGCCGCTCCCCCTGCTCCCCCCCCCCCCTGCGTACGCTACTGGTGACAGTGCTCGGCGCGTGCCAGGTTTTCATGAAGACATTTTACTCAGGGAGGGGTGGGGGTGGGGGGTTAAAATATAAGAATAGTTAAAGTATATATTTTCTTTCCATTTAAGTTTATTTTTCTCTATTTTTTTTCCGGGGAGGTGGGGAACGGGCGTAGTGGATACATGCAAGAAATACTAATACGTGCATGCTATTTAGGCACCTGGCTATACTGTGCTTATGTGAATATGGTCGCACGTACTTATACTTACAAATCACTCAATCAATGAGATTAAAACATGTAGGGAGGGGTATGACTATAAGCTGACACAAAGGGCAGCAATTTATATTGCGGTTTGAATTTTTTTCTTTTGTTATCTCCCTTATGACAGAGTGAATAAGGTTTTTAAGCATATTTTCATTCCTTCCAGTATTGTCTCCACATTTAAAAAAAAAATTTTTTTTAAATACTTGAGGGCTAGTGATGTTTTGTTATTATTTGGTAGGGGAGGAGTTCCTACATGGAACCTTAAAATGTCTCTTTGCATATATATATATATATATATATATATATATATATATATATATATATATATATACATATATATACATATACTTATATATATGTACATATATACTTATATATATATATACATATATATATATAATTTATATATACATATATATATATATACATATATATATACATATATATATACATATATATATATATATATATATATATATATATATATACACTTATATATATATATACATATATATATATATATTTATACATATATATATATATACATATATATATATATACATATATATATATATATATATATATATATATATATATATATATATATATATATATATACATATATATATATATATATACATATATATATATATATATATATATATATATATATATATATATATATATATATATATGCGATAACTTAACATCATTTCTCCATGCAGTACTGCAGCATTGAGTATGAACAATGTTACAAGCTGAAGTGTCTAGAACGAGTGACTGAGCTGTGTGGGTGTCAAGTGGGTGAACCCGCCCACAACATACTCATCCAGTCCCAGACCTGGTACACCCAAGGCTACAGAAAATACTTGTTCCGGTTGCGGTTGGCCAAGGGTGATGGGAAGTTTGATAGACGAACAACATTCAAACTCAGCAATATCTTTCATTTTGAAGAAATATATAGTGAGTGAAATATTTTTCATTTTGATGACATATGTAGTATATAGTGAGTGAAATATTTTTCATTTTGATGACATATATAGTGAGTGAAATATCTTTCATTTTGGTGACATATAGTGAGTGAAATATTTTTCATTTTGGTGACATATATAGTGAGTGAAATATTTTCATTTTGATGACATTTATAGTGAATGCTATTTTGGTTATGCTGATGCAGGACTTTGTTATGGTGGGGGAGGGATGCTTATTTTCTCTCTCTCTCTCTTTATATATTTATATATATATATATATATATATATATATATATATATATATATATATATATATATATATATATATATATATATATATATATAATAATATGTTTGTCGTTGACATACTTCGATGGATTAAAGTGTTAGACTATTATCGTGCGCATTTGTCTAAATTTATGAGTTAAAAAATTACTATTGAAAGTGTTGGGAAATAATTTTCATTTTTCAAACTGATAGTAATAATTGTCGGCATGTTCATTAAACACAATTTTAAAAAAATAACAAAAATTCTAATTATGTCTGAAAATTATTTATATTAAGTCCTTTAGCACTTACTTCCCTTTGATAAATTAGGAAAACACAATTACTTCCCTTTATAAAACATTGCATTAGTGGAAAAGAATTTACTTTTTATTACTTTGTTTTGGTGTTGGGGAAAAAATAATTCCATAATTAGTGGGGATTGATCAAGTGCAAATGTTGTAGGTATTTTACGAATTAGCTTGGAGTATTATAATTGTTCATTTGGTTTGGTTTGGCACCTACGTTCGTTTAAGTGAGTGCAAAAGATTATGAATAAGTTGGGGTACTATAGTCGATTATTAAGCTGAAACAGGTGATTCTGCCCCGGGCTAGACTGTGAGAACTTTGCGTTTATGTTCGCGTTAGTGTTTTCTTTGTGTTTAGGTTGGGTTTGCGTTAGTGGTTGCGTTTTGATTTGGTTCGTTTTTGTTCGTTCTTTCTTTTTTCGTTTGTGTTTTTTTCTTTGGGTTTGTGTCTGTATTTGTGGTTGGTTTTGCGTTTGGATTTGGTTTGTTTTTGTTTGCTTTTTCGTTTGTGTTTTTTTCTTTGGGTTTGTGTTTGTGGTTGGTTTTGCGTTTGGATTTGGTTTGTTTTCGTTTACTTTTTCGTTTTTTTTTTTCTTTGTGTTCGTATTGGTGTTTGTGGTTGTGTTTGTTGTTAGGTTTTTGTTTTCGTTTGCTTTTTTGTTTGTTTTTTCTTTGTGTTTGTATTGGTGTTTGTGGTTGGGTTTGTTGTTAGGTTTTTGTTTTCGTTTGTATTTGTAATTGTGTTAGCGTTATGTTTGCATTTTGTTGTTTTGGTTGGTTGTGGTTTGGGTGGGCAATGCCGGGTTTATGATGATTACTAAACACACAGGTAATGGTCTTTAACAGAAAGGTTTTTTAACAGAAGCCAGAGCAGGGCCTGGCCGGGATGGCTAGTGTATATATATATATATATATATATATATATATATATATATATATATATATATATATATATATATATATAAATGTAAATAATAAATATATTTGTATATATTCCATAATCATTTAAAAAAGTAAAATTTTAGTTTCATGGTATACAACAAATTTTGAACCTGTAAGTGTAAAATGATACATTGTCTCCAATAGCTGAAATTTACTATGAAACAGCTTTCATTTTAAGGGGCAAAAGTTCTGATAAAAGCTACAACTTTAGGCCTATACATATTAGTTTATTTATATTTGAAGTGGATTGAGTGACATGCAATCTCTATCACACAGAGAACAATTATTTAACAGATGCATCAACAAATAATGTCAAGATTTTAACAGGTAAAAATACTGTATTTAGTTTTAGGATATGGTTTGCATAGAATTTCCATATACTTCAAACATACTTCTTATATTAAACAACAATTAAACCATCGCTTTATAGGCATAATATTATATCCACTTTAAACGCTCTTTTATTAAACAATCAATTAACCTACTATATATAATTAAACAGCTGTCTGTTTGGTGTTTCAGGTTCGTATATGATTATAACGCTGACTGCTGCACATTTGTTCAGTGTTATGTTGTAGATGAGCTGGAAAGGCTTTCATTTGACATTGTATACTAGAATTATTAAAAATAAATTTAAATGTAACATAAAAATGGCATTAAAAACTAAAAAAAAATCAATAAAAGTCTCTTTAGATGGTGATAAAACTGTTTTTTCTAGAATTACTTGTAGTAATGCCAAGGTAAAGATGGTTCAACAAGATTCTCGTGAATAGGGGACTTTACTCTTGGAATACTTTATCAGTAGTGATAATAATTTTTGAGTTGCTTCCTTTACTTTATAAATATCAAAAGCCATGCTCTTACTACTATTCGAAGCACATTATCTCACTTCATTAAGCGAATACAATTCCTTATGTGCTGTTACTATATGCAGAAACCAACACATTTTTCAGTTAAACAAAAAAAAAATTGTGTGGTGAATGTAAAAAATAAACATTTGACTTGTCCTTCACAGTTCTTATCTCCATTACTTCTCATACTTTTGAGAAGATAATTTTATAACCCTAAAATTTTAAATAACTATTTGGTATCAGGAAAATTTTAAACTATCATAAAAACATTGTATTGATTCATGCTGTTTGCCTCTCAGCCATGTTTGGGGTCGTTTTGATTTGACAAAATTTGTTGCTTTTTCTGGACTCCACTTGTGCAACTGATCAGAAGAGTAAAAAAATTATTATTTACAAATGTGTTTATTGGAGTTAATAACTTAAGTAGAATGTTATAAATGATTGCTATACATAGACAAACACATTTATCTAAGAAACATAGGGTAGGGTGGTATGAGGTTTCAACTTAAGTATAGATTCCTCTATAGACCTAGAAATCCATTGGGCTGATAAAGAAGAGTTCATGGCGTCTTAACCTTGGCATATGAAGGGATAATGTAGTCAGCACTATGCCCAGCCACCTTTACTTTCCCTGACATGAGTTAGCTGCTCATTAGAGCTGGGTGGACCAAGGGACATTTCACTGACTTAACCCCAGATTAGAACTAGAGACTTTTGAGTTAGCAGTCAAGCGCTCTACCACTAGGCCACACCATCCCATAATTATCAATTAAGTCCTTCAAAAAACACAATATTCAACTAACAGATCTGACAGTACATAAGACAAATGATTATGTCAGACTTTCAAATTTTAAAAGGTAATTTTTCAAACATAATTGAAGCAGTTATTTTGCATTTTAAATCAAAACTTGAATAAATTCTAATTTAAAAGTTATCCATATACTTAATGACAATGATGAACAAGACTAATTATTATATAATATTAGAAAGAAACTATTGATGAAAAACAATATTTGAGGAGGTATAGACTGAAGTGTGACATTATTTTTGATGGGGCAAAGGTAAATTTTAGAGAAAGGTAAAAATAACCTAAAGAAGTGTGACATCACACAGGTATTTAGATCAACCCAAACTATTTGATTCTTTATTAGTCTGAGGTAGCATGATATAAATAGAAAGTGGACGCAACTGACCTGCATTAGGTAACACACTGCCACTGTGGTACTGCGTGTCCTGCCAGCCTTACAGTGTAAGTAAACCCTGCGACCTGCCTGCCTGTGTGACAGCAGAAACTTCACAGCAAGATGCAAATTTTCCTGGGTCGGGGTCCCCGTCAGGTCAACTGTTCTCAGCTTAAGATGTTCCACGCCCAAGGCTTTCAACTCCTACATCATAAAGGCTAGGAATTATAACTCTTGCAATCTAACTGTGATTAGGGGAGGTAATTCTCGCAAGTTAAAGAAGATTAGGGGAGGTAATTCTTGTAAGTTAAAGAAGATTAAAAGTGAGTTAATTCTTGCAGTGTAATTAAGATTTGAGAAGTTAATTCTTGCAGACTTGGATTAGGAGAGTTAATACTTGAAGTATATTATCAGGGGAGTTAAATCTTTCATTATACAAATAGGCGAATCAATTCATTTTATAAATGGGAGATAGTTTAAGGGAGGACACATATAATAAATTATGTCAAACTCCAAGGGGAAGGGTTTCCTGGCTAATGTACTGTTTTAGGAAGGGGGGGGGGGGGGGGGTCAGAGAATTGACACTCATTTTTACATTTTAAAAAATGTTAAAAACTTAGTTTAACTGTTTGAATTTATTAAAATTTGTCAATGAAAATGTATAAGTATACTCAATTTTCAGTGCTTTTTAGAAGGTTTTACAAATTTGTAAAGGTAAAACACTGGTAGATATAAATCCAACCCTGATGGAAATAAGGAAAATATTTCCTACCAAGACATGGCAATCAAAATTAAATAGTTGACTAACAAAATGGAACAATCAATTTTAATTCAATAATTTTACAGTAGTTACTTTTAAATATAAAGTTTTAAAATTTTAAATAGTGTGGACTCTGTATGTGGATTTATTTGCACCACACACTAAAAATAACTTACATGTGCTAGACTAATGTGTATCAAACACCAACCCTACCTTTGTTGTATAGGTAAGATATCTCATTTCATAATCCTCATTCATAGATATCATTGCTTGGATCTTTTCTTCCTTAATCAACTAGATAATACGAAAAGTTTGCAGACATATTTATTTCAGTTCCATAGATCAATAAAACAATTTATTTAATATATCTTAACAGAGTATAAGTGTTCTTTTTAAGTGTATTAAGTGGAGATTAAAGCTTATTATATCAACAAAATGATTTTATCTTATATATAGTTATGTATTTAAATTACAAAACATTTCTAAATAAGAGTTTTATTTTACTGATTTTAAATAAATTTAATATGTTTATGTTCTTTTACAACTTTCTAAATTACTAACTGATTTTAAAAAATCATAAATCGAAGATGTTAAACATAGATTTTAAATCTAAAAATTTAAATTTAAAAATATTTTTATTTTTAAAAGTTTTATTACAATGTATTAGATCAGAACTTCATTTTGTTTCACATGTGTCAAACTTCATACAAATTAACAAGATTACCTTTAGTGTGATAGATTTCAAGGGCAGAGCACCCAGTATAACTGTTTCATCAATGGGATCATACCAGTTTCTTGATGTAAATTTAGACATACAACAGTTCACAGCCAGAGTTGGGTAAAAGAGCAAACGGGCAAACATCTTTTTCTTAACCTAAAATTTTCTGCAAAATAAATTTTAATTCAGCAAGGGATGACATAACTTCTTTACTGAAACGCTTTTTCTAATTTTTCTATGGTGTTAATTGCTGCAAAATTTATATATTTGTAATTTTTGCATAGTAAAGCATCTTTTAAGACTTTTTTATTGTAGAGTTTTGGTGATATCATAATAAGAAAGGAGTGTATAGTCTCTATCATGTCCATAGGTATTCTGGGAACAGAACTTGAGATATTGCAGTGAGCTATTGCACACTTTAATGATAACCCCTTTTCAATTTATTATTGCAATACACATAAGAAAGTAAAATCTAAAAAGAATTAGATTAACATCTTAAATATATGAGACCAGTAAATCAGATAGATGAAAAATGAAGTGTTTAATTTTTCCCAGTTACAGTCAAAATATAACCTTGAGAATTTTAGACCTAATGTAATGCAATTTAGTGACTAGGTACAAATGAAAATTTTACATCATGAGCCAGTCGGGCATGAAGTTTTGGACCAGGTGTTGCCACATCACAATAAGAAAGTTTAGGCATCATTCATCTTCAACCTTCCATGCGAACCTTTTGCCTGGTTGCTAGAAATTCAAAGGGATGGTTCTAAATATAATCCAAGCTACACTTTCGAACCTGACAGTCTATGGGACAGAGGAGGTATAGTTTACCTGTTTCTCTAACCTCGACTCATGATTCTCTAGTCTACTATACTCTACATTAAGATACATCATACAATGATGTGAAATGATTAAACTGTAAAGGCCAGCAGAGGGTAATATATCATTTTAGGTACGTAAAATTGGCAGAGGCTAGTAATGTGCGACAGTTGCCTCATTGTTAAGGCTTTAATAGAAGTATATTGTGATATATTTGTGTGAAATATTATAGATAACTGAATATAATTGAATATATCAATATAGTCCAGAAATTAACTTTTAACAGCAGTGTTTGCGAGCAATATTTGCTATATAAACAGCAGCCTTTGTAAAATAGAGTGGTTTCTCCTGAATCTCCCGCTATAAGTTTGCCAAAAAAAAACTTAAACAAGATGGCTGCTGCAGTAAACGAGCTTTGTTGTATCTGATGAAAACATCACTTGTCTTTATTACTGAAAAGTTTTAATACAATTGTTTAAAAACAGGCTGTAACAGGTACATGAATGAAACTTTGAAACAATTTTGAAACTTTCAAAACATAAATCTTCCTACTTACAATGTGAAATAATTACTAAAATTTTATGAGGCACCTTCTTTTCACATTACTAGCCTAAGCTGATTTTATGTACTTAAACTGACTTAAAGCGATAGATTATCCAGCAGAGCTGCCTTTGGCTTTTCCCTTACTTAGGGCACCTTAGGCAGCGCCACTAACCTGGTCAGGTCCTCAGATTGAGATAGTTACTAATAGTTACTAGTAAAAATAACTAAATAGTAGTTACTAGTTAAGTTAGTACTAGTACTAGTAGTTAGTATTTTTACTTGTAATTTTGTAATTAATACTAATTATCAGTTCAGATGTCATGATGTCAAAGTAGTAGTGACAGTACAATGGAGGCGAGCGAGTTGACGAGATTCCTTCCATAATATTGTTGACATGGAATAAAAACGTGCTTTTTAGATTTAGACCGTAAAAAAAAATAAAAAATAAAAACTTAAGCCTAAAATTAATTTAGAAATTTTATATTTTTAGAATAAATGCTATAAAAGTTGCAAATCCAGAGAACTTGAAAATAATTTGTTGAGTTTAAGGCTACATTTCTATTTATTTTCATCAAGCCTAAGTTAAAACCGGATGTTTCACTTTCGTAAGACAAATATTGATTGGCTGTACAGTAACTTAGTGATCGATAACTATTTGTTTACAAAACTTTGCAGATCAAGTTTTTAAATAACAATGCAAATTAAAAACCCCATGACCTAGTTTTCTATTTTTAGCTTACAATGTGTACAATAAAATCAATGTCGGCCTATCCAATAGCAGGATGCCATTGTTTATGTCGCCATTACACGTGAAAACCAAATTGTTTTGGCTTGTTTTTAAATTTTCAATTAGTTACCGAAAATTTTTAAAACATCAAATAGACCCAATCTTTAGTAAAGTCCGAAATAAACCAGACAGACAGGATTTTATAACCATATTAATTGTAACTACGCCGTGCCTAATTTTTAAACTAATTTATACACCTCTCAAATACCTTTGAGAGTTTTCTCGCTCGTGTCCATTATTAAAATTATTATTGTCAATGTCACAGATCAGAGCTGTGGACCAAAGAAAGAACCCACCCAGAATCTTGAGTCCAGGATGTGAACTCAATTTCAAGTTAGCTGTTACTGTAAAATATCTACCCGTAGCTTTTTGAAAACTAGTAGAATCTGTTTGTAGACTACCACTACTTACTCACTTTTAAACTTCAAGATAATGACTTGGTAAGTTGGTAATAAACTCACATGCCGTGATGTTGTTGACATTAACTTCGCTCCGGATATGACCTTAGTGATATTCTTACCTCACTACTAAAATGAGCAGCCTAACCTAGATTTATTTAATATTAAACTTTATTGAGGAATACAATATAATAATGTTGCATTATCCTGTACGCTATTGGTCTTATTTTATTTTGACAATTTTATCTTGAATTGGTAATAAAGAAAAGCATCTAAATGTTAGGCCTAAATATACTTCACTAAACTTAATGTTAAATATTATTTTAGTTGTCTCCCTTAGGCTCTAAAATGAAGGGATTTCCTCACTTATGTAGGCCTATAACAGCCTCGTTTCCGGTTTTAGTTTGTAAACAAACCTGCCGTGACGTCACAGAAGAAGGAAAGAGCAGAAGGGAACCTCGGAGTTCACATTTTTGTGTTTTTGAGTGACAGCCGAAAGGGAGGATAGAACGCATCGAGGAGGTACGAAGGGCGTTCGAAGTGAGTCGTTTATGGCAAGAGCACGTACCCATCTTCTCACGTTACCCCGCCCCCTTCGCGATTGGCTTCCACATGGCAGATATAACCCTGCGGCTTATTTGGTACAAACTCGGGGAAGTCAGAGAAAAGATGGCGGAGACTGGCCGTACTTGGTACACGGAGCTCGATTTCGATAGCTATGTTTTGGATTTGTTGTTGTTAGGATGGTGCACTTTATGTTTCGTCATCATCTTAGCGGTCAACGCCATAGTAGCGGCATTTGGGCCTTTACAGAGACAGCCCCGAGAAAAATACCGTGAAGCGACCGAAGGGGAAAGTCTAACCGGCGCCCCACTACCACTGGAGACGGCTCAATGGTTCAATAACGCCCTGAATTGGTTTTACCTCCACTACTACCATGCTCCGGAATTTGTGGACGAATGGGTCCACTCTCTCAACGAACAAGTGGCTAAGCTTGGAGTGAGTACTCATATGTATTAATAGTTTCAACTATGATTCTGAATATAGCAGAATTTTTTTTTTTAATTTTCCACCCTTTAAAAAAATGACACCCCTCCCCCTTTTATCATGTTTTCCAACTTTGTTACCATGGATATCAGACAATAACATCCTTATGAGTCATTCTGTTTTAAAAGAACAGAATATCTTTTGCTATTTATTAATTTAAAAATTAATGCTGATGAATTAGACAAATTGTCATTATCTCCTTTTTTTAAATGAAAAAAGTTAATGTTGATGATGTTTACAAAACAACTGTTTTATCAGTTACTTTTTTAATATATTGCTTCACATCAGGATTACAGGTTTTATTTAAAATATTTTAAAATCTTTAATAACTTAATCACAGGAAGTCAGCTTCTTTTATTTTTCTAAAAATAAAATAAAAAATAAATTCAAGCAGGCTGAAGTTTCTGTCATATTGTGTCATGTAGTAATTTTTAATTTACAGTTATTTTTATGTTGAACATGTCGAATAGTTTTGAAATGTTCAGCCTTATGTAAGCTGAGAAGTTAAAGATAAACTACTGAAAATTTTGATAAAAATAACTTGGTAAACTCCATTATCAACAATTTATGATTTTGAGGAGAGATTTTAATTTGTGATTTTTAAAATGAATTTTTGGCATATTTTTAAAAATATAGGCCTACATATTCCTTTTTTTTTTGATAAAAAAATAGTTACCGCATTTAACAATCACTGAATGTTTTACCAGTTTCAGTTTTAAATATATTTTAGATCTAATATTAATGATAGTATAATGTTATTAACAGTTTTGTTTTGTAATTTTTCATTTTTAAGCTCACTTGCTTCAATGATCAGTTGTATAACGTCGATTATATTTCTGAAAGTCATAAAAACTAAAACTTTTTTGTTTAGCAGGTATATCCATTTGCATCTTCATCTTATTATGTGGTATGTGAGTCTTTTGTGCTTATATTTGAGGTTGGGTTTAGTCTTTATATAAACATAATGGGTAGGCAAACAGACTTTCTACCTAATGGCACTGTAGATACTGTGCAGTTATTTCCCATTCATGACTCAAATTTAAAATTGTTTAAGCAATACATTAAATTAGAAATTGCTGTATAGTGGACACATAGGCTTCTAATGCTTTTTGAAAAAAAGTTGCATGTGCTTCAGTAGCAGTTTTATACATAAGTGAAATTTGGTCAGTCAAAACATGGTGATCAGATTTTTTTATTTATTTTAAAATTCTGTGTAAAGGTTAACTTTAAACTTATCACTAATCTGTGATAGCACCTTCTTGTGCTAATTCTCACTTGCAATGTCAGTTAACTCAATTTTGTAAAATAAAAATAAGAATGTAACCCTTGTTACAACTTCCTACACCAATTTCCTTAGTTATTTTCCTCCTGAATAATCCGAGCCATAAAGTGTTAAATTATTTCAATTGTTTATTTATAGCTCAATTCATTAGGTCTAGTTTATTATTCATTATCCTCTGTTTGTTTTATGGCAATGTTACATTATTCATTACAGGACTATAAATAAATCATGCCACTGATTCTATTTTTATTAGATCTAATTCATATTTTATGTAGAACTTTAGTTCGCGAAAGGCCCTTTCACCGAGTAAAAAAGAAGTGCACTTCATGCATTTTTAGCAAACTTGTCAACTGCGCGTTAACTAGGTCAAGTTGTGTGTGTGTGCGCATGTAGACTGCCGGTGTATTATTAACAACGTCCACCCGCGGTGATCTGTTGAATAAGAAGCGCATAATTTATACGGTCAACTCTTCCCCTTTCACCGGTCCCTGGGTTGTGTGTGTTGTCATACAGTGGAGTAATAGTAAAAATAAACGATCGATGCTTTTTTTCCCCCTGTAAGAGTATGGTCCAATGGTCGATTATCTTCTACGCTTCGAAAATAGTTGGTGTTAGAGGCATGTACAAACATGTGCATTGTCAACATAACATTTTATCTCAACTTTTGAAGTATTTTGTAAATGTGTTTAATACCAGAATGTTAATGTTAAGTCTGTTAAGGATAGGGTTAGTGTAGGCTTACTGATGACTAGTTCTAACTTAGAAAAGTGGGCCTATTATTGGTCATTAATACTTCGTTATATCGGATATTTTGAAAAAAAATACAGGTGTTGGATTATGCTACTTAATGGAATAGTCCGGAAAGACGATGTTTGCTCGCTAATGGTAGCCTAATATAAATAACCCAAACACCAATATATGGTTACTGATTTTATATTTGACCCATGACAACCTTATTTAATTTTTATTTAAAAGTCTGTTATCAGACAGTGACAGAAAAAATAATAAATAATCCTTAATAGTTTAATACTAGCTACCTAAAACACCCTTTTGAGAAGAGTCTATTAAAAGGGCATTACTGAGCCCAGTCTGAATAATACACCTAAATAAGACCCATGATAGACGAACTGTTCTTATGACATTGTAGTCCATCAAATTTTAAGATACAAACGTTGAATAAATAAAAAAGTTATTCATCCCGATGAATTCAGAAAAAAAATTGGTACTTAAAAAAAAGAACGCTTACTCGTTGATTAAATTCAAATTATATTATGCCATTTGGTGGCGCCTGGCTGTTCAATCTTCTTAATTGCTCGCACAAACAGGAAATGACATCATGAGTACGTGTTTGCACGTGCGAAAATATACACTAATCCCTAGAATTTTTAATTTAAAAAAAAATAATTAAATCTGAATAGCGCAGTTTCAAACCCATCCCCCTTCCACCAATCCATGTAGGTGCTATCTGCTTGGTGTGAGATGTACGGACGGCGCTCCATGTCAGCTGGGAACTGGACGAGACGGTGAAATTCAATTTTGCCCGAGGTGTTAGGTCATGGGTGTTGACCTACATACGCCTCACCCGATTTCTCAAATTTGTCTTAGCCTGTCAGTTACCTGTAAAATTATGCAAGGCCCCGCCTCCGCGCAGGTAGATTTTTTCACGTGCACTCCCCCATATCACCCTCCCCCCTCTCACCCCCCCCCCCCCCCTCAGTTTCTCTTCTCACCGTTTCTCACCAAAATTTGTACACGCAAGCAAAATGATTTTTTTTTTGTTAAATGTAAACTATGCGTTAGCTTTTCAATAGTTTAACCGATCTTTTTATTCGAACCTTTTTTTTTTTGCTTATTGTTCAGTGCAGTCAGTATACTTCCTGCTTTTTTTTCTCTCCCTCTACATATCTACCTACACGTGTAAGTGTAACATAATAGGTTCAAATTTATTTTTAGCACGCGCGCGGCACATTAATAATAACACAAAAAACACCCCAGAACAGAAAACACCCTTGTAGCAGTTAGTCAGGTTTTTGACAAAAATATAATGGAGAAAAAAAAAGCTTTTTAGGCAACATAAAGAAAGGCTCGTGTGTGCTTGAAATAACTAGAAATGTATGGTTTGATGAATGTGTATGCTTTTTTCATGACGTCAGAAAAAAGATCTTATTGTGTCAGCACGTCCTAGCAGTTTAAGTCTCAGTCATAATATAATGGTGTAAAACGTCATTCGAGTAGATTTATGTTTGACGTTACTGTGCTTTTGAAAATGGGGGGGGGGGGGGAGGTATTCTGATTTGTTACTAGATCTAGCAATTTTTACTGTAGCACAGTTTTCATCTACACTTTTGCTTGACGATTTTATTTTCTTGGTCTTTTTGTACTATTTAGTGGTATGACGAGGTAGGGTGTCAGCCTATGCGTTAACTCAGGGTGTCACACCTCTTCTTCAATGAGATTGTGTAAAAAACAAAAAGTTCCCTTTTCGAACATGACGGTCCATAGGGCAATTAAAGTAGGGTTAACCTGTTTCTGTGACCTCGACTTATCGACTTATGAAGCACTGTGCCTACATCACTACATGCCTAACCCTTCCTGGCGTGAGTTAACCCTTCAGAGTTGGTTGACCCACGGACACTCTACCGACTCGAGTCCAGATTCGAACTCGAGACTTTCGGGTTAGCAGTCTGTCTAGCAATAATAGAGACTATGTAAAATAAAACAACCATGAATACTATAGGCAATTCCCTGTCGCCACCATCTCGGATAGTATCATGGTGTGCATAACGGTGTATTTAAATATTAATAACGTGTTAAATTAGCTAGATCAATCAGAGGCTCTCATATAAATGCGCAATGTTTCATGTTAGTGTGAACTTTTTGGATGTATTCACCGGGTATTGCCATATTTAGTGTCACCTTCTCGGATGAAGTCACCG